GGTGTTGATGCTATTCATACCATTGATGTTGATGTTGATGATGTTGATGTTGATGTTGGTGTTGATGTTGATGTTCTTAATTTCGAAAGTGCAGCCAAAAAAATAAATCCATGTTGATGGGATTCACCGCTGTGACACAGTTGATGAGTTGTAGATATTGTGTGAGTCTCAAATACCAAACATCTCCGAGACTTCGCTTCACCATGGGATCGGAGGTGATAGCTGGGACATTGCATGGATTGTGGATGGGATTCTTAAACTCAATCCCTGTTGAAGCAGTGAATCCTATACCCTCTGGTAAACTAACATAGCTATTGAAAATGGCCATTTGTAGTGGATCTACCCATGAAAAATGGTGATTTTCCATATTTATGTTAGTTTACCAGAGGGTAATTCTTTCCGCCTATTTGAAGGGGGAAGAGTACAGTATCTATATATCTGCAGGGATTCACATGGCCCCAGGCTCTGTATCTTTGTGTTTCCGGCATGATCTTGTGCGAGTCAAGTATTCAATTGACATCTTAAAAGCCTATAGGCATGCATTTTCATGGGATTTTCCATTATAAACCAACCATTTTTATCCATGTTTGGGATACCCACCATTTATTGAAACCCCCATAGTATCACAGACAAATGGATGATCAAGTGGCGCCACTATCCTCTTGCAGCAGTTTGATCTTCTTGCCGCCTGGCAGCGTTGCTTTAAGGGTTCATGGCCCACAGGGTGACCAAATTTTGTTGCAAATGTTTTTAATACCACGAAGTCGAAGTGACTAAGTGATGTCCCTTTTGGCTCTGAATTGGAGACCCCCAAGATCCACCAAGTCCGCAATTCATGCTCAGTCTTTTCGACATGCTTCGGGCCCGTCACAAATTCTTGCATTTTGATTGCATTTGTTTTATGCCCCTTCAAGGAGTTTCGGGAGCTTCAAAGGTCTCAGAAGCGTGAGATTCCATTCTGTGCTGCCTTCGCATTACTGTCTCAGCGTTCCCCTGTATGCTTAGACCAATAAACTAGCACTTCCTGCGCCAAGCTTGTTCGCTGAATGAGGATCTGAAACATCCGCAACTAGGCAATGAGATCTCCCCTTTAGATATCTTCGCATAGCGGTGTCTACCTTTGGTTAATCCATGTGGTCCATGTTCATCATGGAGGCCTCGACCAATCAGCAAGCCGGCTGCGTGTGGGCTCATCACCAAATTCGCCGTCCACTCACTGCCCACGGGTCGTAGGGCCTGGGTCTGAGTCGGTGAGGAGCTACCATTTGGACCATGATTGTCATCACATGAATTGTTTGAAATGCTGAAACCTGAAGGCCATGAAATTGATGCTTATCATATGCTTACCTTTTTATCTTGACAGAAACTGAGTATGCACAGCTCAGTTCTCCCCGATATGATTCCCTGATTCCTAGCTGGACGGATGCAATTGGATCTTCATCCCCCTATTCCATCCGTCCCATAGGATACCATAGGTATTTACCCCTCTCCATACAGTTGCTGGTTTCAACGGAACTAAAGAATCTTAATGTTGTATCCTGATTAGTGGCTAGATTCGCTATTGTGCCAAATAAAAACAAAATTATTCTGAACCCATGCATTGTTTGGAAGGTTCACTATTGTGGCAAGAAATCTTGGGAGACCATTCTTTTTTTGGGAAAACTACTAAAACTACTACAAGTTCATCGGCAAAAAAAAAAGTGTTATTTAGATTTCAATTGTAGCCAATTGAAATCCTTACTTAATTTTTTTTTCTGGGACACAACTTTTTGGCACCCAACTTTGAAGAGGGTATAGCCGGTATAGCTATTTGTTTGGGGGGGCCTTACACTAATCAGGACGAAACATTACCATCAGCAGTCTGCTAATGGAAAATAACACGGACATACAAGTACTTGAACCCACCAACCAGCCATTGGGCCTTGTCTGAACATCACGTATCCATACATATCCGAAAATTCAAATGGATGACCTTCGTGTTTCCATATTATGTCTTATTGAACTTGCCATTTTTGGAGCCAATCCGATCCCCCTTTTTGTACAGCCCACTATTCACGCCCCCCAAAGGACCAAAGCCACCTTGGGCGCCATAGGCCTTTCTCTCTGAAGCCCGCTGGGCCAGTCAAAGGTGGGCCCAATGGGACAGCTCATGGGGCCATGATCTGATTAGTCACCCGGAAGTATGGATGATCCGAGATGATCTGAAAAAAGAAGTGGGGTCACTCGTAGTCCGGTTCTCTGATTGGGATGATTGGGAGTAGCTGGGTCCTACGAGTACGTTTCGGATTCGTGACGTTTGAAATACAATGCATGAAAACATCGTTCACAACAAACTTGAAATTGCCCACAACAATTGCAAAATGCAGTTCTTTGATTGGATGCTTCCATTTTCTGAGATGATTGTGGAATGGATGGATCATGCCTCATATTGCCTCTCATCATCTGCTCCACCGCGACAGACCGGCTTGCGCCGGGCCGGGGCAATAAAGTGTCTGCTGCCTGTGAGATGAACGGAAAAACATATGCCTTCTGATTCTGCCTTCGTACAAAGACTTCCAGATTCTGGCCATTTATGATTTACTTAGACAATAATGGTTTTTTCTAGCCATTCAAGCCCATTATCCGACAAACCCATATTCAAAAACGACATCTGGTTGGGAAAGGATGTTACTGACGAAACTTGGTTTGACCAAAGGAATTCATGGCTAACAATTCTATAGCCCTCAACAACATCAGCTTTTCAAACAGGTGACCCGCAGTCGGGTCATTTACAGGCGAAACCGTGAAATTTGAGGCTCGACGAACGTTGAAATCAACCAATTGATGCTTAAACCAACCAGGCAGTGACAACCAATACCATCCAATGCCAATGCCTTTGTGTATTTTTTGGTCGCAGTGAACCACAGGCTGCTGCGCGTCCTTTTTACCAGCGGGTCCGTGTTTCCGTCCAGTGTCACAGTGTTTTGGTACGAGCCCAGCCAGCAAGTCTGGACGAGAATCATTGCGAAGGGAGTTGGAAGCGGACAGCCCGGTCGAGCAGGGAAAGATCTGGAAAGTAAAGCTGGGAATCCCTGAACTCAATGGGCATTTCAATGGAACATCATCGAACTACATTGTATATTGTAATATTATTGTAACATATATATATATATTGTAACTAGATAGTTGATTTTCCGTGCCATGTTTGATTTCCAGAGGGTATCGGTAATGTATCGCTAAAGATCTATAAGCATCACCTCTCTGCAGCTTACAGCCACCCTTTCGTCACAATGAAACTTTTCGTATAAGAACCTGCGACTGTTCCTCATTCCGTCTCCAACTTCGAGAAAGGTGTGAAACAAAATGGGTGCTCGAAAATTCAGGACCGCCAGAAGCATGCCGCCTTGTATTATTTCTCCCCTCAGATGGGTCAAGTTTCAACTTCTTTCACGAAGAAACATCGAGGTTCCTCATGGCTGCTATTCACCACCACCAGGCCAATAGATGGTACTTTCAACCCCGGCAGCATGAAACATGTTTCAACCATCAACGAGGGATCCTGAGTTTGGAGCTCGAACGAAACGAGCGTGAAGGAAGGGATGGTATACCATAAAGTCATGGGGATGTCAGAGGAAAACATAGATGTGTTGATTAACCAAAAAGTATATGAAGATATATGAAGTATGTTGAAATCCACAAATTCGAGCTATATACTCAGCTATACTCACCACATATTTTCACACATGTAGACTGTAGACGACTCTTTTCCAGTGCTTGAGATGGGAACAGTCGTTCTTTTCGTGGCTGATACTGCACATGACCAGCCCGTGGAGCATCTCCTAAGGCTCAAAGAGTCAAACAGCTCACATGATACCCACATTGATCGTTGTTCCACACATAAGCTGTCCTGGACGACCCGCCATCCCTTCTTCATGCAGCTCACTTTCACCCCAACGGTCTGCTCCGCGGCGGAGCAGACCATTGAGGTCCGTGGATAACAATTCAGCTGGAGACTCCAGTGACTGAGTTGCTTGTTGCTGATGTTGTTTGTAAAAGAATAATTTTAAAAAATAACTGATAATGTTTTATATACCTCCATGATTCCATGTTAAGCTTGGGATACTGGGTATATATATATGTGTGTGTCATATGTATGTAATGCAGATCTCATACAGATCGAGCCAAGCCAAGCTGAGCCTGACACCTTTCCAACACAACTTTGCACCTTCCGGGTGTGTGTGGAATTCGACCGATTTCCACAACTTTGGAGACTTCCCTTTGAAAGATCCAAAGCCATCAGCAAGAGAAGCTGAAACCATTCGCAGAAGATTTATTGGGATTCACCAGTCGTCCAAAATTGTAAAGATGAATCCATTCTTACCGTAAAATGAATCATAACTCAATGCCAACTCGAGATTCTACGATTTGTTCAGGATCCACAGGACCATCCTCAAGTCCAAGTTTCATGCTGTTTCATATTGTTTCGGGATACATGCGACATGGTGTATGAAACTGGTGTCGTGTCCTGCGCTAGGACTATCCACAGGTACTTACACAACGTGGTCCGCTGAGGAACCCCAGATGTTCTGCAGAATGGATACAGTTCTTGGCATTCCCCAGAAGCCAAGCTATCCTCACCGGCTCCGCGCAACTGGCAGGATCATCTTAGGGGCTAGATTAAGCACTCATCAAAAACTACCTTTAATCTTCAAAATCCGCGTTTTTTGCTCATGTTGGGTGAGGATAGATAAAACTTTCAGAGGCAAAAACATGTTCCAATCCCATGAAGAGCGACTAACTAAAGATGTGTACCTTTTCTGAGATCCACTGGGTTTTTTCCCGCATCAAAATCTAGGTACCCTCTGAAAATCTAAGCTGACCATGAACCTTAACCCGTGGTGGATCCTGGGTTAGTTGGTGTCATTTGATCCTCCCAATTGGACGTGGAGATTTGGCAAGAGATCATCTGAAACAGATGGGGCCAGCCTGACCTGCGGCCTTCAGCTATGAACAACCTTGAATCATCCTTGAATCTTGCGGAACCTGGGCGGTTCCGATGTCAACAGATATCAACATGGAGAGATTCAGGCCTGAAATGGGCGAGGAAAATCCCAAACAAATCCAAGGGATTGAAGTGATTCCAAGCTTATTTGGAGGGTGTCGTCTATTTCCATTGATGACCATCCTAAAAATGTATGTAGGTGAGTCTGTGACCCCTAGTTGCTTCATATGTAACAGGGTGAAACCTGTGAAGTATGCAGTTTTCAAGACAGGGGGATGGGGGCAAAACTACGAGTAGCCCTGCGTCCAGTGCTGACTGATCTCAGGGGGCCTCAAGAATACACACCCTCCTAAAAACAAACATCAGATTCCCTTCAAATGGTGTCTGGAAGAGTCTATTTTCCTGTGGACCGACATACATACATATATATATATATGTACATACATACATATGTACATACATATATATATATATAGTTATATATATATACACATACATATGTATATGATTATATTATATATATATACAAAACAGTGTATTGTCTACAATATCTATATGTAATTACTATAGGATACCAACCAGTCATCCCTGTCAACCTGGTCAACCTGGTCTCCCCTTTTCTGGACAGGTGGCTCTTCAATCCAGCAATCTCTCATTGCCTGGCGTTTCTAACCATCAAACATGGAGATTCAACGATGATTTAATCACCAAACATGGTAGTACCATAGTGAATAGTGATATAACGGGTAAAATTCTAATATAATACCTCTGGTAATTTAGCAGTTTGCTATGGGGAAATTACCAATTTGTAGATCATTCATCTTTGAAACATGTTGGCTTCTCATAGCCACTGAGCGGCTAGACATCCCATCAAGGAGCTCAACAATGGAGACGCTGGCAAGACTACAGCTAGAAGCAAAGATTCCCACAAATTCCCAATCATCATCCATCATACATCATCCATCATGCACCACCATGCGTCATCCAATCATCATTTGACAAGAGTGTAGGCAAATTGATACAACTCCCAGGATCCACAGTAGTTGCGCACTATTTCACCAGTGAAAGGATATTCAACATCAACAAAATGGGGAATATGATTGTTGCTTGAAGCCATTTTCTATGAGTGAATCACGTATGAGAATTTGTGTTGCCTTACTTCACATGGAATCCTGTTCAACTAGGCTGTCTCAAAGTCTGGAACCCCATTCCTTTTCATCGCGTGGATGCAAAATGTTGAAAACCTCATTTTCACTCGAACATGTTGCCTTACCAATCTATGGCCATGAAACTAGGGATACCCAAACCAATTTTCTCCCTTGTTTCACCATAAATTGCTTTGGGTATATCCCTGGTTTCTGGACAAGCCAAATGTTCATTGCAGGCCTGATGGACAACTAGTGTATTTGAATCGACCAAGCAGTGTTTTTTTTAAGAGATGACCCATCTAAAATCTATCTATGATGTTGGAACCCATCATTTGATAATGTTGGAACCACATCTAAAATTTTAGAGATGACCCATCATTTAATGATGTTGGAACCCATTAGAACTTCCGTTTTTGAAAGCAATGTTGACCTGAAAGCCATGGCTCCATTTCTGTACACCCTGGAAGCATATGGAATCATGATCACAGCCTCGGTCTCCGCAGCAAACTCGCCCGGGGCGAATTGAACCTCACCACTGGGAGGGAGGTTGACCTGGCTGCAGCTGAGGCCCGAGAGTTGGAAAGTATGCTTGGATGCAGTATGTACCTACAAACATAATATATATATATATACACACACTAAATATATACCCAACATTGCCCAACTAATATTATATAGCTATGTGCAGTGTAGAATATACATTGCTTCATCAATACCTATATATATACTCCTTAAGACTCCTTACACCCTCCATACACTACCTACACATGTTCCATAGTGTACCTATATACGGCTCATTGCATAGCGTGCCCGTATACTACATGCATATATACCCCCTGCAAGCTCTCTGTATACTCTCCACATGTATAAATAAATATATATATATATTATATTAATATATGTACAGTAATTATACGTATTTATACTGACTATAAACTGGACATCAACCACCTACAGCTGCACAAACACTGCCAATGTAGGACTGTTGTTGTTGGGAACCCCCAGGCCACAGCGGGCGGAGGCAACCATCTAGCTGGGGGAGGGGGAGGGTGTGGTGATCCCTGCTCATATATTACATAAATACCTTATTTTGGCAATATAGTTGTGACAGTTGCAAAGGCTATTATAAGTAGGGAATCAAGAGGTCACTACTTGAATTGGCATCCCAGTTCATAAGTGGCTTGTAATCCACATATAAACCATATTTTGCTCATATACAACTGGGGTACTATATGGTCGCCTCCCACTTTCTAACTGGGATTCACTCCTATGTAGTCAGCCCATTATCAACGTACTTATGTAGTAGCTGGGATGCACGTGGCCACATGGTAGGAGCCAGCCACTCCCTGACCTGAAAAGCCCAGGGGATGTAACTGTCCTCGTTGGCAATCAGAGTGAAGGTGGCCTTATGGATATCTTCCTGAGTCAGGTGGTCTTTTTGTCAGTCCACAAGATTGAAATCTGGGTCTATGGTCTATGTTGCTATATCTATTGATCACCTTTGAAACAAAATCTATCCAAAGCTAGTATGACGCCTAGAACTATGTTTTGTGTCTGCTATTAATTGATGAACTTATCTGGTACCAAGTCATTCGGCAGAGACTCATATCCTTTGTATCGCGGTGTACGGATCAAAGTACGACATGTGTTAAGCCACGAACCAGATGTGAAGGCTACTGAAAGCATTTCCCAGCTTCTGGTTTGATGTTTGTTCCCCAATGGGGATTGCCACAACCTCGTCTTGTAACATCGGTTCTCACCACACGTCTACACCCACACAATTTCCTCATAATCCTCATATCATAACTTGGTAGTCGTCTATTATCACAGACCTCAATAATTCTTTTCCATCCAGCCAGCGATTTGGAAAAACACCAAGACTTGGGGAGGACAGCGATATTTTGGATGATCTCCTGTAGCTAGAACCTTCACCTTGGGGTCTTCGCAGCTACTGGTGTGGATCAAGCAGAGGTACCTACCTGGACCTACCTGAAATCAAACATGGCTGGCTCGCCGAAAAATCCCATTGAGGTTGGGGATTTCTTAGCCATGTTTGATGACGCTGGGAGGTAAACCCTCATTGTTGATAATAAGCTATCCCGTTATATCCCCATTATATCGCCGTTATATCCACATTAATTGTCCATTCATCCAGATCAATGGACTCCGTCATAATGAAACCACGGTTTGCAACGTACGCACCAAGCAAATTTGGAGACATTTGGAGATCTCATGGGGCATCGCTCCTCCATTGCGTCATGCATTTTGCATCATTTTGCAGTTTCGCCAGGAATTGGCAGGTGCCCCAAGGGCCGAGTGGCATGAGTGTAGTAAACCAGCTCACGGTCCTGTATGCTGTCGCTCTGGGACTTTTTCAACATTTTAACGTAGTTGAACACACTGATAGTGATTACAAAAAAGATAGAAACGTAATAAACAGATGTAAATAAATCGTCATCAAAATAGCAGAGAAATAGTTTTCGGGACAATTCTGAACATATTATTGAAATCTATCTATTTCGCGCCCCAAAACACCGTGAAAGCTGGTCTGAAAGCTGGGGCTTGTCATGGCATCATCTCATCAGTGATTGGGTTGGCTTTGGGAAAATCTACAGCAACTAGCTGTACAGCTAGCTGTCCATGATGTTGCGAAAAAAAACCTATGTAAACCTGACAACAACTCCTGCCCCGCCTCTTTTTTGCTCCAGTAGACGAGGCTGCCATTTTTTGCAACCCACATCTCCCGCTCAAACCTTAGTGCACTTGCTGTCCAATGCTCAATGGGAACAATGATTAGTCGAAATCAACCTATTGGATTGGCGAAGAGTGGTGAAAAGAAAAAAAAGGGAAAGTCAAAAAAAAAAAGCCACCAGGACAGCAGTTTTTGAAGGTTACACTTTTCTTACTGTTGTAATCTACTGTGTATATATATAATATGCATACACAGTGTCTATGACTTGGCTCGGAATGGAGAGTGTTCTGTGGATTTTCTGCCTGCATCGAATTCAGAGCTTCTTGTTGAGAACAGGATCGGGTCTTGAAAGGCAGTTTTTCTTTTGCAATGTTTGGCCTCTAGGACCCTGTTTATCAAGATCTTGACCCTGGGTGAGTACAACAAATCAGAGGGATACCTCCCAAAGTAAAAGACTTATGGGCTTACCGCCTCGGTACTAAACAACATTAAACAACCCGTTGGAGCCACAAATAATGGATTACTGTCAGTTACAGTACCATAAATCATGGGATGTGCGGCTGCGAGGGAGCTGGGGGGCCGTCAAAGGACATGTCCCAAGCAGTATTTGTGCAGGGGCCCAGGCCAATCCTCTGCTTTCCTTCGGTCACCTTCTGCCTAGTCGACCAAAATGGCATCTGAAGCTGAGTCATAGCTGCGCAGGTGGATCAAAGCCTCAAAAATCACCATAAATTATCCAAGCAATTGACATTCACGTCAATAATGTTAGCATGCAACTTGGTCAAAATGGAAGTGTCTTAGTTTTAACTCCCAGGGATCCAAGTAGAAGCAAAGGATACCTTAATAGGGCAGGTCTAGACTGACTTGTGATCCCACAAGCCATCCAAACGCCATCCAACATGAATCCAGTAATATCTGGTTGGTGGTTGAGCCACCCCTCTGAAAAATATGAAAGTCAGTTGGGAGCATTATTCCCAATATATATGGAAAAATATTTAAAAAAAACACCAACCACTATAGATATTCTACAAGCAAAAAAAAACGCTTTGGCTGGAGATAATTCATATTCCTTCAAGAACCAACCCGATCACCCATCAATTCTTGAATGTTCGTCCATATTCCTCCGGCAAATTAACAATATTTAACAAAGTAGACGAAAATCGCAGGTTTAGTTCGATGATTTACCATGATTTACCATGATTTACCTGTGAAAAATGGTGATGTTGACCTTTTCATGTTAAAGTACCAGAGGGTATCTAAAAAAGAACACAGCCGTTCACATGGACAGCCACACCTTCACCTTCCACAACTTCGCGCGGAAGATGGGGGCAAACCTGGAAATTTGGGCTTTGGGCAACTTTGATAAGCTATTCCAGCTGTAGAAGGGATACCAGCTATGGGCCTTGAATGAAAATCAAGCTAATGTCATGCGGTCCTTTTGTTGGCGTCTTAAGTGCTCATTCCCAAATTCGCATCAATTCAGAAAGGCGATTTTGGCGGAAGCTGCCATGTCCAAATAACATATTACACCATACGACCGAAAATCATACGGATTGGGTAGGAAAATCTCAACAAAATCTTGGAGTTTTCTCCCAAAAAATTGGCATTTCCTCTGAATGTTTGCATCGATTTTTTTGGGACTAGTCAATTAGGGATCATCCCAAGTTGGCATTGAAGGTATCTGAAACCACCCACCGAATCAACAACATCAACAATATTCAACAATGTAGGAATCATAGGACTATAATCCATGTACTATATCATATATCATACTATATCCATCTATATCCACCATCCATGAAATTGCCAAACTCGTGTGTCATGTCAGCTCGTTCGTTGTCTTGGTCATTTTCTTGATGCCTTGAGGAGAGGATAGACAGCTGACCTGTTGATCTGAGATGGGCCCCTACCAGCAGCTGATTTGGTCGAGAAACTGATGCTTCTTGTCGGCGCCAACCTTCATGCGGCGGTTCTTGACGCTCAACCTGCGAAACGAATGGACGACTGGACGACTGGATGACCATGACTTGAAGCTTTCATCTCAAAGTTGGGAATCAATACGAAGAAATCCTAGGGACTCCAAGCAGTGGGCTTCCCCGGGTTACCCCCACTAGGATTCATAGAATAGACCATCGATTTGGATGGATTTGAGAGGTATACTATATACATGACAATATATTACATTAAAATCATTACAGTAAATATCAGTAAATAGTATGTATAAATAGTGTGTCATGTTTTTTTCCCGCAAAGCCATCCATATTGACTTTTTGGGTTTCCACGTGTTCCACAAGTTCCACTTCGGGGTGGAAGATGCTAAAATGGTCGAGGGGAAGTCTGCCTTGTGCCAAGCCCATTTTGTGACACTTGACCTTGTCGGATTCATCGTTTCAACTTCAACACCTTTCAACCCTTAGTTGATCAGTTGGGTTTGTCTGAATTTTCTAGGTACCCCAAATCCTGTGGATTAGGATATGAATGGACATGACATCTTCCCCATCATTTCATGGTAATGTTGATCCTTTTCTTGGGAATCTATACCAGGTATTCTCCAGTTACCCATTTGATCAAAGCTGTCGAACCCTTCTCGCGACTCGGCAAGCCTGAACTCTTTGATGTCAGCTGCCACGTCTCTGCCCAATCTCATTGTTTGAATTGCACCTGCCGCTGCTGGCTTATGGCTAATCATGCCAATCCCTTCTAAAATTTAACACCCCATGGTTTAGTCGTCGATTTACACATATTCAATACAGCGTTGGGGACTATTGGGGACTATATGTCGATCATTTTAGATCTATTTCGGGGGTTCTAATTCTAATATTACGTAGTCTTAGGATGGGGTTTCTCATCGAAATGGCTGTCATTGTGATCCAAAAAACTCTAGAAGGCTATGCGGCTCCAATCTCAGGCGCCAACCATCCATGTTGGCTGTGTGCATCAACAACCCGGTCCATTTTGTATACCTCGGCTTGCGAAACGACAAAGCCAGACAAAACTGGAGCTTGTGTTGTTGTCCTTGCAAAACGGACAAGACACGTAAGACTCTGCAAACACACCTGGTTGTCTCGTCAAAATATCTTTCAAGGTTCCCAAGAGTGTTCAAAAAAATGCCATGTGTGCAATGAGCAAAACATATTATATATATATATATATAGTAATATATATTAATATATATTAATATATTTATATAATATATATATATCAAAACATGATATAATATGATTGTAACCAGCGGTACACGGTCATCCCATGGAATCCACGAATCTCTAATGGATTGAGGACTGACTGGATCTGATCCAACTTGACCACATGTGATGCAGGTGAGGCCAGGATACCAAAAACGTGTCAGATATGGGAACATTTTGCTTGGCTAGTTGATGATAGTTGATGTTGAATGCGATGTGATCACTATAATTTCATCCAATTCCACCTCGGGAATAGCTCAGGACGTCACTCGTCGGGAGATTCAGCAGAGAAACAAATGTTAATATCCTGGCACCGCCGCCGTGAACTTGTCTGAAGGAAACAACTGACAGCAGCATGGCAAGTCTCTTCGGGTCAACCCGACAATTCCTTTTCGACTGACCCCTGAACGGACGTGGTGATGGTCAATAATGGTTGGGAATGAGTACAACTCAACGGTGCTGTAAATCATAGCCAATTTTGCCATTTGGGATCCTGGGGGGCTCTTCAAAATCCCAAACAGGTTGTTTCTTTTACTGGTTTACAGTCCATTAAGTCTTGATTCTATAGGGTGGGCTTGCCATCGAGTTGGTTCAATTTTGACACGTTGCCATTCAAAGCCATTGATTGGCACAATCCTGTCCTTTTCATGCTCGTCGTGAGCAGCACAGTCCAACCTGAGTTCGGAGCGCAAAATATATGGCAACTCAATGCAATGCAATGCAAACGGTCTCAAGCAAACTGCCTTCAACCTTTTGCCGAGTAGACCCTGGGGGAAAAATGTCGCCCCATCCGCCCGGCCTGTCTAAGCAGGTCAGCCCCCAAACAATGGATTGTGCAAAGCAAAAAAAAACGCTCCATTCGGTCCTTTCATATCCTTTTGTAATAAATTATTTTCCATAGCCATAGGCCGCAGCTACGGAAGGACACGTCCAGAACCTTGCCTGAAAGCATTGTCCCTTGCCGCGCTGATTTTCGTCACCTGGCAAGACCAGGAATATGTATTCCGAAAAAGGGTCAGTCAGTTTCCCATGAATGGGACAAATCATACAGTAATGATGCTAACAATTGCTAACATCTATATATATATACATATATATATATTAGTGTACATTAATCATAATAAATGGTCAGTCATATTAGATAGTTGCTTATAATTGTTCATTCATGATTTTCTAAGGGGAAATGCTAATTCTCAAATCCAGGTCATAAACCATACCTAATTGTCCAGTGACCCTTCCAAAAACGAAGCATTCGTTTTCGAACATGCACATTTCCGGTAAGGAAGGGGCTATGACATGGGGAAACTTGGGATGGTGCCTGAAAATGAATGAACATGGGGTATACATGAGGTACTGTATACCTCCAAACTGGCATTCTAACAGGAACTGACCATAAACCAGTAGATTTTGGGGTAGCCTCTAATATTGGACACGCATTCTAAATTGCGCGCATGCAGGATGACAAGCCAAACTACAATCCGAATGCCTAATGTGCTTCTGAAACCTTTTTCAGAAAGCGATGTGGTTCGATGAAATCCACTACCAGACTAGCAACACTTGGACTACACGGTAGACTCTCAGGTAGACATCAGTATTCCCATGAAGTCTTCAATGTCCTTGGCTATGCCGTGTAACAAATAGAGTACAAGTAGCCTGCATGTGCATCTCTCACGTCACCTCTCATATACACCCACGACTTGCAAAAGAAAAACACCCGCACAAGAAAAAGTTGTTGCTGCTTACTACAAAGGCTGCTACACATCAGTTTGCAACACATGTTTCGAACTTCCAAAATGATCAAATCATATCAAGAGTTTCCACCGATGTGCAACCCCGCAAAAATTCCGCTGCAAAAAAGGTCCAATTATCAAAGTACTGAGTGCTTTACAACATCTTCCTGATTCAAGTCAATACATTAATGAAGTTACTTATAGTTACTTCATATATCTTCATATCAAGTCAATATATGCAATCGATACCATCCTTTGGCAGTTGGTTTCTACCACACCTCGTGTCCTGACTGGATGATCTTGGAAAGCTGGATCCATGAGCTGGTCACACCAGCGATAAATATACCCCCTATAACCAATCAATCATCAGTGATCCATGATATTCATTGATATTCCACTTTCTTGTGATCAAAATCCAAATTTGATTGTTAAAAGCATCACTTTCACAACCCATCCACAGGCTTGTTTTTCATGGTTGAAACGCAGCGTGTCACCCCGCGAAAAACCAATGGCGCCTTGGCTCCTGTAAGCCGCGATCCATCTACCAGGACCAAACCTGGGTCGATTGGTGAATGATGCTATGTTTTTTGCAAGAAAAACCCAGATTTTTAGCCCCACTTCAGGCTTTCCTGTAACTTTTTTGCCCCGAATTCAACTGTGGGATGGGGAGATAGAAATATGTTCTGAGCAGTATCTTATGATATGTTATGCATAGGTCCACCCCTCCAAACCACCCAAACCCCCAAAAAAGCACAAAACACCAAACCCCCCAACCCCCCCGTACATGTTCCATAATGTTCCATTTGTATATATAGTATCTTTAAAATATTACACAACATAGATGCGTTTTTGCTGTTGAACAGGAACCTCATTAACTCCTGTTGCTTCAGGAGTTTGAAGTACAACATGGAAGTTCACCATTCAAGACGCGTCCAACAAATCTAGAAATATCACACAGGAGCATCTACAAATATATGACACACAATGCATATGCACATATGTATAAAAATGCATGTCGATGTGTGTATATATGTACCGTACATGAATGTAGTTTTTAATGTCTAATGTGTAAAACATAGGTGAATATATAACGTATGATGCATGATGATGATGATGATGATGATGATGATGTAATGTGATGTAATGCGTTGTGTGAATTGAAAGTATCACGATTATGGTGTATTGTGTTTCGTAGTTATTATGGATGTGTTTATGTAGTAATTACTGAAATCACAAACGGAATCAATCAACTATGGCTTTGTGAGGCCTTGGATGGCCTTGGTAAATAAGTCAAGCAACAACATCCTAGCCGTGGCCCGCGTGTTGTGGGTACGGGGATGATTTTGATTTGGGCACAAAGAACTGATGAAATATGATAAGGTATGATAGAATACATACTTTTTGGAATAATTGGATCACACACATTCCCAAACCAGTTCTTTAAGCCCTTGAACCGATGGTTACCCCAACCTGACCCATGATTTATGGTCTTTGCTGGTTTGAGGTGGCTTTGACCCAATAGTCCAGACCCCAACCTGACCCATGATTCCAATGGTCTTTGGTGGTTTGAGGTGGCTTGGACCCAATAGTCCCATCACTCGGTTTGTTGTGCGACGTCCCGTTGATTTTGCCCATCCCCAAGTAAAACGCCGTGGCGAAACCGATTTGATATGGGCATTTTTCTGTTTTGTTTTGCAATCCGGGGTTGTTTTCCGTGCCCTCTTCAATATTCTCGAGCCAAAATCTCTCATTTGCACACTAGCCAGTTGTGGCATGTTGGAGTTTAGATCTCGCACTTGCAGGGCGCCATTTTGAACCTTGATTTTGTTTGCACGCGTTTCAATAGTCTTTGCTGCATTTTGGAACTAAACCTTGCCACGTGATTGACATGTTCAGCACTTAGGGAAAAGGATGAAAAGGGCTGTGTAGTTGTCTTTGTTGATGTTCATAGTTTGTTGTCATCTTTCTCGTTATATTATGTTATATATGTCTTCATATTTCTTCTGTTGTCCTTGTTTTACTTCTTTTGTCGCTGTCTTGTCGTTGCCTCCCGGTGGTCTTGCTGGGCTTGTTGCTGTTGATCCCCTCGATATCTAAGATGGTACCATAATCTTTTGATCCCCTCGTCAAATCATCTGTTGTGCAGCAATTGAATGATGATAATCTCCCACGTGCTGCCAGGAGATTCCACAAACCATCACAAACCTCGTGATCACTGCCCCACTTTGACCAGTGGGATTTTTGGAAAGTTGATTCATGATCTCCTGTGACAATCTGCAGTTGCAGGGATTCATTCTCTGTCTTGGTAGGTGTAACATCCTAAAGATCCGAAGGATACAGGAACCTGTCTAAATGGCCTACATGTACCACCCACTTGGATGCCAGTCACAACAGTTCTGAACTCCTGGTCAGTTCCACTCGTCATTCGATAACTACAGCATTTTTGGGACTGACGTAGCCAACATATTTATGAACCACTCCTTCATCTACGTTTACCTGGGATGATCGATGCATACCATCCTCCGCAACATCGGGGATCCGCGCGTTTGTTCTCCTTGATGCTGAAATAGCAGAGGGATCCATTGAACGCCACCTGGGTGATATCCCAGCCATGCTTATTAATCCATTCACCCAATATATCCCAATATTTTTGCCAAGCCCCCAATCACAACCCTTCTTGATATAGCATGGGATCATATTGGATCATATTGGATCATATTGGATCTGTTCCTTTTCGGGATCAATAGAACTCCAAGTAGCCCCAGTTCGAATCACATGGCCCTGACAAGTATCCCATGGGATCCTATGGGCAGGCAGTTGAACACGTCATTCCTGTGGCTATCAGCAAGTTCTCTGACGATTGTTCATCGCCCACCAATTGGGAGAGAATCATTCAAGAAGGGATATATAATATAATATATATAATATAATATGATATAATATAATATAATATGATATAATATGATATAATATAATATAATATAATATAACAAAATAATATAATATAATATTATATTATATTATATTATATTAGTATAATATAATATAATATAATACAATGTAATATAATATAATATACTATAATATAAATATAATATAAATATAATATAATAATATAATATAATAATATAATATATTACATGTACATCTTACTATCAATTATATATTATATAAGTAAAGTCAACTGGTTGGAAACAATAATCACCAACCAGCCCACTTTGGTTTCTTTGTTGGTTTGAACTGACCCTTGTTGGTTGAGTTCCCAGATTTTCTTGGTCAACCAGTGAGGTCCGTGCTGGTTGAATCCAGATTTTGGTCGGCTAACTCCGCAGTTGCTGTTGTTACTGTAGCTGTAGCTGTAGCCGCTGCTGCTGCTATTGTTGTTGCCGTAGCTGTAGACGTAGATATACGGCCAGCACTTGTGCTATGCCCCAAAGTCTTTCAGGATGATTGAATCGGAACCCTCTGCGACATTGTTGATGACCCTCTGCGGTGAATCTGCTGTCTCCGAAAACTGCTTTTCGTCACTTTTGACATAAACCCTTAAAAACCATCGAACAGAAAAAAAACAGAAAAACCTTAAAGAAACCGAAACCCAAAATGAGCCCTAAAAAAAACCTGAAAATCCAATGTGAAAGTGTATTTTAATGATGTGGGGCGTAGCGACTGTGCTGCGGGTAGATATAGCTGTAGTATAGTATGGTTGTAGTTGTAGTTGTAGTTGCAGCAGTTGTAGTAAAGTCGTAGTTGAAGTCAAATTGTAGGTGCAGTTGCGATTGTAGTTTCTTGATGTTGTTTGTTGTTTGTTGATGTTTGTTGCCGTGGTTGCCGTAGTTGCCGCCGTCATCGTCGCCGTGGTCGTCCGTGCACCAGACAAATACTGCCATGACGTGACAACTAAGGCCCTTGACCCACATATCACGCTTCAGCCAGTGCGCTGGCTCCTGACATGAACCAACACCAGGAGCCGGTGCATCTCAATTACTGTGGTAGACTCGATGCAATAGACCCCAAACAGAGGATTGTTTTCACTCTATTTCTGTTTAGTCTTGGGTTTGCCACATCACGGAAAATCTATCAAAAGAAGTCCAGGGAAATTTGGGACAAGCAGACTCTGCACCTAGGCCACCTGCTACAAGTACCAACACAACTTTGCAGGCGTGAGCTGTACCCCTTGGATCCCCTTGGGGCATTGCAGAGTGCGACTGCATGTCTCCCATGTCTCCCAGAGGCACAGCAATTTCTATACAAGCTGCAATCATCTGCAATCATGTGCAATCAGGCTACACCAGCCAGAATGCTTACCCCTCAAAGAATTCCCATGTGGATCCATTTCGGATCATTTCAGCAGGTCTTTGAAATCCATTTCGGTGTTTCTAACAGCGCTCATGCGCCCAAACATTCTCGCAGCTTTCTCTCCTGTGCGTTGCCATCGTTGTTCAATTTCCACAAGGTGCCCTTGAACTGTGGGGCCTGCGATTGCGGGACTGTGGTGGTCAGACCTAGCGGCTAGCCGTCTGGAAAAAAATCACAAAACAAAAAAGTCAAGTCATGATATGTGACATGCACCTGGTATAATTATGTATAATTAAATATTTACAATATACAAATATGTATAAATATGAATAGATATGAATAGATATGTATGAATATGTAATTAATAAATATGTAGTATACTTTATAAATATGTATAAATTGATGATTGGACATTGGCATTACATAAGGCATTGCTTGATTCAAATCAGCCCCATAAGAAAACGATCCCGCGTGAGGCCGGCCTTGCTGGAAGTGTCTTCAATCCGATTTCGGGTGGTTCTGTCAACCTTCTCGTTCACAGGTAAAGGAGGGGCTTCCTGCGCATCACACGACGATCAGTGAAACCATCTGGAGAAGTCATGCAAACACAAAGAAATTAGCTGAATTAGCTCACCAAAGTGACATGTTAGCCATTTTTTGGAGATGAGTCTGATGATATCTGATGATATCTGATGATATCTGATGATATCTGATGAATCCATGTCCGACTTCTTAAGCATCATTTCTAATGAGGTCGGCCAATGAGGCAGCAGTCAGTTGCCAAGATGACCATTCCCACCTTTACAGCAACGCCAAGCGCTGACATCAAACATTAAGCGACCCCCAATGTACAGTTCAACACAAGAATCAGGAAAAGTGAGACCTTGAGTAAAACTACGGACAAACACATCATTTTGCCCCAGGCACTCTCAAACCACAGTATATGATGGTTCATGCTGGCATTCCTGAAAAGCTCAGCTAAGGGACCTGTGTATCATTGCACGAGTCATCCTGAACCCCGACACCCTAAAACCCACCCTCAAAACATCTCAAAACCATAGAAAAATCAGGGTAAACCCTAAAACACTTAAACTCCGAAGCCCTAACACCCTTAACCCTAAAACCACGGAAATTGATGTTAAGCGAAATGAGGTGTTTGGGCGCCCTTCCAGGTGTGGTGTTGATGGTGTTCTGACTGTGCTGCTTCCCTAGAGGGCTGGTTTCATGTGTCCAAATGGTGGCAATACAAGGGAGAACAACCTGGTATGATTGCTGTTCTTATTGAAAATCTCAATGCCGCCCGACAATAAACTTTGCTCCACGGTTTATTATTAGGGTGTAGGGTGAGGAGGATCAATAGTTATTTTGAGGAGATTCTTCGGCCATATCTTCAAACAATCTAGGACCAAGACCTGGCACAGGAAAAATGGCTCCCCAGTCACTTAAAAATTGATCTCCATTCAATTTTGATACTTACTTGTGTGGATATTCTTTGATAATGTTTCCATATTTTGGGTGATTTTGCTGGAACACACATGATTCAAATCTCAGTTTGAGGTCGAAATCATGCGATAAAAACACCACCCCGGTCCGAAGTCGTCTGGTCCACGGTAGATGCCTGGTCCATTGGTTGAACACAGTGGTTGGGGCAAACAGTGGCACTGGGATGGCTATACTCATTCAATTAGTGAGAAAATGTGAGAAAATCTACTGCTTTGTCATGGGTTTTCTCAGTCAATCTCCAGATGTATGGATGTTTCCGGTCAATTTCCCATCAAATTCGAGGATTTTGTGCGCCAAATCTGTGATTCAACAATTGCTGGACGGGATCCTAGTGGGCTAAAGAATAGATGGTTCACGCAACCAGAAATTCGCGCAAAGACTTTCCATCAACTAGCCCTTTCTTGGAAACAAGGGCTTGATGATGTATATGAATTCAATCGTGATACAGGCATAGAGACATGTGAGCGGTTGAACGCGCACACACACATATATATAATTATTCTTTTGCACCCAGCTCCCAAAAACATAAGTTTCACATGAACTTGGTCCTTGGTTTAAAAATGTTTTAAAATGTTCTAAACATCTTTGTTCCATTTGGATCCATTTGGTTCATGGTCACTTTCGCGCACCCGTTGACCATCATTGACCCGTGAAACCACAAGCGCACCCGTTGACTGTCGGACTCCAAGTAGGGGTCTGAAAGGCACTGCGCCAAAGTCTTCCTGTGCCCAAGTCCGTGGGGCGCGCCTTACAAAAAAGCACCGCCATTTAACACAAATTGAACATGTGAACAGCTTAACGGAGAGAGATTCTTGTTTTTCAGGGCATTCCATAGAATTCCTGGATCTATCTGATTATGTGGATGCCTTTGATTTGACGTTCTTATGATTGGAATATATCTATGTTCCCAGTGCTGGGTATATGGGTAGGTGGGCGCATGATATCCAGCAGGATCAAAATACGTAATTTGATATCTTTAGGAAGATTGAAGTTTGGTTTACCCTCCTGAAAACTAACACGGAACCCTAGAAATGGTTCAGGAATATAATGTTCCTACAAGCGGCGCCAGTACTGGAAATGGCAGTATGTGACCTTCTATGTAAAATTATCATGGCATCATATCACGAAAAACTTTGATATAGCTGTGCAGTTGTCATAGTTTTCAGTATATATATTCATATATTCCCCATTTGTGGCACTGATAATCATTGACTTATTAGAACCATTATTAACCTTCCCAACCAGCTTGGTTTACCCAGTTTACAGCGCCCTGCCTGTGGGTGTGATCGCAGACCAGTAAGGAGCCCACCAGCATCTTATGGAAGCCATCATCGAACCTGGAAACCATGGCAAACGCTTAAAGGACCAAGGCCGAAGAATTTCTTCGATGGCCCAATGGCCATGGACTGAAAGTTGCCTGGAAAGCAGAAACGCATCAGCTAGAGGAAAAGGGACAAAAGGATACAAAAAACTTCAAAAAACAATATAATTAATATGACTTGGCTCAAGGGAAATGGGAACTCATGCAAAGAAAAAGCAGGTACATCAATAGTTTCCTGTACTGTTCCCCCCAACTCACACAGTGACGCAAGGCTGAGTACAGGTCAAGGAACCAGGGACCCCTTAGACTTGGAGGCTTGTAAACGAATCATTTGGCGGTTTCGCTGAACATCCGCTACCCCAAAAGCATCCAAAACCCAGTAGTTCATCATGGGAAAAAAAAAATGTGGAAAGGTCCCCCATTTTGGACAGACCCGCATGATAAATATACCCACAGGGATCATTTCCCTCTCAATGGATGATTCAGGTTGGATCTACTACTGTGATGACCTGTGACAAAACTACTTCAACGAGATTAACATGTCTGCCAAAACGCCCAGGAAGCGCCGGCAAGCATGACAGGATCATATTTTGTCGCGTCTCTAGGACAAGTTGTGCCAAAAAATAGAGAACAAGGCACCAGTCTTCCCAGTCACAAAAACATCAAAAACCTTGGTGCCATAATCCACCCTGTTTTCTTGCTACCCCCCATGACCGCCCCCCCAAAAAAATCAGGGATTGGGGGGATGGGCCGCTGGTCACGAATAAAACCACGAGTTGCCAAACACTTCACTGCAGTGGAGGAGGCACATCACATGGCTTTGTCCAAGAAAATGTGGCAAACCCCAAATAGTATTGTATCATATATCATATATCATATATTTATAATCATAATTATATAATTATATATATACACACCGAAATTTACCCTGCAGTATAGTTGTGCCATCCTATTCCAACAAGCGAGGTAATTAGGCCCGAAAAGGCAGGAAGAATGAGCAGGCAGGAAGATGTAGGCAGTTGTCCTGGTTTTGATTGATTTCTCGAAATGTCTAAAAGATCTCTGATCCACGGAGTGTTTCTGAAATATTTCTGGAGTATGGAATTGTTGTGTTTTATGCATGGAGGGGGGTTGATAGGAACAATCAGAAATAGAAAGAGTTCCGCAAAAGTGCTATATAACGGTCTCTTTTTGAATCTCTTGGACAGAAGCACAATAATAACCTATCTGCAATTTGTGGTCTATTGCTGGGGAATTAAGATGGTTCTTTTCCCCTTTAAACTAACCATCCATTGACCGTGTGTCGACTGGTCAGCCATTTTTGGTCTCCGCGTGTTTTCAGGCCCTCCAAATTCAAGCATTTCGGGCAGCTGACCTCTCGATACTCTTGGGCAAGGGTGCCTTGACAGGAGAAGACAGGTGATCCCAAGACAAAAAACCCTTCAGAAGGTGTCCAGCATGTGTCAAGTTTACCCTGGTTCACCATCATTCCCAATATGATTGATCCGCATTCCATATTGGATTAATTCATAAGCCCAGTTGGTATCTATGTTAAGCCACATTAGATTATTTATAAGCCCAGTTGGTATAACATGGTATAACATGGTATGACCTCAATTTTCACCATCAATCAGCTGGAATTTGGCGTTGCTCACTTCGAACCTGAGAAGTCTATATACCAAGTCATCGGATGTCATCGAGAGTCATCCTCCGGTATTTCAACATAGATACAGTATGGAAAATGGCCCGTTGACCGATGATTTGCCTATTTAAAATATGTTAAAATGATGATTTTCCATGATTTTCCATGGCAAACTGCTAAACTACCAGAAGTAATCAAACTATCAAACTAATTATCTTCAAGATTATATAAACTCTTTTGGAATATCTTGGAGATTGCCACAGCATGTAAAAAGTGGGTGAACTATGGTGCACTGACCCAGTTCGCTTCCAGTTCGCAGGCCTTGGAAATGCTGCCCAACCAATCCATGAAGAGAAATCCCGCCTCGCAGAGACATGGGGAGACCCAGGTCTTGAAGCTGAGATGACCAGGGAATACCCTCTGGTAAACATACAAAAAGCTATTGAAAATGGCCATTTATAGTTGATTTATCCATTTAAAATAGTGATTTTCCATAATTATGTTAGTTTACCAGGAAATACCAGAGGATCCATAGCCTTTCCTCCGCTGATATGCTAGATTTCAGGGGCTCACATCTGGGATTGTCTGGGTAGTAATTCACCGACCTGAAACAAGTCCTTCTTGGAATAGCTACCTTTACTGACCGTCAGTTTGACGTTTGACCCTTAGTGCAGCACCTAACAGCTACTGAGGTAATGTACACAGCTCCAACGGGTGTGTGAGCCATGGACCGGGCAATGAAATGAAAACACAAATGACATGTACAATGTTACCCCAAAGACGCGCTCCTCCATTCTTGCAGCGTCAATTGACAAGTCATGGTGAGGGGCAAGACTCGTATACTCAATTTTACCTGGTAGCCGTTCGGCTATTGTGTCTCGTCGAGACAGAACACCGGTAACAAAAATCCCCACCTCTTTGTGCGAATGTCCGTTCCGGAGAAAGTTCGCATACATCGGTTTCAGGACTGCCTGGTGATGCCATCGATGTGTTTTTCACCGGTCCACTGCCAGCAGATATGCAAACATATTCTAGTCTGGTCCTTTCAAACTACGTCCCGGAAAACTTAATGAACTCATATCACAAGTTTATACAATTCATACTCCAACAAAGCATGTAAGGCTTATCCCCAAGTATCCCCAAATACTCCAGTGGTGAAGGAGATACAGAGGGGTCCCATCCAGTTCACAGCGATCCTCAATGAACTTGGTTCATACACCAGCCAGGGGTCCAAAATATCATGATGACCGCCCAACGGGGTGCCGGGCATCTAAGGTTGCGAGCTCGCAGACCGTCATGCCGACGCTCCACACCTCTTTGGATGTTCTTCCAAGTGATGCGAAATGCATCGAAGTTGATCTGAAAGAATATATAGATATACTACAAGGCTAGATGGGCTTCCTAAAATGGGGGCACCCCCAACTCATCAACAAAAAAAAATTAGACCATGTTCGCATTGAAAATTGAAACCCCATGGCTTTTTGGGATGTTTTTAAGGGATCCCCCATTATAAGAAGCCTCCATATACAGAATCTTGGGTTTTACGGCTCCACAGAAACCTGGGTAAAACACCGCTGAGATCCCAACGTCCAAGTGAGGATTCACTGTGATCTTTGACCTGTGCGAAACGGACTAAGATAGCTATGGAAATCGATGGGTGTCTCCGGAAATCATCTATATGTAGTCAATATTCCATGTCTGGTTTTTATTGGAGGGTGCTTCATGATATGTCACAAGTTCATATGTGTTTGCCACGCACCAAAAAAAAGGTCAACCATAGTCAGCTCGTCTATTTTGAGAATCATTCCATTTGAATCAACAGAGAATATCACAGCACCAGCCACTTGAGCAAATGGCCATGGCTGCCATGCATTTTTTTGCAAATTCAGATGGGACATGTTCAGCATCACAAGCCACATTGACATGTTCAACAGGACGCATAACAAAACAAATCAAGATTTATCGCAAATTGGAACATTCATGAACCTTCCCCGGCCTGGCCGCAAAGTGAAATGTGTCACATACTCTCCCACCCATGGTTCCTTTTCTTATTAAATGGAAGGAATCTTGGAGCTGCATATAGTCTCGAGCTTGTCGAGCTGACAGCATCTTGGACATTGGGGGTTGCCCCAACTTACAAACGGATATCAAGTTATATTATGTTATATTATCAACATTATATAATTCGGAAAAGTGATTGATTCTGAAATACTCTAAAACCATCATCAATACATGTATAATATGTATACATATCAATACCACTGTGTGTTTCTTAGTGGCTTCCCATGGCTTCCCATGGCTTCCCATGGCTTCCCATGGCTTCCCCATCCCCATCTGGGCTCATTGGCTCGCTCTCCTCAATCAGAAATCGAGCCTCATGACTGGAGCTAGGAAATTTCAGGGAAATCTACGGAAATCTATGAGTATGACCCGTCAAAATATGAGGCTTTAGAATGCTTTAGACTCAATTAGACTCCAAGACCCTTGGGAAGGAGGTCGAAGCAAGGTCTAAGTCATCCAAAGATGGGGAGCCACTAGTAAACCGCTGAGTCAGGAGTTTAGACTCACCTCACCGGCTGTTCCATGTGTTTCTACTGTGTCCCAGTGGCTCGACAGGCGAAGTTCGGATCAACCGCACCAAGCGGTATGGATATGCCCCATGCAGACACCGTTACATCCGTTACCGGAGTGCTGCTCAGTCTCCAGACCCATTCAGGCGCGCAGTAGCACGGTGAAAAGGAGATGGAAGAATCCTGGCGGGACACTCACACCTGGCCTTTAAAGATGTCACAATGTGGCCGATAAGGTGCCTGCACAGTCCTCGAAGAAAAGCCGAAATTGGTGTCCAAAAACTTAAAGAGTTCCTTTGTAGCACTTTGAATATCTACAACTTTTCTCAAAGTATACTACTTTCAACAGTCAACAATGATCAGCATCAGTGGGCCACGCCTGGATCGAGATTTCGCTTCCAGCAGGGACGCAACCATCCACATCGATCAGCTTCAAGCGGCCTAAAGGCTGGCGCTTGGCGCGGCTCATCATTGGATCATTGGATCCCAAATCATGGGGAAATCATGGGGAAATCATGGGGAAACAATGGTTTGATTGTCTGGAACCATCAACCATCTAGAGATTAAATTTATAGATCTATATATAGATGATGGATCATGGATCATGGATCATGATGGATCATCCTTTCCTCCCAGATCCAATTAGACACCTGAGATCACCTGAGGATACGTTGGCTGTTGAATTCGATCTGCTTATGAAGAGCGATCCCATTATACACACATAGGAGGGCTTGATATTCGGGGGATGGGAATAACTGGATAGTATGGCCGCCTGGCCCAATCGGATATTGCCGATCCCAAGATGTACTTCAATGGCTGCTAGGTCATTGTACAATCCATCAAGCAGGGCTTCTCCAACAGACTGTGGGACGAGTTACCCCAACATACGCGCGGCTAACCGCGGCTAACTACTCCGGCGAAAGAAGTAGCCTCCAAAGTAGGGTGGTTTCCCTCTCAGCAACACTCTAGGACTTTAAGATTTTCGGGGCCATGGCCCTTTTCCAAGGGAAATGTTCTATGTTCTTGCATGTTGGCATTTGCAAAAGCTTCATCAGAACCTTTAGCTTTCACCAACCAATCATTAGCAAGAAGTGGATGTTTGGTTTATCACGGTCTATTCTTCTTTCCTGGGAATTCTTGTTGGAGGCTTTCGATTTTCTAGAGCAATGTGTGGCACCTTCGAGCCACCTCTCTTTTTCCAACGTTTTCCCATAGTTCATCATATTCTATCGTAATTGTTATATAATTCACGCTATTTCATATATGTCATCATGTTTATGGATCCTTTGTTTGGTGCATGTTTTTAGCAAAAACATGCACAAACCCACACCAGTTCACCAAGTCTGCTCCTGTCTGCATCGTTTCACCATGTAAAATCAGCGCGCCAAGGTTGTTATTGAAACCTGCTCCTGAGCCTAATTGAAAGATTTGAAAGTACCGTGGCCTTCTTAAAGCCTTTTTTCGAGGTGAAGTGAGGTGTCACCCACTTTGGTCCATGAGTCTACCCATCCAATCATGGGCCTATGGGCCTTGCATCAAGGCTCAACATCAGAGAGGTTTACACAGTGCAGTACTCCCAGTGATTTGTTTGGTGCCTTCAGCATCCCTTCCAATGCGCGTCGGGGGAGCAAGAAATCATTGGAACTGACGGCTGGTCGCCTTTGCTTGCCATGGCTTCCCTACATGGGCAACCCCCTGCTATTCCAACTCCAGATCCATTCCGGAAAAAAGATTTAAAAAAAAACATCTCGGGGAAAATCCGAAAGTCGCCAGCATGTCAACTGAAACCCAGCATGTTGTGGTGAGTTCCCCCCTTCCGAAACCCTCCGTGAGATCCAATAAAGCGAGGTGCCGTTGAACATCATCAGGTTCTCAGGTTTCAAGTCCAAATGAACCAACCTCAGTGGAGTTTGGGGGGCTCATTTGACCCTCAAAGTTGGGGCAAATGAAGATCTGCAGCAAAATTTGGGGCAGCAATGTGTTTCAAGCCAACTCAAATAGGAGAAAGTGGATGAGCTGACTTTGCACCATAGAACCCCACAAACTACACAAACTATGCGCACAAACTATATGACAATGGGAATCGTAGTCCCAAATGGTATGCTATTCCTGTGCCTGGTCTTGCCATCCAAGACCCAAATCATGTCAATGATTTTCAGCAGCAAAACGAACTGGGTTTGTCCGGAAATGGGGTGTATAGTAATGTATACAGTACTTATAACCTACACCATGACAATGTTCATGAGAAATTGATGATCATTTTCTGGTCGCCAAAAGATTGATGTTTTCTCAACAAGCGCAGCGCCTTGTAGGTCCTGGCCCTGGGAATCCTGGGAAGCCCTGCCCCTTGGCATGAAGTCCTGCCACCACTAGGATGATGGCCTGGAAAAAACGATGGCAGCTTCAGATTTATGGGTTATCCTCTGGCTATTTAACATAGCCATGGAAAATCACCATGTTTAATAGGTAAATAACCATTTTTCCATGGCTATGTTAAATAACCAGATGGTATGGGTTCATGTTAACATGAAACATTGGGTTTCTAGGCCATTTTGAGATTAACCCCATATTAACCCAAAGTCAATGTTAAACTAAAAAACGATTCGTTCCATATTTGAGACCATGAACATGTTATAACATGAAGCTTCGCTAAGATGTAGAACATTGTGGAACGATTGGAGTGGCAGTTCTGTTGCGACCCCTAAAAATAGAACAGCTGCATGAATTACATCAGTAGACGTCTGGTTGATTCATGTTGGGGTGTACTATTTATGCAAAGTTGAGTACTATTTTTAGTTTGGGGGCTACCGTCCTTACTAGTCAGAAAAAAGGGTGGGCATATATATATATATAGTCTTATATACAGTTTTCTAATTAGCATCCTGTGAAAGCACGTCTTACTTAGTTTTATCAGAGCCCTGTCCTTTTAAAAAATCTTACAGCAAGACTTTAGGGCCTATACCTGTATATATCCGTTTGATTGTATTTCCCGATTGGGAGTTTGGACTTCACTTTCTTGTGGTTGAATAGGCGTATGTACATCATCAGCAGCTTATGCTTCGAGGAGGAAATATGAGGAAGATTCAAAAGCTAGCATCTAGCATATGAGGGGATGAACATCCACATTTGTGTATATACATATGATGTATATATATATATACAGTAATATGTGTATACATATATATATGTATCAGTATAATGTATGTGTATATATATAACTATGTGTATAATTAAATATGTATATACAGTACTATGTATATATATGTATATATATATATATGTATATGTATATATATGTATATATATATATATGTATATATGTGTATATAAGTGTAATGCATGTATACATAATTATGTATATATATATATGTATATATATCATATAAATCATATATAATGTATATATATATATTTATATTAATATATAATGTATATATATATATATGATATATATATTATATATATATATCATATAATATATATATACATATCATATATATATATATCATATAAATATACTGTATCATATATATATTATATATATGCAGATATAACTACGAGCTATCAGCTGATGTTCAAAAGTGCCGCGAAGCACCAGAACTGCGTGGCTTCGCCCAAGCCTTGCTGATATTCTTCACAGCTCCGCGCCTGAGTCTTTTTCGCCGCGATGGGCAATGCTCCCCTAGTCTTGAGCAATGTTGGAGAGCAAAAAAAATGTGCTATGAAATTGTCTAGGATTTGACTCATCAGAAATCCCAATGTTCATTCAAGTTGAGCCATGAAATCTGCGTGTTTCCCCATTACAATGCCCATCATGTATGATGAGTGTTGAGGTTTGAAAAACAACCACCTGGAAGCCATGAAAGTCTCGGGACTTTCGGTGCAACCGATCAGAAACACTGAGCACTCCCAGCATTTATTCTCATTTATGTGTATGTATATATGTATATATATATATATCTATATATATCTATCTATTTGTGCCACTTTTACCAGCACTCTAAGGAGCCCAACGAAAGACCTTTGTCTTGGTCTCTTCTAAGGGACAAATAGTCTTTGAGGCTGTACCTCAGGCTGCATCCTACGGTTGTCTGGCGAGTCTGGTGTCAGTCATCACGTGACCTCAATATCCACCCTGACAGGCTTCAAAGCCTCTGAAAAATGTTTGTCATACATTGCGGATCATCATCCCAGTTTCAGAGATGGAACAGTTTGACACAATTTAAACAGTCATTCATATGTGATAGCAATTCATAGCATCTTGATTATCAATGACTATCATATCTACGACATCTGGACACTGAAAACCAAACGCATGATTTCAAATAGAACATTAACATTATAGAGGAATCTTGGAAATCTGGGAAAATCTTGGACCATTTTGGAAAATCTGGGAAAATCTTGGAAAGCTTGAAGCGAGCAGTTCTGACCTAACCTAAGGAATCCACTGAGCCAACTCAGTCACCACATACATCACACCGTCCTGGCGCCGAAATCATCGAAGATTTTTTTGATTTAAGCATCGAAATACGGTGGTCTGACCATCAACAAATTGGAATTACACATCATTGTACCTATTACCCATAGGATCCATGTATGGTATATATGCTAACATTTGGGGTATATTGATGGTAAAATATGGTAAATGATACCATATATAGCATACATGGATCCTATGGGTTATACAATACTATACAATAATTAAACAACAAGAATAATGGTTTGGCATGCTTGTTTACATTCTTTTTAACGTGGTTTTTCACCGTTTTCACCGTCCAGACGTGGGGAGTTCTTCGGACATCGAAAAAGTGATCGATGTGTTGCTCCAATGGGGACCCCAATGGGAAATATTCCAAACTGGTTGGTGGTTTCAACCCCTCTGAAAAATATGAGTTCGTCAGTTGGGATTATTATTCCCAACTGAATGGAGAAATAAAACATGTTCCAAACCACCAACCAGCCAAAGATGGAGAATATGGGATGTTCAACCAGGAATTTGGGCGACCAGGGGGGGATTACAAGCCCAGGTGTGCTATCGGCTTGGGATTGAGCAGCCCTGGAGAATAGATCGATAATTGGGGGATGTTCCATGATGTCTGCAGACGAAGATGGGATGATCAAACAGATCTCACCAAATCATGTTGGTTTTCCAAGACAACTTCCCAAAAAGATCGAAATGTTTTTCAGTTGTTCATTGTTCTCAAATCGGAGTGATTGCAGTTTCAAGAGGGGAAAATGATGGAACATGATCCCGTTGGATGTTGTTGAGGATATCCTATTTGTACACAAACCCATGTTAGCCATTGCCAAAACCTATCGATATGTCATATACAATTAGTGTACTTTTTGTTCTATTACTGGTTCTTCTCTTTCGCCGCTTCTTTCGCGAAGCTCTGGCTGTCTGCGTGTTCACTTTCCGGCATTCATCTATGACATGCGTTTGAAATTCACTTTCGCAAAGCTTTCGCAGAGATTGGTAAGTTTACTCGTTTTTGCGTTTCCTGTAGTGTGTTGTAGCTGTCAGGAAGGCATATCACTTGAATCATCCATCATAGGAACACTGGGGGGATTTTGGACGATGCTATGGTTGAATGATGTTGCAGCTAGGAAGAAGGTCGACACCTGGGGATCCTCAGAAGTGGGGAAAGGTCAGCCCAGATTCATCAACCCTCGCCCCTCGCTTACTATTTCCAGCCCTTACAAATGAAGGGGTCAACATGAATATTTTCCCTTGTCCCTAATAAACATGCCAATCAAAAACATCCAAAATCCCTCTTTGAGTCTAAGGTTTGTTCATGTTTGTTCCATTGAGGTCCAGTATGTGATTCATTATGGGTGAAGCTTCCCCTGCGGCGCCTGGGGATCTGGAGCAGGAGTTCCACCTCGGACCATGCGCTGCTGGTCATGGAGGATTGAAAGGTCGGAAGATGTTGGAAGGAAAATGATGCAAAAACATCCAGAAATATCCAGAATCTAGTGCTTTACAGTATTTTACCATGAAATTTCAAGTGTTGACGCAGAGAGACAAACTTTTTGTGCAGCGAAAAGGCAGCTAGAGAAGACATAAACATGAAAGATAGACAAACAAAAAGAGTAATGTCAACCCCCGGTTCATAAATCCAAACTAGTAATTGAGGGGGTTAGCTCCAAAATAGTGGTATATAAATTAAATTAAATTAATACGTATCAAAATTGGTATCTCCCCTATCAATAAACTATAGGAGTTTATTCATCCTGGTCTTTTTTCTTTATCTTTCACACCACCTGGAAGCTGATCATCACCTGGTGGATCATGTTCTGGTGAAATAAAACCTGCTTTGCAATATCTCAGGTCTCCAGCCCACGGGACCCTCAAGTGCACAACCCAAGGAAAAGCTGGAAAAGCTCTCTGCTAATTCTTTATGGGGCATGGGCATAGCCAATCAACTTCAATTGGTAAAGCCCGAGTGGGGCACCAAAGCACCCCCCAAGAAACTCTGCTTCAAGTGCTAAATGCAGATGGGATGAATCGTCGGGCCGAAGACTCTTCAGTGACTTGTGTAACTCTCCCCATTTCAATGCCTGAAATCCCCATGAAATCTGGCACATATCCAGCACCATTTATTTTTTAAGACTATACTATATATATATAGTATACAAAGAACAAGCTGGTTAATCAAAACGTGAAACCCACATGTTGTTGGGTTTTGACTGATATAACATGATGTAACTATGGCGAAAACTCTCCAGAAATGAATACCTGACCCATCCTGACTCACAGATTGTGGGTATCCCATGGGTATCCAGACTGTCATCTTTGGAGTAGTCCAGCAGCGTCATAAAGAGCTTGGAGGGTTTGGTCTCAGCCGAGGCCGTGCTGTGGGGTTGAAACCGCCAAGCCGACGTCTCCTGGCTTTCCTGGTTGGGTCAAGTTAACCAAACATGGGATGAAAAATCGGCCCAGCCATGGGGATTTTTTTCCCCGAATTCAGCAGAACCATCATTCCAGTGATGCCACAGTGAGGTCATTATCATTCATCCAGATTAATGGATGTATATGGTTGCTGATCATCCTTCCCCTGCCGAATCCGAGTCGTCCTTTCTGAAAATGGATTGATGACCATCCCCCGGTTCTAACCGTTGGATGATCATTCCAGAAAAATTCCAGTTGAGTGTCTCACCATTGGGAACACAAAATCCCATGTTTTCAAACCCAAGTAGCCTCATTAAAAAGGCACAGTATATATATATATATATTATTATTATATATTGATATATATTATTATATATTGGAGGTAACGTCCCCATTGCCATGGCAATGATGTTTCCGAAACTTCGGCAAGACTGGGACGGAACCGGAGAATCATCATTCCAATCCCCAACACATTTCCGCCGAAAAGGAGAATCATATGAAGCCTGGATTGAATAAACCCTGGGTGTGTTTAATTGGGGAGATTTGGGGAGACTGTTGCGAGCCAGTCAGCCAAGTCATCCACTTCTTGGGGGTAACCTCCCTACTTCATCTACCACCTTCAGGACTTGCTCATATCAGGGACGTACCAATGGACCAAAAACGCCATACAATTTGTGTATTTCTGTCTCAAACCATTTGTCAAATCTTTCAGTTTTGGGATAGATCATTTTGACTCATAATATGTTGAAATTAGGGCAAACTGGCTAGTTTGACCCAAATAAAATGGTTCAACGTGGGTACCCCGCATCAATTGGACGTAAAAAAAAAACGACGTCCTCAAGAGAGGGAAACTGGAAAATCCCCTTGGAAAGTTATAGGTATAGCGCAGCCCATTTTTTTTTCCATATGTTATCATGGGTCCAAGGTTTTTCCATCATTTTTGTCCATTAGCTTCACACCGCCAAAACATATCAAAACATGACCAGGTTTGTGAGGCGTACCATGGCGTACCAAGCACCCGGGCTGAAGCTAGTTGCGGATGCCACAAACGCTCATCTTTCCTCGGGACAGAAACCCCAACCCGGAGCCCTGCTGGTTTACTCTGGAAGTGCCTTATAACCCCAGCTGTAAGTTGGGTAATTAAGTAGAGTTAGTCCACTTATAGGTTTATCATGGTTTATCGTACTAACTGGGGTGAACCACTAATTAAATATCTATAGGCTATCCGGCTATCCACCATAAATTCTTCGCAGTTCGCCATGCTTATCGCAAGTCACTTTTCCGCTCAGGGGTGAGCTCAGCACTAACAACACCCAAAACCTGCCCGCAAAAATCCACCCTAGTCCCGGCCCTACTAAGACTCTTGCACAGGCCCAAAGGGCTCTTGGAGCATGTTCAAGACACTGATTTGCCTGGCAACTCCAGGTGCCACACAGTGGCTACAACTGGGATGCAGCTGTTATTGGGATGTTGTGATTCTTCGGCCCTAGGAAGTGCTCTATATTATATTATATTATATCATACTATATTTAATATATATTATATATTATATAATATGTTATGATATAATATGATATAATATAATATAATATAATGTTGGCTGCACAATAGTAAATCCCCCCTAAATAAAATAATTTTGATTTTTTTAGGGGGGTCAGCATTCCAATAGTAAATTTGGATAAGATTTCTGGAATCTAAGCTTTTGTTGATGAAAAGTGCTTGCGGCTTTGAAAAGGGTTTTGCTTTACTTTGCTTTCTCCAAACATCTGAAAACAAAACCAGGGGAAGCACAATTGGAATTCATTATTGCCATGCCTGGTGCAGGTTTATTATTGCTATTCTGGGGCTTGTAAAGGGGATACCCTTTGTGGACCTGTTTTCTTGTTTTTTTTTAATAAGGGTTTTATGTCAATTGGATCAGATTTCTGGAATCTAAGCTTTTGTTGATGAAAAGTGTTCGCAGCTTTGAAAAGGGTTTTGCTTTACTTTGCTTTCTCCAAACATCTGAAAACAAAACCAGGGGAAGCACAATTGGAATTCATTATTGCCATGCCTGGTGCAGGTTTATTATTGCTATTCTGGGGCTTGTAAAGGGGATACTGCAATTGGTGGCACTGGGGAGCGTTTCCAATGAATTCAAATCACACCAAAGGTTCAGCCAGAGGGTCAAAATGACCAATGAAATGATGTTTCCTATCCTCAATCGAAATGTGATGCCGACTGCCGGCAAACTCATAGCAAGGCCAACACGACGGCCATTTTCCGGTCACAACGCCACAGTGGCTGCAAGGGGCCCCTTTGGGCAACAATGGCCGCGGCAAATGGAAGGACCTGGCAAGAACTCAAGAGCTGGACAAATGACCATGGAAATTCTCAGAATTGCATGGACCCAAAAATTCTTCTGAGTTCTTGCTGGTTCTTGCAAGTTGCATCGCTGGAGATCCACTCACAGCTTTCTGCTTCCTGGAGCTCACTATGAACTCGGGATCGAATTTCAGCATCCATCTACGATGACGCATGAAGTATGCCAAGCTTTCGCGGCATTCAGGCTTCTTCTTGGTTAAGCCATCAGACAAATTCCAATCACTAGCTAACCAAATCAGCTTCGTGCCACAGTCTGGCAGTGACTGCTTGAGCTGTTCAGCTTGCAAGGCGGCACGAATGTTGGAAAGTCCTAACAGTGGTGACTCATTGATTATTATGCTACCATAGCCACCACGGCTATCTGTACCAAGAAGACCAGGCACTAAACGAACTTCAGCTACGGATGCTGTCAGCAAATCGCGGCTCTCAGAAAGCTTGCCAGCGCCATTCAGTTCTGCCCAAAGAAGCCGGGTGCGGTAGACTGCATCTTCAGTCTCGACCAAGGCTTGCACTTCCGCATCATTTGAAGAGATGGCCACGCGCTTGAGTTTCCAGCTTTTCCAGGCAACTAAAACCATTGGGTTTGGCTTACCCATAGCTATTTCAGGGCCAGCTAGGAAAACAAGCATACCACCAGTAGAACCCCCTCTAGGCCTATTATTATGGGCTTGATCCCCCAAACCAACAACACAAACATCTTTCCAAGTCTTGACATGTGGCAGCTTGAAGAACTTGAGCTGAGTGCTATGCTTGCGAAGCTCACGCACCAGCTCTTGGATCTCCTGGGCAGTGCGCATCACCGGTGAACCTGCAAGCTCGGTGATCAGCAAGTTGCAACGCGCGCAAATCAAAGGTTGTGTTTGCACCGCAAGCCACTGCAAGGCTCCCAGAGAAGTTCTGCAAGCGCTGATCTCCTTCGGAGTCATAGTTGCATCACCTTGGCAGAAACGTTCTGGTGTGATATCAATATCTTGCAAAGTCTCCACATAGTATGATTGATCCACAACTAAACAACGGCCAAGGGTTGCATCATTCACAATCTCCAAATCAGTGCCAGCATGTCGGTAGGCATTCAGTTTCACGCTGCCCCACTTATAACGCTGATCAATGGACTGCTTGATCTGCTTCCAGGCAGCGCTGTTTTCATTGCCAGCGCGGTGGAAGTCGTCCACATGGCCTGCCATGAAACCAAGAGGACGAGTCAAAACATCACCATTTTCATCTTGAACCTTTTCAGTCCACAGCCAGAAACATTTGTCACCCTTGATGCGAGTGCCACCAAGCTCAAGCATTGACTGGTTGACATTTTCCCAGAGATTGCGAGGAGCAGTTGTACTGCCGTAAAAGTTCTTGAGGATTCGCATGACACCACCTTCAGGAATTTGAAGTGCTTCTCTAAGTTCTTTCACTCCTGAAGTCCACAATCTCTTTTCCTCTTCAGTGGGAAGAGTTTGAAGGAAGGCTGTGCTCATGTCAATGCCTTCTATGTTCCATCCCATTTGCATGACAAGCTGGTAGCTGAGGTTGCGAGTCAGCACCGCTTGCACAGGAGAACTGGTCTTATGAGCTTCGGTCAGCAGGTCGGGATGTTCATATCCCAGCAAAACGATTCTGGCTTTCGCCTTTCGGCGGGCATCAGCTGTCAAAGTGGTGCTATCAGGGCGTTCTGAAACTTCTTGTCGAGCCTCATCAAGCGACTCTTCTGGTGTTGGTTTCCATGTCAACACCCAGCGGCAGCGCATCAATCTGCCAGAGTTCTTTGCTTCATTTTCTTCAGCTAAATCCAGGCATCTGCGGACTGCAGCATTGGAGATGAAGGAGTTCACTTCCTTGGTCTTGGCACGGTCGAAAAGTTCGCGATGTTCAGGTTTCAGTCGGGTCAACCTGACTTCGCAATCTCGCATCTTTTGTGCCAAAAAGAGGCTTGGATGTTTGACAAACTGTTGTTTTTGGCGTTGAGAGGTCACATCCAACTCTACAGAAAGCATGTAGCACTCCTCCACTTCCATAAAACAGTTGTAGAGTGCTTGTTCTTCATCTTCAACACGCTGTCTTTTGGATTCAGGCTCATTTGAAGGAGGTGATTTGTCAGAAGAAGCTCGGGATTGTAGAAGAGGTTGTTGTTGAGAAAGGCCATCATCAGGAGCATCACTATCACCACGGCCACTGCCTATGCCAGTGTTGCCAACATCTTCATCGCTATCAGGAACGTATGTGGGATCGCCATAGTCATTCAAAGGATCATCAGCTGGAGTAGAAGGTGATGGAACCACATCGTTTTCATCCAGTGCAGTGTCAGGTGGCACTGGTGGCAATTCTTCCAAAATGGAAGGCATGGGCTCAGCAGGTGGTAGTAAAACTTGATGCCACTTGAGTCCAGACTTCGTGGTGTGTCGCGTTTTGGGCACATACTCAGGCATTTTCATGGTGTCAGCATCAGGTTGAAGGGGAAGATGTGGACCCTCTTCCTCGTTCTCGTCAGGCTCCTCGTTGGTGACATCGATGTAGGAACGGTTTGGGATCATATCAGCTAAGCTCTGCCATTGAGCAGGATCTTCAGGGTTGTGAAGCTCATATTCCAAACGTTCTCTTTCATTGACTTTTCGCACACTGTGAACTGAACATCGATGCATAGAGCCACCAACGATGACCCAGACAATGTGCCTACGCTCATCACCTTCATGTTGTCCATGGATGACTTCATGAAACACCACACGTCCAGGACCAAGCCATTGAGGTCGGCTGATCTTTTTGAGACCGCCACGGGGACCACCATCAGCGGAGTATTTTCTCCAAATCTTCACTAAGTCCATGGGCTTGAAGACCTGGAGAGGTTGCCTGACCTTGCTGTTCTTGAGTTTCACCAAAACTCGTTGCGCATGAACTTGACGAGCCATCGCCTCAGCTTCACGGCGATTCACCATCAGCTGCGTAAAGTCCAAAGCAGCAGTTGATGACGTCAGTTGAGCCATAGTACGCTCATCTTCATCATCCAAGGTGAACTTTTGGCCATAGACCCATTGATACGGTGAAAATCCACGCACCGTTTCAGTTGAGTTCAAAGCCATTGTGGTCAGGGCCAACACATTCTGAACAGACATCTCAGGATGAGACAAGGTCAGTTTGGAGGCAACCGTTTTGATCTCTTGGACACATCGCTCCATAATGCCATGACTCCAACTCTCCTTCACGGGTGGCACTTCCAGTTGGATGCCCACGTCAGAAAGAAATGAGCGCATCAGGTCACCTCTCATAGTGAGGGCATTGTCAGGCACCAAGATCTTCATTTTGGGTTTGTCTTTCAGCCAGCACTGATAAAGTCCATCCAGTACTTCTTGGGCTGATTCAGTTTGTTGTTGGTTGATGCCATACTCTCTCACCACATGGATGACCTTGAAGTGCGTTGCAAAGTCCATGAACGCAAGGATCTTGTACTTCTTGTCAGAGTGTGGTGGATTCCATTCGAAGGCATCAAGTCCAACCATTTCCCAAGCTGAAGGTGTCGCTCTCAAAGAAGCTGGAGGGATCTTGCCACTTGAATCACCGCCTCGTTGAAGAGCATGGCAATCATCGCAGTGAAGTTTGAGAGCAGCTTCAACTTGCCACTTGGCTCGACCACTGTCCTTCACTATCCTGGCCAAATTGTAATTGTTGGGGTGGCCAGCAGCCTTGTGGTACTTCAGAAGTTGAAGTTGCCAAGTGCGAAGATCTTGTGCTGAAGGTTGTTCATCTTGGAGCATCTGCGGCATCAAGTCCAACCGCAAGGTGTGTTCTTGCTCAGCCATGTTGAGGTGAAGAGGTAATGGAGAGTGAAGTCGATGAAGCCACTTTTCAGGATAAAGTTCTCGGCGCCAGTGTTGTGCAATGGACTTGCACATCTTCCAAGGGTAGTACGCACTGCGGCTGGTCTCCAATCCCTGCACATAGTCGTGGTCATGGTTGCCCACGCAGGTCTTGTTGCGGTAGGTCTGGAAGAAGCTGTTGGAGCTTGTGGCAATTGTCCATCGCTTCTGCAGCAAAAGTCCAAGCTGAGAGCGAAGGTCATACCTGCAACCATCGATTCGACCAAAAAGCCAATCACGGTCAAGTCGATGAAGCTCACGTTGCAAGGTTTCCAGCCAGGGTTCTTTCCAGCCATAGCATCTTGTAGGCCATTCCCAGAACAGCTCAGTGTCAGGGTATGCAGTGAGCATCTCCACCAGGAAGGGTATGAGCAGCTTGAACATAGCTCGCTCTTTGCGCCGGAACTTCTCCAAGTTCTGCTTTTGCTCAATGGACCTGTAGTTCAAGGAAGTCCAGGGGCACCAGTATGTGCATCTTGTTGAAACCCAGACACGTTTGGGTCTTTCACGGCGGAATCTTTCTCGCAGCTCATCATAGGTCGAAGGCTGGTACAAGTCATAGCCTTGGTGAAGGTTGATGCGGGAAGCTCGAAGTCCTTCAGATTGACAGGCAGCGGTCAGCCAGCTGTCAGGTGCACAAAAGAGCTCCCAGCAATCTACCCTTTCATCACCACGTAGTAGACCTTGAAGACCTACTTGAGCATGAAGCATCAGCATTGCCATCAAGGATGCTGCAGCACGGCCAATCTTCAAAGGTAGGCCACAAAACTTTGCAGAGCCACCAACTGTAGGATTCCCTTCTTCACGAAGACATTCCATATGTTGGGGTGGCGACATTGAATTGGTAGAGGCCGATGCAAAAGGCTTTTTATTTTGTTTTTGAGGATTTTTGGAAGTCGCAAAAGTCTTTTTGTTTTGTTTTTGGTGATTTTTGGAAGAGCTGCCAATCATCTTCGACTCGACAAAGTGCAAAAGCTCAAAGTCCTCAGCTAAGGACGCATCCTCAGGCTCGTGGTCGTCCTGAGCATTCATCACCGCAGCAAAGGAGTTGCCATGAAGTTGATCACAAGGGAGGCTAACCATCTTCGTATCAGTCTCAACCAAACGATCAGCAACATGAAAACGGTTCGCATCATCAGCAGGCTTCATGGATTGCTTGGAGGCATGTATGCCTTCGGGTATGGGATCACTTCCACCTCGGAGTCGGGCGGAGACATGGGAAACACTTGAACTCGTTCTGCAGCAATCTCTCTCAGCCTGGCAATTTCGTCTCCGGTCAGCATTGACAGCAGACTCTGGGCCTCGTTCTGATCCTCCTCGCATAGCTGGGTCACTGGCGCGGCAAGGAGCAGCTGGAGGTGAGCTTTGAGGCTTTGGTGGTGGGCCTCCATCAAGGTCAGCTTGGCCTTGCGCGCTTCCATCGCCATCGAAGATTCCACCAGCCTGATGCAAGTCTTCACCATGCTGGCATTGGGCTTTTGGTCCTCGGTCAAGTGCTCCTTCAGCATCTTCAGAGCATTGGTGATGACCTCCGGGGCATTCTGGGTCATGTACTTTGCTGGAGTACCTTGTCGAGGAATATAGCTCAGCCTCAGGCCGCATGTTGCACAATCCGACCAAGTGCCCGAAGCGTTGCCGCCATTGGTCTTGTGCTCGTGAGAGCCGTTGCAAGGCCATGTTGATTGGCTGCGAGGATCTCGAGGATCTGCTGGTAGAGCTCGGTCGTGCTCGAGAGGCAACGAAGGGCTCTTTGGAGCTGCCACGGACTTGCTCTTGGGACCCATGGGAATCAGTCTCAAACGTCACAGATTTCACTTGAGACTTCTCAGCTTTTATTGTTGATAACAATTGCTTTCTGCGATCACAAAGAAACTGAAAACCATGTGAAGGAACTGCATGTTGTGAATCTGAAGCTTGTGCATGAGAAACTGCCATCAACTCCATTGGACCCAATTCCAACCACGGCCAGGATCCCTGTCCTGAAGATTGAGGCGAAGCGCCATCCATGGTTGCCGCAAAGGTGTCAATGGCCTCGGCATCGGAGATCACACCACACAGGTAGTACACCAAGTCAATCATGAAGTGACCCTTGGGGTTCTTGTGCAGGCAATAGGGTTCAGCTTCAGGTTCAGCACCATGTAGTGCAAATCCATCAGAAAAATCCAAAACCAAACCGATCTTTTGTAAATGATCCATGCCAACAAGAATGGGTACCAGTTGTGAAGGTGAAGACCAACCGTAGACAAAACCATCGGGGTCAGGCAAGGTATACATCTCAAAAGTTCTTGCAGGATTTTTCGCTGAAACCAAGGTCAGATGGTATAGTGATTGTCCCCATTGGCCAGAACCATACCTAAAATAAGGTCTTCGAGAATCATCCAAATGAACACCAATTTGAGGATCGATTTCACGCAACTTGGAAATCAGCAGCTTTGCGGATGACTCTGGTCCCGCTGAAGCAGTTGCACCACAATCCAACATACCAAACCCAAGGGGAACTGAACGTTGAGGACCCGTAGTGGAAGGTTGTGATGTTGAAAGCAACTCTAATGGGAAAAGCTCCAAACAGTAGGCAGAATGGTAGTCATAGTCCATGACATAGGTGTTCAAGGAGGGTTTGTACTTGCCCTTGACGTTCTTACCATATTTGCCCTTGCCCTTGAACATGCCATAGTTTTCATAGCTATCCCCATACCAACCATCGTCCCAACTTACTGCATGAAGACCCTTGAATTTGCCCTTGCCTTTGCCCTTCAACAAATACGCATCAAGTTCAGCTTGGGATAAATGTTTTCCAACTCCTTTTCGGGGACCAGGGTGTAAACGATCAGGACAATCTCGAACATAATGGTTTCCCCCACAGTTGAAACATTTTCCCTTACCTTTTCCAGAGTCATGCGCATGTTGGCCAAATCCACGGTCACGACGCAAGGAGGCTGTAGCTTGTTGAGCTTGGGACCAGGTGCGTCTTGCCTCATTGAACATTGCTTCAGCCGAACGCTCGGCATCCATCGCCTCTTTCAAGGCTGGATCATCAGGATCAGGCGGATCCATTTCACCAACATCGCCACTTGGGCTTCCAGAATCATTCCAATGAGCAGCAAAAGCATCCCCTGTTGAGTAGTTTGAATCACCCCAATCAGAAGAATTCCATCCATCATCAAGCCAGTTGTATTGTTGCTCATAGTACGCACTCCCATCAGAAGGCCATGATTCAACCCAGTGGTTATGATGAAATGAAGAAGGAGAGGACAAGGTCGGACTTTTCCCGCTACCAAGCTGTTCATCCCAAAGAACCTGAAGAGCGTCAGCAATGCTTTGATAGTCCAACTTGTTACCTGTAGAGGCAAGCACATCACGCCATTCATCAGAGCTCAAACATGCAGCTACTAGTAATCTCCAACCTCGCATCACATCCAAAATAAAACTGTCCATGGGGCTCAAAACATCCTCAGCACCATGTGGTTTCCGGTGAGTGGCAACTTTTCGACTAGGGCTCTGAGTTGGTGAGCCATCCATGTTCTGTCGTCTTGCTTGTTCAGAAGGGCCAATCACTGGAGAACCAGGGTCAGATGTTTGAGGCACTTCGGCATATCCATCAGGCCGCTGAGAAGGACCTGCATCACCCTGCACGGGTTCATCATCATCTTCATCATCTCCGTGAATCACACCACGCCATTCACCCCAACGACCATTCCACCAAGGCTCATGGTCCTGTGCTGGGGCTCCAGAACTGCCTGCACTTAGGCCAGTGATCTCAGGAAGATCGAATTGTCGTTGTGATGGGTCCAAACCATCACGTTCCTCCTTCAATTGCAGCAAGGCCTCTTGAAACTCCTCGAACCCAAGAGCTTCGCGCACCAGAAACTGCGCAATCGGCTCATTGGGTCGCCTTCGAAAACTGAAATATTCACTCATTGTTGATGCAGCATTCGGCAGAGACCTCCGTACTAAGGGAGAGGAAGCAAAACAACGTAGCATCTTTGAAACACCTTGTTCACCCATGAAGTCACGATTATGCCAACTCATAGACAAAAGTCTTGCAGCACCAGTTAATCGCGTAATCAGTTTCGCAGCAGCATACTGTCGTTGATTTGCTTTTGTTCCACTCATGAACCATGCCACTTCCTTGCAGTATCGTCTCCATGTTCGAGAGCTGCCATCCCATGAAGGGACATAACTGTCACTTTTCTCCTTGGAAAACATCCCCAAAGTCACCAGTTCAGCAGAGCGCCCAGGTAGCGTAAATGGGCAGGAGTCAGTCGCTGGAGCGTAGACTGCTCCGCTACCAATGCAATTGGTAGCACTGGGGAGCGTTTCCAATGAATTCAAATCACACCAAAAGGTTCAGCCAGAGGGTCAAAATGACCAATGAAATGATGTTTCCTATCCTCAATCGAAATGTGATGCCGACTGCCGGCAAACTCATAGCAAGGCCAACACGACGGCCATTTTCCGGTCACAACGCCACGGTGGCTGCAAGGGGCCCCTTTGGGCAACAATGGCCGCGGCAAATGGAAGGACCTGGCAAGAACTCAAGAGCTGGACAAATGACCATGGAAATTCTCAGAATTGCAGATACCCTTTGTGGACCTGTTTTCTTGTTTTTTTTAATAAGGGACTTATAAGGAAATCAGCTGTTTGGTAATTGGATCAGATTTCTGGAATCTAAGCTTTTGTTGATGAAAAGTGCTCGCGGCTTTGAAAAGGGTTTTGCTTAACTTTGCTTTCTCCAAACATCTGAAAACAAAACCAGGGGAAGCACAGTTGAAATTCATTATTGCCATGCCTGGTGCAGGTTTATTATTGCTATTCTGGGGCTTGTAAAGGAAATACCCTTTGTGGATCTGTGTTCTTGTTTTTTTTAATAAGGGTTTTATAAGGAACTCAGCTGTTTGGTAATTGGATCAGATTTCTGGAATCTATGCTTTTGTTGATGAAAAGTGCTTGCGGCTTTGAAAAGGGTTTTGCTTTACGTTGCTTTCTCCAAACATCTGAAAAACTATACCATGCCCTCTGGACAAGGTCAGAACATTAGTTTTTTGGCAATACTAAAAGTAAATGGAGCTAATTGACTTTTAGTATTGGAGAAAAAAATGGAGTTGGGAAAAAAGTTTCCACTATTGCCATGTTGGGTCCACTATTGGCCATGCCCTCTGGACAAGGTCTGAACATGACTCTTTTGGCAATACTAAAAGTAAATGGAGCTAATTGACTTTTAGTGTTGGAGATAAAACTGGAGTTGCGGAAAAAAGATTCTACTATTGACAAGATATCACTATTGGTCAGACAACATTAATATAATATAATATAATATAACATAATATAATATAATCTAATATAATCTAATACAATATAATCTAATATAACATAATATAATCTAATATAACATAATACAATATAATATAACATAATATAATATATATATAATATAATATAATATAATATAATATATAATAATATAATATAATATAATATATAATAATATAACACAATATAATATAATATAACATAATATAATATATATAATATAATATAATATAGTATGATATAATATAATATAATATAATATATATAATAATATCATATAATATAATATAATATATATATATGATATAATATATATATATATAATATATGTATATTATATTATATATATTATATTATATTATATTATATTATATTATATATATACATATATTATATTATATCATATATATATATATATATTATATTATTTGTATATTATAATATATATATATAATATATATATATTATAATATACATATAATATATATATATGATATAATATATATATATATATGTATATATTATATGTATATTATATTATATATATATATTATTATATTATATTATATTATATTATATTATATTATATTATATATATTATATTATATCATATATATATATATATTATATTATTTGTATATTATAATATATATATATTATATCATATATATATATATATATATTATTACATATAATATTATACAAATATAATATATTATCTATTATATATATATGTGTGTGCACTGTCTATAAAATCCATCAATCCCTATATCACCAATTTTCACTTGCTGCGGTCACCTCCAGAGTTTGTTATCACCCCGGTTCGACAAATTTAAAGTCGAAGTACCAAAGCATGACCTCCCATAGAGACTTGCAGCGCATAGATGTACTTCTAGTATCAACTTGCAGATCGCGGTTGATGTCTTTTAGACCTTGCTAGAATCTACTAAAGTATCAAACTTTGTTCTCGTTCCTCCAGGCGAACAAACAGGTGTGCACCCCACCTGCGAAATTTCTGCAGCCGCACGTCTTCTCCTTTGTTAGGGTCCTTGGGCGCCTATGGCGGGAGTGGTAGCAGGCTGGTGGTTGCAACCCAGACATCACACTCACTGGAATCACAGCCGGAGATTTTGGGATGGCTGAAGCCTTGTACACTTTGATGGCAACTTCTTGCCCCGTCCTTGGTGGGCTGTGACGATCATGGCAAGTGGGGTTCATGTGACCTCTCTAAATGTTGACTCGGCCAGCAATGTTTGGGGATTCAGGATGATTCACGTGTGACCCAAGTAGCAACCCATGGGCCAAAGGGCTGTCTGAGTGCCCGGGCTCCAAACAAACGCCCTTGCGGCAAATACTGGATGTGCCTTCTCCCATCAAGTCCTGGAAAAAATTGAATAAAGCTTGGTCACTGGGTTTATGGTTGATGCAAAGAAAATCATGGAACTAAATAAAAGGCTTTCCTATAAATTGTCCCTTCGACAAATGCTGGAACTGGGTTCGTCGAATTGTGAATCTTGCCTGCGAGTAGTAGTATCACCTAGCAACAAAGCATGGAAAACCAGACATGACCCAACAATACCCAATAACGTCCATCAATATCGATAATATACAATTCAATTCAATACAACAACAATGCGCCATCATCATTAGCGTTCTGCAAGAATTGACGGACTCCTCAAATCCCCCGAAATGATGGTCTAATTTTCAGGCTGCCAACCATGACTCTACAAAAAGCAGCTGGATATAACTCACTCTCGGCAGTTGCTACACTGGGAAATGAAAGAATCCCCAGCCATACAAGTTGAGGAAGCGACAACAAGCCGGAAGCAGCCCAGGTTCTCAGCAGCATGTTTGGCGCATATTTTGATGTGGATCTCAGCTGCTCCCCGCAAAAATCCAGCCGTGAATCTTTGTTTGGCTTCCCTATCTTCCCCTCACATGGCAAAATGGAGGACCTCCCACCCCCCAAAACCCCCCCCAAAAAAAAGACATATTGAATATATATATATATATTTGAATATACTGAACAATAAAATCTGAAAAACCGCAGGGTCCTGTTTGGAGGTGCTCATCTTGTATTTGCCCATAACCTGCGAGGCGAGTCAGTGAAACACAGCATGTAGATATGCCATAATATGGCCATGGTCCATGTCTAACTGTGCATGTGAAATGGATTCCTATTATATAAACCTGTTTTTTGGGGTAGTGGGGTATGACCTTACCACAGAAACAGGTCACAATAGGTCACATCACCTTTGATCAGGGAACTGCTGTGGACTCCTCTTGGCTCCTATCCAATGAAAAAACACAGTTCATGCTTGGCAGCCAGCAGCCATCTGTTTTGTTCATGTTGGCCATAAAATCCTATGATTTTCACTGGATACTTGATCACAAGATGCACCTCTCTGGTTTGCATGCCCATCGACTTTGCACACGGGAAATGTTGATATTGTCTTGGTCTTATATGAAACCAAGCAAACTATACAGTAAACCTGAAACAAGGAATCCTTACACCCTAAAACCTGCCAAGTGAAAACCAAAAAAGACGATATTTCTCTTGGAAAAAGAGCTCTACGTTTTCTACACCTGCTGGAGGGTTTTAATCATTTTAATCTTTGCAGTCTGCGAGGGGGTTGGAGGAACCAGCAGAGATGAACCAGCCCAGGCTGAGCGCGTGGCAATGGGTTGCCCATCGCTACCTCACAGCAATCACCGACCGCCTTGACCCTGGTGGATTAACTCAAACACAGCAATCTGCATGGTGGCCTGGTGGAAATCAAATCCATCATATCTTCTGGAAAAAAAATATATGGTTCCAGAAAACTCAATTCCCGTCAAATCTCCTGGTCATTTTTTGCGGCCAAGAGACTGAACGTTCTCCTGTCTGCATGGCTAGACATGCTGGGAGCCGCATTGCTGTGGACCGACCTGATGGCAGGGCGGCTGACGGGATCATCCGGGATCATCCAGTAATATCCAGCTGGTTGGTGGTTGACCAACCCCTCTGAAAAATGATGGACTTCGTCAGTTGGGATGATGACATTCCCAACTGAATGGAAAAATATAAAAAATGTTCCAAACCACCAACCAGCCAGTATAGATCAATATAGTTGATGTGATTGATGTGATCCCATGATCTTCATCCTACCTAATTATGCACTTTTCCTTACTAGTTACTAGTTGATATCGCCACAATGGTGAACCTCAGAGGAGCCTGGGTGACGAGGTTGGTACCAAGTAATTGAAATCATGCCCCGGAAAAAAAAAAAAACACTGGCGGTTTCTATTTCAAGCCTCCGGAACACTAATCTTATATTCAATCAATATCATCACCACATTTTTCGGGATGGAACATGAATTGTGAACCACCAACCAGCCCATCTGGTGCAAAATTGGTCCGCAGTGCCCTCCAAAAGACCAGGGTGCTGGGTGCCCCGACGTAGTGCTTTCGGGGGGCACAGCTGACCCGGAGACGGAATCTTTTGCGCTGTTCTCTTTCATGTCAGGTACGACCTGTCTCCGGACATGATGCCAAGGACGGCATCATGGGTGACTATCATTATATATATATACTGTATATAGAGAGAGAGAGAGACCACAAAAAGATTTTTTTTAAAGTCATTTGCCAACATTATTTTACTCTTCTATCGTTTTGGGGTTGCTATATGATATTGGTATATATATTGGTTATATTATGGCATTCGAGGGATGAGTTCAGCATACTGCGTGAGATGAGACAAGAAATACAGTAGCATGAAATAGATTCAGCCAGCAGTTCTGGTGCAGAGATGATTGAACCATCAAAATGATCCATATCTTTTTGAGATGGGGCAGTTCCGTTCCTATGCCCAAGAGTCTGATTAACCGCCTGGTGGGGGCCTGTCACTGAGCCAGAGCAGTTGAGCCAGGGATCCAGTCGTTGCAGATTTCCCAAGCATGCCTAGCTCACCTCTTACTTCACTACCCACTATCGCAAAAAAAGGATCCCAGGGAGTTAACGTGGCAAACCTAATTCCATAAATCCTCCCTGACTGGGGTTTATTATTGAGTGTATAATAGTGTCTACAGTACAGGATACTCTGTCTGTTGGGGATGATGTTTACTATTATTACAGTCATACTGTAATCATTGCTATTACCATCATTATCATCATTATCATCATTGTTATCACTATTATCAGTGTTGTCATTATCATCATTGTCTTTATGGTCATCATTATCATCAGTATTATCATTTTAATCATATTATTATCATTTATATATTATCCTTAGTAGCATTATTATCGTTATTGTCATTGTCATTATCGCCATTAAGTATCCATGTGATTCTTTTAGAAACAATAAGTGATGTTCGTCGGTTGGTTCGTTTACCACCTATGCCACACCACCGGTCGAAATGCGTCGCTGCGTACCGGGCGTCCCCACCGGATTCGAAGGGGCTACGCCCTGTGCGCAGCCCATCAGGGATGGAACCTGGTTGCAGCCCATGATGGAACCCATTGGGGGATGTATCAAACAATGTTACCCTCTGGTAAACTAACATAGCTATTGAAAATGACCATTTATAGTGGATTTACTCATTAAAAATGGTGATTGTCCATAGCTATGTGGCTGTTTACCAGAGGGTACCACTAACAAAATCTACGGGTTCTTGCTGCCAACATTGGTTAGATTTGGGTTTTCATTCTGACTTTTTGAACTCGCTTGAGCTAAGAAACGCTCATGTCCTGACGGACAGGTAGCTTCACTTTTTGCTTACCTTTTATAACGTACGGGATGTTTTGAGTGCACAGTTCCCTGTAAATTATCAGTCGGTACTAAAGATAGAAATCCTACAAAGTCATAAGAATGATCCACAATTAGACCTCTTAGTCTCCCAATATATGCAGACAATACTGAAGGTAGGAAAGTTCAGAAAAGCTTTGAAACCCTGCAAACTATGTTTTTTCCCTGTTGCCAAGCCTACAGCTATCTTCATTGAAAATCGAAGAAAGTTTTTGGAACGGCCAATATTTGCCCTTGTTGCGATAGTGTTTTGCAGATATATAATGATATATAGTTTGTAGGCATTCCTATACAATATGTTGTTCCAATCTCGACAACATGCTGCTAATATTGTTGCTCACGGCTCGCAGGAAAAATCATCTCATGTTCAAAGCACCAAAATTCCCACGGGGGTGTCTTCTGTATTAATATCCTGCACATGGTTTAACTTTTATATATTGTACATATTGTACCTTAGTGAAATCACAGTTAAGTAGATTTTGCAGATGTTTGCCACAAAACCATGAATTGCAGGTAGGTCCAGGTAGGTTTGATCACTTTCATCCCACACACCTGGACCAATTGCGATGATTTGTATAGAAACCCAGAGGCGCCTTTATCCATGGTAGGTTGATGTAGGTTGTTTGGCCGAAAAAATCATGGCAAAATCCATGCCATTGGGGGACAAATAAATAGCAATAATGGAACATATTCATTTGCATTGGCCACCCAGTGTGGTTGGTGTTTTCAATCCAAATACCAGGCGAAAATGGTGGAAAAACATTTACTTGAACGATGTTTCAGACATTTTCAGACCACCAACCCCCCAGGCCCAGTGTTTTTTTTGCGAAAGGTACTTGTCGTCGACTCCGGACCGCCACTGCTCGTTCCTTCGGAGCTGCGTGACGGAATCGACTGAGCCAAATGCAGTTGGCGGTCGTGGCTGGGTGTGAATTGTGAAATGCAGGGTGATCCATTTTCCCATTATATATTATTTTATATATATATTTATTATTATATATATATATTATATATATATTATTATATATATATATTATATATTATATATTATATATATATTATATATTATATATATATTATTATATGTGTATATATATATATATTCATCAGCAATGCACTCATTGGTGGTGAAAAGTATGCGGAAGTCGCCTTCAACCAGTGGTTGGAATGAATATCCATCAAGAGGTGATGACAACACTGCCCCAAAATCTGAAACACTGACTGTTGCTCCCTTTAATGCTCCCATAAACGCTCCTTGTATGGTGTATTTTTACATACATTTAGGGTCATCTATGCTGGACATTGAGCATATGGGATTCAAGAAGTTGAGTTAACATTGAGGAAGGCGAGTGACGATGTCGTTGGGGGCTCCACACAATTTCAAGGGTAAACATGGTGTTTCACCGGAAAATAAGACCCTTGACCCTCTGAAATCTGCTGGTCCGAGCTCGTTCAATGAGGCGCCCCTAGAAAAACCTAGTTCACCAACCTGAAAAGAGGTCGTGTTGATATCGGCCAATATCGGCCAATCACAAAAGGATTCAGCAAGGATCATTAAACATTGATGCTTTCGAAGGGAAGAACCGAGGAAAGCACGTCGATTTCTGGCTCAAAAGGAAGCCAAAGTAAGCCATGAACCAAACCATCTTGGACATCTCCAATCTCCAAAGCCATCGACACCGCTCCCCTCATTTTTTTCCTCATGCCAAGCGCTGAAAGATGTGCAGCCCACGCGAGCCGGAGATCACATCGCTGAACTCATTGACCTTTGGGGTCATCCGTGGGGCTATCGTATGTTCCCATTGGGGAAGCCCAATGATTGGGATCTTTGGGGATGATCTTGGGGATGAACGTTGCTCGGCGATGCCATAGGTCTCCTTGGAAGCCTTATGTTTTTTGGGACCGGGGCGTGGTATGAACCTCCAAACTCGGATGAGGATCCAGTTTTAAACCTTCCCTGGATGGTGGTTCCAAGTTTGGAAACAAAATTTTGGATGGTCTAGCAAAACTCCCCACACTCAAACGCAATGCCCAAGTTCCTGGGAAAATGGATGAAAAAGGAGGGAAAACCATCCAACTTCTCAGGAGTCTCAGTGGCCCCAGTCATCCAGCGAGACGAGTGGCGGCCAAAGAGAAGATGGCTTCGTCCAGAGGGGCGTCCATCTGCCCTTTAGCCTTGGATCGCCAAGATCATAGATATATCATATATATATATATAGATATTAGATTATATTAGGTATCAACAAACAATCAACATATCTAGATACCTATGTTGAATGTTGTTGATTGTTGTTGATCATCTAGATATATCTAGTTATGGAGAATCAATCAACAACAATCAACAACATTGAACCTATCTGGCTGCCCGTTTCAACATCAGATCAGCCCAATCAGCCCATTCTTTGGGGATGGCAAATGAAACATACTTAAAACATCCACCAACTATAGAGTCTGTAGAGTACACAACTATGTGATGCCTCCCCAAGCCACTGGCTGGTCACCTTTGGATTAAATCAAACCCTTCGGCCTGGGTCCATTCAGGGTTTTCAACCCGTAAAGATCAAAGCATTGCAAGCGACATGTCCTACCGCTGGAAGTCTTACACAATACACCGCCCAAGTAGTGAGGTGATAGTCTGATAGTCCACCTCAACCTCAAGGCAGACACAAATTATAGGTCGCTATCAATTATAGCTGCCTATCAATTTGGGGCGTCTATTATAGGTGTCTATGATAGTCCACCTCAAGTATATTATTATGATGTAGATGTATATGGGTGGTCCATATCATATTCAGTAGTCAGGGCCATGCTGTGGTAGATGCAATAGATTCAATAGACCCCAAACAGAGGATTGTTTTCACTCCATTTCTGTTTATTCTTGGGTTTGCCGCATCATGGAAAAATCTATCATCACTTGCATATCAATTCTGCAACTTAAAAGAAGTCCAGAGAATTTCTCGGGACAAGCGGAAGGCCATCACAGAATCAGCGGTGCCAGATTTCGTTCCCCACTCTGATCTGGTTAAAGATGTAGTGTATTAAATATACATACCTAGAAAGTCCATTACCTTCTTTTTTTGGGTAGAAAAAAAAACCTAGGTTTTTTAAAAAAAACCTAGGTTTTTTTAATTTGCTAGTATCCCCAAATATATATATATATAGATTAAGAAGAAGGTGATGGATTTTCCTTACAAGCTAACATCGGCACAATGCACAGATACAAAACAACATCCATCAAAATCCAACACATGCAAACCCCAATAGGGCCCCAGCAAACCAATAATCCACACACATCCCTGCGCCTTTTCTCATCCCAACAATTTAGCCTTTACATAGGCCGCGTAAGCGCAAATCAAGTACCGCTGTAAACTTCTGTAACCCACCAATCGGATGCTAACTCTGCGAGATAGCCGGCTGGTTCTTCCCACCGTGTCCTCGTCCATTTGGCATGAAAAAATCATTGGGCTCTCACATAGTCCCAAGTTGCCACATTTGAATTTGATGTTCAACATCAAATGGTGAAAGATGTGAAGCTTGGGGTACAACGGAAACAGAAACTGCTTCTGTTGCCTGAACATTGCCCCAGCACATGTCACATAGCACCGCAAGAATTGAAGCCCCTGCTCGGCCACAAAAGAACCTTCATTGACATCAATAAAGGCACCAGCCTTGTAGAGAGTGCTGAACATGGAGTTCATTCTGTAAGTAGCTTGGCGGCACTGCAACAACAACCCATCAGGATCTCCAGGAACTTTGCCTAGAAAATCAACCAGCCACTGCATGAAGTTGCAAGAAAGAGCCCCTTTGTGCCAATTGCCCATGGCTCCACTTGCATCACCATAGCTCATAAGGTACGGGGTGACCTTGCTGATATGGCACTGCTTTTTGTTGGCCCTGCACCAAGCTGTATAGTCCTCTGAAATGTATCCCCACTTTTCTTCCAAATTTGGCTGTTGCAGAAATGGAAGGGCCATTTGAATCACACTAGCAACCCAACTTCGCCCAAATCCCAGATGCACAACATGCCATATGTCACTCTTGTACATGTTTGTAGGGTTCCCACGGTCATGTGGCAAATGACGAATGAAAGCAGGAGTTCGAAGCCAAGGAAGCTTGACACCAACCGTTGTAAGCCAACATGGATTGCAACCCACTAGGTCTTCTGCAGGAAAATCACGAGTCCCTGCCAAACAGTACGGGCACACCCCCTTAGGCGGTCCCCTTTCTTGCCCTCGCTTTGCAAAGGTGTTGTAGCTCCGATAGAAGTGGCCAGTCTTGGTCAAATAGGGTGCATCCCCTTTGACAGCAATGATGGCAATCCTGTATCTTTCGCCCGTGTCGGGATCAACGAAACCCTGTTGCAAACATCTTTGCAAAGACCTTGCCACATGATCCATAGCCTCATTGAAAACTTCAGGATTTGTATCATAAGAAGTCTTAGGCATTGCGTTGACAACCATGCGAGTTATGAAGGAGTGACCAGCAAAGTTGACCCTTAACCGGCTGGTGTCAGATTTTTGCCCACGAACCCTTAACTCATCGTAGCCACACCCAAGAGCACTCTGCAGAGAAGTCACCATGATCCCTCCTCGTTTCAAGGTTCTTCCTTCATCCCCATGGATACAGAAGGCAGCAGTCCGGCTTAAATCCAAACCATTCATTTCAAATATGTCATGGCCAGGGTCAACTTTTTGATACAGCTGCCAAAATTTTGACCAGTTGCGACAGGATCCATTGTAATCATGGAGATCACACCCAGATAGTGTTGGCCACAAGCCCTTTCTCACAATCCAGCTAAGCCATAGGTGAGGTGGAATCCATGGAACGTCCAGCCCTCTGCAAGAAATTGATTTGATTGGAATATCCAACGAAGTCATTTGTTTTTTCACTGTCCTATGGACATCCCTTTCAGAGTTGTTCAGATGACACGATGCACACTGACTCACCCCTGTTTCAACAGCCCGCTGCTTTCCCATGTCCGAAGCCACCGCTCGTGCAGTTTGGATCTGGTTGACGCAACTCGCCTCAGCAAGCCGGCCCCATCAAAACAACCCCAAAAACATCGCTGAAGAATGAAACATGAAATAGGAGGATTTCATCCAGACCACTTGAAACATTGGAAGGTGAAAACTCTCAGCTCAAGTAAATGAATGTATATTCTTGAAAGAACACCAATCAAGCAAAGCACAAGCAAATAATTTTTCTCATCAGCCACATCGTAGCTAAACTACGGCGCATGAATTGAAAACAAATCTGATAGCGGAAATGCAGAAACTGGCATTCCAATGAACTGTTAGTTCAACAGCCAGGGAAGCCATTTGAATTTTAGATTCCTAAGTGTTGAGTCTGCTAGCTAGACTTCTCACCTGCATGCTCGGCCTCTGCCATGACATGTGAACGAAGTAGGTGAAGTATGGCCCCTCATCCACATCCCTCAGCGAATCTCCACCGCGCAGCTCGTTTTTGCACCCCTGCCAACCTCAGCCACACGGAACAGAGGCAAGACCGGGGAAACATAGAAAAAATATGGAGCACACATGCACTGCCCAAAATATACATAGGATTGTACATATTTGTGAAGCATATCGTATATGTAAACGACCACCCCGTCGGGAAGTGAATAACATGCAATCAGGAAACTGCTGTAGCGATCGATTAATGCAGCTTCGAGAAAAGCTGGCCCATGTGGATTTGAGGCCGCGTAGAGAATTGTCATGCCCCCAAATCTTTCCTTCCCATGTTTGTAGCCAAAACGGGAACAGTGCCATCTCAGACATGGATCGTGTGAGATCCCGAACTTAAATGTCATTGGTTTCTGTTTTTCAAAGAGGTCCTCAAAAACCAGGGCGCAATGTTTCAACACTGTGCCGGCCGTCGAACCTGGCTTTGAAAGCTTCAAGCTCATGCAGGGGTCCAGCTCGATTCTTCTAAAAACATCTTGGGACCTGTGAAGCTTTGCAACATCAGCATTCTGCAAGTAGGTATCCTGGAACTTCAAGCCTTCAGACACCAGACGCTTCCCAGTTTGGGCACAACTAGTAACAGGCAAATTCTCAGGATTAGGATCCACGGTGTCCAGGTCGCTGAACTTCATTTTCTTAGCTGGTTTGTATTGCCAAGCGTAGGGACCCAGTGAAGCCTCAGATATTAACAACACAGGACACACCCAGAACATTGTTTGATCCAACATCTTCCGTTGTAATGGTTTTCATCCGTTTTGACAAGAGGCAGAACGATGGCAGCTGAGCAATTCAATGAGCTCATCATCAGGGTTCTCCATGGCTCATTTCAGCCCCCAGTTGTAGTCTGTCTATCATGTTGTCTTAGATCAAGAAGATATACAATATAATATGATATCATATCATATCAAAAAATATGATATAATATAATATAATATACTAAAACATCATATAAAATAATATAATATAATATAAACAATATAAACTATAATAGGTGATACATGGGGATCCTCTTGATATCTCTTAATGCCGTTTGACCCATTGCACAATATTGCACATACCAGTATCAGTGTCATGTTTTTCCCCTTGAGGAACCAACGCGTAGCACCAGTCTAGAGCCAACACTTTGAAACTGATGAAAATGAGTGAGCACTTGATCAAACCAAGTATTGTAACTGATTTTTTTGGTGGACGTCTATCAGACTATCATCTCAGCACCACCCTTTTTGAGCCCATGGCCCCCTCTCCAATGTTGACTGCAAAGCGCTTCGATGACGCTCCAACGCGACCTGGCTGTTGCAGAAAGATGCAAGGATATTGGAAGGAGATAGATTTCATATAACCATTTGGCTGTATGAAATCATATCTCCCAGGGGATGCTGACGGGAGTGGTTGGGCACCTGGGCGTGAAATTCCCAAAAGTCATTGCGATGGGGCACCACCCAAAACAAATCAAAATGAAACTCCAGGGCAACTCCGTTTTCTTTGTATGTTTTTCACCAGCGCTCTAAGCAGAATGTTCAATGTGATGAAACCCTTCAAGATGTCATCCATGGTGCGGACTCAGGGGCCAGCAGCAACAAACTAAAATGAGGAATAGGTGAATTTATCTGAAGCAATACCCAGTCAATTGCAAACTTCATCAGGATTTAGGCACATGATAACGCACCATGTCAGAAACAAATTGATAAATTTACCCATGAATTTGGATCGCGTTTATGTAACGCAATCCCATTGAGACCATATTGCCACTGGTTCCCCAATGGAAACTTTCAAAGCTACATGCCATCAAAGAGATGCCATCATCTTTTGATTGTGTCCGTTCACTCCTCCTTCACCTCATTCTTCGTGAAGTGGCGCTTAGCAGACCTAGGGCAGAATACGGGATCTTGCTGGGGTCTTGCTGGGCTAAACAAAGTGGAACAATTGCTCTCAGGAAGATCGAATCTGCATATGATGCATACTGGTTTTGAACTTGGAGCCCCCAGCCGAATCTTGGCTTCATTGGACGCGATCTTTGTGCACCTGGGGGATACCATGTAATTTTCAGTGCATAAATAATCAAATATATGTGCTTTGGACAAATCCTTTCGTGCAAGGGATGTAGAATATCTTTGGACATTGAAGGAATTGCCCAGGCACACGAAAGTGGAAGCCTTCATCAACTTCTCTGAGTTTTCAACCCACCTGGGGGGCACATGTTGAAGGGTTCTGCATTGCCCGCCCTACAAAAAATCTGAGACATCAATATTAATTTGCACACGGATATCACATGAATAATATACTTGGATGAAGTAGGGCCCGTAGGGCAGGAAATTGATAGTCCGAGTCCATCCTTTGAACATGAGCCCACATGCCGATTAGCCACTTTTGGTCGAAACCATCCCGTTCTCCCTGTGCCATGCAATCGGTCAGCTTATTGTATTCCGAATCCAAGGTGGCCAGGTCCGTGTTCAGCGTCTGAACAGCCCTCATGAGCGAGGCCGGTCATCGACAAGGAAGGGTCTCACACACATTTTGCTATCATATTATTTGGCAACAACACGTAGTGAAATCCAAAGTCTAGACATATTCACTTTATGTCCTCCACAGGTATATACATGAATTGGGATAAGAAGCTTCTTTGCTGTCGGATCCGTTGTGTAGTTCTTGTGTAGGTCACCCACCAAGGATCTGATTTTGGCGCACTTTTGCAAGACTGAGTCCACATACTTGGAAAAGACATCCTTGGACCTGTTGGCCTCACAAGACATCCCGTAACGGCTATTGTTGAAGAATAGTTGAACAAATTGATGTTCAATCAGGAGTTTGGGAAGTACAGCATGTTCTCCAAAAGAAAAGATTGATAACATGGTCCAAAATATGTGAGTCTTGCCTCCGAAGTTGCAGCCACAGCTGCACTGTCAGCTGCCTTCCTGCGCAGCTCACTGGCCGCAAGACGGTCAAGATTCACATCAGCAATCTCAGACGGCCCGTCCTGGCAGGCGTGGCTTCAAGTATATACTATGACCTACTATTTGGTTATGACAGGTTGCTTGGCCAAAGTTGGGAAACAGAACTCTCCTCAACAGTACGTTCTTCAAGCTCTTCACTGTGTGCATTCTTCTGTTGGTCGTTTCCACTCTCTCGCACATAGATATGGTATTCATCCTCACCCCCATAGCGGCAGCGCCTTGCCAAGGGGCCCAATTGACAACACACATTCATTCAGAAAGACTGGACGGACTTCAGAACCACCTAATTGATTTCAATATGTTTCAATGAGACATAGTAGAACTTGTGAATCAAGTTGGACTGATGGCACAAAGTCAAACTGATACATTGGACTTTTTGTCTTGCTACTGCCTTATGAGATGCACAGGGTCAGCTTCACAGCATTTGATGGCACCGGTGATCTTCTTCCTCGGGAGGCAACATGTTGAATGTATATAAGTTTGATTGATCTTGGTGAACAAGGAACATGGATTGGTCCTCAATCTGACTTGAACAAATTAAGATAAGAGTCGTAGACCACTTGAGAATCTTAACCATATCCTCCTTATTATACCAGCCCCATGCCAAATCGCTGGTGGACGTGTCGGTCTTGGTGTGGGTCTTCTTGCGGTACTTCACAAATCTGTCCTCCAAGGACAAAGCGCAGCTGGCATATGGTGGCGAGTAGCTGGAACCACTGTGGATTATTTGGTGGGGGTCTACTTCAGAAAAGATTCTTGGCAAAATGTAGATAGGTGACCAGGGTTTTGGGGTAGCAAGGCATGGCCTTGTTGAAACCACAAGCTTCATACTGCTTAGCCATGGTAAGATGGTTTCCGCTCTTCCACTCATCATGGAGCCACTGGGGAACTTGGAGACGACCTCCAGCCTTCTTCTCGCACAACCGTCTTAGTTTTGCCTTTAAGGCATTGTCATCCTCATCAGTGCAAATCAAGACTTGACAAACAAACAAATTTGACATATCAATCAACCTACATACAAATAGAACCGATTGTCAAAAAAAATATGTTTCAAACCCAAAGTGTCCAGCTTGGACTGCCTAGATTGTTGAAGTAGATCATCCAATGACTTGTCAAATTCTGTGTCATCTCCATCACCTCCCCCAGCATGATCAGTAGAAGTAGGCGTAGGCTCCAAGGGTCGTTTCCTATCGGAAGCCTTGGGCAAACCCTCAGGCATGTTAGGACTCGATCCCGGCAACTTCCCACCCAGGAGCAACTTTGCGGTATTGGCATCGAGCTGACCTTTCTGCAGCATGTCGAGCACACGGCGAACCACCTGGGCAACTGGGCAAGTGGGTATGGCTTAAAAGCACTTTGGGTCACTAAGCTGAGATTCAATGTGGGTGTTCCAACAAGTTAAAATAAAATCCATTGAGTATCACTTCATGCACTGCTTTAATTTTTGGGAAGGGACATCATCATCTCCACTTTGAGAGGCTGAAGGGGGAAGGGATGATCCAGGCGATGTCGGGCTGGAAGCAAGTGGTGACTTCTTAGACCCAGGGGTTCCACCCAGAGAAACTGCCAATTCCTCCTCCGTAGCGGGAATCGTCTCGTCTGGCACCCCACCATGATGTTGAGGAGAAGCCTCAGATACAACGAAGATCCCAGGAACTGTGTTTTCAAAATTAAGCAGTTTGGTCAAGTGAAATGATGGAACAACAAACTTTCATGATAGTGATTGTTTATTGAACATTTTGAACCCTATAGCCTTTAGCGCTTCAGACTGCATTTTGCCAGCTCTAATCATGAAACGTGATTGAGCCTAGGAACTTGGGAACGCAGATCGTCGAGCCGGTGTATGGATGCCACCTCAACGGCAGCACTCCAACATGGCGAGACGCTTCTTGGAACAAAGGGATGGGACATGGGCTAGGTTGTGAACCAAATGATAAAAACCTTTCTCACTAATTTTAAAATGCCGAATCCATAGATCACAACCAGAGGCTCCCCGGTGCTACAAAAATTGGGCCCACCGACTGCGTCTTCAGCAGCTTCTAGATCTGCAAGTTGTTTTTCAAGCTCCTGGACAAGAGGCTTAGGACAAAGGGTTAAGTTATGGCTATATGAGGTGGGTACATTCAGAACATTTCAGGCCATGTGAGCCAGGTGATAACTTTACATATCTTATATAACTTTCATGGGGCAGTCCTGGAGTTCTTCCACCGTTTGGGGCATGTTGTTTTCCAAGTCCATCATCAGAAACTCCAGACCACGGCCAAGTTCACTGGTAGAATGGCTCTTAGATAACATGGTTTCGGCTGATTCCCTCCGGGCAAAAGCCATGAACCACACACAGTGACCCCCGAACTGACACAGCCAAAATGTCCTGCAAACACATGTTGCTCACAAGAGCTCATGGGAATGTGTCACAACATGTTGCACACTACATTTGGATCTCTAAGTTGCACAAAACAAATTTCATGGCACCCATGTTGGTAACTGTTACTCTGAACGGCTGGTGTTTATTGATTTTCACCTGTTCCATCAGGGTAACCATCCCCGCATTGCAAGTGCAGAAATGCTGTCTCGAATTGCCATGAATTGGCAGAGCTTCAAGGGAAAACTGTTGCTAACAGTTCGGTCCCCCACAGGCCCATGATCATAGACAAAATTCGATGTAAAATATGATTGAAATTGGATTGGAGTCTTGAAAAATTGACTTGATTTATGTTAAAAATCGACATAAAAATAGATATCTATGTGGCAAAAATACCCATAATTGAATTATGGGTAATTACGGGGAAATTATGGGTAAATTACGGATCCGTTACGGGGTCCTCAGATTACGGATAAATAGACAGTTTTTTTTGAATCAATGGTTATGGGTAAATTACGACTCATTATGGGTCATTATGGGTATCTTATTAAAAATAGATATGTTTTTTTGGGTGGTTACGGGTAAATTATGGGTATTTTTCATCAGGATTATGGGTTGGTTACGGGTCGTTATGGGTGGTTATGGGTTACGGGTGAATTATGGGTAAAAAAATGTAAAAAGCTTACATGTTCCAGTTTAGAGCGAATGGGACCCAAGATAAATCAAAAAAAATCGAAAGCAATCTATGATAGTTTGCCATTTCTTCTCAGGGGACCGAACAGCAACAGAGCCAGTAAGTGCTATTGCCATATATTGCCATGAAAACCTTTTCAAAGCCTTCTGGGCAAGAGATCTCGAAAGGTTGGTGGTATCCTTAAGTGGACCCCTCCCCGAAGGTATTTACATACCGATATCATCCCGGCTTCTGACCACACATCATCATAGTCTAGGCTGGAAAATGTTGTCTCAGCTGGTGGTACTTGTTGTGGAAGCTGCGGCATTCCACTCTTCTCATTGATCATGGCGTGAAAGATTTCCACCATCTTGAGTCCAAACTTTGGCGGATAGCACCTAAGTGAAACAGAAACTCCCCAAGAATTGGACTTTGGGTACTTTGGGTATGCATCTGGAATTTGTGAAATCGGAGTACAACTGAAACTTAAGCAGTTGACAGCAGAAAGCCTCTAATGATTGTACTTTGTGGTAGTTCCTTGAAATATGTGCAGGCAGTACCATGGCCTAAAAAGGCAGCTTCCTACGAGAAATTAAGATCCCCACTCAGAACTACGTAGCTGACTACTGCCCTTCCATCGCTGTTTTCCATTGGCATCCTGGTATCTCACCACCAACTCTTTGGACTTACCCTTGTCTTTCAGGACTTGCTTTTTCTGACTCCACCCAAGTAATTGGCCTTGGTTTAGCTGTCCAACATGTCGACTATTCGCAAATGCGTACATGCGTTTCGGTGTCTCGTGGCCGTAGTGGTACATGAACCATGATGTTTTGTGAACCTGGGCGGCCAAGCCACATGTAGAAACATGTAGAGGCCAATTTACTGAAATACTGGGGTCTGGTATGGCGTAGGATCATAAATATCCAAATCCTCTAAAAGTCATTGTTTACCAAATGCATATGCTGGCATTTATTGGGTAGGGTCCGTCTTGGTCAGCCCGCTGATGTTAGAGAAAAAACAACTAGCACACTGCCCAAGCATGTAATAATTGTTCCTTGGACGAACCCCTCAGCAGCTTTCTGGATGAAAAAATACTTCACATTTTTGGGGTTGATCAAAACTCTAAATGTTCCATCTTTTCCACAATGTAAATGGCTAACCACCAGCCACGTGCAACCCCCACAAGATTCCCCAAGGTTTCTGATTGGAAAAGCTACCTTGCTGACTACTGCGGTGAGATCGACATCCTGGACAAACACCCTTGCAGCTATGGTTGGGGTTTGCATCTTGGCTGAAACCTGGACGAACTGGGTGTTCAAACAAGCAACAGCTCCCAATCCCCCATGGTATTGCAGCATTCGCATGAAGTCTCTCCATCTTGGATAGTACTCAAAGAAGCTTGAAAAAGGTTGCTCAAGCATTATGCAGGCATTGAGGCAAATTGCCACCATCATCAGAAGAATCGTCCTTGGGCTGTGGATGATACCCGTTGGAAATTCTGATGGTTTGTAAATGCAAGAATAATATATACTGTCCACATTACTGTTCTTAAAATCAAATCGAACATGTTTATATTTGTAATGCATTCAAAGGTCCGGCTTCCCAAACAGTTTGAATCCCGAACACTCTGAAAGTCCGTATTGCCAATGGAGCTGCATACTGATCTAGAAGAGGTCCCTGCATTCACTGCAGTATTGGAACTACATTTCAGACCGAAATGTGTGAGCCAACCTTCATCAATGTTGCCCCGGAGCATTGCTGCCAAAGCAGTCCTGGGCAACAAGCTAGAGCAGAGCAAACGGATTTGGTTGTTCTTTCTTTGTTGGACTATAAACGAATATGGTACTGTTGTGGAAGCATGCAACTTCAAAAAGAAAGCCAAATCAAACATATCCAGATGATGCCTAGTTTCCCCATTCCAGCATCAGACAATAAGTTCATAGGGTTTTGCCGGCCAGGTTCAGCATCCATGTAGATCAAATCTAATCTAGCTGCTGGAAGGTTGGTAAGCCGAAACATGCGAGTAACCTCTGCCTGGCCAGCAAACACTTCCACAAAGCTGAAGGAAGTTTCATCCTGCAAAACAATGCCACGAGAGATTGGCATAGGAATAGGGTGGTATCAAAGAGTTAGACCACTCTGATGATAGTACTTGTATGAAATGGGATGTGAAAAAGCAAAATGTCCTGCCAGCTCTGCGTAGGAATCTCCGTCCAAATTGTCAGCAGCACTGCCAAAAGCAGCACCTGCAAGGGTACATACATGTTGGAAGCCAATTTGTTATTTTCCATGTATATACTGGTTACCTTTTTGGTTTATGTGTATTAGTTGATGGTCAAATTTAGTCTCAAAAATCTGGTTATGCTACATGCATATAGCCAGTGCACCTTCGGCGCACCCAAGGCTTTGAGACGCCACATCAAGTTGTCCACAAACTTCTTGGTGTAGCGAGCCATGTCTAAAGACGGGTTTCGGTGGAGATCTGTGTGAAAATGCCGTTAAAATCGCTATTGCCCGTAATGTCATTTCAAGGTGACTTTGAAAATATTTATGCAGGTTTGTTTTTAGATCATTTATGTTTTGCTGAGTCATTGCAGGATTTTCTTTATGTCCAAATAATCTGAACACGTATCTGGTGTGCAACAGCTCTGGGTCGGACGGGTCGATGTTGATTCAACTGCACATTTGGAAAGCAAAAAACATGACTGCTTTGATTTTCAAGATCTTGGCCAAAGAACTTCTCATGCATGCCATCCTAACTCACCCTTACTCTCCGTTTCTTAAAACCCGAGTAGCTCAGAGTTGCAGGAACTGCCTGCATTAACGGGTATACAATCCCACCAAATCTTACCCTGTAAACAGGTCAGGCGGACTGGCTCCATCCTGGTGTAAGCCAAGCTTTATGGCCCATTTCTGACCGTGAAGCCCAGGCATGTAAAGGTCTGGCCTTGGGGCGCTGCAGCAGTGTCTCTGATTGAAATGACCCAGGGGAGCTGGAGAGAGGGACAGGCAAATTATGGATGGATTCTCATGTGAACTAAATATGGAAGAAAAATGACAAAAAACTATTGTGTGTTTTTCCCCACCTGCCAGGTGAGGGTTGTTAGATTTTATGTCAGTTGCCTCCTCCTCCTTCTCCTCCTCCGCCTCCTCCTGCCTCGTCCTCCTCTCCTCCTCCTCCTCGTCCTCCTCGTCGTCCTCGTCGTCCTCGTCGTCCTTGCTCAACTGCGACCCGCGATCCACAGTGTTCTCTGCCGGACCTCAACCACGACCATCCACGCCCAGTGTTCCCTGCCGGACCTCAACCACGACCATCCTCGCCCAGTGTTCCCTGCCGGACCTCAACCACGACCATCCACGCCCAGTGTTCCCTGCCGGACCTCAACCACGACCATCCTCGCCCAGTGTTCCCTGCCGGACCTCAACCACGACCATCCACGCCCAGTGTTCCCTGCCGGACCTCAACCGCGAGTATCCACGCCAAGTGTTCCCTGCCGGACCTCATATATAAGAAGATAAAATGTCAGATAGAGTGCCAGAAGATTTGCCAGGTAGAATGCCAGAAGAATATGCCAGAAGATATGCCAGATAGATATGCCAGAGAGATATGCCAGATAGACCAGATGCCAGATAGCCAGATGCCAGATAGAATGCCAGAAGATAGATGAATGCCAGAAAATATGATATAGAAGAAGATATGCCAGATCCAGAAGATATGCCAGAAGATATGCAGAATATATGCCAGAAGATATGTCAGATAGAATGCCAGAAGATATGTCAGAATATATGCCAGAAGATATGCAGATAGAATGCCAGAAGATATGTCAGATAGAGTGCCAGAAGATATGCCAGATAGAATGCCAGAAGATTTGCCAGATAGAATGCCAGAAGATATGCCAGAAGATATGCCAGAAGATATGCCAGATAGAATGCCAGATAATATGCCAGATAGAATGTCAAATAGAATGTCAGAAGATATGTCAGATAGAATGCCAGAAGATTTGCCAGTAAGAAAATGTATAAATGTCATGGTGGGGATCACACGAAGTAAAGTAATTTCTTGGGTGCTGTCATGGGTGTCTGGGGACTACAAGGTGAACACGCATCACGACCTCCTTTTCTCCAAACATGATTTAGGACTGATGAGGTTCACCCCACAGCCCAGATTGCCGATTGCCATCTTGGGGTTGGCTCCCATCCTAAGCGATTGGTGGGCCAGCCATGTTGGTACAGGCCAGGCTGCTGGTCAAAATTGTCAGTTAATCAACAAAAAAATGTTGTCACTTTAAACCAAGGATGGTTTCAAGCAACATATGTCAAATTGGAATAGATTGATTTTGAAAAATATTGAAAAATGCTTTACAGGTTTACCTGTCAACCGCACCAGCCTGGCTGTACATCCCAGTTCCCAAGCTAAGGCAAGACGCTGGTGGCCCCATCGTTCACTGAGTTTGATCAAAACTCAAGAGACTGAAGCTGGTCTGCACTTTGTTGCTATTGCAGTAGGACACAGATGGACACATTAGGAAGTACCCACAAAGAACATGTACCCACAATTTTTTTATATACTATATATTAGATGATCTTGGGGTAGAACATGTTGAAGGTTCACCACATACTGAGTCAATAGATTTGAAAACCGTTAGCTGGCATCCAGCACCTTAACAGCAACATATAGTTGTGAAGTACCAGCAAAGTTGTCGCTCCCATCAGTTTCGGGTATTTTTGGGCTTGAACTTTGATGCAGCTACATTTGCATTGTATTTCATATAGAAGAGATGGGTCTGGATCTTACCGGTCGGATTTTCGTAGTCCTTCAACTCCGTCTCGGTCAACTCGGACAGCCACGAAGCCTGAGATGGGCATAAGTCTTAGCGGTGATGGATTCTAATGTATCATAATTTCATATGATAGAATTTACCAGAAACATTTGAATAAACACCGGCTGTACTTCATGGATCATATATTGTATGGATCATGTATTGTATATAATTATATAATATTATATACTCTAATATAAGTGATGCCTTCTTGGAACTCTTTGTGGAGTATGGAGGCCTGGGATGAATGAGCATAGCAGCTGACCTAAGCCTTTGGGTTAACAAAGGGACCTTGACATGTTGTGATCCTGTAAAAATATGCCAAAAATTGCCAAAAAAATAATTTATCCTAAAAACCATCAAGCTCGCAGCCACGTAGATCACAGTGAGCTCGAGCTTCGGGACATTGGGACAAGCCCCAACGCAGCTCTTGCCGAAATAGGCCACCTCTGGAGCACCCTTCAAAGTGCCATCACCCAAGCCAATGACCTTCACTCCAACAGCTGGACGCTTCCAGTACTCATTGAGCCTGTACTCCTTGTTCAGGGTCTTGTCCTTCAGCGAATCCACGAGATACTTTTTCACCTCGTCTTCCTCGGTGATCTTATCCACGTTCTTCAGGTGCTGAAGGATGAGGCCCTGAATCTGTAGATCTTCACGTGCAGCATTCTTCATGACGGAATCCTGTTCTTTCTTTCGCTGGGACTCTCTTCGCTTGACCTCCTTTTTCGCAAATGGTAGCACCTGGTGAAGTCGGTGCCTTCTTCTTCCTGGGCTTTCGCTTTGGCTTCTCAGTCTCCTCAGCCTCCCCCATGGAAGCACCACTAGCTGTGGCTGGGATAGTTCCCTTTGCCCTTTGGCGCCTGGTAGTCATGTGAGCTTCAGGCTGGCAGTTGTCCAAGACCTTCTGAAGAGGCATGACCTTCACAGACTTCTGATCAAAACGGTGATGTGGGCTTTCATCTCCGCCGTCATCGTCAGACTGGAAGAGCTCCTTCTTCGGAGTTGCCGCAGGCTGCTGACCATCGCTCTCAGAAGCTTCACTGTCAACTTGCTCCGGTGTCTTTGGCACAACCTTCTTCGTCTTCTTTGATTCCCTCTTTGGTTTGGCCTTAGCCATACTCTTGGTTTTTGCCGGCTTGCAGCTTGCAGCCTTGGGCTCTGGCTCCTCGGCAGATGGCTCTTCGGGAATGCAATCCATGGTCTTCATCTGACGGAGGCGCCTGCGAGGTTTGACAACTGTAGCTCTTTCTCTTCCACCTCCGGCTCCGTTGTCTCCTTCTCATCCTGCTTAGCAGATCTCCTTCGCTTCGGCTTGCTCTCAGCCTCCTTCTTTGCCTTCTTCTCTTGCTCTGCTAACTTGCGCTTCTTTTGCTTGTCCTCCTTCATGGTGAGCTGGTCACGGCGAGTGAGCACCTGCCAGGTTGAGGTGACAAACCCAAAGGTATGGTCACCATCTCTATGGATGGATTATGCAACATGGAAAGGTGAGGCCAAATTGAAACACAGGATAGTGCTGAGGAGATATATCTACAGCCCTCTGTCTGTCGGTGTTGAAACCAAATTGAACAAGTACCAGCAATGAAGCTGCTTGGATTTTTGTCCATAATGGGCATGTTTGGTAACAACTAACCCCTACCTTCGAAGGTTCTTTTTCTGGTGAGGTCTGGGGTTCCTCAGGCAGCATGTCACCAACATCCATTGCCATGTTGAATCCATCTTCAGGGACCACCTGGGGCAAGGTATCATCGGTGTCCAGTGCGTAAGCTGGGACGACAGGCTTGGCAGAACCTGCAGGGTAAATGCCATACCCATGCGTCAGGGGTCAAGGATGGAGACCAAGAAGCAGCATGAAATAAACATGTGTAGAGGCATAACTTGGATTAACCCTAAAGGAAAAGTCCAGTTAATAATTGCAGATATCCAGAAAACTAGCCCAATATATAAAATCTATCACCGCAGGTTGGGGCAGCACATATTTTGTTTTTATATATCATGAAGCCATAAAGTGAACTATCATAAATCCGATATATCAGATATTATCAACTACCACATAAAGTAAAAAATATGCAGGCCCAACCTGCATCAGGCTTCTCATCCGGGAATTGTTGCTTCTTCAATGCAGGAGGTTTCCTGGGCAAAAGTTTTGTTTTTCTTACCCCAAAGGAGAGCTGGAATGGTCCAACGAGGGCGACCCAATTTAATTCACAACAAATATTTGGCTTAGAAATGAAAGACAACCCAGCTCATAATTCCATGGACTGATAAACCCCAACCACCACAGCTTGGCAACGATAGTTGAGGAAAGCGTCGCAAATGGCTGCTTCTTCAGCTCGGCCAGCTTTTGCAAGACCAGCAGACGGGCTGCCTTGACACGATCGCGAGCCGCACCTTTGCAGCACAGATGGATTGTGGAGATGATATGAACTGGTATGAGGGGCCCAGGGTAGTTTGAAGACAAACATATATGAAATTTCTTTAAAGGCACTATATAATATATATCCCATAATTTATCCCATAATTTTAAGGTTGCAGGGGGACATGGAACCATTGGGCAATGAAATAATACGAGATGAATTGAAGCGAAATACATTGGCACACATCCTTGCCACATGTCTTGCAAGATGCCACGGGTGCCATCATCTTGGATGGAGCTTCATCAGAACTAGCGGGAATTGTAGTATCCAACCATGCCTTGAACTCATGGAAATCCTTCTTGGACTGCTCATCCTCATTCTCATTGTCTTCACTATCGTCATCATTGTCATCATCTCCAGAGCTTCCGGACTTAGAACGTTTGCATGACTGCAAGTAGGACTCGATGACCTCCTGAACAGCAGTAGACTGGGATGAATGATAAAATGCTTTTGGCTGGGATTAAATGGACTATGTGTTTTTCTGTTTTTATGGCATGTTATGGCCACCCAAGGGAAATAGCAATAAGGCATTCAAAAGAACATATAAACCACAAGGTTTGTTCATATATTCTGGGATTGAGCTGATTCAACCCATTGCCCTGCCAATCCTTCAAGGACGGGTCGTAGGCCAAGAGCAATCTGTGAAATTCAGGGTCCTGACAGGGCTGTTTTGGATACAATGGATGGGATAGCAACCTTTGATATGTTCAAGTTATCTTTAAATCTGGTTTGGAGTTTTCAGGGTTTAGATATCTGAAAAATCAAGCACTTACCAAACAGAAACAAATTTGGACTTGATTCAACCCTAGCCCTTTTCCTTTGTGACCTCCTTCCTGGATGCACGTCGTTTCACAAAGCCTGCCAGTTTTTTCAACTCAACAGCTAGCTTATAAGGCGCCTTTTGACTCATAGAAAGGCCGCACTTCTGGAAAAGGGTAGTGGTTTCTTCCTGCAGGTCTTCAATGTGAGGCAAACGATATCCCGAGGTTTGTCCCAACCTGTTGAGTAATGGCACGAGAACCAAGTCATTCGTGATAGCGTTCACTCTGTTGGGTTTACAGTAGAGGTCTTCCGTGGGGTAGATCAGGACTCGTTTTTCTTCTCTAATGCGATCACGCAATTCACTGCACTTCTCCCACTCCAATGCCAGCCCAAGACAATTCATTGCCATGAGAGAGCACCGGAAACCATGGAGCTTCCTAACTCTTGAGGATCCAAAATGCTATAGCCATAAAGGGTGTATAGAAACAAAGGCCTATCATTTCAGATTTTGACTCAATAGATTTTTAATTTGAATTCTGACTGGCTAAGCCATGCAAATGAACCCCTTTGTGATTGCAAGAGCTTAGGTACTTCATGGTGCCAACCTGTGCGATCAGCCGGTAAAATGGGAGCCCGGGCGGTGGCGCCAGCACAGTAGATATCCATCAGCATGGATCATGGCAGAGGAAGATGGAAGGTGAAGGGAAGGGTTCAGAAACAAATGGTAGTAAGTGGTACATCCGGATGAAAACTAATTGATGTAAAGATTCAACCATGGCATTGTATGAATTTCCATGTTGGGGTCGATTACTCACCAAATTCAATTCCAACATTCTTTGGGTTGAACCGAGCCCCGCTTTGGGCCATAGATGGCCATTCATTCATCTTGTTGACCTGTGGTCAGCGGAATTGGAAGGGGTGATCATTGAATAATATATGCTTAAAATAGGTGAATTGAGAAATAGATAGGTTTTTTAAAAAAACATATGTTTTTTTGGTGGTTATTAAAAATAGTATACTATTTATTTTCCACCCCAAAAAAAAGTGGGTATAAGGTTCAGTAGGTACATATATATATACAATTATATATATATAGTTATATATATATGTGTGTATAAAGAATTATACAGATACTCAGATACTATTTTATACTTAACTACACTGGACTATACTTAACTATGCTGAAACTACACTTACATAGTGTTGCGTAACATGCTTAACTATGCCTATAACCTTCCTCCGATTCATCGAAATAAAACATCTGGAGACCGGCTGCCGAGACCTGCCATGGTACAATCCATCCCAGATCGCCACAGAGCTGCCCTGGATGTTCACCCGTCTGGCAGTCCGAAAGCTCCCTGCGCCAGACACCCGGGAATTTTTTTGGTGTCCGATTTTTGGGTGAAAACTCAGGGCTAATTAGTGTAATTAGTGTGTAACCATGATAAATTTATGTGTATAAGTCGCAAGAATGCAGAAATTCAGACATTGGTGACAATTCTTTTGGCATACCGAGCTGGTCCGTGGCAATCGGAGAAAAGAATTGGCTTCGTAAAATGGGGGACAGCCGGGATAGTACCCAAAAAGAAACTAATTTATGGCAGCTTCAACAAGAAATCGATAATAAACCATGATACATCATGATACATCATTGGATTTTGAGCCATGATAAATCATGGGGATTTTCAGGTCATTGCACAAATTTGTTTGGTTTAGGTAATAGAGTCTTAATAAACCACTAATAGCAACATATTGGTTGGTTAATAATTTCCGCGCAGATTTCCAGCAGATCTCTTCTGAGGGGGGTAGTTCTGCAGGGGGTAGATAGGATGGGTATGATATAATTCTCATCGTTTTCACCCCAAGAACCAACCATCTACTGACCTGCAGAGCTTCGGGAACTGATTCGGCGTCTTCAGCAGCGTCTCCAAGGTCTTCAGCGCCAACTCCTCCGTCTCCTGCACGCTTCGCCCCGGGTCTCGCCGGAGCATCGCATCGGCCTGGAGGCGTGGCAGGGGACCTCCGAATATCACTGGATTGGTTTAAGGGAAAATCTACAGGAAACCATGGTTTTTACCATCAAATATAGGGCTTTCCTGTAGATTTTCCCATAATCCAATTCTATGATAATAGTGATGATCCCTGATATAATATGATATTTAATGCGGGGTTGACATCATGCAAAAAAAAAACAAATCATTGGTTGGTGACGTATATTCTTCCGTTCACAGCGTACAGAAAAAAAACATGAAGTTTCTATATGCAATCCAGGTTTACCCAGCTTTTCATGGAGATGTCTATAGATGTCTCCATCCTGTTTTATCTTTTTGTGGGTTGTTTAACTGGGCGGAAATATTCTGGATGCCGGTAGGTTTACGAACAATCTGGAGATGAACAGAAATGTAGGCTCGAAAGGCTCAAAGAGAAGCACCGAGTCGCCTGTCTCACCTGCTGATGTCTCAGTAAAATATGGCGCCCACGCACCGTGTCAGCTCCCTGCGCGGTCTTCTGGCGTTTGGCTGGCGCCTCGGCCTGTTGGAACCATCGGGTGAGTTGCACAAGTGTTTCTGGATGTTTTTTCTGGATGTTTTTGGCGTGATTTCCCTAGGAATGTTTGAATTTCAAACTGTCAATCCTGGTCGCCCCAGCCTTGCCGCTGGGGCTGATGCTGATGCAAACCTCGGTCGGATTCTTCTGGTTGGAGCCTTGATGGCGTAGTCACTTGTAGTGACATGCATAGAACCAATCTAAGCCCAAAGTCATCTATCCAAAAGCTATTCTGGATAGGTTCTACTATGTTCTACTGCTGGTCAACAAAAAAAAACCTCTCGAATAATGTCTATATATTCCTGGCTGATTCACACGTTGGCCCTCGTCTCAAGGACCTTGGCCATGAATTTTTCGTAGCCGAGAGATGCTAAAATCTTGCTAGAATCTTGCCAAAATCTATGGGGGTTGTTGTTTATTAAATTAATAGTTGTATTGGCTCGAAATTCTCTGGACCATGCTGATCATGCCGGGTCCCAAAAACACGGGCCTATGGGGATTCCCATTCTTGAGCCGTAGCTGTAGCACGCCGTATGCCGTAGTCATATCAAGCTTAGAAGGTGTAGATATCCCAAGTTCATGTTCCTAAAATGGGACCTACACGCCATAGCCCGGAAGTGCTCATGAAAACTGGGTGATTCAATTGCCCATCTTGGCTGTACACTATGTCAGTATTAACACCCCAAACATTTACAATTAAGCTCTATCATATCCCATATACTCCCTCAATCTCTCTTCTTCGGGTCTCAACGATACTCAAGTCCAAATACAACAAACCCTACCCAATCCACTACCAGCGAAGCAGCCAGATAGTTGTAGTACCGCTGCTCACTTCCACAGTAGTTTTTGGTCTAGTTTTTCCAGGTATTTCTTAAGTCATTGAATCCTCCAAGAATTTCTCGGCGACTCAAAAATCACAATCATCTCCATCCAGGAGGCTTTGAACTTCCATAGCGAAACAAGTACTTTCGATTAAACAAGGTAAAGTGCCATCAGAAAACTCATCTTGACTTTCACCCAAATTACATTACTTCATAGTTCTGTGGATCAGCAAGAACCCTGCCATTCACCTCCTGTTCCACTTCAGCAGGGGGCTATACGCAAGGGACTCTTCAACCACATTTTCTATAACGTCAATGGAGTGTGACACTAGACAGCTATGAGCAGATGGGCTGCCGGTTACATGAGGAAATCTTGCGGTTTTCACGGATTCCAAGTGCCTCTAAAATCAAGGGTTTTTCACTTGCTTTCACTCCTAAATCACGGGTTTTTCACACACTTGTCACGTTTTTTGTTGACACCATTTGATTCTCATTGAATCCCTCATGATGCTCACAAAAAATGTGATCATGGCTGCATGGTTTGATATTTTGATTAATAATAATTATACATCTAGGTGATCAATAGCGAGCATCTTAAGCCTTCCCAAGTGAGACATTTAATGATGCACAGGGAATGGAGGCATGATCGACTTTGCAAAGATGGCAGTTCAACTAGAACTGTAAGTTCGGGGAAAGGGCTTAAAATCATTCAAAATCTAGGACCTAGGAATTACTCAATGGATTGGTTTAAGGGAAAATTTACAGGAAAACACCATATTTAATGGGAAAATCTATGGTTTTCATCATGTTGTTCCAAGAAAAAAACTCACGGCTTCCCCTATTTTCTGAAAGCCACTGCCGCGCTGGAGGCTGCTTCAGCTGCCAAGCCGTTCCAGGCCAGTGCGGAGGCTTTTGGCCTGGAACCATCAAGGGAATTTGCATTAATTATATATATATATATATACAGTATATATATATATATGTATATATACACTGTATATATACACTGTATATAAATGATGTAATATATATATATATAATTATATATATATGTGATATATTTATATATTTATGTGGATTTTGATCTGGGTTCATCAACCCCCCCATCTTGAGTTCCTATTCATTGTATGCATTGGTAGATGTATGAATTCCCCAGTTGGATGCATCCAGTTACCATGTGTGGCACCTCGAAAAATGGGGAACCATATGGGGGTTTCCTGGAATTTGGATACCCCCAAAGCATCCACTTTAATAGGATTTTCCATTATAAATAAACCATCCATTTTGGGATATCCCCATTTCAGGAAAGCCCCAATATGTTCTTAACCGTGAGATGGAATTGGCTATGGGAAATTATCATATGCTTGGCGGTCGAGCTAGAGTTAAAAGTCATGTCTTTGTTTCAAGTCAGTGGGGATCATAATTAGTTCCATTTGTTGGGACAAACAAAACATACTACCAGTATTGATCCAAACAAATCAATTTTGGGGCCACTTGTAGCCATGTTCTGAATGTTAGCCGCATGTTTTTCGCCAAATTGACGCACGATATGTCAGATATGCTGGTGTTCAGAAATGATGAGAAAAACGATTCTTCCTGGACAACCGTTTTTCCAGCTAGGTGTGTTTACTGGGCGGAAATGGGGAAAGAAGCAACAGAAAAGGCTGGGTGATATCCAAGTTATTCTAATTTGGGCAACCACTGTATAGGAATAAGGTCCATACTCCATGGGGGATAAGCAAGTTATCTCTGTGAATCTCCTGCTCTTGAGAACCCTTTAGGTCTTCAAAAGGCAGGGCTCCCTGAGGCATTCTCTTGCAGGATGGTTCCACTTATGACCACTCATTCTTGCAGATCTCATGGTGTTTCACCCCAGCCACAGAAATCAGCTCTGTGAAAATAGGAATTTACTTCACGAAACGTCACGAAACAACATCGCTGTTTAAAGAAATTATGACATATGATGACTAATGTGGGTAAAACAATAATAAACCATCCCCCAAATCACCAGGTGATATAAACCATTCCCAAATGGGTGGTTTATTATTGTTTTAACCACATTATATGTTATATAGCATTTCTCCTTATCGGTCACCCAACCCACCAAGAACTACTACTTCTGCCCAGCTGAGCTGTGGCAAAAATGACTCCATATGTCGGGAGGGTTCTCCTTGAGTCTCAGGTGGTTTATTCCCGAGGCCGTAAGCCATAAACCAACCCCATCGACCCATAATTTTACCACTTTGGAATCGATTTAGGGTTGTAAAGCAAGCAAACACAACATACTCCACAATTGTCCATTGGGCTGTAAGCATTATCCCCATATCTTGTTTGTAAAAGTACCACTAGCGTTTTACCCCAGTAACGTGCTAAACCCAATAGTAAACCCTCCCAATTATTGAGCATTGAGGTGCATTCAATTGGTCCAATTGGGGATTTCCACATTTTTCTGGGCAGATTTCCATGCCCTCCCAGGTCAGAAAAGGTCGTCGACCCTTCATTGATGTGCTGACACAGTTGACACATGTGGCGCTCGCAATATTCGCAAATTACATACTTCAGGTAGTTGCAACTAGCAGTCACTACTATCATATATTTGCCATGGATCAACTTGCATGTATCATTGGGGATTCCTTCATTCATGGATCTATACATATACATATATATATATATCCATAGTACTTTATATTTGTCCAGGCGCCTCTGAAGTGCACCACCGTTGGATTAATCAGTTGTCATTGCTGACTACAACGGCCGCAGCCGGGCTTTGGGAATTTCAATGTACCAGGAGGGGAAAAAAAAAGAACAAAAAATATGTGCAGTATATATAGAGTAGAGTTATAATGAGATATATAGATATATATTTTAAAAAAAAACATCCCCAAAACCATATAACTCATATATCTTTAAACAATGCCCAAAGCCGGCTATTTTTGGGTTTAAAACCATATAACCATATAACTAATATATATAGTCAGTTATTAAGCCCCCAAGTAATGGCGTAATCTATGCCTTCGGGCCGGCCTTCGGGCATGTGCCGCGGCGCGCTGGATCAAGTCCTCATCCTTCAGCGCGGACGTGGGTCCACCTGGCGCCATGTCCTACGGGTCCTACGGGTACTTTGTCCATGATCATGCTATAGCTAGATATTACATATATGTATAGATACATATGGTATGTATCATATATGTGTATATATAGTATGATATATATATATATATACGTATAAATATATATATGTACGTATATATACGTATATACATATATATACATATATATATATATATATAAATATGATATGTATGTATATATAATACGATATAAATAATATGATATGCCCGCCAGGAATTTAACATAGACCCTGTCATGACTTGGGGATTCAAAGATTAGTTTCCAGTAAAAACAAATGCAATGTTTCGGAACTGAGGTCATATTATGAATATGATGCCATAATATGTATATATAATATGCACATCCATGTTGGTACATTGTACGATATTATAATCAATATAATATGTTTGTTGTATATATATACACATATCCATATATATATATAATTTATATATATATAATTTATATATATATGTAATACTGTAGTAGTATATCATATCTATTGTTCAGTTCATATTAATGTACTTGAAAAATGTGACGATCAATATCAAACAATGCGAACCACATGACAAAACAACATAGATTCACAGGACCCAGTCATGGTAGATGGTCGACCGTAGAAGATGTAAGCGGAGGTTCACAGAACGCCTCTTCTACAAAAAAAACAGCTGATGAACACTGTTTACCCCCAAATAGGATTTTCAAGTCTTGGCACTTGGCACCCAAACATACCGAACACGTCCAATCAACATCTATGCAAAAAGGGGCCTTTGGTCCCAGCTACATATTTTACGGTGAAGTGTTAGTCAGTCGACAAGACTTTAGTAACTAATCACAACTTACAGCTTGCAGCACGGCCTTGTTGTCGATTTGTCATATGTGTTCATGGAGAAAAGGGGATGGAACGGGATTCACTTAATGATAAACCGTCCCCAATATTACCATTGCCATATATAAATGGGTCTTAAAAACCATACCCAATTGGCCCAATTGGTAGGTTTATGGCATTGGGTTTACCACATTACCAGAAAGAATGATGTGACCCAAATTGATGGAAATCTACTGCTCCAAGGGAGGGGTTGCCATCTATCTTGGAACATGGAACACTAAAATCCCATGTTTCATAAAATCAAGCACCAACTTTAGTCGAAGTGTGTAGCTGCACCCTAACAAAGACACAATGGGGTGCACTTTCTCAACAGCTTGGAGATTCATCGCGGTCAACAACCGAAAAGAACGTGACGTTTCCCCTAAGATTTTCGCGTTCGTGGGAAACGAGTACTTGGAAGGTCCTAAATAAATGTATATATATATATATACAAGTATATATATAATGATATATACATGGAATCTAGGCTGGATCTTAAGAGATGGTCATGAAATCAGATATCAATGATTTCCAGGATCTATTGGTTCTAATGAAGTTCAGTTACTTTTCTATATACTTTTCTCCCATTTGCCAAGATCTCCCAAGAAACACCAAAACAATATATGTATATATATATATATATTCTACTAACCCCCAAGAAGATAGAAACGTAATGAAGAGTAAAATCCAATCCAAAAATTCTGATTGCTTGAGAAATCACGTATATAAATCTATCTTTTTTGAGGGTTCCCAAATCATCCCCCATCCTGACCCCTCGGCCCGACACAGCAGAGCGAATCGCACAGTGGCGCTGGTCGACACGAAGTGTGCTGCAGATTTCGGCTCCATCACCACCACAGAGCGTGGCGATCGCATGTCGCGAACACCTGGAACCAAAAACCATGGGCCGTTCGTCAACCAACGCCGGTTTGTTGCCGATCGGCTATTCGGCTACTTTGGACACAAAACAAACTGGGTTTTCTAGGAATTGGTGGAAGGGAAAATCTTAAACGGAAACCATGGTTTTTGCCCCTATGTTCTTGTATCCCATAACATATCCCAGTGCATGATTGATTTAAGGACTCCCGTATACCATCCTATCCAAGCATACTCATTATATATTCAAGCATATTATGTATATATGTATAAATTTAAATATCCACTAGAAACCCATGACAACTTTATACGCATGTGTGCCAATATATACTTTATGTATATACTCAAGAATATACATATACATGTACAATGTACAATATACAATAGACATATACATATATCATATAAACATATAAACACATATACACGTAATACACTTATATACAAAAATATACACCATTACATTTATATAGATACACTTAATTATACATATATGTAATCATATAATCACATTTATAATCATACATATTATATATAATTATATATATATATCTCGCATTCCAAAAATATCATCTCAATATGTTCATCGTCTGAGTCAAGGCACCCAAGGCGCGGCTCATTTGCAGCCCTTCCTTCAGCAAGGCTTCGGTCCGTGGCAAGGACTCCAACGTGCAGGGCCGTGCCATGGTCCTGACCGCCTCGTCACCTGAAGGTCTCGTTGAAAGAACAACGGCTTCTGCGAAGCAACTGGGCGGGTACACCTGGATATGAAAAGTTATTGGTACCAAATGTCAAAAAAACGTTACTTAGAGATTATATGTTTTTTTGAAATGTGTGAAAAATACCAGCTTATATCATCATGATTGATGGTTTATAGATAATTCATGATAGTTCTGATTTGATGTTAAAACTGGGGGTACAGCTGGTACAAAAAGTCAAAAAAACGTTACTTAGAGATTATATGTTTTTTTTGAAATGTGTGAAAAATACCAGCTTATATCATCATGATTGATGGTTTATAGATAATTCATGATAGTTCTGATTTGATGTTAAAACTGGGGGTACAGCTGGTACAAAAAGTCAAAAAAACGTTACTTAGAGATTATATGTTTTTTTTGAAATGTGTGAAAAATACCAGCTTATATCATCATGATTGATGGTTTATAGATAATTCATGATAGTTCTGATTTGATGTTAAAACTGGGGGTACAGCTGGTACAAAAAGTCAAAAAAACGTTACTTAGAGATTATATGTTTTTTTTGAAATGTGTGAAAAATACCAGCTTATATCATCATGATTGATGGTTTATAGATAATTCATGATAGTTCTGATTTGATGTTAAAACTGGGGGTACAGCTGGTACAAAAAGTCAAAAAAACGTTACTTAGAGATTATATGTTTTTTTGAAATGTGTGAAAGATACCAGCTTATATCATCATGATTGATGGTTTATTGATAATTCATGATAGTTCTGATTTGATGTTAAAACTGGGGGTACAGCCGGTCCAAAAAGTCACAAAGACGTTACTTAGAGATTATATGTTGTTTGAAATGTGAAAAATACCAGCTTATATAATATCATCATGATTGATGGTTTATAGATAATTCATGATAGTTCTGATTTGATGTTAAAAATGGGGGTACAGCTGGTACAAAAAGTCACAAAGACGTTACTTAGAGATTATATGTTTTTTTGAAATGTGTGAAAAATACCAGCTTATATCATCATGATTGATGGTTTATAGATAATTCATGATAGTTCTGATTCGATGTTAAAACTGGGGGTACAGCTGGTACAAAAAGTCAAAAAAACGTTACTTAGAGATTATATGTTTTTTAGAAATGTGTGAAAAATACCAGCTTATATCATCATGATTGATGGTTTATAGATAATTCATGATAGTTCTGATTTGATGTTAAAACTGGGGGTACAGCTGGTACAAAAAGTCACAAAGACGTTACTTAGAGATTATATGTTTCTTGTTTTATATGTGTGAAAAATACCAGCTTATATCATCATGATTGATGGTTTATAGATAATTCATGATAGTTCTGATTTGATGTTAAAACTGGGCGTACAGCCGGTCCAAAAAGTCACAAAGACGTTACTTAGAGATTATATGTGTTTTTTAGAAATGTGTGAAAAATACCAGCTTATATAATATCATCATGATTGATGGTTTATAGATAATTCATGATAGTTCTGATTTTGATGTTAAAAATGGGGGTACAGCTGGTACAAAAAGTCACAAAGACGTTACTTAGAGATTATATGTTTTTTTTAGAAATGTGTGAAAAATACCAGCTTATATCATCATGATTGATGGTTTATAGATAATTCATGATAGTTCTGATTTGATGTTCCAACTGGGGGTACAGCTGGTACAAAAAGTCACAAAGACGTTACTTAGAGATTATATGTTTTTTAAAATGTGTGAAAAATACCAGCTTCTATCATCATGATTGATGGTTTATAGATAATTCATGATAGTTCTGATTTGATGTTAAAACTGGGGGTACAGCTGGTACAAAAAGTCACAAAGACGTTACTTAGAGATTATATGTTTTTAATGTGTGAAAAATACCAGCTTATATCATCATGATTGATTGTTTATAGATAATTCATGATAGTTCTGATTTGATGTTCCAACTGGGGGTACAGCTGGTACAAAAAGTCAAAAAACGACACTTAGAGATTAATTATATATTTTTTATTTGTGAAAAAGACCAGCTTACATCATCATGATTGATGGTTTATTGATCATTCATGATAGTTCTGATTTGATGTTCCAACTGGGGGTACAACTGGTACAAAAAGTCACAAAACGACACTTAGAGATATTTGTTGTGGTGTGTGAAAAATACCAGCTTATATCATTATGATTGATGGTTTATTGATAATTCATGATGTTCTGATTTGATGTTCCAACTGGGGGTACGCCTGGTACAAAAAGTCAAAAAACGACACTTAGAGATTGTATGTGTTTTTTAATGTGTGAAAAATACCAGCTTATATCATTATGATTGATGGTTTATAGATAATTCATGATAGTTCTGATTTGATGTTAAAACTGGGGGTACAGCTGGTACAAAAAGTCAAAAAACGTTACTTAGAGATTATGTGTTTTTTATGTGTGAAAAAATACCAGCTTATATCATCATGATTGATTGTTTATAGATAATTCATGATAGTTCTGATTTGATGTTCCAACTGGGGGTACAGCTGGTACAAAAAGTCAAAAAACGACACTTAGAGATTATATTTTTTAATGTGTGAAAAACACCAGCTTATATCATTATGATTGATGGTTTATTGATAATTCATGATAGTTCTGATTTGATCATCCTAATGCTAAATGGCGAATTTCTTGAGTCCTAGGGTCTCAGGGTGTCAGCCCTCATGCAGTCTCCAGCCATCTCCAGCCCAGGTGCAGATCGTTTCGGCTTGCCGGAAATCAGGAACAAAGGCCTGGCCGGAAGGCCCTGGGTCCATGGGATGCTGGGAAGAATGTATCATCTATGCCTTCTATGCCTATGAAACCTATGGTTTGCATGTTCTATGCGTACTAGTGTTTAAGAAAAAAAGGCCCAAAGACACCTGAAGAATACTTGTAAACAGGGTATGATGGGTATGTGTATTTCTGCCCAAAGGTAATGGCTGAGTTTTGCACCCTAACGGGCCCATCAAGCACCGTTGGCAAAGCAAACAACTACAGATTGGAGTTGGCATTGAAGTATCCCTTTTGTTTCCTTTGTGACGGAGTTGGTCTGCCATGGTACTTGCGATTCCTAAAATGGTCCCTGAAGAAAGCAAATGTGTATATATATATATTATATATATGTGTGTGTGTGTGTTAGCAATCTCGAAAACCCTAGGTTCACGGAATGGACATCCACAAATTTGGAAAGGTCCCATCGCTTACCACACATTTGCACAAAAATGATATATGGCAAACTTGGGGGGTGCCGCTTGCAGGAAAAATTACTGATCTACTTGACTCCAGAGCGGATGCTGTGCTTCCTTTTTGATCAGGCATCTTCGCTGCAGGACTCTGAACTATCTGAGGAGGTGCTACTGGAAGAGGTGCTTTGCAAATCTCTTTTTCCCCACCGCCAGCATGGACAGCCAGCTTGCTGGCCAGAACCTCTACACAGCCACTCTACAGCGAGCTCTCCAGCCCTCCGGGCGTACAAACCCGAATGCTATGGCAAGCTTTCCGGGCCCCTACAGGCCCCAACCTTTGCCAGAAAGACTGTCAGATAGAATGCCAGTATATCTATATCTATCTATCTGTCTGTCTGTCTAGCTAGCTAACTTCTATCTATCTATTTATCGAGCTAGCTGGCTGGCTAGCTGGCTACCTATCTATCTAGCTATCTCTATCTAGCTTGCCACCAGAAAACCTGAATGCGTCACAGACTGATGTGCGCCTGGGCGCCTGAGGCAATCAAAACAGTGCAAGTTCACATGGGGGGATCACTGGAAACACTCGTCAGCAACGACAATAATTTGTCAGTGTCAACAAAGAAGCTTCACTAAACAACAGCAGTGGGGAGATAAAGTCAGCGGAGAGGCAATCGAAATGGCGTAAGTTCAAGTGCAAAGTCAATGAAAACATGCAAGGCAAGGATGTGCAGGCAGCTAGTGAGACAGACGTGTTTACAGGGACTTGGCTTCCGCTTCTGCAGATTCCCTTCTCTGCGGACCACTCCATGGATATCAAGAAGAACACCTTCTGAGGAGCACATACCCTTTTGGGCCCAAATCTGGTTCACAAACGACGTCAGAAACCAATGTTCAAAGTGACATTACCTTGAAAGGGTGTATCGCTAATTTGGAAAGGTCCCATCGCTTCACGTGTAATGGACGGACATTCCACAAATTTCCACAAACCAATGTCCGTCCATTACATGTTTAGTATGGCCGCGTTTTGCGGTGGCTCATGTGTATATATGTATATTGTGTCTGTATAGACATGTATACATATGTAAATACTATATAGATATATGCATACATATATATATACATACATACATACATACATACTTACATACATACATACATACATACACACATGACACATACACACATACATACTTATATTACATTACATTACATTACATTGCATTACATTACATTACATACATACATACATGCATACATGCATACATACATGCCTGTATGCCTGTATGTTTGTATGTCTGTAAGTCTGTATGCCTGTATGCCTGTATGCCTGTATGCCTCTATGTCTGTATGTCTGTATGTATGTATGTCTGTATGCCTGTTTGTATGTATGCATGTACGCATGCATGCATGCATGTATGAATGTATGTATGTAGGTATTTATGTATATGCACATGTATTTGTATATGTATATGTATGTGTATATATATATACATAAATATGTATATATATATATACAGCAGTTTCAAGGGGCTACATGTGTGCCCATGTGGCATGTGTTTCTAGAAGTAACAAACATTGATGTCTACTCAGGCGTGTTCATATCTACATAATACATACATCCACATATACTACAATTATAGTCAATTATGTAATATATAATGTTGGATGGACACTAGTAAAGCACGTGCAATAGCTACAAATAATTTTCAGAATCTGATTTTCCAGCCCCTATTGATTTCAAATTAGGCCTTATTGATTTTAAATTACAGACATCAATCTTGGTCCAGAGCATCTGCAATAGTTGTGCTGCATTCGCAATAGCTACAAATTATTTTCAGAAAATTCCCAACTTATCAGATTGTCCAATACTAAATTGTAAAATGGCTAATTGAGATTTAGTATGGATGCAGGGAAAAAACTCAGAACCAGTAATTAATGACCTGCCATGAGCAGATGCACTGTTTCTTTTAGACCCCAGAGGTGTCAGCATGGAATGTGTCTCAGAAGCAAAAACAAAAACAAAGCAAACCTTTACCAAATGCAAAACTTTACCTTGTTCAAAAAAACTGCGTTCTTTATTAAAATCCTTTGAAAAAATTGCAAAAAACAGGTCCACAAAGGGTACCCCCTTCTCTTGCAGGTCCTTGCATTTGCAATTAAAAATTGGAATTAGCACTTGCAATAATAAACAACCTTTCTGGCTCTAGCTGTATTTTTTCCCTTCCTCCTTTGTGTTTTAAATTGTGGTTGAATGGTTTTTTAATTGTGATTGCATGCTTTTCAAAAGCAGAAAGAAACAAAGCAAACCTTTACCAAATCCAAAACCTTACCTTGTTCAAAAAAAACGTTTTCTTTATTAAAATCATGTGGAAAATGCAAAAAAACAGGTCCACAAAGGGTACCCCCTTACAGGTCCTTGCATTTGCAAGGAAAAAATGGGAATTGGCACTTGCAATAAATAAACAACCCTTTACAGCTCTCTGTATTTTTCCCCTTCTTCCTTTGTGTTTTTAATTGTGGGTGATTGCATGCTTTTCAAAAGCAAAACAAACCTTTACCAAATCCAAAAACTTTACCTTATTCAAAAAAACTGGTTTCTTTATTAAAATCTTTTGAAAAATAGCAAAAAAACAGGTCCGCAAAGGGTACCCCCTTGCAGGTCTTGCATTTGCAATTAAAAATTGGAATTAGCACTTGCAATAGTAAACAACCTTTCTGGCTCTAGCTGTATTTTTTCCCTTCCTCCTTTGTGTTTTAAATCGTGGTTGAATGGTTTTTAATTGTGATTGCATGCTTTTCAAAAGCAAAGACAAAGAAAACCTTTACCAAATCCAAAACTTTACCTTGTTCAGTCAATGAGAATCCCATCAAAGCCTATCAGAAAACAGAGGTTCTCAATCAGAATCCAATGAAGATCCCATCAGGGCCTATCAGAAAAGAGAGGATTTGTCGAAACCTTACAGAAGCCTTGGGGAAGAGTTGGGATTTTCGATTTACTATTGCAAAGCAGACCTCCCCTTTAAAAAGAGAGCGTAACGCTGTGGGCCCCTGATTTTTACGGTGTTTTATGAGGTTTTTATTGTTAGATCACATATGTATGCAACAATAATGAAATTTGTATACCATAATCTTAGTTTCATCTCTTCTACTTAGATGTGCATCCTACTGAGTAAGTTGTTAACTTATATATATAACCTATACAAGCTCAGATATGTGGATAAAGTTCATATAACTGGAAATGCAATCTCCTTGCTAGGTGAGATCCAACCCCAAGTATGCAGCTATTGGCAACACTAGCTATCCTTCAACATAAATTAAACCAACCACCACATATGTGCAGCCATCAGCAACTTGAGATGCCTGTAGTTGTGGTAACCTGAGCGCATCAGCAAGTAACATGACGGTGCAAAGCATCAAACTTTCTCTCACGCTTGAAACTGCGTACACATTAGGCCGCGGATTTCCAGCCGCGCTTTTTTGTCCAGGACACAGTTGTCTCAAGAGCAGCAACTTCTCGACAACACACAGTTGGACGTTGCCACGACAACAATTGTGTCTCAGGCATGAAAAGATTTGGAAAAAGAGCCATGGAGGAATTCTGACTGAGCTATGCATAGATCTCCTAGACCCACATGGAAATCTATGAAACTCCAATCTCACGCTCCACCTTGTCGACCTGCATCCACCATCCTTCGAGGTGATCGTGATCGCGACCTTTCTAGTCGTCTAATGTCACCATACAGAATTGCTCGGCCGTCAGGACGTGTCGGGTTGGTCGGACCCGTTGGACTCGACAGCAATTGTCGTTCATGGATGACTGACTTTGGCAACCGGTCACCGTCGCGGCCCAGCACCTGCCACAATTCAAGATGTCTGAAGTCGCAATAGTCAATAGCACGGCCGTCAGGCCTGGACAGGTTCGTCAAACCCGTGCTAGCCGACAGCAATTTTCGTTCGCGGATCACCTCAACAGGCAATGGGTGACCACGAGTCATGCCCAGCACCTGCCACAATTCAAGATGTCTGAAGTCGCCATAGTCAAGAGCACGGCCGTCAGGCCTGGACGGGTTCGTCAAACCCGTGCTAGCCGACAGCAATTTTCGTTCGCGGATCACCTCAACAGGCAATGGGTGACCACGAGTCATGCCCAGCACCTGCCACAATTCAAGATGTCTGAAGTCGCCATAGTCAAGAGCACGGCCGTCAGGCCTGGACGGGTTCGTCAAACCCGTGCTAGCCGACAGCAATTTTCGTTCGCGGATCACCTCAACAGGCAATGGGTGACCACGAGTCATGTATATTCAGACCACCTAACTATGGCCGCCAGGCGACGCAGGTTCGCTAAAGCTCTCAATCCAAAACTGCAGCGAATGAAGGGGTACGAGATTCATTCTGGACATGAGACTCATGCGCACCGAGAAATTCCGATTGAATTATGATCATTCTCTGCGTTCTATAAAGAGCCTCTAACACCATTCATCCAATTGTTTTTTTTTGTCTCTTTTTTTTGGTCATTGTTGACAGATTGTCAGAGTAATTCCATTTTGACAGACATCGTTTTTCAATGTGGGAATATATTATATATATAGTATTATTGTGACTATGCTGTTCCATATCCAAAAGAACGATGCATTTATCACCATTGGTCAGAGAACCCCATGGTATATGATGAATGTTTCCTTTGCGCAATGGCAATGTTTCCTTTTTCTCCTCCCCTCGGACACGGCCTCGCAAGTCTATCTTGCTATTGTACGAATCTACTGTACTCGGACTGATACGCAACTTGTCTAGGTGTCATTCAGTCCCATGCAATGTGCTGCCTCTTCGTCAGCCTCTAAATCTACACCCTCATTACGTCAAGTTGCCGTGCTGAAAGACATCCTCCTCATCATCCTCGTTCTCATTGTCCATGATTTCTTCAAGAGCCTGCTCGAGCGGCACAGAAGCATCAGAAGCCGCATCATGAGCAGAATCATCTTCCAGATCAATGACCGTGTTTGTGGCACGAAGTTTGCAACTGTCTCCATACCTTTGCCTCCTTGAAGACGCGGCTTTGTTCCTCTTCCACTTTCTCTCGCTTGATGGCAATGCGCTGAGCATGTGCAGTGGTTGCCTGAGACAAACATGATGATGACTGGCGCTCAGATTCGAAGAGACCCCGGACATTTTGACGATGTGCCCAATCAGGCTGGCGTGATTGTGCTATGTTTTTGTACAGCCGCAGCCATGTTTGTTCCTTTTCCACCTCAATCCCAAAGTCCGCAGGCATGCCTTTCTTGTTGTCTTTGACTTGGCCATACCACTTCTTCCCTTCGTCTGTGAGGTAGTCCGCATTGACCATGGATTTGCGAGGCACGTGTTCCTCATTGATGCCAGCCTTGCGATAGTACACAAAGTTCTTGGTGTTGACAAGGAATGTGGCGCGCTTCAGGATGGCATCAACGTCAGCTTTGGAGGCTTCTTTGCAGAGACACGGCCGAACCATCTCCCAGAAAGTCGAAAACTTGATGTGTTCCAAGAAACTTTCTCCTTCCTCGATATCAGCTTCATAGGTGTTTGAAGCCATAGCTCTGGGCTGGTTTTGGACCCATTTGACTGCACCCCACCTAGCCCAGGACATGCTCTCATACAAGCCAACATCTAGCAAGGACTTGAGAGCCTTCATGCCCAGTGCTTGCGTGCAAGGATCATCCAAGAAGTCACCCATGATGACTGTCCCAGGCTCCCCTCGCAAGAAATCAATTTCCGGAGTGCATCGGATGGATGGCTTGCCATCATGGTTGAAACGCTCCTTGTTGAAGCGACATTGTGCCATGAGGACGCTCCTGCCCAAAGGGCTTTTCCCCGCACCAGGTTCGCCCAGCATCACAAAGGCAGCCAAGTCAAAACTCCAAATCTCTTCCAAGATTGCAAGGATCCACGGATGATAGAACTTGGCGGTCAGCGGCACAGGCCACTCGAACTCCTTGCGTGCCAGAGCGCCTTCAGAGGTGAGGAGTCGCAGTGCATTTTGTACAAGACCCTGGGGCCAGCCAAAGATCGGAGATGAGGATTTCCTGAGTTCTTTGGTTTGCCAACGAAGCTGTTGAAGATCGCTGGCGCTTCTGGGGGCTTTCTGGGTCAAGAAGTCGAAGCCTCGGTCGAGATCTTCATCTTCTAGTTCATCAAATGCCCTGGCTTTTTTGCCATTACATACCTCAGCACTGAGATCAAGGCATCGGAACTGCCTGCCGCCCATGGGACAGACAAGTTCGGCAAAAAGCAAGGGCTCACAACGTTACTTTCTCTTTTAAAAAAGAGGGGACCCCCTTTACTATTGTCGATGCAACATTATATGATATAGTATCACATAATATCACATATAATATCATACTCATATCATTTAATCGAGTTCCAAAAGCCACATAACCATCTCTTCCGCACCTGGAGCTTCGAAAATTTCTTTTTCAACTCCTTGGCCGCTTTCAGTGCGTCCTTTTCCTAAGCCGAGCCGGACAGGGCCATGGAGATGTGATGCTGTAAGTCGTATGTAGTAGATAGTATGTAACAAAGTGCGTATGTTATATAATGTTATATATATATATATTAATCTATATATTTATTTACGTTGATGTATCTTCATATTGATTTGTTAAATTTGGAATAAATTTGGATCAAATTCTGCTGTTATATCACCATCTACATGTCCCCCTAAAGCCATTTATCATTAATCATCACTATCTACTTATCTACAGTTCTATTATACTCATCACATTTCCTGATCATCGGTAGACTATAATAGATGGTCAAGATTCACCCTTATAATTGTGGTTGTTGGTGGTGAATCCATCCCACTTTAACAGGAGCAGTCTACCTACATTGGTCCACCTGCCTGACTTTACAAGATCGAAACATGGTTGAAAAGAAACTTGAATACTTCACTCATGCTGGGGGATCTTTAACTCCTTTCATCAATGCTCCAGTGCATGACAAAAGTTATTGTTCCTAATCACAATTTGTGGGTCCTCAGGAAGGCCAGTCCAATCTGGTTGGTGGTTTCAACCCCTCTGAAAAATATGAAAGTCCATGGGAAGGATTATCCCATATATGAAATGGAAAATAAAACATGTTCCAAAGCACCAACCAGTTATAGATTATCATAATTTCTATCTGATGATGATCATGATCGCCATTAAAATTACCATTAATCACCATTAATCACCATTAAATTGCCATTAAATTATCATCAATTTGCCTATCTGAATGACCGTCCCGTTCCCGTCGTGAGTCGATCTCTTCCAAGATGGAATCCTCAGTGCCGAGGTGACGCCATGGGGCTGCCATGGGGTTTTTTTTCGATCGTAGAATGTTCACCACTTCTCCCAATCGCTGTTGGTTAAACATCCATGTTTCATTGGATTTGTTTAAGGGAAAATCTACAGGAAGCCATGGGTTTTACCATCAAATATAGGGCTTTCCTGTAAATTTTCCCATCATCCAATTCTATGAATGTTTCATCATTTTGCTTCGGTCTTAGGTTGTATTATTCACTTTTGTTGCCGACGTCCGTAAAATTCCTCATCGTTGGAGCCAGCACTCATTGTTTCTGGCAGGCTTCCACCCATGGTGAGTCATCCTCTCTATCTGGTTCTAGTTGGCGGTTTCAAATTTACCCCCGCTGGAAAATACAGATATGGTTCTGAGTCACTTATTGCGGATCATCACATGTGCAGGGATGGACTATGAAGATCCATTAAAAACACTTACTTGAAACCAGAAACCACTACCGGGCATGAGTTGGATGCAGGTTCATGGTAAAAAGGCCTCCCGAACTCACAAATTGGCTAGCCGTTTTGGATCAAACCGTCTGTTTGTTTGTGAGACCTACAGTATTGTTTACTAACTGAGATGAACAGGTTAGATTCCCAATCATTTAAATATAATACCCCACTGGTTGCTGATGTTGCTGTGAATTCCCATTGTCGGGGAATAACCCCATCAACCATCAATGACAACCCTCTTTGGATTCTTGAAATGTTGATCCCCTGCTGAAAATTCAGTGGGAAACTTGCGCGTTTACCCATCTATGCTAATATGGTTGCTTATGTCAACCAAAGATATGAGTTAGATGCCTACAATTCATCAATTCATCCAGTAATCCAGGATTATACATCATTGACAACCGGTTTAGTACTTGGACAGGTCCTTAAGGTCCACTACAAGTGTAATTGCCATCCTGCAATCCCACCAGAAATATAAATCAACCAGGGGCTTATGAATCCTGAGCTGACACTATTAAATTATGAGATAATGATTAGGATTGGCACCCCCCCCACTCCAAGGGTCTGAAGCTGGTGTCCAGTCTACACCCAACAGGGATGCGGCACCAGAACGGGTGTGCACCTGGAAGGATGGTCAGGCTTTCTCCATGCCATGTGTTTTTTTCCTTCCTCTTGCTTCTGTCCTTGCTTTATGTTTTCTTTATTCCTTTCGTTCCCTCAAACCAACCTTCATTCAGTTCTTTTCCTTCCACTATTTTTGTTCCGGTCTTCCTTTGCTTTCCGTCTTTGCCTTCCATTCCTTCTTTCCTTCCTTGATGTCTTCATCTCTTTCAAGTGTTGCTTTGCACCTTCAATTTAGATGTCACGCCTTTGATTTCTCATGATTCCTCTCACTTCGCCAAAACTATCACGTCATGGATAAAGCGAAGGACAAACCATGCGGTGGAACACACAGCAATTCGTGGTCACCACAGGATGTTTCAATAGGTTGATGGCCGATCCCCATGAAACATGAAAGTTTCACCCTGGCCTTTTCCAAGCCCATCTTCTGAATTCCAGACAAATCTTACCAGTACCATTCTGATTTCCTCCAATAAAGGGCTGTCATACAGCTGGTGCTGGATAATTCTAGATCTGACTGATGTTTTTTTCGATTTTCCAGGAAGTTCCAGGTCGCAAACCTCTTGCTGAAAAAATCACTTTCCCGACATCATCTTTATGGAAATATATGGAATCGAAGGATCTGTATCTTTCCTGGTCATGAAAAACCTTTAGTGTTGGGGGGATTATCTTTTGAGGTTTCTCTCACAGGGCCAAAAAGGTCGGTAAAGCTTGACTCCAGTCACCAGTCCCCAGATCGGTGGATTGACCATGGGATTGACATGGATTAACCATGGGATTAACCCATGGATCTTTGAGTTACCCTCTGGTAAACTAACATAGCTATTGAACATGGCCATTTATAGCTGATTTGCCATTAAAAATGGTGATGTTCCATAGTTATGTAAACGTTTACCAGAGGGTAAATGAGATATTTCTTCACCGGCTCCATTCGTTCTCCCTGGACCATTCCCCCCTGCCTCCGCATGGAGTACACGGCGCATCTGCTTGCAGGCCTCTAAATCCTCGCTTCACCCGGAACAATGAATTATCAATGGTTGCTGGTTCCTGATTTAGCAATAAATTAACGGAACAATAAATATAAGAAATTATCAATAGAATTTATGATTATCATCCCTCACTGGTTCCTGTGGATCATAAATTAACTATCATAGATCAAGCCAATGGGCTTGGATGAAACAGGGACCTGATATTCGAGTGATGTTTGCCCTTGGAGTTTTGTTTGCTTCATGTTATGTGACACACTTCATCAATGTTTCTGTAGCCTGAAATCCGCCGCTCAAAGCCATGACCAGTTGATATGTCGTAATTCTGCAACGTTCACGATCAACGATCAACTGTTCCTGGGGAAGAAATCCAAGGAAATTGGATACATATGCCTTTCTAACATAGTTTATCCCCACTCCCGGCAAAGCAAATTGGCAAATCTTAAATTTCGCTGCAAGAAATTAGGCGTGCCGCGTTCTTGGGGATTATGAGATTATGTTTATTGTGTCTTATCATCACGCCATACTATGAATGGTTACTAGCGATTATGGCATTGAGTAAAACCACGAGGGCCTCCTCAATCATCGCTTCGAGTCGTTCTTTGGACCTCGGACTCCCTGCCACGGGGGAGATCTACTGTTTTTGGCAATCCCCAAACAAAATGCAGAAAAGGTTCAATTTACATCTAATTATATAATTCAGGGTTGGATTTTATCAACTTCCGTTTCTTGGGGGGTCCCTATACCGTATACCCCCAAAAAAGTGGGATTCATACATCATTCAGACAAGGCGATCTCTATAGCAAAGATGGTCTCAGCACACGGTCGCGGTTCCCGTTGCTCGAAATCTTGATCCAGAACCATACAGTACAAGGGCATGGTGAATCAAATCCCCCTTGTTCAGCTGAATGTAACATCTTTACACATCTTTGACATATCCGAGACGATGGTTGTGCCGCCCCTCATGGCTGCACCACCCCAGGCTGCCAATCTGAGGCCGCTGGCTCTTCTAAACGTGCGAAAGCGTACTGATATGCTTTCCTGAGTGGAAGATTCGTTCACTTAGTTTTGGATCAATATATATATACATAACAATAACAATAATAATACTAAGTTATTAGACTAATAATAGTAATAGATCATCCATATCTTTGAGGTGATTGACCATGATTGGCTCACGATTTTGCTGGTCATGTTTTGTTGCTCATTGGTAGGACTTAAGAAATCTCCAGAATCTGAAGACAATTGGTGCTTCTCCCAATCCTAAGCATCATTTCTCCCCAGGGTCTGCCAGGGTTTGGTTCCCCAAAAACCACAATGGATCCCCAATAATTGTCATCAATAGTGCATTTAGATGACTATTATGATTTATAATGACTATTAGTCATTTCCAACCCAACATGATTTATAATTGGGATTAGTTGGGCACGTTGACTCTGGCAGCCAGTGGATCCCAAATTGATCCCTGCCCCCCTAGTGGAAACAACACCACCAAAACCACAAATGGAATGTACCGGATTTATTCATTTTTAGGGGGGTCCAAATGTTGGCTGTATTTAATGGATATGGATATGATCGTAGCCTCATGAAAACTACCATAGACATGGACACAATCTACTGAAACAGTGGAGAAAATCCACGAAAAAATAAAAGGTGACCCAACCATGATAGACCCACCCCCATTATACTGGCTGACTAGATACAGTATCCCGTAAATTCTAGCTCATCTCCAACAACCAGGTAGGTTACTAACCATAACCCCTTATGACTCCCTCTTTCATATCATAACCAATCAACTCCCCTCTTGAATTCGTGTGACTGAAACTAGAGTACCCCAAAAATTAATCCATTAAAACCTCATTTTTCCATATGTTTCCTATGAAAGGGCCATCAATTGGTGCAGTTTTCAGGTCGCCAGTGGTCGCCAGATTGCTGTAGTCACCTTGGGTCCCAGTCGCAACTCCACCGAGTCCTTGTCTTTCTGCTTGTCCGGATGCACCTTCAGCGCCAGCTTTCGATACGCCCCACGCACCTGGCAGTGATGCTCGAGTCATGGCAGAAAAGGGGTGTGTACATATATATATATAGAGAGAGAGAGAGCACTTGTATGATTGTCTATATGGATATGTTCATATATAGCACTTTTGTTTATATTCAGTAGTATTATTAATAATATTATTATTAATACGTATATATACCATTATGTAGAGAGGGAGAGAATATGGCAAATGATGAATCCTCAATCCCATCATTGAAGGTGAGCTGAGTGAGGTCAAGTCATGCTTAGCATATACAGATAGTACACTTCAAATCAAAGGAATGGTAAAATATAGTTCACACACGTATTGCATATAGTTGAGCATATAGTTATTATTATGGTAAAATCACTGAAATACACCGAGTCTGAACAGTTGAATCAAAGGAATTTGACGCGGCTTGCTTTGGAGTTCTGTGGTGCGTTCGTTGAAATCTCATCGATGTTATGCAGTGATGTTCAAGGCAACTAAATAAGCTGTTTGGCTCCACAGTAGGGATATAGGAAGCAGGAAGGGATTTCAAGCGTCCCAAGCGCTTGGGGGTGTCCACCATCATTTCTTTGGTTTGACACAACATTTCAGCATATTGACCCACATAGTCTCTCCGAAGAAAGATGAAAGACACAGCTATTTTCCATTGATTTTCCATGGATTTTCCATACTTGTCCAATGAAATTTCCCAGAAAAAATCCAATGATCAAGTGGACGCCTGCTTCACATCCAGCTCATCATCTGGTGCCAGGAGCACATCAAACCTGGAGCCCATGGCTTGTGGTTGGGATTGAAGCAACAAAAATTGGGCTATAATCGGTCTAACCCAACAAAACGGAGACAGAATGGAATGTCACCATACTGTATATTCGTAGCTCTTTGGTTTGACTCACCATTGTGGAGTGTGGATACCCATAGCTCCTTTGCTCCTTTCCAACCAGCACTTTCAGATCGTTCACAAGAGAAAGTGGGGATCTAAATAGTGCGTTAGGATGATTGGCACGGGAGTCTTAATAATCCATAATGAGCCATGTGCACATACATGTGCCATAATACTCCATAATGATCCAGAATGATCCATTAATGATCTTATTAATGATCCATACATACATGTCTACATCATTCTATCCAGATAAGAGTTCTGTATATGTGCACATATAGTAGACTGTACCACCACTGCATACAGTAGCGACTTGACAAATCCCTGGACTTCAAGTCGTTACGTGGTTGTCTGATGAAACGACCGCAAAAGAAGTCCAAAAACCCAGAAAAACTCAGCACACAAAACTCAAAAAAACTCCACCATCGATGATTTCCCCATCCATTTATGATATTTATGGGATATTTCGCTTGCGCCATGTTTGATGACCACGGTAGTACTACTACGACAAAAATCGCCACATCGGAACCGAAGGATTCCACCATTTTTTTCATCCAGAGCCACACGCTGGGTGCGCAAAGGATGCGCTTGGCATCGTCCAGTTTCTCAGCTTGCTGATGATGCAACAAACCATCCACAACCTCGGTGATCTGAATATATCTGAATGGCTGGGAAACCTTTGAGGTGTCCAGAACCAAACAGTTAAACATCCCACGTCGGAGGTCGGTATCAAGGAATCCATGTATGCCGTACATGTTGAAGAAACATGTATGCATCTATATATATATATGATATATGTATATCTATAGTCTATATCTATAGTCTATATCTATAGTCTATATCTATAGTCTATAGCTATATGTATACATATTACATCATATTACAAGTGTAGATATTGTTGGACGCAGCCAAGTGACCATCCCACCTGCCTGCCAGAATCCTTGCGATCCAAGGCATCAACAACTGGGACAACTGGGACCCGTATGGGACCCCGTATGGGACCCATATCCAAATGGTGAATAAATATCCAAACCCCAGAGATAATCATATGTATATATATATGTGTAAACCTGCAAAGAGGCAGGCATGGGCTCTGCATATAAATTTCATCAAGCGTGAAGCATGTATATGTATTTTTATTGTTTCCATGTTGTCACAAGCAGCCCTTGCTGATACCACCAAGAACGAGAAAAGGAGTTCTTGAGAGTTTTGTTTGGGCAAGTCAAAGAACACAATGTACCATGTGACCAATGTGGACCTGCAGAGTTTTCCAGACCCTTGTTCAGGCAAAAGAAAATCCGACCTTTTTCTTGAATTTCCGCCATTTCTCCGAGCAATTCTGCCATTGTGCTTTGGAGCCCAAAATTTATTGCCAGTGAATTGCCACCGATTATTCCAGAAAAAAACAACGTAATTTGCTGCAGTGGTCCACAAAAAAGACAAAACCCAGCAAACGTAACAGCGCATTTTGTTGTGAAAGGACGAAAATTATGCATACTATGCGGCTTAGCAGGAAGATCAAAATACGACTACTGACTATAAAATATATAAATAGCCGGTCGGCTCGAAAGCCATTCTAGTATTTTGCATGGTTTCGGGCCAGCCATTTGAAGATGAAGACGCATATTATGCATGTTCTGCGGGCGCTTACTTCTTATTATTGTGTTAAGATGAATAGCGTGGTTTGTCTCCAATTCCAACCAAATGAGCTTCTTGCCTTAGTGGAAATATTTTGTTTGGCTTTCGAGACCCTTAGAACTGCTTACAAATTTCCAAGATGTCAACATCCAAAAGTGTGATCGCTGCTGAGGAAAAATACATATTACAGTAGATCCTGGGAGAATTCAAGGCAGAAATCAATATTCATGGATTTCACATCTTGCGAAACCATGCGAAACCTGCACGACGTGCATCTTGAACCGCAAGCTAGGCAAGTTGTTCCTGTTCTTCTTCTGCAGCTGCTACTTGGAGATAGGCTCACAGCTCAACAAACGAGGCATGTTTTGTGGAAAATCATCACAAGAGATGCTGCCACATTTGGATCAGCTGGTGCGCCGACAGTGATTGTTATTGTTATTTTGCTTGTGCAAGTACGTGTCAGGCACTGGTTTATAGATTTTATAGCTTGGTTAACTAGGGTTTCCAGTAGATATATCCTTTGCTAATGGGGTCCATGAAACCATAGAGATCCTCCTGTGATTTCTGGATATTGATACGACAAAAAATCAGAACACGACAAATCCAACAGCGGAAGCATGTAGTAAAAAATAACAATGGCAAAACGCTAGAACGCGTTTTTGGCTGCAGGCCTACATTAAATATATGTATATACATACTGCGTGTGTATGTGCGTATGTCTGTATGTCGGTATGTCGGTATGTCTGTACGTCTGTACGTCTGTATGAATGCATGCATGCAATACAAATATGCCATAATTGCATGCATTTTATACACATATGCCATACAATACAATACAATACAATACAACACAATACAATACAGTATAACATCATAGAATGTGAAATAGCCTTAGCACGCTTAGCACAATATCTTCAATTAGCACTTTTGCATACTTTGTTCTGCTCATAGCATGTTTGCTTGGATTTATGCTCACCCCAGCTGTTGTTTATGCTCGCTTGAATTTAAAAAAAAGAAAAACGCGCACGTGTATCCTAACGGACTGATATTTACGCTTATTCCCCTGGTATTTACGCTCATTTCCCGGGAAAATATGCTCAAAATTGTGGCTTCAAAAGTTGCAAAAATGCCAGGAGTGGTGCAATTACGCTCATTTGGAGAAAAACCGCTCAAAGGCATAAATCTCTCAAATGAGCATTCATTTGTGCTTTTTAGAGGATGCAGGTATATATATATAATATATATATATGTATACGTATCTGATATTTAATGATATATATATACATATGTATATGCTACACGTGAATTTATCTATATACATATTTATACTGTATGACAGAACCAACCAGGCGAAAAAAATGCAAAACATCTCCTCTGCACATCCCAGAGTCGCAGCTGCTCTTCTTCGTCCTCTAAGTGACCTTCGCAATCCAACAGTCGAGATGCGCTAGACGCCTGGCCGCCAATAGGGCTCGATGATCCCGACGCATTTTCCTACCCCGTAAGATGGCGCACCCCAATCGTAGAAATTGCATTTAAAATGGCATTTCAATGGCTAATGCGACCCCCAAAGAGTTGTTGAATCATGATTGCCAAGCCCTTTGATTGTGTGGAAAAAAATATTTACTATCCTCGGCAAGGTGAAATTGTTTCAGTTCTGCTCTGTATAGTACAACTATACTAATATGAATTGTTCGGAGTCATGCTTAGTGTAATTATATATATATACACATACTATTCATATGAGATATTGCAGATTTTGGGGGCAGAATTATATAGAATTATCGTGTATATATAATATAATACAATATAATATAATATAATATAAAATAATATAATATAATATATTATGTTATGTTATATTATATTATATATATATATATATATTTGAATATGATTCATTATAATTCAATCCTTTATCAAGCCTGACAACCCAAAATTCCCAAAGATCTCCCATCAAGCAGGCCTTTCCCTCACCTTCCAGCAGCAGGACGCGACAGTCTCCCACTCCAGCGACTACCAGGCGATTTCCCAGCAGCAGCGCCAGCAGAGCGGAACAGCCACCTGCGATAGGGGGGGTTCCTGGGAGAATTTCCCAATTTGGGAGATACCCTCTGGTAAACTAACATAACTATGGAAAATCACCATTTTTAATGGGTAAATCCACTATTTCTATGGCCATTTTCAATAGCTATGTTAGTTTACCAGAGGGTAACTTGATGAAATCATGGAAGATATGGAACATGATCCATGTACCTCGATGATTTGCCTCTCAAAAAAAAATGGTGATGTTCCATGGCAAACTGTCAAATTACCAGTGCGTATAAATGGAAGATCTGCTGAAACCTTCTGCTGTTTCTTTCAAACTATTGGGGGTCACGTCGTTGATTTAAGACCACGACGAATGGTTTTGTCTCAAAAAAGTGGGATAACCAGTGGTAAGCCCTAAATCCATTGCTAATCACCACACTTTCCCTAGTGCTAATTTGAGTTGTCATTCGCCAATTCCTGCGCAAACGACAGAAATCCAGAGGGCATTGCTCCCATGCTGCTGGGACGCTGAAGGGAAAGGCGCTCTTCATGACTTCAGTGTCCAACTCAGAAAGCGTTGCCTGGGAAGGCCACTGGTGACCACCAGAGGCAGACCTCCAAATTGGGAGTTACCGCTATTGAAAAAAATTGCCATTTATAGTGAGTTTTCCCATCAAAAATTGTGATTTTCCATAGTTATGTTAGTTTACCAGAGGGTATCCAATCAAAACCCCAGATATCCCTAGATACGTTTAGAATAGATTCTAGATACTCTCCTTACGATTCTCAGATAATCCTCTTGGTTCCGATGGCTCGAAGTTCATCCACTCAAGCTTTTGGTATCATTTCCCTCGTTGGTTTCAACAGGTCACTACAGTTACAGGATCAAAGCCATTTCCACACAGAGGTTTCTATCTTTCCTCAACATCAGCCACTGTTTCACCGCCACTCCTTCACCACCATTTGAAGTTATTTGAAGTGATGCTCAACCTCAAAAAAGTGGAATCTCCAAGTTTATATTTTAATCATGACATTCCCTTTCAACCCGGAATAGGATGGCTTAATTTCCACATATTTCGGGGAACTACTGTATCCCATTCACCCCATGCGCAGTGCCTCCAAGATTTCTTGAAGCTCCTGGCATGGATCGATCCCACTATGATACCCCGAGCAAGCCCCCCCATTGGGCGGGGAGAATCATGGGGGGTGAAAAAAGGGGCATGAAGTATGATGAAATATGATGAAATTAAATTGTACCCTCATAAAAAGTATAGAAAAACCATGAAAAAGTCTGTTACTGTAGACCTTGTCAGTTGCTAGGCAACGGCCTTAGCCCATGGCCCCTTGGCCCATCGTTGACGGTTTATCGTTTTTCGCATAGTGGAGTAACGTAGAGTAGACATTGTTGCTGGATCTACTGGGGTCATCGGAATTCAGGAATGATGGGTGGGAACATGTAGGAACTTAGGTTGACCCCTTGATGTACCCTCTGGTTCACTAAGTTCACTATTTCCGAACCTTAGGGGATGATGTAATGACACCAACGTCCCGGAGTGCCACACTATCTCTTGTTGGAGTTCAATAGAAGTGCGACCAGATCGTAAGACATCTTGAATCTGTCACAACCCTTCACAGAAGATCCCGGGGTCAACGCTCAGTCCGCAAAATCTTGCTGGTTCACTGCTACTTTGCGGGCGGCGGGGAGAGAAATTCTTTGTTTCTTTTGGTTTTTCTGTCCAGAAGGGTGGCATCATGTTTTCCAGCTGCTGGTCCGCTACTTTGTTTGAATATGTTTGAACCAAGCATAGATTGGCAAAATTTGCCCACCTTCGAAGGAAAATCCGGCAATTTAAGTTTCAGCTGGTCGGTTTTGGAAGGCTAAATCAATAAAGACTTCCCCCGCAGGCCCCTTCAGAAGCCCCTTCAGCCACACCTCCGTCTTGTAGACGTGGATCTTCTCAGCCAATCGCGGCAAGAGCTTTTTGTGAAAGTTCCTCAGGCCAAACATGTTCTGGAGGGGGGGCTGAATGTCCAAACCCCCAGAGACTCAACATATTCAACATGGATAGATCGGGCCCCGTATCACGTCTCAACATGGAGACCTAAGGGTAGGGGGTCAACATGAGCCCTTGCTTTGTAGAGGTTCTGGTGTTTGATACCCTTCAATAAGGCCTTACATTCGGAGGGTCACCATTGAATTTTCATGAATTTTCATGAAACTGCCAGGTCCTGCAAGTTTCAGCGAGTGGCAGGGCTACGGGACATTTCTGGCATTTTGGACCTACAGCGAATGAAATTGATATTCAAATTCTAGGAATGTCCTCTACCTGCGGGTAGCAAATCCAATATCCTAAATCCTGACCAACTTGGGTATCAAGAATGGTGTTGGGTCCCCATGCCCGACAAAAAACCTCCTAAGGACTCGAAATTTGGCAACTTTTTTCAAAATGAGCCGGGTAATCTCGGGTACAGTATGGTAGCGTGAAGTTGATCATGCAGACCACAGTGGGGCGGGGGATTACAACAAATGCCAATGACTGGCTGGATAAAATGTCAATGTCAAGGATTAAAACCACTTGGGTTGTCATTAATTATATATCATTATATTACATTGATTGATCGGAACCGGAACCAGCAATCACTTTCCATATCGGTTGATACCATTCTTCATGAAACATCTCAAGTCACTCAAGTCCTTTTCAAGGATCTGCACAGTGGACGCAAATTCCCTGTCAGAAATCAGAAATGGGATGATACTCGTAGCCCAATCACTAGCCCAACAGTTGACTCCAATGAAATCCAGCCGATGTGCACTGTTTTCTGACTGCTTCCCCAAACAAAGCCCAAAATATGGTGGAAAAGCCGGCTGGAAATCATGAGGTAAACTATGGTAAACTGGTAAACATCATCTTTCATCTGGAAAGACGTTGCCATACGTTTCCGTCTCTTGGGAGATCCCTAGAAAAACTATCCTATACTTAATTGCTTAATAAACCAGCGATGAAAAAACTGATGTGGCCCTCTGTCAGTAGAACCCAGCTGGGGGGGCAATTTTTTTTGGACACACCATTTTGGAGCCACAAAATTGGACCTTCTTACTATTGAACCATCCCAAAATGGTGATCAATAGTTCTGTGCCATATCCAAATGGGTATGTATCCACACCCAATCAAGTGATATAATTCGGTATGATGAATCTTCAGCTATACTTGCCATTTTGGTCCTTTGGATGTGGCTCAAAATTATTGATCCCCATTTTGTGATTCTTGAAGAGTAACATACACGTACGTTTTGTGGGTCCATTCGTACCAGTGAGGCATAAGCTACAGTACTCAGTACTGTAAATCAGTCACCCTCATGTTTGCTCGTTTGTTGATGAAATCCCTCATTCATGCTCAAAAAAACATGATGATCCCATGGTGAAATCATCAATCCATATCAATCCCAAAGGATCCCATTTCGGGCAAACTATCACATCCCCGTGATTTCATCTTCCAGGACTTTTCAAGTGAACCTCTCCCAATTAATGGACAACGATCCCCCGTTGATGGCTCTAACATGTGAAAAATCCCTTACTTGTTGGCCGTAAAATCTCCCATCTGTGCCAAAAGGGTTTGTCCGCAAATCAGGTACTGTACATATAATATAGATTGTCATTGTTGATTATCCATGTTCCCAATGTTTTGCAATTTTTCCCATGAAAATTAGCATTTTGGGGTATCCCAAATTTTCAGAAAGCGTCTCAGCACACCACTGCGCAGCTTCTGGGGTCCGCAAGCCCTGGAACAGCGCCTCAGCGCCATTGGAAATGACCAAACTTAGGTTCGTGCCGTTTCACAACCACAAGGCATTATTTGTCAATTACACCGGCATAGACCCAAGATAGAAAAGGTTGGAACTGATGGTTCCCAACGTGGGAACCAAAGGTTACCATGGCAAGGAACTGCCGGTTCCCAGACCTTGAAACTTACGGTTCCCAACCTGGGAACCAGAGGTTACCATTGCAAGGAACTGCCGGTCCCCAGAAGATAGAATTTATGTTTTCGAAGCTAAGCAACTATCATTGTAAGGAACTGCGGATTCCCAAAGTTTGAAACTCATGGTTCGAAACCTGAAAAAGCATACGTTACCAGTGGAAGGATCTGTTGATTCCAAAAAGTTAGAACTCATGGTTCTTAATGTTGTTTTGTTTTGTTTACTGAGCCGGTAACAGAACCTTTTGTTTTGCTTAATGGACCGGTAGCGGAATGTTTGCGTTCGGCTGCTGGGCCGGCATAAAAATGTTGTTGCACGAAAAAGGTGCATGTTAAAATGATATGAAAACAGTTTCTTTACAATTTTTTGGTTTTGCTATGTTTTGCTTAATGAACCGGTAAAGAACGCTTTGTTTTGCTTAATGGACCGGTACCGGAATGTTTGCGTTTGGTTCATGGCAAGGAACTGCCGGTTCCCAAAGGTTGGAACTCACTGTTGCCAACGTGGGAACCACAGGTTACCATTGCAAGGAACTGCTGGTTCCCAGAGGTTGGAACTCATGGTTCCCAACCTGGGAACCACAGGTTACCATTGCAAGCAACTGCCGGTTCCTAGAGGTTGGAACTCATGCTTCCCAACCTGGGAACCATAGGTTACCATTGCAAAGAACTTCCAATTCCTGAAGGTTGGAACTGATGGTTCCCAACGTGGGAACCAAAGGTTACCATGGCAAGGAACTGCCGGTTCCCAGACCTTGAAACTTACGGTTCCCAACCTGGGAACCAGAGGTTACCATTGCAAGGAACTGCCGGTCCCCAGAAGATAGAATTTATGTTTTCGAAGCTAAGCAACTATCATTGTAAGGAACTGCGGATTCCCAAAGTTTGAAACTCATGGTTCGAAACCTGAAAAAGCATACGTTACCAGTGGAAGGATCTGTTGATTCCAAAAAGTTAGAACTCATGGTTCTTAATGTTGGTTTTGTTTTGTTTACTGAGCCGGTAACAGAACCCTTTGTTTTGCTTAATGGACCGGTAGCGGAATGTTTGCGTTTGGCTGTTGGGCCGGAATAAAAATGTTTTTTGCACGAAAAAGGTGCATGTCAAAATGATATGAAAACAGTTTCTTTACAATTTTTTGGTTTTGCTTAATGGACCGGTACAGAACGCTTTGTTTTGCTTAATGGACCGGTACCGGAATGTTTGCGTTTGGTTCATGGCAAGGAACTGCCGGTTCCCAAAGGTTGGAACTCACGGTTGCCAACGTGGGAACCACAGGTTACCATTGCAAGGAACTGCCGGTTCCCACAGGTTAGAAGTCATGGTTCCCCAACCTGGGGACCAGAGGTTACCATTGCAAGCAACTGCCGGTTCCCAGAGGTTGGAACTCATGCTTCCCAACCAGGGAACCATAGGTTTCCATTGCACAGAATTTCCAATTCCTAAAGGTTGGAACTGATGGTTCCCAACGTGGGAACCAAAGGTTACCATGGCAAGGAACTGCCAGTTCCCAGACCTTAAAACTTACGGTTCCCAACGTGGGAACCACAGGTTACCATTGCAAGGAACTGCCGGTTCCCAGACGTTGGAACTCCTGGTTCCCAACCTGGGAACCATGGGTTACCATTGCAAGCAACTGCCGGTTACCAGAGGTTGGAACTCATGCTTCCCAACCTGGGAACCATAGGTTACCATTGCAAAGAACTTCTAATTCCTAAAGGTTGGAACTGATGGTTCCCAACGTGGGAACCAAAGGTCACCACGGCAAGGAACTGCCGGTTCCCAGACCTTGAAACTTACGGTTCCCAACCTGGGGAACCAGAGGTTACTATTGCAAGGAAGTGCCGGTTCCCAGAAGTTAGAATGTATGTTTTCGAAGCTAAGCGGCTATCATTGTAAGGAATTGCCGGTTGCGAAAGCTTGAAACTCATGCTTCCAAACCTGAAAAAGCATACGTTACCAGTGGAAGGATCTCTTGATTCCAAAAAGTTAAAACTCATGGTTCTTAATGTTGTTTTGTTTTGTTTACTGGGCCGGTAACAGAACCTTTTGTTTTGCTTAATGGACCGGTAGCGAATGTTTGCGTTCGGCTGCTGGGCCGGCATAAAAATGTTTTTGCACGAAAAAGGTGCATGTTAAAATGATATGAAAACAGTTTCTTTACAACTTTATGGTTTTGCTTAATGGACCGGTAAAGAACGCTTTGTTTTGCTTAATGGACCGGTACCAGAATGTTTGCGTTTGGTTCATGGCAAGGAACTGCCGGTTTCCAAAGGTTGGAACTCACTGTTGCCAACGTGGGAACCACAGGTTACCATTGCAAGGAACTGCCGGTTCCCAGAGGTTGGAACTCCTGGTTCCCAACCTGGGAACCAGAGGTTACCATTGCAAGCAACTGCCGGTTCCCACCTGGGAACCACAGGTTACCATTGCAAAGAACTTCCAGTTCCTAAAGGTTGGAACTGATGGTTCCCAACGTGGGAACCAAAGGTTATCATGGCAAGGAACTGCCGGTTCCCAGACCTTGAAACTTACGGTTCCTAACCTGGGAACCAGAGGTTACCATTGCAAGGAATTGCCGGTTCCCAGAAGTTAGAATTTATGTGTTCGAAGCCAAGCCGCTTTCATTGTAAGGAACTGCGGGTTCCCAAAGCTTGAAACTCATGGTTCCAAGATGTTCCAAGCCTGAAAAAGCATACGTTACCAGTGGAAATATGTGTTCATTGCAAAAAGTTTGAACTCATGGTTCTTAATGTTGTTTTGTTTTGTTTACTGAGCCGGTAACAGAACCTTTTGTTTTGCTTAATGGACCGGTAGCGGAATGTTTGCGTTTGGCTGTTGGGCCGGCAATAAAAATGTTTTTGCACGAAAAAGGTGCATGTCAAAATGATATGAAAACAGTTTCTTTACCATTTTTTGGTTTTGCTTAATGGACCGGTAAAGAATGCTTTGTTTTGCTTAATGGACCGGTACCGGAATGTTTGCGTTTGGTTCATGGCAAGGAACTGCCGGTTCCCAGAGGTTGGAACTCCTGGTTCCCAACCTGGGAACCATGGGTTACCATTGCAAGCAACTGCCGGTTACCAGAGGTTGGAACTCATGCTCCCCAACCTGGGAACCATAGGTTACCATTGCAAAGAACTTCCGTTTCCTAAAGGTTGGAACTGATGGTTCCCAACGTGGGAACCAAAGGTTACCATAGCAAGGAACTGCCGGTTCCCAGACCTTGAAACTTACGGTTCCCAACCTGGGAACCAGAGGTTACCATTGCAAGGAATTGCCGGTCCCCAGAAGTTAGAATTTATGTTTTCGAAGCTAAGCAACTATCATTGTAAGGAACTGCGGATTCCCAAAGTTTGAAACTCATGGATCGAAACCTGAAAAAGCATACGTTACCAGTGGAAGGATCTGTTGATTCCAAAAAGTTAGAACTCATGGTTCTTAATGTTGTTTTGTTTTGTTTACTGAGCCGGTAACAGAACCTTTTGTTTTGCTTAATGGACCGGTAGCGGAATGTTTGCGTTCGGCTGCTGGGCCGGCATAAAAATGTTTTTGCACGAAAAAGGTGCATGTTAAAATGATATGAAAACAGTTTCTTTACAATTTTTTGGTTTTGCTTCATGGACCGGTAAAGAACGCTTTGTTTTGCTTAATGGACCGGTACCGGAATGTTTGCGTTTGGTTCATGGCAAGGAACTGCCGGTTCCCAAAGGTTGGAACTCACTGTTGCCAACGTAACTGCCGGTTCCCAGAGGTTGGAACTCATGGTTCCCAACCAGGGAACCAGAGGTTACCATTGCAAAGAACTTCTAATTCCTAAAGGTTGGAACTGATGGTCCCCAACGTGCGAACCAAAGGTTACCATGGCAAGGAACTGCCGGCTCCCAGACCTTAAAACTTACAGTTCCCAACCTGGGGAACCAGAGGTTACTATTGCAAGGAATTGCCGGTTCCCAGAAGTTAGAATGTATGTTTTCGAAGCTAAGCGGCTATCATTGTAAGGAACTGCGGGTTCCCAAAGCTTGAAACTCATGGTTCCAAGCCTGAAAAAGTAACGTTACCAGTGGAAAGATCTGTTGATTGCAAAAAGTTAGAACTCATGGTTCTTAATGTTGTTTTGTTTTGTTTACTGAGGCGGTAACAGAACCTTTTGTTTTGCTTAATGGACCGGTAGCGGAATGTTTGCGTTTGGCTGTTGGGCCGGCATAAAAATGTTTTTGCACGAAAAAGGTGCATGTTAAAATGATATGAAAACAGTTTCTTTACAACTTTATGGTTTTGCTTAATGGACCGGTAAAGAACGCTTTGTTTTGCTTAATGGACCGGTACCGGAATGTTTGCGTTTGGTTCATGGCAAGGAACTGCCGGTTCCCAAAGGTTGGAACTCACGGTTGCCAACGTGGGAACCACAGGTTACCATTGCAAGGAACTGCCGGTTCCCAGAGGTTGGAACTCCTGGTTCCCAACCTGGGAACCAGAGGTTACCATTGCAAGCAACTGCCGGTTCCCAGAGGTTGGAACTCATGCTTCCCAACCTGGGAACCATAGGTTACCATTGCAAAGAATTTTCAGTTCCTAAAGGTTGGAACTGATGGTTCCCAACGTGGGAACCAAAGGTTACCATGGCAAGGAACTGCCGGTTCCCAGACCTTGAAACTTACGGTTCCCAACCTGGGAACCAGAGGTTACCATTGCAAGGAATTGCCGGTTCCCAGAAGTTAGAATTATGTTTTCGAAGCTAAGCGGCTATCATTGTAAGGAACTGCGGGTTCCCAAAGCTTGAAACTCATGGTTCCAAGCCTGAAAAAGTAACGTTACCAGTGGAAGGATCTGTTGATTCCCAAAAGTTAAAACTCATGGTTCTTAATGTTGTTTTGTTTTGTTTACTGAGCCGGTAACAGAACCTTTTGTTTTGCTTAATGGACCGGTAGCGGAATGTTTGCGTTCGGCTGCTGGGCCGGCATAAAAATGTTTTTGCACGAAAAAGGTGCATGTTAAAATGATATGAAAACAGTTTCTTTACAATTTTTTGGTTTTGCTATGTTTTGCTTAATGAACCGGTAAAGAACGCTTTGTTTTGCTTAATGGACCGGTACCGGAATGTTTGCGTTTGGTTCATGGCAAGGAACTGACGGTTCCCAAAGGTTGGAACTCACTGTTGCCAACGTGGGAACCACAGGTTACCATTGCAAGGAACTGCCGATTCCCAGAGGTTGGAACTCCTGGTTCCCAACCTGGGAACCAGAGGTTACCATTGCAAGCAACTGCCGGTTCCCACCTGGGAACCATAGGTTACCATTGCAAAGAACTTCCAATTCCTAAAGGTTGGAACTGATGGTTCCCAACGTGGGAACCAAAGGTTACCATGGCAAGGAACTGCCGGTTCCCAGACCTTAAAACTTACGGTTCCCAACCTGGGAACCAGAGGTTACTATTGCAAGGAATTGCCGGTTCCCAGAAGTTAGAATTTATGTTTTCGAAGCTAAGCGGCTATCATTGTAAGGAACTGCGGGTTCCCAAAGCTTGAAACTCATGGTTCCAAGCCTGAAAAAGTAACTTTACCAGTGGAAGGATCTGTTGATTGCAAAAAGATAAAAATCATGGTTCTTAATGTTGCTTTGTTTTGTTTACTGAGCAGGTAACAGAACCTTTTGTTTTGCTTAATGGACCGGTAGCGGAATGTTTGCGTCCGGCTGCTTCCCAACCTGGGAACCATAGGTTACCATTGCAAAGAACTTCCAGTTCCTAAAGGTTGGAACTGATGGTTCCCAACGTGGGAACCAAAGCACAGCACGCTGCACAGCACCCTGCACAGCACGCTGCACAGCACCTTTCACAGCACCCTTCACAGCACCCTGCACAGCACCTTTGCGAGACTTCGCCACCGCAGTCTGGATAGCAGCGTGCACAGCACCCTGCACAGCACCTTTGCCAGACTTCGCCACCGCAGTCTGGACAGCACCCTGCACAGCACCCTGCACAGCACCCTTGCCAGACTTCGCCACCGCAGTCTGGACAGCACCCTGCACAGCACCCTGCACAGCACCTTTGCCAGACTTCGCCACCGCAGTCTGGACAGCACCCTGCACAGCAGCCTGCACAGCACCTTTGCTAGACTTCGCTACAGCAGTCTGGACAGCACCCTGCACAGCACCCTGCACAGCACCCTGCACAGCACCTTTGCCAGACTTCGCCACCGCAGTCTGGACAACACCCTGCACAGCAACCTGCACAGCACATTTGCCAGACTTCGCCACCACAGTCTGGACAGCACCCTGCACAGCACCTTTGCCAGACTTCGCCACCGCAGTCTGGACAGCACCCTGCACAGCACCCTGCACAGCACCCTGCACAGCACCCTGCACAGCACCCTGCACAGCACCCTGCACAGCACCTTTGCCAGACTTCGCCACCGCAGCGCCACCGCAGTCTGGACAGCAACCCGCACAGCACCCTGCACAGCACCTTTGCCAGACTTCGCCACCGCAATCTGGACAGCAACCTGCACAGCACCCTGCACAGCACCTTTGCCAGACTTCGCCACTGCAGTCTGGACAGCAGCCTGCACAGCACCCTGCACAGCACCTTTGCCAGACTTCGCCACCGCAGTCTGGACAGCACCCTGCAGAGCACCCTGCACAGCACCTTTGCCAGACTTCGCCACCGCAGTCTGGACAACACCCGGCACAGCACCCTGCACAGCACCCTGCACAGCACCTTTGCCAGACTTCGCCACCGCAATCTGGACAATACCCTGCACAGCACCCTGCACAGCACCCTGCACAGCACCTTTGCCAGACTTCGCCACCGCAATCTGGACAGCACCCTGCACAGCACCCTGCACAGCACCCTGCACAGCACCCCGCACAGCACCTTCGCCAGACTTCGCCACCGCAGTCTGGACAGCACCCTGCACAGCACCTTGGCCAAAAGTTCGCCACCGAAGACCCCACCTTTGAGAAGTAAGAACCCCTATAGCTTGCCAGCTATCTGGGGAACAAATTTATACAAAACTTCTGATTGCTATTCTGGACAAATGGTCTTGTAACTGTACACAATATAACCACATATAATCATATATTATCAGTCTTTCAAGATGGAAATAGGGTGCTCAAGCCGCGATTGTTCACAAACTGGAGTGGCTCTTAGCACCCTCATACAACCTGAAGTTATCCATTCTGAATTCTAAAATAAAGCTGATTACCATTGCCAACCACGAAATTTCGCAATCTTGTGCACAAATTGTTGATTACAAATTCTTTCTCGTCCCAGTTTTGTCGGTTCAGGTGGGGTTCAATTGTCAAGGGGCGGGCAAAGATACGCCTCTCCAAGAGGAAAGAACAACCTAGCGGACCTAGCGGTTTTTGTAATTGCACAAGTTTGCGAAATGTGGGAGATGGCCGGAGATGGGAGATGTAATCATTATAGCAGTCTTCAGGATGTCATAGGTCAACCTTTTGGTGCTGGCAGCTCCAAGCTCCTCCATTTTGCCCAGTGGCGAAGCCGGAAGCCGGGCGATCTACGAAGCTCAACGCCAACTTCAAGGAAAGACGTGCGATTTTGGTGACCTTAGGAGGTGCGGCGTGTTGGGAAAGCGTCTCGGAAAAGCGTGGTTCTTCCGAAGGTTCGTCTCAAAAGGCTCACAAAAAGATCAAAACAAGTAGACATCACAAGAAGAGGGATTGAATATCCAATATTGGGGTGTTTTTTTTCCGCCCACTTCCATCTACTCCCAGCACATCTTGACTTTGTGCCATGCGCAGGAGGGTTGCAACTTGGTGAAACATAGCACCATGATCCAGCTGTGGGTTCTCAGCAAATCAGCATGGCCCAAAGTTCCTGTGCGTCTGCTAGATCTTGATCCATTGATCCATGGGATGGAAACCAAGGGCAAAACATGGCTAAACCACAAGCGGATTCGAGCGGATTGCTCATTCTGCGGCCCCCGACATCGTTCAGAATGACGGCTCTGTCAAACTTTGTTCCCCTTCCTGACGGTGAAGGACCATTGGTTTTGGATAGTGGAGATCACAAAAAACAAAAAACAGGTCAAGAGTTTGTGTATCAAATTCTCACAAGGCGGAATCGAAATTAATGATTTACTATGGAAAACGGCATCTCTATTCACTAAATGTCTACAATATAGGTAAGGACCATATATATATATATTATATATATTATTATTATTATTACTATTATTACTATTATTATTATATATATTATTATACATATATATATAATATATATCATCGAACTGAGTGGGCCATTTTCGATATGGTTCTTCACTCAAAATCTCACTTGCACCTCTTAAGACCTACTCGCGACACTTGAGGACTTTCTGAAACCTGTGGATTCATGTAGATTGATTCTACTGATAGATGTTCCTCTCCAAAGTAATCACAAGAATCAGAATGAATCATCAGAATTCACCAGATTTCCATCGAATTCCTTTAACATCCGTTAACCAAATGGTTCACCATGCAGTTTTCACAGTGCCCCATCGGAACATCCCGGCGCCGACAAGTGACGGACGCACGAGGCGCTTGCAGCACGAACCTTGATGTCGTAGTCCTCACCCCATTGACCAACTAAGGTACTTTTGGGTTTATTTCCAGGTACTTTTCCAATGGGTTGATTGATCAGTACCTGGAAATCACCTGGAGTTTACATGTTTTTTATCTCCGGGTACTTTTGACTAGTTCCTTCAATCGATGTTTGTCAGGGTTTATCTTTCCCACGGTCTAAATAAGGCTAGAAAGTGGTATTGCAAATCTATCTGATATCTATATACTGTATCTTGGTTTCGTTTTTTCTATTTTTTTTTACCTATCGATCTGATCCATCAAGCCAATCTGACAATACATCAACCAATTTAAGTTATCCAATCTCTAATCTATCTGATGGATGATCTATACATTTGATCTAATCTCTACAATCTATCCATCGCATCATGATGTGCAACAAAATATCAGCCATTGCCACTGGGGATCCAAAGTTGAACCAAGCCCAAACCCGAGCCTGTGGTGCATGAGGTGCCTCAATGTCCACCCACTGTCCGGTGCCACCAGCTCCCTGCCGGCAGTATTTGCCCGCCTGCCACGGAAACCGTGGATTCTGGTGCAAAAAAAAACCTGGTGCAAACTTCTGTTTTTTTCTTCACCGGAATGAATGGAGATTGAACTATTGAATCTATGAATTTGATCCTTGAATATGCACATTTCTCCCCTTGAAACTTGAAACATTGAATTAAACCAACAAGAATGAGATGCACACCTTCCCCAAACAAAGCAATAAAAAGTGGCAAGGATATGGCCAGGAAAGTCGATGATTTACTTTTTGAACTGTACAAAACGTCCCTTTTTACAGGCTAAATCCTGGGTATCTACAGCATAAAGAGCGAAACTGGAATATGAATCATTGGGCCCAATTACAACTCATAGGGGCCCCTCACTCTACCACGAAACATAGAAAACAAGATGCAACCCACGAACCCCAATGCTCACACGTATGTTAATGGTGATGATGTCGAAACACATGGAAATGCAATCATGCAGAACACTGTTCTGAAACAGTTTATTTACACAGTCTTGTACATTTAAAGTGTAAAGTGTAGAGTGTGGAGTGCAGAGTGTAAAGCGTGGAATGTAAAGTGTGGAGTGTGAAGCGTGGAGTGGAAATTGTGAAGTGTAGAATGCTGAGTGTAGACTGTACAGTGTGGAGTGTGGAGTGTAAAATGTAGAGTGTGGACTGAAAACCAGAGACTCGAGACGAGACACGTGGGAGCAGCAAAACGAGCATTTCGTGCGAGACTTCCTCCAATTTTGACAATTTCGACGCGTTATCAAACAGGTTGGAATGCCACAAAGTGCCACGCCTGCCACGCAAAACGACATGACAACCTGCTTGGAGACCTTCGAAAAGGAGAGGTTTTGAAGCTTCCCCCGTGGACACGGCGAGGCCACAGGAAAACCAGAGACTCGAGGGAGCATCAAAACGAGCATGTCGTGCGAGACATCCTCCAAGTTTCACAGTTGGAAACCTCCAAAAAGGAGAGGTTTTGCAGCTTCCCCCATAGACACGGCGAAGCCACAGGAAAACCAGAGACTCGAGCCGAGACACGTGGGAGCATCAAAACGAGCATTTCGTGCGAGACTTCCTCCAATTTTGACACTTTGTAGCGTTTTCCTACGAGTTTTCTGGGGAACCTGAGAATTTGCTATCTCAAAATCGATGTTTCGTGCGAGGCTTCCGTCAATTTTTCAGCACATCTCACAAAATGCCACGCCTACCACGGAATCTGCACCTTGTCGCCACTTGACGCAGCCCCGCCAATGCGACTCGCAAAAAACACGCAACACGACACGTCTACAGTGCTGCGCCTGCCACGAAAACTGCAACGCATCTTCTGAAAACGTCGCTAAAGTATTGCGCCTGCCACACAAAACGACTTTCGACACGTTACAAAACACGTCTGAATGTCACAAAGTGCCACACCTGCCACGCGAAACGAAGCAACGAGACGTTTGAAACCTCGAAAAGGACCCCTTCTGCAGAACTTACCATAGGCACGGCCATATAGCAATCGCGCGGACGGTTGCGAACGGTTGCGAACGGTTGCGGACGGTTGCGTTGCGGACGTAAACGCAACGTCGAGCGAACACACCCTCAGCCCCCAGACCCCCAGAGTGAAACGGGAACCCTTGCTACGCATTCGGGAAAACATGTGATCACCTGATATCCCCCTATATCCTATGATATCTATATCCTCTGCTAAATCATGTTGATTGTTGTCCTTCCCAAATTTTATCTTAGAGAATCAGGAGGCCCCTGAGGATGCTGTGCCGCCAGGACCACTCCAAGCCTTTTCACCGCTTTGGACAAAGTAGACATGGCCTCGAAAAGAAGGACAGCTGAAGCTGCCGCCCAAATGCAGGTCGCAACTCCACCAGCACAATTCGGTAACTGTTGAAATCTGAAATCCTGAAGCACCAAAAATTCTTGTTTCAAATCAGGGCCACCAAAAATGCGGCATCTGTTGCAACAAGGGGTTGCTTCCCATGGCATCTGACACTTCGCATTGCAGCTGCGAGGCTGTGCTGATGAACTAACCTTAGGGATGCGGATGCGAATGATATCTGGGATGGGAAGACTCCGTTTGGCCTCGTTGGTCCATCTACATCCATCTACCATAGAATTTGTTCAGCCTGGAGGTCATGTGTGAATATATTTTGTCCCGCCATTTCCCACGGAGGGCCAGCCACATGGTGGGCGAATGTCGAATCCACCCTTCGCCCGGCGGAAACAGCTCGGCCTGTTTCCAATGGCCGCCCCGGTGGATCACTGGTGCAGGTATACGTATATATATATAATGTGTGTATATACTGTGTGTATATATACATATACAGTGTATATATATATACAACATTGTATGATGTATGTATGTATGTATGTATGTATGTATGTATGTATGTATGTATGTATGTATGTATGTATGTATGTATGTATGTATGTATGTATGTATGTATGTATTATGTATGTATGTATGTATGTATGTATGTATGTATGTATGTATGTATGTATGTATGTATGTATGTATGTATGTATGTATGTATGTATGTATGTATGTATGTATGTATGTATGTATGTATCATGTACTGGTATGTCTGTAACATCTTATATAATAAGTTATAGTCATTTACAATGCCATCATGTACGGGTTGTCATCTCTCATGCGCTGAACATGATGGACATGAGATAGTCAACAGCCCAGGCGCGGCCGAAAAACCACGCCTCTTTGGCAAAAAGTTCTTGGCTGTCTCTGAAACCTCAAAGGCATGCTGATAGAATTTCACGAAAGAAAGGATTCCACTCTGGCAGTTTCTTGGGTATATATATATATTACAATATTATAATTATAGTTATATATACATATCATATCATGTAGAATACGGTAAGTCAAAAGAAAAGAAAAAACACAACACACAACTTGAACCCCGGAGGCTTGCCGTTGCTAGGCTTCCAAACCATAAACAAACCGTGTTTTTTAGCGGCCAGAAGACATGCAAAAAAAAAACAGATTTCTCGTGGAAAACTGCTGGCACCTGGCAGAGGGTGGTTGGTGTAGAGGTCCTTTTCATCCACATTCACCAGCCTCACAGCGTGGGATACCGTGGGCACATGGGGATGCCCAATGAGGGACCCAGCGCCGTCAAGGCACTGCTGTGGCGTCCACTTGGTCTTCTTCAACTTCAAGCAGACCTCGCCGGTGGCCAGGTGGCACTGTTGGCACTGCTAAAAGTTGCACATGCATAGATTTGAAACAAGCATGTGTCCAAAAACGTACGAGTAAGTCCACAGCCAGGATGTTCCCCCAACTTAAACAGGCAATAAAGACAGTGGCTTGTGAAGTCATCTTTCTTTTGGACAATGCAAAAACACCATGTTGCACACCCCATCTTGGGTGATCATTTTTCAGATAGCCCAATTATTGGGAGAATCAAGTGAGGGCTGTGGGCAAACAAGACTTTAGGCCGACATAGGCCGACAACGTGCCCTTGGTGAACTAATTATGCAATGCCTAATGAGATATAGGTGATACGTTACCATTATATATATATATATTATTATATTATCAGATATAGGTGATGCATGAGCTACTTAATCGGCTATGTCAGCTGAAATTATCTTTTCTCTTAAAGGGGAAGAATCCAGTTTCAGCCGGTGACAATCACAATCAATAAATACATCAGTTTCATGCGTCTTGTATCCCCATCTTGATACATCTTCTATTCATTTTGTCAGATCAACACACATTTTGTCAGCTTGGTGACATAGCCATGTTGCAACCCCTGAAAGATGCAGAAAATAGCATCCAATCCAAAGTCCTTATGCTCCACGTACATTACTGTATGGTTTATTTACCTACATTCAGGTAATTTGTGGGGTAAATTTAGGTACCTATTCCATACATGCAGCATCTGGGTATATTATTTCTTCCTCGTGCGCTACCAAAACATGTAATGTTAAGTTCATATTAGTAATCAACCCCGAATTAATCAACACCCACATTCCAAAAAAAGCCTGGCAATACTGCTTTGGGTTGGTCCCTCCCTATTAATAAACATGTGTGACCCTGCTGAGAAATCCTAATTTTGTGGCAGTCGGGATATAATTATGTTGTAGTTGTTTTTTAATGGTTGAAAAAGTAATGTTTTGAAGGGATGTCCCATGCCCAATCTCACCATCTCACCCCATTGGGAGGTAGGTTGCCAGTTGCCACTGGAAAGAGAAATCTCGACCCATTGGCAGGCAGATTGGTTGTTTTTTTGTATGACAAGTTGACAAGCCCTTAGTTTTTTCAATTTGGCGGACTCTCACCTTCTAGGGGGATTGTTAATACGAACTTGGCATTACCCTATGATAATTTAACATAGCCATGAAAAGTTGCCCATTTAAAGGTTATTTGATACCTATCAAGATGGTTATTTTATGTCATGTTATTTTCCATTGCCATCTTGGTCTGCTGGAGGACTTCCCCCCCAAATCCCTATGACATCACCATGTCGTTTTCTGCATCAGTTGTTTTGCAACTTGACCATATGTCGCAGCCACTACATGTTCATTTTTCCTGTGTTTTTCCCATGTTTTTTCCTGTGTTTTTCCCATGTCATTTCAAATAAAATAAGATAGATAAAGTTGATCATGTTCAATTGGCAAGATCTGCAGGAAAACCTTCATGATTAGCAAATGTCTTGGTTGCGGCAAATATTTATTTATATTTATATATAGCATACAGTATACTATACACCTATTTCTTTACATGTAGAGTGATACCTTGCCCCCCTGTAGCATGACGCATGTGTGTGCAAGTGCAACAGAAGATAGAAATAGTGTAGAATGACGCGTGTGTGCGAATGCAAAAGAAGATAGCCATAGCGTAGCATGACGTGTGTGTGTGTGTGTGCAAGTGCAACAGAAGATAGTCATAGCGTAGCATGACGCGTGTGCGCAAGTGCAAGAGAAGATAGCCATAGCGTAGCATGACGCGTGTCTGCAAGTGCAACAGAAGATAGCCATAGCGTAGCATGTTCAAGTTGACATGAACGTTATTGCCCCACCCACCCCACCCCACCACATCCCCACCCCAAGAGACACAGATTACACTTCCATTTCTGTTCAAGTTGACATGAACCTTATTGCCCCACCCACCCCACCCCACCCCATCCCCACCCCAAGAGACACAGATTACACTTCCATTTCTGTTCAAGTTGACATGAACCTTATTGCCCCACCCACCCCACCCCACCCCATCCCCACCTCAAATGACAGAAACGCGTATTGTATTGCAGGTTTCTTCATACGTGAATGGTTCTAGTAACCCCAAACAGATGGAAAAGTAAAAAACAACCAAAATTAGGTCAGAAATATTTTCTAAGTCTATGTCTTTAAGTATCTTATTGGGGGGATACCCGGAGGATACTTAATGAATCCCTATGAAACATCACCCCCGAAGGGATCTCCTCAGTGCCATGCCAAGGCACAGATCTGGCACCCGCCTCACCCTCGGCCAGGAATTTCTTCCCTAGCTCCATGCCGTCCTGGCCGCGCATCCAAAGTTGAGTGTCCTAACAGTGTCCTACTGATGTCCTGATGATTTTTCTGTTTGTACTGCTGAATTTCCCGTAACATCATGTAACATCCAAATTCTGCGTTGCAAAGCATGGATTTCACTGCTGGACTTTCAATGATCCAATGATCATCGACCCAGGCGCTAAATCCGCTAGCCACAGGTCCTTCACTGCCTCCCGGCGACCCGCACGGGGGGGTCCCTCCAGGTTCACAGCCTTCATGTAGGGAACCTTTCGTCGACGCGAAAAAAAAACGCCCTGGTGATTTGGTCTCCAAAATCTCCAAAATACCTGGATTCTATGAGACCTGGAGACCAGATACCTGATGATACCTGGATCAGCAAATGGAAATCCAAGAGTCGACGAAGGGGACTGGAACCTGTTTCTCTTTAGAATCTTGTGAAGGGGACTGGGGGGCTTAGGATGGTTTCTGGAGCATTTTGAGATCGAAAAACACAAATTCGAGCATGATGCTTGGGATACAGTATGTTGGGATAATAATCCTGGCCATATCTGTCTGGTTTTCTTGACCATTTCCATGCTGCCGTGCCTTGATATTGCATGTCAGCAGGGCTGTGAAGGACTTGGCAACATGTTCCTCCCGCATGCAACGGCAGCAAGGCATGTTTTACAGGGGCACAGTCCAATTGTAACTACGTAACGTATGGATAGTTGATATTGGTATAAATCCATATTGGTATAAATCCATATTGATATTGGTATAAATAGCAATCATCAATATGCCCCTGTAACTACAGTCATTGCTATTGATGATAAATCATTTATCATGATTAATATGATTATGAATGATGATTGGTGATGAATGGTTGATCTTTGATGATTGATTATGGATGACTGATCATGATAATAACGCTGATGAATCATTGCATCTTTGCTCATCATATTTGCACGTCCCATTAAACCTGGTACTTGCAGCCCCACAATTGGAGACTCGATCCGTACCCTGGTGTTCAAGTAGCTATCATGTAGCTGTCACAAGTCAAAAAAAAACATCCACACTCTGGAGATTCAGAAATTTTGGCTAAACCGAGGCTCTCCTGACTTTGCCAACCTCAAGTCGTTGGGGTACCCGGTAGCCCGGTAGCGCGACCCACTCAAAATCGGTCATTTTTAAGGGACGAGGCCATCGAGGCCATCGAGCTGCCCACCTTGATTTGCACATTCAGAAGATGAAATTCTCCTGGCCGGAACTTCCGGAACCAAAAAAATCCACGGCTTTCCTGGAGTTGGAGATACCATGAGATACCGCATCACAGATTCATGTGATGCCTCTCTTGCGTGTGTGGATAAAAATATAAAAATATATAAAACATATCCTCGAGATCGTCCAGCTTTAAAGAACACATGTGATGTGGAGCACAGTACCAATAACCCATCGTTTAAGGCCTGCAAACCACCCACATTATATATCCCAACATGGTACGAGTATGATTTTTGATTGGATATACCACAGTGATCCACAGTGCATTCTGCAAGTTCTTGATCATTGATCTATCAGAACTCCTTCCACTTCATGGTAGGATCCCCCGGTTCTATGAAAGATCAGCTGTCTTCCCGCCTGACACCGGCTTGCATGCTGGATGGATGTTCGCCATACGGCATCCGTGGTCTCCAGCTGTTCGGTCGATGGTTCGGATTTCCTTTCAATGGTTTCAAGTGTTTTTGTTGGGGTGGTTCACCAGATTGTCACCATGTGGGTCTGGGGAAGTAACAAGTTGCTGACAATCTGAGTGTTTCAACATGTTTCAACTTTTGATCTGCGGAAAAATATGCCACCGGCTTGCCCCCACAGCTTCGTCGTGCGGTCAATTTTTGGGTTCCAGGTGTGCCACCGGCTATCGAGGGAAATGTGACCTTTGAGTTTGGGAACGTGTCATCTTATGCTGGTGGATAGGGATTCCCATGACAACAATCTCCAACAAACCAGATAGGCTGCTAACCCCCCTATAACTAGTCAACTAGGGTTTTGGTCACTCATCTGGTGTCCTCTTTGCTTAGAGATTCCGCCAGTGTTTCGCTGTGTAGTAACGCCAACGTCGCTGTTCGACCGAGGATCACGGCCAGCGAAGACAGAGCTCATCCCAATACAGAGCTTCGACAGGCAAAATGCAGGTAATGTCCATCACCAAGAACCCAAGGGATACAGCAACTACCCAAAAAAGAATCCCAGCCCTCAACATCTCTCACTTAGTCTGATTCCCCCGGGAGCAGGTCGCTTACCCCAAGTCATATCATTCCACCATAGGTGGTGGGTTAATCAACTTTCAGTCCCATTGTCCTTTTGGCCTTTTGGTTCCCACTGGTTCCCATGAATCCATCTGCAGCCTCCCTGCAGCAACTTTTGACACTGGCACTATGTGAAAAGATTCGTTGTGATTCTTCCTGAACACAGCGGGCCCAGATGGCATGTTCAAGGCATATCATGTCGGGAAATCCACCCTTTCCTTGGGAGCCGTGCTGCCAATTGTCGTTAACCATTTCATCTTGCTTGCATCATCGAAAAAGGGGGAGGAAAAAAAAACACGCAGGTGAATGGGGGTAGTTGTGAGCATATTAGTTCCTATTTGCAACCCTGGAGGGCCTTGATTATCTTATTGCATCCAAACACCGGGTGACATTTGATGGCTGATATCTTCACATAGAGGTATATAATATATCATTATATAGTATTATATATCATTATATATCCACCCTATCAAACGACCCTATCACCAGCACCATCCTCTGATGCAATGGATCTTCACATAATTTCACCACCAAATCTACGTGTACAATGTCAATTGAAAGCCAGGCATGTCAACGGAAACGCTCACGAATTGTCATTGCAAAATGGCCATTGTCTGCCACTAAACAGAATCTGATTATGTAAGTGTACATCTGTGATCTTGATTAGAATATGGATCAGCTTGTACCTATATCATCCAAGTCAGCACATGTGGATCTTGTTTTTAAATGTTTTTAATACAACATGATCGATGCCACAGTGCAATTCCCACACTATTGTTCATCCAGTGCTCTGGTGAACAACCAACGTCCTGTAGATGCAAAAAGTATGCTTGTGCCATGCTGAACATGACCAGTCAATTTTTGTTTTGCGCAATCTCACATGGTGTGATCCGTGCCAGCTATTTGCATCAAAATTTGGACCCATCATCTTGCTTCTACCACTAGCCCTGGAAAAGTCTCTGAGCTACCATGCTGGGCCCTCTCTACCGCGGCCGCATCGGCCGTCGATTGGCCGCCCCGCAATCCAACAGATCGGGGCTGGAGCAGTCGTTGACCGGCGAAAGAAATCATTGGTAACAAATTGCTGGAATAGCACATATCTTCCCCGTGGTCAGTGTTTCGCACTGCTCCCCTGGAGAATCCGCGTGAAACGAGGCTTGAGAATCTGTACCCCCCGCGCAATGCCACGACGCTCGGGTGCGTTAAAAAGAACGCCGCGACATTTTGGGCACCGACCACGATGAGAATACCAAAAAGGAGAAGACTCTGAAATAATCTGAAATATGCCCCGAAAATGGCCAACATTGGAAAACTGACCCTCAAAAACTGTGGCTCCTCCAGCGAAATCAAGAATGATCCTCCAACAAATGGAAAATGATAAGCCCTGCTAACCAGTGCCCGTGTCCATTCAGCCTTGACTCCTTGACTTTGACTAGGATATGTGGTCTAGTCCAAAACCTTTGGAAGCATTTTTGTCTTGTGCTTTCGTAGCAGAGGACTCTCCTCCAATGTCTCATCATGACATCTAAGCATTCCGTTCACATTATAAAGTCAAACTGGGATCCTTTCCAGAGTGATCCAGCATCCAGCCGAAGCTGGTTTTGTTCTTGCAACACACAGGAGAAACCACAAAAAGTTCAAATTCGCGAGAATGGGTTTCACCGTCACCAACACCTTCCAAGATGGAACATGATCTCTAGATTCTACCGTTACATTGCAATGCATGCCCCTTTTCTACCTGGTGAATTTCTTGTGTTGTTTTGCATACCTTGCAGCCAGAGGAAGAATACAATATATAATTGGAAAATATCATAAAACAATATAAAACATCATTATCATATTGATTCATAATTGCCATTCCTGGATGTTAGGAACTACTATAATTACTATTACTAATATTGCCATTAGTTCCTTCATGACAATGTCATAAACTCCGCATTGGTGACCACGAAGTTGTATCAGTGACTTGCACAAGTGGCCGGGGGACAACGATGCTTTTCACCTGCAACAAATGGGTACGTGTCAAAATATTTTTTCTAGTCCCCCAAATCCATAAAACATATCTATTTCAACTTATTTCCAGACATGTCTTGAACGATGCAGTTTTGCGGGTCACCGGATGGAGCTCCTCAATTAGTGCTCTTAGCTTATTCTCTAAACACCTGATGCAGTTTTGCTCAAAACCGACCTCTTTCCAGGTCTACCCCAGTTGCTGTCTCAGCTGACCGCCCTTCACTTGGCCTGGGAGCGATTCATCCCAACATGCACCAGTGGATACCATAAGCTGCCCAAACAAGAAAAACAAGAAACATGGAACCCACTTTGCCATTCCATGTTGGGGTCAACAAACGAAAATCAAATGTCTGCCACTGTCTGCCACCTGCGTCTGCCACAAGTTGGGGGGTTCAAAATCATCCAGAGGTCAGGCTTCCCAATACAAAAGCTGCAAGGTGCCCCTCAAGCCCTTGAAACCGCTTTGAACACACTTTTGGTGAATGATTCTGACTCACTCCCTACTTTAGGGTACACCAGTTGTAAGTGGATATACAACCATAGGTATAGCTATGGGGGTTATATTCCAACTTGCGAGGATTGTCACCCTTAATCCCAACTGCACCACCACCCAACATCTGTCAACTCACAGATGCAACGCACCTTTTTGTTAAATCCTGTTGAATCCCCTGTACCCTGACCAGTCAGCAATTATAAAATGATCATCACCGGACCATTCTTGGCCGGTAAGATTTCGTTTTCTGCATGATATACCCACTGCTATTGCTTGATGTATTTTGTGCTATGGTCAACAATGGTCAAAACGCAAAAATGGGAGATGTGAGATGGTCAGCATACACCCGGCAAAAAACAAATGTGGCACCAGGAAATCCGTTCACTATCCGAAAGGTCCGGGCGGGAGACATCGCCCGGAATGGAACTATTTGGGGGGGTCTAGTTTCAGTTTCAAGTGATTCTATAACCATAATTAACCATAGATATCCATAGATTATCATAGTTGTACGTTCATGCTAACCAAAACTGGGGCTTAAAATCCCATAGGCATGTTCCCACTAGCCTTCTCCAAGGACTCATCAATCTTGGCTTTGATCTGGTCGGTCACCTGCTTTCACCATCGCTTGGATCAAGGGAGGGGATTCCGCAGATTCCAATCTTCATAACTTATGGTAATCCCATAATCCCCAAGATCAGCCAAGATCTTGGGTAGTACAAAATCCGTATCAGTATAAATATGTATAAATATATCTAGTATAATCCCCATATTCCCCTGGTAATCCCATATTCCCCTAATATTCCCCTAGTATAATCAGTATCATCCCAGAATCACCAGGATCCCAGCCCTCAACTGGGTGGCCATGTACTCCCCACGCTTCGCCACGCCTTGTACTCGCTGTTCAGTTCAACCACCTGACAGGTCATTGGCAAGCCGACTTCAAGACTATCGCTTAGTTGTACTTAGTTGTGCTTAGTTGTGCTTGATGGGAAAGTTCTTGGTTCCGAAAAGAATGTTTCGGATGGCGTTGTCATCTTCTGCCACTTCATCTATATAAATCTACTACATCTGCTACAGCAGTGTCTTCCAAACAATCCTGAAAACCAGCTGCTTTCATCTTCTATCCTCCACCACTGTCAATGGTATCGCACTCGCAACAGCATCATGTTTGGCTTTGTTTCCAGGTGACATCCCCAATGTCTGTTCAGATTCGTACACTCCATTCTTCAGTTCGACCACACGTCTAACCTTGCCCTGCAAAGGTAAAAGATCTTTGGAAACTTGACAAGTAGGTTATGCACACAGCCTCACAATACACGCAATCTAATCTATCTATGATAGAACTATTCCTTAAGCCCTTTTTTGCGATATCATTTGATCCACACGATACAGTAGCAATAATCGACAGGAAACCAGGGTTTTACTAGTACTTTTAGGGGTGCCGGTACCCTCTTGTGACTCTTGTAATTGCGCATGGCCATAGAACATCACCATTCAAATCATTGGTAAATCATTGCACCCAAAAGGCCCTATGTGTTTTAAGAATCGCAGAAGGTGTAACCCAACCAAAAATCCAGAAGGGGCAAATCGAAACTCCTGGAAATATCATGGGATTACCATTTCCCCATGCCTTCTTCGCCAATTGGTTCGCCAGGTCAGTGCCGGCCAGGAGCAAGCCGCCCAAAGTGTCCTTGATGCCCACATCCTGAGCCGGCCCGGAGGAAGTCAGTTTTTTTGAGTTCAAGAATGTATAAGTATAGAGAATATATATATATATATTATATATGTAATTTGTATGTATGTATATAATTGTATGTATAAATATTCGATCTAGTCGAACCAAATCGAGTCTTTCATCTAATCTGTACAGTAGATGGAATCTATACATTCTCCATGGGAAAAAAGATTGAAGCATCATCCTTAAAATGGTGGAAATTGCCTATTGGACAAAGGAGGGAAGGTTCCCACATGTCCTGTTTAAAAATCATAGCCCAGTTGCAGGGGGGCAGCACTACTAACAACCATCGTTGAGGCACTGTTTAAAATCCCCATATCTCCACTTTGCACATCTACCGACCCTGTCAAAGATTTTGACGCATCTAGGTCAATATCTGTGTCGCACAGGACCAGTCCAGCTATGCCTGCTCGGGGTGAAAAGCCAAGCCCCAGGGCTTTCGCCGATATTTTGAGGAACATTGATAGAAAAAGACCGTCCACAGAATGACATGCTGACGTTTCTATTTGCTATCCACGGGCTCAAAACGTTGGTACCAATGGACCTACATTCTTTTTCTGCGAGTCATCCAGCAATTGTTCGCGGTCAATGATTTCGAGCAATTGCCAAATGGCCAAATGGGTCACAATTAATCTTCATTAGATGTGGTAAACCCATGTATATAAACCCTTTAGTAAACCAGATTGCCATAGATATAAATGGTGGGTGAAATTTGGTGAAATTCATCATCCCCAAATGGTCGTTCTTTATTGGGTTTACCGGTTTACCACAAAAAAACATCCATGATCCTCATAGTTTCTTGGTACCGGCCTTGTCGAAGCTGTCAATGGCATCACCCACCGAGTTGAAGGTGGTTTTGACGGAAGACGTCGAATCCTCTCAACAAAAACGACGCTTGTGTTTGGAGAAAAAGGACTGGGGGTTTTAGCAACAAACTCAAGGTAATACCAACTCAAAATGTTTTGAAACAAGGTTTCCACCAACAATTGGTCAATCACTGTATTATTCAATCTCACCTTTTGACCCGGAAAATGATCACATCTTCATAAGTAGGTCCTTGTCTGAGTTGGCATCCAAGGCATCGTTGAGGGCAGAGCCCACCTGTACGAACTTAAATCGTGACACAAACAGCTATAGCTATCGCTGGCACAGTAAATGACGTCTACATGTGGATGTATATACTGCATATATACATACATGAAAGGATCTCTGCGCAGATATAGATATACACATAGAGGGAGGGGGGCATTTGCGCTGACAATTAAACAAATATGTATGTACTGTATATATATATACACCATATATAAGGCGTGTGGTCCAGCTAGCCTAATTATCCATACTACTAGTAAGATGTAAATGCAGATATAAGGTTGAGTGAAGTGATTAGACGTGGACATGAAGAGGCAAAGAGGAGGGAGGGAGAAGAGATGCAGAGGAGAGAAGGAGGAAGGAGAGGAGACACGCACAAAATACTGCCCTCCAGGTAACAGGTGGGGAAGTATGAGACTCATTGGGGATCATCATGCTGAGAAACGGAAAGTAAACACGTTTGAGACAACAGCCAGATGATGGGGTTTGTATCCACGTTCAGCTCTGCAAAAATATACCACATTTGTTTGAGGACATTGCTGCTCCGCGAAATTACTCTGCAGTAGCCCCGTCAGCGATTTCGCCCCCAGTTTCCAGTGGTCCCATGTTGAAAAGGCGATGGTCCCATGGTTCCGCCATGTTCCACCGGAGCCGCCTTGTTGGTGACTTCGTACTTCTTGTTCAGGTAGTCCACATAGTTCAGGGCCTAGCCATCCAACAGCAACCAACCCATTTCGCCCAGCAAGAATGGATGGGAACAAACAATGAGACAGTAATGAATGGTCATTCCGGTTGAATATATCCCATCTAATATATCCCACTTAATATCCCAGAATCTTAGAATATCCCCATTAGATTTCTTCAATATTCATAGTATTCTTATATAATATCATATATAGTATGTTGATGTATGTTGTAGTCATTTGTAGTATCTTCAAGAAACTGTAAACTAAGTCTATGAAAGCTCCAAACTCAACTCGTTCCCACGCCTCCAGGGAAGCACTGGAGACGCCCTTCAGCACAGTGGCCACATCAGACTCCTGCGCAGACAGGGGGCGCCAACCCTCCACGGCTTAGATATTTTCTGTATCTATAGGAATTCTATAGGAATTCATAGGACTTCTATGTATTTGCTTGCATTAATCATTTTGATTCATTTTCCACGTATGTCATATGTATGTGCGTTTGTTTGTATGCATAGCTGTGTGCATGCGTATATATATATATACTTTATTACTTTGAAGTTTGATTTTCGACGCCGATTTCACTATGGGACAGAAGTTGTTGGTTCAGTGCTTTCAAAAAGTATCGCCTAGCCATGAATTCCAAACGAAGCACCAGGAACTCGTAACTAGTGGGGTCTCGTCCTCCTTTTTGGCCAAATAGGAGGTTGCCACAAAACCAGCTGCACCAATCTGAGGCTGTGCGCACAACACGGCGAGCCAATTGGCAAAAACATCCCATTTAGTTTTAGTTCATTTAGCTCTTTGAGAAATCATGTGTCAAGTGTCTATACACCATGTTCGCAGTTTGGGGTGAATCGTATGGTCAATATTTCTTATATATGTTGGTGTAGTGATTCCTAAATCGTTTGAACTGCCTCTGGTGCTATGGGTGAGAACTATTGGACCAACCTTTCTTGATTGATAATAGCCGTATCATAGTTTCACAAAGCCATGGAACGCTATGGAAATGGCCCATTTAAAGAATCTTTACATATCAAGAATGTTGATGTCAGCGAATCTCTCAAATTACCAGAGGGATCCAGAGGGTATGTCATGGAATGGTATGGAATGGTGATATTCCAAGATTTGGGGATGGGTCAAAACCCTGGTACCTAGTGAACCTCCAAAATAGCTGGTAAATGGATGTTCATCCCACTAAAAATGTATCTATGAGTATTGACCCATACCCATTTCAAATCATTTCACATAGCAAGTTGTGTCACCAGACATCCCCATGGATTTCGCAGTCCCAGTGGCCCAGAAGCCACCCAGCAGGAGGCCGGTCACACCGCCCAGGACACCGGCAGTGGCGATGCTGTTCTCCGGGGTCACCTGGCGATGGCTCAAAAAACATGGTCCGGCGCTCACAAAATCCATCTGATTCATGGGGTAGATACTGGTTAATAGTGGTTAATAATAGCTAATCATGGTTAATAATCCATGAATCTGAGTGAATTATAATATTTCACTAACAAGGCTATCTGGGGATGATTCCCCTTACTAATTAACCATGATTCCAGTGAGGGAGAACAGTGAGGTCGTTATAATTTACCCAGATCCATGGCAAAAATGTGAAATGATTGGAAGCTAATCATGGAAGTGGTTAGGTGAGAAAGAATGGATATGACCAGTGAGTCTCCAGTTGGAGACATATCATTGAAGTGATGATACCCTCTGGTAAACTAACATAACTATGGAAAATCACCATTTTTAATGGGTAAATCCACTATAAATCACCATTTTCAATAGCTATGTTAGTTTACCAGATGATGCACTTCATTACAGCCAAATGGTCGCGAAGGTATGGATAGACATGGCTACTCCAGGTGAAGATAGATGGCTTCCAACTATGCTCGTATAGATGCGGCAATGGTCAATTGGATATCCATGGTCGTCCATAGAAACACGTGTTTTTTCTTGGGTCATCTCAATTTGTTTCCAACCAGGCAATGGGATTTTGTTGTGGTGTTTTTTGTTCCGTCAAAATCCATTAAACATCATATGGAAACTGACCATGTTGGAAACATCGTTTGCGCGTGGTTCATATTGTTCATAGTGGCTGGTACCCCTGCTGCTCACATCCCAAGAATAAACAGAAGAATAGACAACAAGTACCGGCGTGAAATTCTGACCAAGCAGGCTCTTGGTTGGGCCAGCCATACGTCCCAAGAATATTCTGTTGGAATGGAAGGCAAAACAAGTTGAAACCATCAGCAAAATATGTATACTGTATATTACATTCCAACCATCTCATTCTTGCGAGCGAACTCCCTGGTGCATAAAACAAAAAAACACCCATTTCCCCCCAATAGCGGCAATCATTTTCTCCTAAAAGGCTGGAGCAACCCTGATCCAATTTGTTATTTATGCTAAATCATCCCATATGTATGGTGAACCCCAATCCACTCCAGTCTATTGATGGATGATATCCCCAACTGGATGATTTGGAACAGGTTTTACAACTACTATAAATCCATGTAAATCCATATAAATTACTATTTATTGACTTTAGATTACTTTAGAACCCTTTATCACTACTATAAATCCCAAACAAACTCAACATACTCACTATGATTTACTGGATGATTTAGAACTACTTGAATATCTATCACTGGATGATTTAGAACTATCCCCAGCAAATAAGAGTAAATCCCCATGTAAAACATCTATCGCTGGAGGATTCAGAACTATCATTGAACATCTACAGTATCAATTACTGAATGATTTAGAACTACTATGAATATCATTGAATAGTTCTAAATAAATATCATGATATATACATATAATTATACGTATGTATCTGTCTATCTATCTGTCTATCTATCTATCTATCTATCTATCTAACCTAATCTAATCTACGTAATCTAATCTTAATCTATATAATCTAATCTAGTCTAATCTAATCTAATCCAATCTAATCCTATCCAATCTAATCTAATCTAATCTAATCTAATCTATCTATCTATCTATCTATCTATCTATCTACTAGTGTACTACTAATTAAATATCAATAAACTACTAGGAGTATCATTAAATATCTATCAATTCCCCTGTTGTAGCTCTCCCGATGGCTCGCTCTCCCGATATCCCCGTCCTTCACCAAGGCCGTGGAGCTGCTCGAGCTTGAGCTCGAGCCGGCGGCCTGGGCGCTTGAAAAATGCGAATCCGGGATGAATATATGGATAATATACGATAATTCATGGGATTACCCTCTGGTAAACTAACATGACTATTGAAAATGGGCATTTATAGTTGATTTACCCACTAAAAATGGTGATTTTCAATAGCCATGTTAAATTACCAGAGGGTATATATGAATATATGAATATCAACGGAATAATATACAATAATATTATAGATGGATAATTTGATGGATCATGGATGAGAAGTTCCATAGCTAATGGGGAAATTCCAGCAACCCACAGCTCCCGCCATGTTTGATTTTCGGAGGCTACAGCCGTGCAGTTCCGCAGATCCCATGAGGATTCCCATCGCTTTATCTGCTTGGTCTGGTCTGACCTTATGGGTCTAAGAATGGGTGTCATATTTTAAAATCATCATCCCAGCAGCATTGAAACACATCTATCCATCCATCCATCCATATGATCTAGGCTTTTCCGTTATAAACCAACCATTTTTGGGTATCCATTGATGGAAACCCCCAATTCTCTCTCTCCTGCGAAATCGCCCACCTCACCACGGACGGCAGTTGTGCCCCTGGTCCTCGACCGACTCTTCGGGAAAATGATGAAGTACCGGGGCTATCCGTATTTATAATATATTGATATATATATAGAGATAGATAGATATATATATATATTGATAGAATCTCAATTAAGAGTGATCCTCTAAACGACGCGACTGTTGATCACCAAGGGTATCTCCCTATTAAATAATTGATATATATATATATAATTATGGATACAATAATATATAGTACTACTATCAATCAATGTATATGGGAATGAGTTTTGTGGGTAAATGAATGGTGCGTATCCACTATGTATCCACTGGGTATCCATTTATAATGGGTTTTAATATGGTTGTACCGTATTTATAAATCCCATGTTCTGTTGGTGAAATAATCGCTGGGTGGGTACATAGTGCATCGAAGAGTTTTGGTGTGTCCCTGAATTGCATTGGTTTTGAGTCATTTGTGCCATTAACATGGTAATTATGCGATATCCCCCATGTTCAAACACACCCGAATCATATATGGTTAGTTTTACAAACATATATTATATATTCCATTGCATCCCAGTCTTTATCCCTACATATCCCCAACAAAGATGCTGAAAAACTTTCACAGCAATGAAACATTGCCGTCGGTCAATGTCCTGGACGGCACGACCCCCGTGAAGCATGTCGGAACCTGCGCGCTTGCGCTCCAGCGAGCAGGAGCTGCGGATGGTCATGGATGGTCAGAAATCAATGGATCTACAGTTGTAATAATTGTAATCAGTTACTGGTTGGTAGTTTCAACCCCTCTGAAAAATATGAGTTCCTCAGTTGAAGTCAGTTGGGATGATTATTCCCAATAAATATGGAAAGTCATAAAAAATGTGTGAAACCACCAACCAGGTCGTGTACATACCATAGCATAGCATGGCACATGACAGTATATAATTGTAACATAATGATATCACATGTGACACATGGATACAGACGCCCCCAGAAGGGTGCTGCCATGGGGCTGCAAGCATGGCCAGCATGGCCAGAAGCAAAACGCCTCGGATGATCCCCAGGGACCTCTGATATCTTGGGGGCTGCAACCACTAAACAGATATCATATTTATGTCAATATCTAATTATACTAAAGCGCAAAAGGATAGAATAGATTCAATTTACCATTTTTTTTCAGATGGGATTTTACTAACCTCTATCTTTTTTGGGGGAGTGCTATACTTCATAATTTGGAAAACCCAGGAATTGACCATACAGGTAGCCATAGCCAATTCTACCATGTGTCTTCTCAGACATTACAAAAAGGGAAGTCGTTTAAGGTTTACTACAGTGAATCTCGGCCACGTCTGATAGTAGCCAATATTGTCAATATCTCCCAGATATTGTTTTCTGGATGAATTGCCATTCTTCCCAAGATCAAATGAATCAAATGGCATTGAATTTTCATGGTGTCCACTTGATCTTCACCATGTTTTGTGGGAGTCAAATTTAAAACCAAGGCTTGGGATCATCACCCGATGCCTTCCACCAAGGCTTGGCTGCACGGAAGCCCGGAACTGATCCCAAGAAACCGGGTTCTATCGTTGAGAATGGCACACAGCAGTGTCAAGAAACTTCAGAACACTTCAAAGAATGTGTATATATGGTACATATATATATACTTTTTACATGAGAGGGATTTATTGTACCTCTATATACAAATACATGAACATGTAGTCAAATGCATTGTGCATGTATATGTTTAGCTCCATGTATTACATGTATATAGTAATCTCTCGCCCCCACCTATGAGATAGGGGGAAGTGGGAGTTGAGTCATACTGCTAGTGGTTGCATGTGTTGAGGTGGAATAATATATATTGGTACATATCTTTGCCAGTATAGTAGTGAAGATATCATGCAGCTGGTACACAGTATGATATACCTCCGGAGTCACGTAGCAGGTAGATTTTACATAGCTGTATGTAGCTAGAATAATTACACCAGTAAGCGGCATGTAAGATATTAATGGATGCTACCTAATACCTAGGTATTCTGTATAGGAAGTAGTTTGAGTAGCATAGACAACAGGTTGGCAGAGGCAGGGCCAGGAGCCAGCAAGGCCCGGGCTGGCTGCGCGAATCTGACGTCCTGTGGCACATGTCGGATGACTTGGGCAGAACAGAAATTCCATCTTCGGTTCCTGATGATATCGTTTTGTGGATCACTGATGCGGCAAACCGAAAAACATGTTTACCACAATAGTGTATCACTGTTTATGATGTTACTCCAACTTCATGACACAGATACTCAATAGTTTGTTGCCTAAAACTGAGTATGGTTTATAACCCCCATATGAAACTATATTGGCTATGGTTGATGGTGTCCACATCCAAGACTAACGTCCTGAATTGCAAACAGAGCAGTCTATTTTGGATGGTTCAATCCATGTTGAAGTCCCCAGTATTTAAATTTTGGTTGGTGCGATTCCAGATACAGTATTAAAATCAGGTTGACATTTTTTTTTAACTATGCTAAATTCTCATGGTGTCTGATTTGGTTCCTCAAAACATGGTTCCATACTTATGTGCTTAGGTCATATCCCACTATATCCCCATTTTATCACCATGTCACCATAACTTTATCACCATATCCCCACCAAATATTCCCATGAAATCCCGACGTCACCAATCTGCAGAGGTCCCGCCTCGGAAGGCCATGGTTGATCTGTCCTACGATGTCCTCGCTGCGCTGTGATGTGACCAGGATCGACCAGGGATATACAACCGATGGTCAATGGTTACTGTACATCACGTATAAATATTCTACCCTCTGGCTATGACTAACATAGCCATGGTATAGATGGCCCATAGAAATAGATGGTTTACCGTTCTTAAAAATGGTGATTTTCCATGGCTATGTTAATAACCAGATGGTATATTCTAAATCATAAATCAATGCATGGGGACATGCACATATGGATGATACATAGCATTATATAGCCGTATATAGCCATGAAATGGTGAAGCAATGGCATGAATGGGGATGTAGCCAGCAAAAATGGTGGATTTACTCAACACCAAAGTAGGAATGTCTCAAAGCTCAGGTACAGATGAGTGAACACCTACCGACATAAACCTATGTACGCCTGTATGGCACAGTACCTACAGGACACCTATATACGCTATGGGTTTTACCTATGTACTAACTACATGACTTTCTTAGACTTGGCTATGTAGTGCCTATAATTTGTCGCCCAAAAACTGTTCTCCGGTCCTCTCTGCATATGACTTGCACGCTCTTAGAATACACCCACCCCAACTACCTGGGAACCATCTGTATATGTGAGCTATGTAGTGGCCAGGCAATGCTGCGCCATCTATCTCTTAGTGTATATATATATACAATAATATGTGTATATATATATATGTATATATCATCAATAATGTATATATGTATTATTAAATATATATATATATATCATTAAGTACATATATATATATATGTGTATATCATTATATGTATATATATATGTTATTAAAGATAATTGTAGATGCGTGTGTATCATTAAATATACGTATATCATTATACATCTAGCATTATATATAATTGTATATATAACTGTATATACATATGTATATCATTAAGGCTGTATATATATACATATATATATCATTACACATACGTATATCATTATATATATATCACATATATATCATTTTATACCATTGTATTTACAGTATTATACATACATCATTTTAATTATGTAAGTCAGTATGTATATTTATGTACATATCATTATATATATAATCATATATATACATATACATATATTTTGATATATATGTATACATCATTTTATGTGTATACAAGTATAAATATATATATATATACATATTAATATATATATAGCCTTATGGATAGCATTAAATATATATATACATGTATATATATATCCCTAAATAATATTTTATTATATGATATTATATTATATGATATTATATGTATCATTATAAAATACATGTATAAAAATGTATAAATATATATATAGTAAGGAACCAGCAGATAGAGAATTCAGGATTGCCAGGTCAACAGATAGAATAGGACAAAAAGCAGAGAGATGGGATACTATTCTTACTCAATAGGTTGAAATGAACAATTTCCCATCATTCCTGCAACTAAATCAAGTTAAAATGAACCATTTCAATGATTATGTGTTTGATTTACTGAAACTAATTGATCTATTTCTGCATGCCAACAGAGCTGGCACACAATCTTACGGAAACATTGTCCAAAACCCTTGTAAAAACCATAGCACCGATAGAATACTATAAATTCTATCTGCAAGTTCTTTACCCAATAGGTTGATGTTGACTAGTTTTTCGAAAAAAAAAGAAGACCAGCTTTTTATTCTATCTGCTGGTTACTTACTATGTATATATATATACAATTATATATACACACTAACATGTCTCCATAAAAGCACCAAACATCGTTGGCCAGCAATGAATTCACCACTCATCTTGGAACCCCACGGTTTTGGTGTTCCTGGAGCTCGCAACGAGTTTGGGAAAAAAGCGGCCGCCGATTCGCTGATGGCTGCGATGTTTGAGCCGTTGGAGCCGCAAAATGTGTGGGCACTGATCAGCATTCATCAACATTAACGACTTTGGACTGTTCATTAATATTGATTAATGTTGATTATTAATGTTGATTAATGTTGATTGATGTTGATTACACTATTCAGCATCAATGTGCGTTAACCAACATTGTGAAAAACCGTCTAAATGTGTGGGATGGTAGTCATTCCTGATGTAGAGCCTTCAAATGCCTTAAATGGGCAAACTGCCGAGTGATTGCTCACAGATGTTCACAGAAGATTCAGAAAGTCTTGTATTCGAGAAAAAAAAGATCCAATTTTCCTGATCCACAGGAGCGCTCGGCCAAGTGTGGATGGATAGCATGCCCATTACTTTGAGGATCATCCAACAAATTAAAGCTGGTGAATACCAAAGTGATTTCTTGGATATGGGATAAACCCAGGACTGGAGGACTTATTCACCTGGTCACATTCCATCACATCCCCATCTTCGGTTTGTCAAACCCCTAGGTTTGATGGGTTTTCTACCCATCTTGCCCCCTTTCTATCTCACGGTTCCTCCCTGTTTAAAGCTCCGCAGGCTGAATGATTCGCAATCTGCTCTGGGCCGGGTGTCCGTTTAACGGACCTAGGAGGCAAATGGCCCGCGAGGCATTCCGTGCTGGAACGACTGCAACCCAGAAAATTGACACACAAAAAATATCAACAGCGTCTCTCCCTGTGGCATATTGCATTTTCTGAGTCTCAATAAGTAAGTTTTCATGGAGCACGACCTTTAAAGTAAACAAGAAACTGCTGTAGTTGGTGGTTCCAGCTTTCAGTGAATTCCATTGGGTGAGAGCGTTCAACCGTGACCGGTCATCTGGAAAGTCAACGGCCAGGGATTGCTGAAATGTTTAAATCCCGAGGAGCTAGTGAGCCTACCTTCAAAATGACAACGTAGATTGCAATTGTTCGCAGTTTGACCCCCCGGATGATCTGCTCCCTGCCCTTCATAAGTCTCTTATTTGGATAGAAACAGTGAGCCATGCGCCTCTCAAACTGTTTCAATTCAAGCCGCTTCAGCTAAGCTTTGATTCATCGATGACTTAGCCCTGTCATCCAAGGGCATTATTCCAGGAATGTCTCCAAATCAAAATGGGAAATGGCTCGAAAGGATTACGGTCACCTGGTTGGTGGATTCAACCCTTGAATCGGATCATCGTTCCACAACAAGGGAATATCAAACATGTTTGACACCACCAAGCATGTTAGAAGGCCCCCACACACACACACATAAAAAGAAAGAAAATAAACTCACAAGGTTGTAGCGACATGTACTAACAATCCTTGTCTGATCCCAAACTGGTACCGGATTCCTGAGCCAAACGCAAATGTCGCTGTACAAAAACTATACAAATCCACACTCACCATCATGCAACTCGCGCTCTACAGAGCGGACAGGTAGAATGTGTAGCCAACCAAGCTCTTTGACATGCAGAATGGAAGGCGTGGCCGCATGAGAGTCGCTCAAATCCATGAACTTTCAGCCTCTCCCAGCAAATGGCACACTCCGCATCTTCCGCCAGCTCAAATCCGGCGCCGGTCATGCGCCGCCCAAGGGAACCAGGGTCAGGCTGGACAGGAGATGAACCGGATCGATTCCAAATGGACGCCACCGACTCCTTGATCGATTCCATGACCAAATCCCTCCAGTTTCTGATATCCAAAAGAATCAGAATCCGAGCTCTAAAAACAATGTCCATCGCTTCACCGAGTCGATTTCGGCCGCAGGGCCCCCCAAAAAAGAAAACTCTGAGACTCTGAGCAGAGCAAATTCTGGACGGAAAAGGTGGAGTTCCAACACATCCGGGTGATTCGGTTGCAAACTCATCGAGACTCCAGTGCCTTGGTGGAAATTTGAGGCCCGGATTCCAAACCACTGCCAAAACCCACTAGAAATGTGATAGTTGTGTGTGTAAATATAATTTTGATATGTATATATAGATATAGATATAGATAGATATAGATATAGATAGATATATGATGATATATGATGATATATGATGATATATGATGATATATGATGATATATGTGTCAGTGCGTGTGTGTGTGTGTACATAATATGTTATAACTCCTCCTACTCCTACTCCGACGCCTGCTCCGACGCCTACTCCGACTCCTCTACTCCTCTACTCCTTCCTCCCTTCTTCTTCAAGTACTACACTGGCAGTGCCGGTAGCTAATGACATTGCCTACAGCGTTACCGTCGTCTACAGGTGCTCGTCACAGGACGCACACGGTACTGATCGACTAGTACTCACTTGGTATGCGTTCCATTGGTTGTTCAAGCACGCGCTTGCTGCTCAAGCTTGCTTCTGATCTACGGCTCTGTGTTCGTTTCTTCTCTCAGGCTTCCACCTAGCGTGCACGTCAACTTCCCTTGGGGCAATCTCTCTTCCCTGGCTCCTTCCATGCAGCGGTCTGCTGTCAAGCCAGAGGCTCATACATAGTACCTGGCGCTACTTTGCTGGGGGCAGTACTAATTTGGTATACGGTCAATAGGTTGTTACAGCAAACCTTGCTACACAAGCCGCTTCCGTTTTACGGCTTTGTCTTCGTCGTCCTTTCTTATTCTTCTTATTCTCCTTCTTTTCTCTTCTGCTCTCTCGCGGGCTTCCACCTAGAATGCACATCAAACTCCCTTGGGGCCACCTCTCTATGGCCAGCGGGCTTGCCGAAGGCAATTAAATATGTTAGAAGTTATAAGTTACATGTTCATGTTTATCCCCTGATTTCAGCGGTCCCATACTGTAGGTACCGAACCATCCACATGTTTTTTCCACCTGGCCGATAGCTTCTTCGTGAGGTTCACCAAATGCAGTACAAGAAAGAGTTCCAAGAAGACAAGTACCCTCTACAAGGGATTGAAACTTGAATGGGTGAAATATGGTGAAATACCAGCAAAACGCGATTGAAACCCAGTTCGACCTGCGAGCGTATAGTAATAGATGGAGAGGTGAAACCACCATCCAATGTGTTCCATCAATCCGCACGTGTCGTTGCTATTTTCACCGGTCCATCATGGCACCCTGCCCTGTTTTCAGGTGCAGGGAGGGTCGAAACACCCGAAAGGCGTTCCAAGGTAGATGGTTGAGGATGGTTGAAACCTCTCCAAGTCATATCACCATGCCTATGTTTTCAAGGTGTGTAGGACACACATGATTTGTTGATGAATTTTGCCTCCAAACTAAGCCAAAGTTATCACAGCTCCGCCTCAAGTATCTGTCACCAAATCAGAAAAACATTGCTTCATTTGTCTCGATTTTTTGTGCAAACTTTCCCACATCGGTAAAATGGGTACCATCACATGCGGGCTTCTGCTTTTCAATCAACCTCGCCCCGTGCAGGTGAAACAACTTTGCCCGGTCGCGTTTCGGAGAGTGCCATGAGTCACAGTGATCACCCCAATCCAAAAGGAGAACCATCCTAGCCATCAATTTCTTTTCTGGTGGAACGGCCTCCCTGAAAGACTCTTGGAAGCAATAAAAGGTCAAAAAAACAAAAAAACAATTGACACCACCAACGCATTGCATTTTTTGGATGGTGATATCTCTGCTTTTGCGGGTGCTACTCCCGTTTCTCGATGCCATTGTTTTGTTTGTGATTGGTTCCTACAAAACAATGACACCACCAACCCGAACCCAGCAGTTTGGGGATCCTTGACCATGATTATATACTATATATAATTCATTGTAATGCTATAATTCTATCTAGACTAGCAGTATTCAGCATTATCTATATATGTAATTTATAATATATGTACAGTAAATATGATATGATATGATGTGACATGACATGATATGATATGACATGATGTGATGTGATGTGATATGTATAGATCCCCCGGCACTGACTGGATCTCCGTGAGAATTCGTTGCTCTGTCTCTGTCTCTGTCTCTCTCTCTCTCTCTCTCTCTCTCTCTCTGACCACCATGGGCGCAAAGCCTCGTGAAAGGGTGTTAGGTCTCCAAGATCCATTACAAAGCACCCCAGTAAATAAAACCAACCACTTCAAAGCTATCATTTGCCACGGTCTTCCAAGTCATGATGGGTATCCTTATAGTGCGCGCAAAAAAAAACATATATATATATATATACACATATAAATGGATCATCGGTGTTATCATTTGGTAGGCATGTCCGCAATAATGACCACAAAAGCATGATAAGCTTTGGAAAGTCTCTGGTTGCTTCACCAAATCTGCAGATAAATCATCCAGTACCTTGATGATCCCTGAAGCCAATTTCTGTGGCTCCGTAGCGCATCTTCACCATCAATTTTGGCCCCAAAGAATACATGGGAAGAGTATGAAATGACAGAAAAACAACCAGTAAATAAGTTAAATGTGTGGGAAAAAATAAGATCAACGAATCTTGAATGTTGACTCATGCCATCCTATATCCCATCTATATATATATAATCATAATAATCGTATATAACCATGTATAATCAGATATAATACTATATAATCATATGTAATCAAATATAATCATATATAACCATATAATCATATATAATAATTTGGTAATATATAATAATATAATCACATATAATAGTATAATCATATATAATAATATACATTCCCCTACTAGAGATGAATTGAGCAGCATTCAAAAACTGAAATGGCGCCCTTCATGTATACTAGGATAATAGGATAATGTACAGTAATGTGACAATCCCCTATATGGTGGACAGTATCACTTCCTACAATAAGCACCAAGATTTTTGAACATCATCTTCCCTCTCAAAATGGCATGGCCGTTTGGGTTAGTTACCCGAATTCACCATCATTTACTTTGTGACGTCGCGGCGTGAGGTCACCAACATAATTCATGCAGATCTATCCGAATCATCTCTCACTTACATCGCCATTGATGGCTGGTTGAATACTTGAGTCCCCATAGATGTCCCCACTATGTGATAGAGATCCATGGCCATGGCAGGACTCCCCAAATCGCGCCCCCCTTTCTCGGCTCAGGTGGTCGTTGTTGGGCGCTCGCCCTGGATGGGGACGGCATGGGGATGGCAATCTTCTACCAGGAACCATCGGTTGATGTTTTAAAAAATACCTCAAAACACCATAGGATGGGAAGTATGAAACTATAAAATACTATAAATATCTATAAATTCATATGAGTTCCAATACCACCTATGAAATGGGATGTATTTTACATATTTTTACATGTAAAACATGCAAACACCAGGATAGTGTGCTGAAGTGACCCAGGTGATCTCCGGTTCCCAAGAGTCACTGGACACCATCCTGGGGCCACAAATTGAACTGGTCATGTGCAGTGCTCCAAGTTAGAATTCCCCTAGGGCAAACTAACATAAATATGAAAACCAATGGTTTTCCTAGAAACATAATTTACACATGGTGGATTTTGATAGGTTTTCATAGGTTTTCCACATCTATATTAGTTTATAGGAGCAGCGAGATCTCAACAAATGGAGACCAGCAGGGCAGGGGATGAATAGTGAAACACAACTGCACGCCATGCAAGATCGTTAAACTAAGTAAGCATCACACGCAGCAAGCGCACTTCCTCCGCTTACCTAAGGAGAACCTATCTGACTCACCGTTTGATGTTCAACGGATCTCAATGCTTCTCCTGAAACAACGAACAAAACTGCGGGTGGATTTATCTGAAGGTACAGTAGGGTCTAGTACCCTCAAATCTCCTAGTTGATCATCATTTGCCCCATCAAAATTGCCAGGACAAAACCAGACATGGCACTTGTTGTTCATTGCTCGGTGCCTGCTGGATCTTTTTGACGAGGTTTTTCTCTGCATGCTGCCGCCAATAGTTCTGGATCAGCTTTGCCTAGCGCGTTCATGCTGCAAGCGCTGGATATGGAAAACAAAGAAGGATCATGAGGCCTTTCACAGTTTCAGGCAAGACCATCCTTCCTCTTCTTTTGAGTGTGGCATGATGTAGCATCCATTTCCGTTGGAAAGGATCATGAATCAGATTTTTTCATGGACCATCGGATGGTCATCACCACTCCCGTGGCACCTGCTGTTTCCGAATGACGGCAGTTCTCAAGTGGATCAGTCGTCGCATCTTTGGAAGACTGTGCCACGACGCGAAGGGGACAGAAAAGGGCTACGGGCACGGGTAGAAACCAGGGACTTTCAACTTTCTGGCACCCAAAAAATAGGAATATATGGAAGAAGAATCCAACATGGCCAAGAATCATGGGCATATTCATTCTAAGGTTATACGAAATAGGCATGGAAGCACATGAATCACAGTTACTCTCAGGTACTGTAGGCACATCCCTGGAGCTGATGCGATCTTTCCTAAACCTGGTAGAAAAATCAACATGAAAATCTTGATATTCAGCAGGCCCTTTTCTTTGGCCCCAATCGATTCCAGCACCTGAGCCACTTTCGATACACCTTCTGGATGAGGAGCACCTGACGAGGTGCCCATCGGGATGCCATGTGGCTGCGGATAGCCTATCCTTGGAGTTTTTGATGGATGTATACCCTCTGGTAAACCAACATGACGAACTGGAAAATCACCATTTTTAATGGGTAAATCCACTATAAATGGCCATTTTCAATAGCTATGTTAGTTTACCAGAGGGTAAATATAAACATGCCAATTAGTTAGGATATAAACTCTATTATGGAACTGCAACCCCCAGTAGGCTCCTTCTAGTCCTCCAAAACCACACTTTTTTCGCGCCCAATGGTGATCTTTTGAGAGGACTAAGGACGACCATCGCTGAACTGGATCTGTAGGTCATCCATGGTCATGTTGGAGCATCATTTCAGGTCATGTGGATCTCCCCAAGATTCCCCATCATGTTTGGCCCCTGGTGAGGTCACACCACGATTCCTCCCATGGCAAATCCCTGCCTTCTTTTTAAGTTTCGCCATTCGTCTCCGTATCAAGAACCTCGAAGCCAGACCGTAGCAAAGGTCAAAAAATCCTGATTTCTCGGTGATCATACCCCCAAAATGTTGCCAACATTGGTGAGATTGGATATATATATATATAGATATATATATATAGATATATATATATATTATATATATAGATTGGTTTGGTTCAGGCCCTGTGAAAATAGATTGGCTTAGACTCGCTCTTATTGTGTCCGGTTCCATGATCCATTTTCAGGATGCTTCAGCTAAGGCGGCCAAATGCAGGGAACCCCAGCGGATTCCAAAATTCACCCCCCAACTCCACGCAAACTTCTTAATCCAGCAAAACCAGTGACCTAGATCTCCCAAGAATCACTGTTCTACCAGTTCTTGCCGTTGCGCCCTTGTTTTTCCCAGCTCATCCATGGCTCATCCCACCCTGCGCAAGCTCTTCCAGCTCCTCATTTGGGCAAATGGTATGATTTTGGGAGGCCCCATCATCCAGCCACATCGCAGAGAACACACAGGGAACTTGTCGACCAAGAAAGGATGCTGTGGAAATGAGCCTCTACCGCGGTGAAAAACTTGAGACCTGCAAGAAGATCGTTCCTACAAAGAGTCTATAGTCCTGCGTTCTGAAGCTAAGAGTTTCATTTCAGGCTCCCACACAACATGCAATCATCCATAATCCTCTCCAAACCCTCAGATTCTACCTACTTGGTGAGAAAAAAAGTTGCGGTCCTCCAAAAGTTGCGGCAGCGGCAGCGGCGATTCGCAAAGGTTTGCAGCCATCTCATAGGTCCAGGCCTACAGCTGTGATGACATGCCTTTCTTTATAAATAACAATAGAAAATATGTTTGAGATGGGGACCATCAAGCATTCATATGAGTAAAATGATCCTTGCAAGTTCTCCAAAGCCTGGCCGCTGATTGGCCAATTGATTGGCTTTGAGTCAACTCTTTTGGGTACAGCAGAATTCGATGGCCTTTCATCCTTTGAGTGGCCAAAACGGCTTTGGGCAGGTTTGGGTCCAAAGCCCATTCTGTTGATGGGCAGCCCATCATCAGCTGCTCATATTTCAAAGATTTTCAAAGTAACCCCCAAACCTGGTTTCCTGAGCCCTCAAAGTGGTTCTATGAAGTTCTATGTCATCATCTTTCACCATATCATGCATGGCATTAGCTGCTTTTAAAGGAACAAACTCCACCAGCGCTGTTGGGCCCCTGGCATTGACCGCCATGCGAGAAGTTCGCCTGAGGCTTTGATGAGTATCGGGCTCAAAACCCCAGGAAAACAACGGAAAAAAAACCTCCGCACAGCACCAAACAACGGGGCCCGAACATCTCGGTCAGCAGCGTCAGAAGCTGTTGCCACCTCGCCATCTTCTCACACGCGGCCATTGCAACTTTGAAGCCTCGGAGGGGCCACAGGAATACCCCGAGTACTAGGTGTTTAGCGTCCATTCACCATCCATTTACCGTCCATTTACAAAATTGGTTGTGAAACATGGGGCTTGCCCCTCCATTGATCAACCAGTTGGAAGAGGACATCTACGGGTTCAAAACCAAGGTCTGTTTCTGCAGTATTTAAAGTATTTACTGTTGCAGTGTAGATAACGTGACCCCTGGGGTTTGTTCTTTCTCAAGACTCACTCACCATTTCGCTTTTGGGGGCACCTTTTGACCCGTACCCAAATGACAGTAACGCCCTGAAAATTGCGCGAGATTTGATTAGACTACATCTCCGTTTAGAAAAGAGCCACGGCACATTGTGCCGGCACCCAATTTCGCGCCCAGCTGTTGATCTGACTATACAACATGATTGTTCCATCATGTTGCAATCCAAAACATGTTGCCACAAGGGGTATCCTGTTGGGATATGCATAACAACACAATTTTGGGTGTCTTTCTGTTTATGTTTGTTTTTTTTGTGTTTATCCAGATCTCTGGCCATCGTTCCAACTTGATCTCCCCAATATCTACTATCCAGACAATAAGAATTCGCACGCCCCAGTAAACATGTTTAGTGGTTAAAACTCCAAGTGTCGATGGTTGAACGACTAAAAACTAGAACTTTGTACTTACCCTCTGGTAGTCAAAGATTGTTTGCTGGAAAATCTCCCATTTATACATGTTTTTCCATTCAAACGTCTGTTTTTGCTATGTTCCCAGAGAGGGTAGATTTCCGGCGAGTTCGCATGGGGTTCACCCTGGTGGTACCTCCCTGAGTTCGGGACTCAGCTCATCCACAAAATTCCCCAGCAGTTGAAGAGTTTCCGCCCACCTGGGGGATAATCTGTTGCTTCGTGGTCCAGCAACCTACGTTCACTTCCCAAAAAAAAATATAAAATGGTACCTATAGCCGTTTAGCCCATACTTACCTTATATATCTATATAATTCTATGTACATAGATCAACCCAAATCGGGTTTTCACGATTGATCGGGGTATCTAAATGACCATTGCCATCCTTGAATGCGGATACGTAACCGTCACTTTTGATCTAGGTTCTGGAGTGTATGGCACGGATGACACCAAAACAAAACACCCAATTCCAACGGTTTAGAAAGTCATGAAATCCCCATTTTTCATCTGGCAATAAACTGAGACCAATCCCCCATTTCCGGAGAATTCCACATTCATACTGTCAATCATATTCCATTAATCTATCCAACATTATCACCAGTTTATCACCATCGCCATTTTATCTCCATGAAATGGCTAGTGTTATACATCGAATGGGGATTCCCAGTTGGCTTCATAAAGGGTAACCATCTGGTATTTTTTCCACATAGCTAGGGCAGCTAGGCCCATTGAGTTCCATGATTACCAGAAAGTTCATCATCTTTTGCTTGCTTAAATCCTATCAAACCACCATGTTTTGGTGATAAATCCCTTTAAATCCCAGTAAACCACCATTTACCCTCTGGCAATTTAACATAGCTATTGAACATGGCCCAGTCGAAATAGTTGATTTACCCATTAAAAACATTAATAGCATGGTTCGCTATGTGGCTGTTTACCAGAGGGTAACCACCATTGCAACCACCATCAAACCACCATTAAACCCACTCATCAACCAGCCAGGACTGCACCTGGAGCACTTCTGGCACGCGTCGATGGCCACATTGCAGCTGAGCACATCCCCTTGAAGTCCTTGCCTCCCGCTGAAAATCAACCACTTCGACCTACAAAGTCATGGAAGTGCCAATATATATATATATCACATAGACTCACATATACATTAAATATATGTGTACATATGTAATGAAATATGTGTGTCATATATGTAATCATATGTATGTATCCTATATATTATATATGTAATTGTAAATGTGCATCATATATATAATTGTATGTGTCATGTATGTAATTGTATGTAATGTAATGTAATGTAATGTAATGCAATGCAATGCAATGCAATGTAATGTAATGTATGTATGTATGTATGTATGTATGATATATGTATGATATATGTATCACATATGTATCATGTATGTATGTATCATGTACAGTATGTATCGTGTATGTATCATGTATGTATCATGCATGCGTCATGCTTGTATCAAGTATGTATCATGTTGACATATAAGCTACTTATAAGTTAAAACAATATCAAATATAGAAATAGATACAAATATGAATATAGATACAAATATGGAAAGCAAAAGTGCGTGTGTGTAAATACACATGGTGTATTTACCCGTATTTGTATACATGTTGTATTTACACATAAGCAAATGTATATATATATATATAAATATACATTGACACATACACGAAAGCAAATGTAATTGTCTTGTACATACATACGTTTACCATGTATGTATGTATGTATGTATGTATGTATGTATGTATGTATGTTTGTATGTTCGTATGTTTGTATGTTTGTATGTTTGTATGTTTGTATGTTTGTATGTTTGTATGTACGTACGTACGTACGTACGTACGTACATACGTATGTATATATATACAAATACATCTCGTATATTCGTTTATATACAATGTGTATATACAAAGCGTAAATCAAGAAACATGTATTCAAATATATCTCTCTTTCATGTGCAAATAAAAATGGTTCAAGTACATATTATATACGTATTTATGCTATGTAAATAGGTTTTTGTAATGTAAGTAAAATGTTATATAAATATGTATATATATACAGTATAGTATAGTGTATATATAGTATAGTGTGTATATACATAGTATAGTGTATATATATACAGTATAGAGTATATCTAATATAATCAATATAGTAGTGTATATATATATACCAAAAAAGGGAACCCTTACATTTCGGCTGCTGTTGAGATGATGTGCTGTAAGATATTATATGTTGTTCACTGTCCCTATGATCCACTTGCAGTACCAGATATGTGTGTATATGTGAAGGACAGAAGTGCAGGGCTGCTGCAAAACTGCAAAAAAAGGCGAGGCAGATCCTTACCTTGCTAGCCAGACCCACCTCGTTTGTCACCTTGTTCTGCCGCAAAAATTATATAGTATCTCAACCCGAAGACAACTGAGCGTAGCTGCGCAAATGAAAGCGGTTGCTTATATAGTTACATGTATATTTCAATATTTCTATTCCTGATCTATTCATGTATTCATAAATGCATGTATATATATGTGCAAATCCTATCCAACATTTTTAGATATGCATGTGTATATATATACACATAATTATTATACGGATTACATAAAGCATAGGAATTGAAAATGATACATACAATACATATAAAATAGAAATATACGTGTATGTATCGTCTATAATGAGTAACATATAAAAGAAATAAATCACTAAATGTGCTGTCAGAGAATCTTACACATATAAAATATGAAATACTTACAACGATAACTGTGTATACAATATATATATATATTATATTCAAAAAAAAAGTATACATTTAAAAGAAAAATGAAAAAATAAAAAAAGAAACTGTATATCATGGTATGACTATGTGTAAGTATATGTATGTCTAACTTGAAGTATATCGACATACATACGATACATGTCACACAGGTGGTTTGCAAATGCAACCTATATTCTCAATATATGTATAACTATATGTGGCGTTCAATAAGCTGCAAAGAGAAACAACAACTAAAATCAAGACATGTTGCATAGAATGTGTCATGTGTTCAAACATAATAATGATGTGAAAAATACAACCAATGTATATACACATACATTACAAATGATAAAAATCAAATATTAAGTTCAGGAAACTATCTGAAATGTGCAATCTACAAAATGTCAACATTTACATGTGTGTCTGATTGTGCATCAGTATTCTATCTCTCTCTCTCTCTCTCTCTGGCTAGAGGTCAACACGTGTTGCTCTCCAACCAAAAGTGGCCTCTACCACCTCTTCAGCAACATTTCCATTTTACCCTCAAAGTAATTGGACCAATTGGAGCTATTTTGACCTTGTGGGGAGTCTGCCGACTGATCAAACTAAATGTTCACACTATTTACATGTATATATACATATATACATATACATATATATATATACACATATATATATACATATATATATATGTATATATATTGTATGCATATTGACGGACAGTCACTTAGACATTTTTGAAAAATGAAACTTCACACTGCACACTTTGACTGGTTACCCACCCATCACACTTAGAGCACAATTTCGAACATCCAGATAATCAGATCTACCTGTTCATCTTGATCCCCGGTGTTCAAACTGTGGAGCTCTGTGTGCCTATGAGGCATCCCATCTCAGATTCACGTCCGATGCAAAGCAAAGTGAAAAACGGAAATATACAGGAATTGATGTACTCTAGACAATAAGACTATAATTAATCTGTAACTATACTGAAACTATCATATACATATTGCTATTAATATACATTCTATCATTTATATATATTATATATATATATATACGCCGCACATGTCAATTTATACAAGTCGCATCTCAAATTACATATGTGTATATATATATGTATATTTATACATCTGTACATATGTATAATATATATATATACATATCATTGCATCATATATCTAAATGCCTTTTCAACTGGTTTGGTGATGTCAAAATATATGCCGACCTGGGTCGCCTCCCATCTGGCTTGCCTCCCATGTGGAATCTATTGAATATATCGATAGTTGGGGGTTATACCCTCTGGTAAACTAACATAGCCATTGAAAATGGCCATTTATAGTGGATTTTCCCATGAAAAATGGTGATTTTCCATAGCTATGTTAAATTACCAGAGGGTAAATCCAAGGATTTTTTGCGACACCAAATCACCCGATTCCGTTGAGGAATTGTTGTTTGATAAATTTTGACCCATCAACATGCCACCACGCCACCATGCGTGGCAAACGGCTGCCTTGGCATTTGCTTCAAAAGGTCCAATTGCAAGCGCCAGTCACAAGCACGTGCACTGGCAGCCATTGCAGCATTCTGTGTCACCAACTCGTACTCAACCTTGGCGCTGCAGTTTTGTAATTTTGAGTTTTTGCTGATTTACAATGAACTATGTTCTTGTTGACGCCTTACCGTTTTAGGGGGTATCTGAGAACCAAAAAGTGACCAGCACGGATTTCTCAGCCTCAGTGGACCAGGACCATCCCTTACGGCGGGGGATCTTTTGGTCAGGTTGCAGCGAGGCAAATCGCATGGCGCCAAGCGGATGCCTTTTTTAAGCGTTGGAAAGTGGCAAACCATTGGAGTGGGGCGAGGGGCTGCTGGGGAAGAAGTTACAGTACCTGTCAACAGTCTTTAACAAAAAGCAGCAAAACATAGCAAAAATGAGTAAGACTGGTCAAGATTTGATGATTCTTTGTGACATCGTTTTGTTCCCTCTCACGGAAAGTCCATGCTATCAACATGCAGAAATGGCCACAGGCCGGTCAGAAGTCCTCAACCAGCTGCTGAAAGCCACCTCCCCACCATAGCAACATCCGGCCGAGAGCTTCTTAACTCAAGATCCCACCTGACCATTGACATGATATAACCCAACTATTTAGAATACATGCGTAGTTATGCAATGATTATATGCGTCTCAATTCTAAAGATGCATCAATTGTATATGTCTTAAATTACTTGAATTATGAGTTTGGGTCAATATCTATAAAAAGGGAATGAACATCCATTGATCAGCTCTTGCTGGAGCGCCTTTTCGCAGCCCAGCATGCTGCTGGAGCGGCTCGTAGCATCTGGTGTCAGCAGAACGCTAGACATCCCACCTCAGCCATGGGGTTGACAGGGCTTGACTGATTGGTGTTGGGGAAGATGTTGGGTAAAAGTGAAAAAGCACATTACATATCTCAAAGCCATCTATGACAGTTCCCTGACATTGCACTGTACCTGAAAAAAAGTCTCGCACATCTATAGTAACGTACACCACTACAGGCAAAAAAACCGCATATATATATATATATATTATACATATATATATGTGAAAAGTGAACTTGACATGCCTCATGTGCCTTGCATTGCACCTGTCTCAGCAGCTCCATAGCATGTTTCCATAGGCGCCCTGCTCAAACAGGGAAGCGGTGGGTGGGACTGAACCTTCCGGTGCGACGGTCATCAAAAGGGGCGCCATTGCTTCGTTGGCTTGGAGGCCTTTTTATCCTTTGTGGTGGGATCCACAACATTATCCACTTTGACTTCATCAGTTGGGAACTGGTTCATTTATCCAGTGGCTTGGGGCCACCAACTTTCAGTTTGGAACTGACCATCCGTTGCCAGTGTGTGAGGGAGTGCCACCCCTTTCACACTGGTAGCGGAGCGACTGGTGCTCCGCTGCTGACAGTGCAGCGAAAGAGCTGGTGATCCAGGGTCATCATGATGCCGAGAGATGATGCACTTCCTCCCGTACCTCCGGATGCAGCGGATGGATCTGTGATTTCCACTTCCCAATTGCCTTGGGCGGCAATTCCTCGATTCCAGCCAGGAGTCACCAATGTCCAGGAGTACGTGAAGAAGCTAGAGTTCTTGGCGGCTATGTGGCCGGTGGAATACTTAGATCTTTTAGCACCTCGCGCTGCGCTTTTGGTGGAGGGGTCAGCCTTTGCAGCCATCTCCAAGCTGGATGCGCAGAAGCTCAAGGTGAAGAGCTTGGATGGAATCAAGACCCTTGTGAATGCCATTGGAGGCAGCTGGGGTGCAACTGACTTTCAGGAGCGTTTCGAGTACTTCGAACGCGCGTTGTACGGCACCATCCAAAAGCAGGATGAGTCCAATGACAGCTTCATTGCCAGAATGGAAGCTGTGTTCTCAGAGCTTTTGAGTCGAAAGACTTCCTTGGAAGAAATCCAAGCCTATGTCTTGCTGCGGCAGTCGACATTGCCGGCCGATGACAAGAAGCGTGTGCTCCTTGAAAATCCTCAGCTGAGCTACCAACCAGTGATGAAAGCTTTGAGGCTCCTCGGTTCCAAGTTCTTTCAAGAAGTACAAACCGGCAAAGCCACCCAGAAGACCAAGGTCTACGACACGATGGTGACTGAGGAAGCTTCTGATGGCAGTTGCATGGTCTCGCAATCAATGCTAGCGGATGATGACGAAGTCTCTCCCGAGTTCCTGGAAGCTTTGGTGTCTCAGGATGATCCAGACGCAGTAGCTGTTCAGGCATTTGAAACGGAGTTTGAGGACTTTGTCCAGGACACCCCTGATATGCAGGTGGCTCTGATCTCCTACTTGGAGGCCCGCCAACGCCTTCAAGACAAGCGACGTGGCCGTGGCTTTTGGCCTGCCCATGGAACTGGCAAATCCAAGGGCAAGTCCAAGTTCAACAAGGGTTCCTTCAAGGGCCAATCTCAAGGTCGACAGAACCTGCTGGCCAAGATCGCGAAGTCCAGATGCAGGAATTGCAATCAACTTGGCCATTGGAAAGCCGAGTGCCCTATGAAGGATCGTGATTCATCCACGGCTCCCTCAACTTCCCATCCTCCTGCGGCAGCAGCCAACTTGGTGGAGTCTGAGCTGCGTGAAGCTGGTGGGACGACGGATGATGCCGAGATCTTCACTGATGCTGACTTGATGAAGGTGCACCGTGATTTCTTGGACGTTTCACTCTGTGTACAGGAATGTTTCATGTCAGTTCACTTTTCCTGGAACAACCCCCAGAATAAGACGAAGTTAAGTAATTCCATGAAAAGACTGAATGCCGTCCAGAGACAGCCCATGAGCCATTCGAATAACCAGTGTTTTATGCCCTCTGCTCCCGCAGAGTGTAACCGTGTACAGTTCCGGCATCCGAAACATGTCATGCAGCCTGCCAGGACTGAGAAGATGGAATATCTCCCTGAGATGTCTGCCTGGCACTCCAGCGAAGCAAAGCCTGCCCATGCCATCCTGGATACTGGTGCCAGCCGTTGTATCATAGGAACCCAGCCTTTGAGCCGTCTTTTGCAGCGTTTGCCATCCGACGTTAGATCCACAGTTCAGCAACGTGAAAGCAAAATCAAATTCAGGTTCGGTAACAATCAAACCCTGACAAGCATGTACCGAATTTTGTTGCCCCTCTATGGTCCAAATTGTGAGAAGGTGTGGCTGGGTGTGGAAGTCGTAGAAGGCACGACGCCATTTTTGTTTTCCAAGAGAGCCTTCAAGCAGTTAGGCGGGATCCTTGACACAAATACCGACACATGTACGCTCCGAAGACTGCAAAAGACCATTGAGCTGAGCACCAATGCGACAGGTTTGTATCTCATTGACATGTCCGATTTTTGCCAACCTCATTTTGGGGAATCCAAAAACTGTCCGGAAGTCTTTGTTGGGAGTGCTAGTCATGTGGGGGAGAACACATCCAGCGCTAGGAAAACAAACACTTTTCGAGCAGAGTTGACCGTTGCGCCCATTCAGAATAATCAGAATGTTTTCACCAACCAGCCTTTGGACTCCAGTGTAGTGCCTGACGCCTCATCGTTCCGAGAGCCTTGCCAGAATGTCGAATCGCGAAGCCGCAATTCACATGCTGAAGGAGACGGCCAACACCATCATGGGGGCTTTGACTCTTGTCCTCCAGGTGTCAATGAGCATGATCGAGATTCGCAATCCCGATGCAGCCGAGGAGGAGACAATGCCTCAACTGACCAATCAGCTGCGTGCCATGAATCAAGAGATGATGCGCCAGCGTGCCCTTCTGCAACAGCTGGCCGAGAATCAGAATGCTCAGATTCCTGGAAGTGGAGGCCTTCCACTCCGTCAGTTGCCGTTGCCGGAGCCTGTGATTGGCATCCAAGATGCACAAGCCATGCCAGCTTCGGCAACACTGAGCGACGAAGACGATTTGGACAACTTCTCCATGGTGTCCTCCCTGGAGGGTCCAAAGAACAGCCAAGTCCTTCGGAGTCCTGCCAAGGAAGTTCGGAAAGCCAGTCAAGCAGCTCCCTTGAACCATCCTCAAGTGCCCATGTCACCACCACCAGTCGAGACTGTGGAGATCTATGGAAACAACAATGCTCTGGTGGAACAGCCACCCCCGAGGCTGACATTGGCCGAATGGGGTCAAAGGAAGATCTCATGGGGTCGCAAACACCCAGGCCGCACTTACTACCAAGTGCTGAGCGAGGACATGGGGTACTTCGAGTGGAGCCTGTCCAGGTATCATTCCCTTCCAGCTCCTCAACAAGACTTTGTAGATTTCTGCCGAGCCCAACTGGAAGCGAGTGCTGCTCAGGATCGGGGAGCCCATGCACTGAGTGTCCGACGCCTTGCATGAGCTTAGATGCCAACCTTGCAGGCATGATTGAATCCTGCAAAATCGAATGTTCACGATTCACTCCCCACAAAGAGGAATTACAATATCAACATGTTTTGAAAACCAGTTTAGATGCTGTTCAACAAATCGCCGATGACATTTTTGTTTCTGCACCGTCCATGAAAGATCCCAAGAAAACCCTGGTTGTTCTTGAAGTGTATGCGGGTGAGATGAGCCCTCTCACCGAATGCCTGCGAGAGTTAGGGATCAAAGCTTATCGGTTTTCTCGAAAGGATGGTGATTTGGCCACACCCTTGGGCCGTCGCCGCCTCTGGGAACTGATTGATGAAATTGAGCCGGACCACATTTTTGTTGCTCCTGAGTGCGGTCCTTGGAGTGGATGGAATCACCTGAATGCTCAGAAAAGCCTGGCCCAATGGGACTATGTTCATAGCAAACAAGAGGCCGAGAAGATTCACATCCAACTGTGTGCTCAGTTATGTAAGTATCAACAGAAACGTCATCGCCATTTTCACCTTGAACAGCCGTTAGGTTCATCCATGATCAATACCAATGAGTTTGAGCCGATTGCAAGTTGCACCGAACGGGTTTGTTTTGACATGTGTGCATTCGGTTTGAAACTACCAAAGACCTCCAAGTTCATCAAAAAGCGAAGCCAACTGTGGACAACCTCCCCAGAAGTTCGACAGTTTCTGATGAACAAGGATTGTCCCAAGAACCATGAACATGTCCAGATTGCTGGGTCGATGCGCCACAATGGAAAATCAGTTCGAGTTTCCTCCTTTTGTGCCACATACTGTCAAGGATTTGTCCAAGCACTAGCGCAAGCTTTATGTGCAACCCATTTGGCTGCCGTCCAAGAAGCCTTTGCAAATGATGAAGAACCACCAGCCAAAAGACTTCGTTTTGCACCGGATGTTTTCAAGAAAAGACGTGTAGCCGCCGTGGATGCACCTGATCCATCTGCAGTTGATGCAGCAAGCTCCTGCGTGCCCGGACAAATTTTGTCCTCTGATTCATTGTGGCATGAAGCCTTCAAAATGGCTTATCGACTAGCTCCTCGAGTTGGCAATCTAAAGATAGATGTTTCCCATGACCTTTGCGAACTCGTCCAACAACTGACACCCGAAGATTTTGAAGTAGACTGCATGTTCATTTGTCGTGGTACTGATAGATATCAAATACCACTGTCCGCACCAGTATCCAAAGATGCTCCTTGGTGTTACACTTTATGTGCTCACCGTGTGACCGGAGAAATTCATGATTTAGGTCTGCGAGAATGGCACAGCCTTACCCGAGCTCAGAGAATTGCCAAAAATCTTCCCAGCCGTTTAACTCTCACCATTTTTGGTAGGAAAATAACTGCAAAGTCTGATGATGATATCAGGGCAATTGACCAACATGCTGATGAATCCAACTCGCAAGTTCGAGCTGTCGAACAATCCCAGAGTCCGCCGAGCTCCACCGAGATGTGTGAAGGTTGGGCTCCACCACCCACGCCATTGCATGGTCCATGCTTCCGCGCACTTGAGTCTAATGAGAAGAATCACCTTGTCAAACTGCACAAGAACTTAGGACATCCAGACCCGGCTGTGTTGTCGGCTCATTTGAAGACTCAAGGTGCACCGGAACATATTGTTCGTGCTGCTCAGGATTTTGTGTGCGATGCTTGCGTGGAGTCCCAAAAACCCCAACATCAGCGACCAGCCAAACTTCATCCTCCTCGAGAATTCAATGATGTGGTAGGACTTGATGGTTTCTTTTGGAAAGGGAAAGGGAACATTCAGTGTTATGTTCTTCATATTTATGATGAAGCTTCTGGATTCCATCTTGCTCGTCGCCTTGATGGTCGCAATCTTGATCACGCCATACCAGCGTTCCAACAACTGTGGTCATTTTGGGCCGGATATCCCCGAAGTATATATCTTGATCCTGCAGGTGAGTTCAGGGCAGATCAGTGGCTAGATTTCATGCAAGCAAACAACATTCACACGCACATGACAGCGGAAGCATGGCAACGTGGCCGTATTGAACGCCACGGTGGCATCCTGAAAGACATGCTCACCAGACTTGATACCGATCACAGAATAGAAAACATGTCTCAATTTGATGAAATGCTCATGTTGTGTTGCCAATCAAAGAATGCACTGGCCAAACATCGCGGATACTCACCAGAGCAGATTGTTCTCGGTAAGGCGACACGCCTTCCAGCTTCGCTGAGCAGTGATGACTCAACTGCCGCTCATAGCCTTGCGTTGGGGGATGATCTTGACTGTGACAGATTTCGAAGTCTCCTTGATAAAAGAACTAAGGCTCGACAGGCATTTATCCTTGCTGACAATGCTGATTCCTTGCGTAGGGCGACTTTGAGACAGTCAAGACCCACCCGTGGACCATACTTGCCAGGTCAGCTTGTGTTGTACTGGACCAAGCGGGTTGTGCCCAACCGAAGTGAGTCCGGCAGATGGCATGGACCTGCCCGGGTCATTGTTCAGGAGGGTTCTTCCATTGTGTGGCTCTCACATGCCAACCGGCTGATCCGAAGAGCACCCGAGAGCCTTCGCCCAGCGTCGCTCAGAGAATGGAATGCTTTGCAGAATCAGAATCCAAATTATGAGAGTGCCATTCGTGACAACATGCACCAAATGCCAATTCCCCAAAACTTTCCACCAATTGTGAATAATCAAGTTCCCCCAGATGATGATCCCTATTCACCGAGTATTTTAGATACTAATGATGCTCCACCCGACAATCAATCAGAACAACCAGAACGCGAAGCTTCTCATCCACCTACCATCGACTCAGGAGAAGAAACTCCAACAGCTGCCACCGATGAGATTGAAACAGAACACCAAGAAGATGGACTTTTACTTCAGATGATAAACTTGACAAACCATGAAGATGTTGATCCTGAACAACCTGTGGAAGAGGCTCTCCATGTGTTTGATACGTTCTATCCTCCACAAGATACTACAGTCACGGAAACCATTTGTCTCGCTGAAGATGGCATGCCATATATTGACTCACCCCTTGATTGTAACACTGAAGAATGCTTTGTACTTGAAATTCCCATGAAATCTGAAGATGTACAGGCATGGAACAAAGAGGTCAATCCCAGTGAAATGGTATGTGTTGCAGCAGCCGGACAAAGAGCGAGATCTGAAGTTCAAGTCAAATATCTTACTGACAGTGAACGAAAACTTTTTGACATCGCCAAGGACAATGAACTATCTTGTTGGATTTCCACGAATGCTCTGCGTCCCATTCTTCGCAAATCTTTGAACCCGGATCAGATTTTGAGATCTCGCTGGGTTTTGACCTGGAAGCATGTTGAAGCAGACGACCAAGCACCTGCTCACAAGAAAGCCAAGGCCCGACTGGTTGTCTTAGGCTACCAAGATCCTCAGTTGACTTCCGTTGCCCGGGATAGTCCGACATTGACCAAAGAAGGCCGAAACACTATTTTACAATTGGTTGCTTCATGTCAATGGGATCTCATCAGCCTGGACATTAAAACTGCCTTTCTCCGTGGAAAAGCTGATGAACAGAATCCACTAGCCATGGAACCACCAGACGAATTGCGTAGAAAACTTCAGTTGAGTAAAGATCAAGTTTGTGCCTTGGTTGGCAATGCCTACGGCCGTGTTGATGCGCCATTGTTGTTCTATAAAGAACTTTCCAAACAACTGAAGACACTGAATTTCCGTACGCATCCTCTTGAACCATGTGTATTCATTTTGGAATCTGGTGAGGGCCCTCAGCGAAAACTTCACGGTGCTCTTGGCGTCCATGTGGACGATGGTGTGGGAGGTGGCGATGAATATTTTCACCAACAGATTCAAGCACTTTCCAAAGTTCTTCCATTCGGCAGTTTCAAAACTCGAAAGTTTGTGTTTACCGGTATTGAACTTGAACAGCTCCCAGACAGCAGCATCCGTGCCTCTCAAGCTGATTATGTTCATCGCATTTTGCCCATCGATATTGGTAGACCCCGTAGAGAACAGGCTTCCAGTCCGGTCACTGACTCCGAAAAATCCAAATTACGCGGTTTGGTAGGCAGCTTACAATATGCTGTAACCCACACCCGTCCTGACTTGGCTGCCAAACTTGGAGAGGTCCAGACTGATATGTCGAATCCGACAGTTCAAACTTTGATGCAGTGCAACAAGGTACTTCGTGAAGCCCAGGAACACTCAGATGTCCAAATTTGTTTCAGAAGTATTCCAATGTCCCAAGTTACCCATGTTTCTTTTGGTGATGCCTCTTTTGCTAGCCCAAAACAACTCAATTCTTTTCAGGGAACCTTAATATGTGCTACTACGGTAGATCTCCAAGAAAATCGTGAAGCCCCACTGTCACCTCTTAGCTGGTCCTCTAAGAAAATTGCCAGAGTGGTCCGTTCGACACTTTCAGCTGAGGCCTACTCGATGTCTCGAAGTGTAGATAGATTAGGTTGGCTAAGACTTCTTTGGGGTGTATTCACCATTGCCCAATTTCCATGGAAAGAACCTTCCCAAGCCTATTCATGTTTGCCAGTTGGTATCATCACAACAGACTGCCGAAGCCTTTATGACTTGGTAAGCCGAACAGCAATGCCCCATTGTGAAGAGTATCGCACTACCCTTGAAGTGCTCCTGATCCGTGAACAGTGCCAAGACCATTGCATTTTCAGATGGATCCCAACGACCATCATGCTGGCAGATGCACTGACCAAGGCGATGGACCCATCTCTCCTAAGAACTGTACTTCAAAAGGGGGTGTTTTGCTTGTTTGATGAAGCTTCGGTTCTCCGACAAAATGCCAACCGTAAACTTGCAGTGTCCTGGCTTAAAGAAAAATCACAGATCAATAATTCTTTTAGGGGAGCAATGCAATAATTCTTTTAGGGGAGTGTGAAAAGTGAACTTGACATGCCTCATGTGCCTTGCATTGCACCTGTCTCAGCAGCTCCATAGCATGTTTCCATAGGCGCCCTGCTCAAACAGGGAAGCGGTGGGTGGGACTGAACCTTCCGGTGCGACGGTCATCAAAAGGGGCGCCATTGCTTCGTTGGCTTGGAGGCCTTTTTATCCTTTGTGGTGGGATCCACAACATTATCCACTTTGACTTCATCAGTTGGGAACTGGTTCATTTATCCAGTGGCTTGGGGCCACCAACTTTCAGTTTGGAACTGACCATCCGTTGCCAGTGTGTGAGGGAGTGCCACCCCTTTCACATATATATATATACACATATTTATGTCATCTATATGTAAGTACAGTAGTATTGGGTGTCAGAAGCAATGTAGTTGCCAAAAATTCAACCACCATGTAGATCTGCAATTCTATATGTGAATATATATATATAACATAGAATCAGGATATATGGGTTTGTCTGAATATGAGTATACCCAAACATGTCCATATCAATAGGGACGATGATGGTAGATCTATGCGGGGGTACCCCCAATTTTCAGACAAACCATGACAAACCCATACTACCCTCTGGTAATCACACATGGTTTGCTGCAAATTTGCCCATTTAGTTCGGTGATTTTCCCATGAACAAAAACACATTGATATAAAATATTCAGTTGCCATGTTTGATTATCATAATAATCAAACATTAGTAATTACCATATTAATAAGATTCATCATATATATATACATATAAAACCCCATCAATTGGCATAGTATGGTCCATTTGCACACCGAGTCAAACTGCCGAAAAAAGCCGCCCATCTCAGTTCCGAGCCCATCAGCTCCAGCTGCTGACACCACTCCGCAGGCAGCAGACTGTTGTAGCTGACCAAATCGGCTCGAAGGTGATGCAGCACGAAGCTCCTGTTGGAGATGGGGGGTTCCATCAATGGTACATAGCTGGATGGTTTTCATGGAAAATCCCATCAAAATGGATGATGAACAGTGTTATATTAATGTTATATGGGGGGATTCCATAAATGGAGATATCCCAAAATGGTAGCTTTATTTCATGGAACATCCCAATCTAATAGCTGGATGATTTATATAGGGGTACTCCCATGACTTAGGAAACCTGTTGGATATGTTACTGTCCTATTCCGTGAGGAAATGGGAGTTCGACCCCTACCTATACCACCAACATAAACTTGGGGTTGAACAAACAAGAAATTGGCAAACTCACCAGCAACCAACCGGATGATACTGATCAACGTGGACAATGAGAATTAGCGACAATTAGCACTGACCTACATGGGACTTAAAGAGCGAGAAATGCGGAATTAACCGGTTGGAGGACAACAAGAGACATTGGGAGTGCCCAAAAAAATGTGCAGGAAAGCAACACTAATATGACACTCACTGCTTTTGTCTTTGTTAACAATCATGATTTCTTACATTATTATACAGTAACTCAAGAAAAAGAAAACGAACCAAGGTCGACTAGGGGACGCCCGGATCTAAAGTAACCCTTCGGATCTAACCGCCCGAATTGGGGGAGATCATGGTTTCAGATCCAGTGATCGCCCCAGCGGTGCCGTTGTTCTTGGCTGTGGCCATGGCTAATACCTAGTATTGTGGGGGGTAGTTCAACTTAGCTATATCACTTTTATATCAGTTATACATACCCCACGTTGGATATCATCATTAGTAAAGTATGACTTAAGTGATTGGGCGCTCCCAAAAGTTGGATGAAATTGGATGGTTTCACATCCTCAAAATCATGGCTCGTCCATTTGCATGGTGGGGAGGTGAAACTTCGACCACTCAGATGATCCAACTGAACTGTTCGTCATTGACGAGCAATGGGGCCTACAGCCTCAAACTTAATGGGGCAAATATAGAGATATCAAAGGATATGCTGTACCCTATTACCAAGCAACACTTCAGTTGGACCATGACATGAAAGGTCCCAAACAAATAGACCCACCACTGTGCGACTACTACTATTGGTTTTTAGTTCCCACTCCCGGCTACTATACGTATGTGTAAATAGATGTGAGTGTGTAAATATACATATATATGATCATACGTTGTACAGAAATGTATTATATATATATACAATATACATAGATTATATATAACACATAATATCATATGATTATATACATTACATGCGATAAATATGTGTGATAATATGTACATAAAATCTAGAATGGTCTATAATTATTTACATTCAAACTACACATGATATGTTCACCAAGACTAATTTATTCAAGATAGAAGATATATGATACACAACATGTGTGTAGTCTATTGTAGTCTCATAATATACACATACTACATATGAGCAGTGTTCAAAATCCTCTGTCGTCCCTTTCTACTGGTTAAGAACGGAGTTCCCAACGCATTAATCGTGATAATCTCCAATACTTGGGATGGTATAAACATGTATAAACCCCATCAAGTCATCAATCAACCATTATTTGTGAACCATATCCCTGTCTGATGGTTAACCGCCCTTTTTTATCTAGTTTAACCCCCATAAGTGATGGTTTAAGTCCCGTGAAATCCCTCATTAAACCAAGAGGGGTTGAACGCAGCCACTGCTATGGCCATACAACATCATACAACTATCAATACACCGTCAGTTATCAAGTTATGTCCACATTGTGATTTTTGAAACCCATTTAGATCATGCTTAAACCATATCAAACTCCATGAAATCTGGTCACTTCTCCACCATCCCCTCTTTTCTTAGGTGTTTCACCATGTTTCAGTGTTTCACCTGATGGGATTCTTCTCTGGATAAATTGGATAAATCATCAATCACCAGGTCACCAGGGGCAAGTTTTTTCCTGCAGCCACATGTTTCGTCCTGATCATCAGCTGCCCCAACTTCCACGACCCGGCGCCACAAACCGTTATGGCAACCTGGGAGACCTGGGAGCCCCGGTCCCACATGGCCTGCAGCAGTCCTGGCGTCAATGAAATGGCCATGAAATGGCCATGAAATGTGGGGATTTTAGCCAGAAACAGCTAGAAATCATAGGAAATGACATCAAATTGATCATGGCACATGTGAATTTAACCCGATTGATGTAGTGATCGATTGGTGATTCGTGATGCTACAGTGGTTTCAAGTCCGTAGAAATATGGGGGGTTGACCCAGAAACGTGATACCAGCAAAAATGGACAGTCAGGAGTGAACCACCAATAACATGGTGCGCTAGCCAACACTGTATGCTTACAACTTACAACCTCACTCGCTGTTCGATTGTATTGGGTGGTTGATAGGGGCTCTTTGAGTGGATTGCTACCCCTGTCAACAAGACAGCAGAACCCCTACTCTGAAGGTATGATTCCAAATAGAAGTACCTTACTTGTGGGGTACAGAAACCCCGATGAATGGAAGCATGGCCATCCCCAAAAATGGCTAAGTCCACTCTCTGACCATGGATACACAAACCAACTTGGAACTCCTGCAGATTCAATGGCTTGTTAGGGTCTGCAGTGCAGATTGTCCTTCTCCAATTGGGATTTCATGTGTTGCTTTTGGCGAAGACTTTTTAAAGTGTAGATCAACCCATCCTATGATGACTCGTTGCCAAATCGCTTTCGGCGTTCAAAAACTGGGGCGGCAGAGTTCCACGTTTCGGCCTCGCGCTTGCAGCCATTGCCCAGCTGCACTGCAGGAATCTGCCGTGAAAATCAGGCTGCCTGGTGTCACCACTGGCACTGCACCCGAGGATGTGCGAAGATGTCCGTTTAGAAAAAGTCAGGCTGGGTGATGGAAATCTCATGATATACATATATATATATATACATATACATATATATATATATATACATTATATACACATATAGAGAGAGAGAGTGGTGATGAAAATATCATTATATATAATTATATATAATTCCCCAGCTGTTCGATTGGGTGTATTGATGGTTGTACCCATCTATGTGATCAATGGAAGAGGAGGAATGTGTATCCAATGCTGTCGAATCTACTTCCCCTGGACAGTCTTCATGCAACTCCACCCCAAAGTCACAGCTTGACAAGTAGATCATGCAAGTGTTTCAACCTGCAAGTCCTTGGAAAAAAAACAGTTGCAGGTGAGCAACTATCTTCGCTATCTTCCATGGTCAGCAAGCACGCACGTTGCCATTGTCCATGTTGACGACAAGCGTCAATTGCCCCATTGCAACCTCGGTGAGACTTAGGACATTTAAGTGGAACCCCCAGAAAGTGGACTTGGTCACTCCCCTGATGTCAAACTGAATGTACTGGATCTATTCATGAATTGAGGTCCCAAAAATTGGGGTAAGTTTCTTTCAAAGGGAGATGGGATTGCTAAACCATCCATTTCTTGGTCCCAAAAAGATCTTGAGCCCCCGGCAAATTCGATTGGGAACAAATCTGCATACCTGAGCATCCGAGCTGCAATCGAAATGGGCTCTAATCAAAAATCGGCATTTGGTGCCAACCAAATGGCCAATCAACCATAATCAACAAATTGTTCTACGTTTAACGTCGTTTAATTGACATGTTTCCATGGTTAATCACCACAAATTGTGGTCTACGTCAGAACTTGAGGCTGCGGTCTAAGACCCAATATCATCCAAATACCTACGCCCCGTGAAGAAATCGTGTTTGTTTTCATGATTAGTAAATCATCTGGAATTGGACTGGTCATCAAATTTCCGAATGATTTTGGCTCAATGATAGACCATACCCAAAGACCAACCCAGCAGGGGTTCTGAAAATTGAGCACCCCATTCCATCCACTCTAAGCCAATGGCCATTTGTGAAGGTAACTAACTACCATGGATTTCCAGACACCCAAAGATTTATCGTGTTGGTCATGTCTTGTCATGCCTCCCTATTTTTCTGCTAAGTTTATCCCTATGATATCCCCATAAATTGGTGAAAAATGATCAAATATTCTACTGCTATGGCTGCCAGGCTTTACCAGCTATCCTAAGGTCGTGGCCAGCATCTGCTCCAAGACGTTCAGAGTCAAGGGCCAAGGGCCGGCCGCTCTGATGGCCGTAGAAAAACCTTGAAAATCAAGGCTCCAAGATAGACAAATTGGGGTGGGAAACCTGGAAATATGTTCACGAAACCCATTAAATATCATCTACCTCCTGGAAACACTTTTTGGATTTCTTTTGAAGATGAAAAAATCATCCCTTCCCGTTGTCAAATTCAATACCACCCAGAAACCATTGGTTTGTTAGAATTGGATGCTTTTTAGCGACACATGCGGGGTGTACTCAATATTTGGTTTCCAGAGTTCAGCCATTTTGGGTTCGTTACCCCATTCCAAACATCATTCCAGTGACATCGCTATGAGGTGCTTATAGACTTATAGTTTATCCAGATCATATTAATGTGGGTAAAACAATGCCTATCATCACCATCCCCCAGTCATCACCATGTTTATAGGTGGTATGTTTTCCATTCCCAGTCATGTGTGGTTTATGCCATGGTTTCAACCACATTAACCCATATAGTAACTATAGATATATATATCTACCATATCTACCATAAACCCTATAGTTGGAGTCATGTGCGGTTTATACCATTGTTGTGCCCACAATGATACTACTCAAAACCTCAGCTGGTTTTGAATGGGCTGCAACTTGACACGCATAGGTAGGATGTTTCAAGCACCACTGAAGATGTTTAAGGAAAAATCTGCAGGAAAGCGTTGTTTTTTTACCACATATATGTATGTATATATATATATTATACATATAATTATATGTGTATACATATATATATATAGGTAGGCTGTTCCATGTTTCAATGGTCTCTTTGTAAAATGTCCCTCAAGTCGCTGGGAAGGCAGCCGATCCCTGTCCAGTTGCTGATGACATTGGGCGTGGCCAAGCGTTTGAGCAGAGTCCAACTGGCTGCCCACGGACTGCAAGCCATAGCCTGGGCCGCCAGGTTGGATCTCCACTTCACTTATCACTGGTGTCATGTCATATGTGTTAAAGATTATGGATCATTCTATTTCGTTTAGAAGCCATGATAACTAATCCCAAATTCCCATCTCTCAAATGCGCAGATTTTTCTGAATTCGCCATGAAACTCAAACATGTCATGGTTTTTGTTTGTTGTTTTCGGGGTAAAACTCATTCGAATTAAAATCTCGGAGATGTTTCAGGACACATTCCACCAGTCCCCCTGTCCCCGATCGATCCTTCAAGCTCCCCAACCGAGTGACCGAGTTGTAAAGGATTAAATGTGAGCTTTGGCCTGCACAACTTCCAGGGCGATTTATGAATAGTTAATGAGAACTATAGAGAATGGCTATTTGTATTATTAACTATGGCTTAGTTTTATATGGTGTTCTGAACTATGCTATACTTTCGAGTATTCATTAACATGTTTATGGAGAATCACCATGTTTAATAGCTATGTCAAATTACCTTCGGGTAGTCCTTGATACACAGAAATGAACTGTGGTTCCTGGATGTTCCTGGCACCGCTACTCAGTCTGTCGGTCCGTACTCATCGAAAATCAGTCCTGCCTTGAGCCATTGGTGGACAAAACTTGAAATCTGCAGGTAAATCTATGCTAAGTTTTGGGGATCAGATATCATACTTGGACTCATGCATCCCAGTTGGTGGGTAATAACCACATGAAATGAGCCAAACTGATTAGTACACGGTATACCGCAGTTATAATCTTGATTAATCACTTGCACATTGAGAAGCATCCCCAAAATAATTAGAGGTACGCCCTATTTCATAAACCCCAATTCAGGATGATGACTATGGCATTGGGTTTAACTCACTATATCTCACTACATCCCTTGGTCCCTACACAGATGGGTAATGAATTTGTTCATATTTCAACTCTCGGACAAGAAACTCATGAAACTGCTGATTAACCATCAAATGGAATCATTAGTTCCATGTGTTTCAAAATGTCTTTCCATGGTTTTACCATCATTTCCAGGTACCAAAGCCATCTCCACGTTTTTCCCGGCACGGTGCCTGCATGACACTGCATCATCCACCACGCCCTTCGCCAGGCGCCAGCGCTTTCGCTTCCTTTCACAGCACTTAGAAGGGCACCCAGCGAGACCGGACTCAGCTCCAGGTGCAAATCCTGGTTTTTTTCGTGCAAAAAAAACGTGAGGTTTCTTGGCTTTTGTTGAGCCCTCGAATCAATCCCACTATGTATACATAGATCTATACATGTGTACTATACATACATATATATATATATAATTTGTATGTATGTATGTATGTATGTATGTATGAATGAATGTATGAATGTATGAATGTATGAATGTATGAATGTATGAATGTATGAATGTATGAATGTATGTATGTATGTATGTATGTATGTACGTATGTATGTCGGTAGGTAGGTAGTAGGTAGGTAGATAGGTAGATAGCTAGATAGCTAGATAGCTAGATAGCTAGATAGCTAGATAGCTAGATAGCTAGATAGATAAAGATAAAGATAAAGATAAAGAATACAATAACATGTGTACCACAAACCCTAGTTGACACATGTTATCACCAGTACCAACCAACCTAGCTATGGGGCACCACCTTGCATGGCGCCATCCTACGACTGTGAATACGGATGGGACATGCTCATCCCAGCAACCATGTCGTGACCATGGATGATGGATGATGGATGATGGATGATGATTATGAATAATTCTGGGGGGAGTTACTGTTGTTGTCTTATTTCCTGCAAATTCTGCTTTCAATTTTTGGGCTTCACAAAGGTGAGCCAGCAATGAAACATCAAGCCCTGCCATCTGGCCCGATTTTGCTTTTGTTCAAATGTTGCCATTCATGTGGCTTTACCACCACCATAAATCATCCCCTTCTCTGGCACAGTTGGATGCTTGGGTTTGGGTTTACCACACCATTGAACGATCTTGGAGACATTCATTATTCCTGGGGCAAAATTAAGAAGCAGCTTCAACTGGGCTTCCCAATTGGCCTGGAGAAAAAAACTGCGGGTGAGGCGATTACCCAAACCATCAAACAAAAAAACCATAGAATCCCACGGCTGACTGCACCCTATGTAGAGTCCTGAAAAGGAAGTGATATGGTCTCATTGCAACAAGAATGTACAACTCAGCTTTACCGGCCATTTCTGATGATCTGTTGCATGTCTCAACCCCCCGCTGGAATCCAAGGGCACCATGGAAAGGGATTACGACCTATCAGATTTGCAGGATTCCTCGTAACCCCGCCCCAACATCCTAGCTGACTGTGTACTCTCCAGAAACAAACCTGGGCAATGCGTTTCTAGACGACCTTCCCATATTTGCCATGAGGACAGGTTTTAGTATTTTCAAAACGTACCAAAAATAACTAGAAGCCTCGAGAAGCAATGATCATCAAAAGCATTTGCAGCGACCCCTCTGCTCTTCTTCGACATGGTCCTTGATCCTTGCCACCAGCGACATTGCTCGGACCCATCTTCCACCACCTGAATCTGGGCCGTTGCAACTCTGCAAAAAAAAACAACGAAAGAAGATGCTGATGCTATCTCGTTCTAAAAAACAACTGTGTCAGATTTTTTAGGCTCAAATTCTTATCAATCACTAGCGGATTGTGAATAATTAAGCAATATAAACCGTCTCTTCATGTCTCTTCCAACGATGGCGATGGAGCTTGAGATGGATACATATATCCCCATATATCCCCAAGATTCTTAAGCCTCACGAACTAGGGTACCTAGGACTGGCGAACCCAGCCGCCTCTTGCGCAGGCGCTTACAGCGGCTCGCAGGCCCACTGCGGACATGTCGCCATGGATCTGCTCCGAAAGCTTCAGCGTGTAGAGAGCCACGTGCCAACATCGACCTGAGACAGGCTGCGGATCTTCAGCAGCATTTCTTCGGTTTCCAGTGAATTGTCAGTTGGGTTTCTGCGACACATGGGAATTCGTGCGTTTGCTTCTGAAAAGTTCATGATATATATATATATACTGTATATTGTATATATTTACATATATATATATATATAATATTGCTATATTATGTGATAGTTATAATATATCATGATATATCATAATATATTTATATATTATGTTATATTATATTATATTATATTATGTTATATTATGTTATATTATATTATATTATATTATGTTATATTATATATTATATTATATTATGTTATATTATATTATATTATACTATATTATATTATATTATATTATATATTATATTATATTATATTAAATTATATTATATTATAGTATATTATAGTATATTATAGTATAGTATATTATAGTATTAGTATATAATATTATATTATATTATATTATGTTATACTAAGTTATATTATATTACATTATATCAAATTATATTATATTATATATCAAATTATATTGTATTATATTATATTAAGTTATATTGAATTATAGTATATTATATTATATATTAAATATTATGTGTTATTTATTGTGTATTATATATTATGTATTATATATTATGTATTATATATTATGTATTATTTATCATGTATTATATATTATGTATTATATATTATGTATTATATATTATGTATTATATATTAGGTATTATTTATCATGTATTATATATTATGTATTGTATAGTATAAGTATATCATAATTGTAGTCATAATTATAGTATATTGTATTATATAGTATATATTTTACATATTATACAAATTATATATTATACATATTATATATTACACACATTATATATTATACATATTATATATTATACACATCATATGTTATACATACCATATATTATACATATTCCCTCCAAACCCCGGGTTAGCCCACACACAAACAACACATCCAAACAATATGATATACTTGTCACCAGAGGATGAATGAAAACACTGGCTATACTCAGTGATTTTGACTTTAAGTTTTTAGGGCTTTAAATTAGAGTTTAGGGTTTTGTTGTTTTGGAAAGTAAAAACACTTAAGCCCTACGCAGGGATTTGAGCATATCAAAGGATATGCGGGATTCGCCGCGGGCAAACCTAGGGTTTGCAGCGTACATATTATATATTATACGTATTATATTATATTGTATTATATTATATAATATTAAATGATATTAAATCAAATTTTATATTATATTTTATTATATATTATATTTTATTCTATATTATATTTTGTTATATTATATATTATATTATATAATTTTATTTCATATTGTATTATATTATATTATTTTATTTTATTTTATATTGTATTATATTATTTTATTTTATATTATATAATATATTATATTATATTATATCATATTTTATTATATTATATTATATTATCTTATATTATATTATATATTATATTATAGTATATTATATTATATTATATCATATTATATGTTATATCATATTATATATTAAATAATATATTTTAATATATTATATTATATTATATTATATCATATTTTATCATACTATATTATATTATATATTATATATCCAATCCCAGTTATAGATTGCAGGGGTTTTGGAGAAAACTCCTATACAGGGTGTGTAAAAACAGACACAAACAGATTTGATTGTTGCAACCTCCTCTGCACTCAAATTCAATTTTGCCCCATGAAATTTGGTGTTGCCAGCCTTCAGAAACAACTGGGATTCATGGCAGAGCACGTTTGACATTCAACAGATCGCGTTGAATTTCCGGGAGTTTCTTTGAGACTGGATAGCACGGCATTTCGCTGACCAAGTGCCACTGACAGTGAAAGCAAATGCAGCATTCTGTTGAGAAAGGACTGTTCATTCAAGAAAACCAGTATTCCTTTGAAACTATGCGAAAACAGATCTTTCAAGTTCCCCTCCAGTCAGAGGATGTTATTTCAGCCTTCGAAATTCTGGAAGGAGCACATGAATCCGACGGAAAACTGAAAAGGCTGGGAAAAAAAAAGAAAGACTTTTCCAGGACATGGTAGACCCCAGAGTCCCCTTTTTTTTGAGGCCTGCGGTTTGCATGCTTCAATTTCAAAGCAGTTTTCGTGATCCGAGTTCTCTTGGTTTGTTCATGATTCACTTTGCAAGATTTGGGACAGTGGTTCCAAGGTACAGTCTTTCGAGTGCCATCACTTGCGGGGCCCTTCAGTATCTGACTACAGTGATGGGCCACCACATGGCGGCACATGGCGGAAGTCTCGGGACACCTGTCTACTACCTCCAGAAAATGGTATACACATATAATAATATATAGAATATTGCCGAATTACATATATATATACATATACATATATATATATATATATTTATTTATTTATTTATATATATATATATTATATAATTATATATATATTATATAATTATATGTATACATATAATATGGTCTTCTCAAATGTTGGTTGATCATGGTTGATCATCATTATGCTCATTGAAATTGCCACCTAACACTTTTGGGCATTCCTACCTTTTTTCCGAACCTGGGACACAAAAAATTGTGGTCAAGACACCTCGTGAACAGCTCGTTAGCAGCGTGTTGAAGGTGACATGATCAGGCCTCCATGTGGAACAGTTTTGACAGGACCCACTGCTTTCTCAGCTTCCGCAAGTGTGTCTTCATGAGATTTGTTGGGCAATGGTGTGTTGGAATGGACAGGCTGAAGTCTTTACAGATCTCAATGGATATCACAGACAACGCGTTCCTGGTATATAATTGTGGCAACATGGGCTCATGTTTGTGGTCCATCAGACTTGGAATTCATTACCCGACCCATCTTTGATTGGCTCAAAATCCTTCTCCAAACTAGTGTTATGGATCTTGATAATTTTCCACAGGGCAACATGTGGGTCCCATATACCCCTTGCGTCACAATGGCCATCTCGCACCCCATGCCACTTCGCAGGGCCTGGCCTGCCAGTCTGCAAACAAAGCTCTACCAGCTGCTGACTGCGCTCCCATTGGCCTGTAGAGGAGTCACTACAGTTGCGGTCCTGCTTCATATTGTTCATATGCCTAATTATAATTGTGGCTGCACAGTTAATGTATGCATGTATGCATATATCTATATATGTATCTGTGTATATATATATATATGTGTGTGATATGATATACATCCAGCCGGACCGATCACCCGCCCATGATTTCAGGAAAACGATGTTTTCCCTATAGCGGCGTGCATGTTTCATGTTCAAAATGACCATCACAAAAAGTCACTGAATTCAGATGGCTCGTTAACCCTTATAGGGTTTTGTGTTCAAAAAGGATGCGAATTGAAATCACGTCTTTTTCACAGCATTGCGAGCTGACGTCCAGTCTTTGAGAGGAGCTGGCATGTTCCCATCTCCCAGCGCCACTGTCGAATTTTGATGTACTTCCACAGCTTTGGGTTTGGCTTAGCAAGTAGAAGTGGCGTAGCAAGACCGTGACGAAGCAATTGCAACGTAAGTAGAAGTGGCGTAGCAAGTCCGTGACGAAGCAATTGCAACGTACGTTATTACCCCACCCCAACCCAACCCAACCCAACCCCACCCCAACCCATCCACAAAACGTGGGCCGGTAAACGGTCCGCTAGCATATACATATATATATATGTGTGTATGTATGTATGTATGTATGTATGTATGTATGTATGTATGTATGTATGTATGTATGTATGTATGTATGTATGTATGTATGTATGTATGTATGTATGTATGTATGTATGTATGTAATTATGTATGTATGTATGTATGTATGTACGTATGTACGTATGTACGTATGTACGTATGTACGTATGTACGTATGTATGTACGTACGTACGTACGTATGTATATATATATATATATGTGTGTGTGTGTGTGTATGTATATATATATGTGTGATATATATATATATATATATATATATATACATACGATATACATATGCGTATATATAATGTACATGCATGCATGCATACATACATACATTACATTACATACATACATTACATTACATTACATTACATTACATTACATTACATACATATGCAACATACATATGTATATATAATGTACATACATATATTTGTACGATATACAAATATGCATGCATATATATGTGATATGCGAGTATATATATATATATATCGACATGATATACGTATATATATATATATGATATACGTATATTTATGATACATATGTATATTATAATACGTGTATTTATGTATATATATATATGTTTGTATACTGTAGATATGTTGTGATTATGACCATGTATTACAGTATATATATACAGTATATATACACATGTGTATTATACAAACAGTATTCGGAGATATCCACAAGTATGATTATGTATGATTATCTGCAATCAGAAGGGTTTGATAGCGGCTCATCCATGGTTTACTCTCCAAATGGCCAGTCCGTTTGCATAGCCTACTAAGGCCTCACATCTCGTTTTAGAAAACACGTCTATGAGGCCGTTGATTCCGTCACTGATTTCATGCCTGCCACCTCACTTACTTGACACCGGGTCAACTGGGTCAACAACTCTTGCTCGATCACCTGTGGCACTCAGGCTCTTCATCGCAGAGTTGTAGGTGTAATCGTCAGCTTCGATGGATGTTACCTGACTTGGCGTATCTGACCAATGACTTGGGAGTTCAGATCGTTTTGAGCCAAACCCATTTCGGGAGCAGTGTGAAAGCCTTGTACAAGCACCAAGTGAACAAACCTCGAAAGGTCACAGTCAGCTGTTCCTTTCCTTCCCAGACCCGAGATTTTTTGGGGTTGCCTGGAGGGTCCAAAGGATCCATAGGGAAGTCAGCCACTTCTCGCCGCAGCTTTGCATCAACGCATTGTAGCCTGGGTTCTTTCGGCTGTGAACCCTGGATTTTGCTAAACCCCCAGTTGAGAATGGGGGTACCAATTTTCATCGTAATCTATCCCAATTTGGGGGGTATAGCTCACCATAATATTAAGTCAGGTTTTATGAATCCGGGGGTGACATGAATTCATCCAATCCTGTAACAAAGTGTCCAAGCGATTGTCCCAGTTGGCCCAGTTCTCCCATATGTCCTGTGCTATCTGCCTTTCTCTGGCCAGACATCCATCCATACATCTAATTACATCTAATATAGACTTGGAAGCTGGATTTCTTCAATTGGTCTTAATCCTACCAAACATCAAAGTAAACGTCACAACCACAAGCACTTACACTCAAAACCACGGTTTCAAGTGGTGCCCAACGCGACCCATCCAGCCGAAAACGGTAGGTGTTTCACCCTCAGAACAAGGATGAAAATTAGAAGATCCCATACCACGTCTTTCACAGCTGGAACACCAAAAATACATAAAGAATAAAAAAATAGCCTCCAGATTCACATAGAAAACCTGTAGCCACTGTAGATCACTTTCTGAATGGGAAACCAATACTGGATTTCCATGGCCCACACAGGCTGCCGCCGCGTTTCTGATGGCGTCCAACTGAGCTGCACCAGCTGCAAGTTGCGTCGCTCTTTGCCAAGCTGACTCAGCAGGGATGCTGGAAATGACTGTAGTACAATGGCAAACAGTTTTTCTTGACCATCGTCTACCCATTGCTTCATTGGTTGCAAAAAAATGACCGGTTACCCCACTACTCAGCAACCAACCTCTGGAAAAAGGACCGCCGAAGAGACATCTATGAGGGATGTTGCTTGAAGATCTTCTGCAACTTGCTGGCTAAATTTTGACGTGGAACAATGTAGAATCTTGTTCATGCCTGACCTAAAATACACTGCCAACGGCAATATATTCTCCACATCTAAGCCAAAAAAATCGATGAACCTAGCATTCATCAAGGTCTTCCCAGCTGAAACATTGGGCGGTGAAATGAGCAGCCAAGAAGTCAGTTCACTTGGGCTCCCTTAAATTAAACCTCAAAATGTATCAAAATGTCATGTTCATAATGTCTTCAAATAATCCAATTGGAGCCGATCCCCATCCCCTATTTTTCACGAAAAGCGAACAGACTTTGCACCTGCGGATGAAGATTCAGTGATGCGTTGTAACTCACCACCGTCGGCCGCACGACATGATGCAGCATTGCCTCAACAGGAGATCATGCCATGACTGGTGGTTGCCATGGTCCTTTGGCGCATTTCCAGAGTTTTTGCTAGGGAGTCATATATTGACATATAAAGACAAGTGTAAACATATGATGTATATCACTGTAATTATATCTCTAAAACTTCAAAAACCTTCATCCTGCGAATAGTCAATAGTCAACCATCAGTCAGCCATGTTTCGTAAATACGTCCATGATCCTGATTTCCTGGTCCCCCCAAATGCCGTCGTTGATAAATAAGGCACTCGGAGAATGTGCAAAGCTCCCCGCCAATCTCCACTTCCACTGATGGCTGCGGTGCATTGAAACACATTGGCTCCTCCGAATGCAAAGCTGAGGAACCCTTCAAAACAGGCCATCGCTTCGAACTGCCAAGTAAACTAGATAGCTATGGAAATCCACGTGTTTTCCTGGGAAATGATATGCAAATGGATGTTCCATATTTATGTTAAGTTACTAGATCGCATCCGGATGGTGACCAGACTTGAAGCAAAAATGGTCCCTTGGATTTCATGAGTTACCCATCAAACAATCCAATGATGGAGTCAATAGCAAGCCCTCCAATCAGGATGTGGCTCACCACTGTCAACCCTCTTCAATATCCATGGTTCAGTCTAAGCCTTTGTTTTTGCTCACCTAACACACAGTGTCAATCTGGTTACTCCAAAAACTCAGAATCCAGAATCGCATCTATCATCATTGTTCCCGTGGTCGATGCCACAACCTCCACCATCATCGCCATCATCATCGCCATCATCATCATCACCACCATCATCATCACCACCACCACCATCATCACCACCACCACCATCATCATCACCACCACCACCATCATCATCACCACCACCACCATCATCATCACCACCACCACCATCATCACACCACCACCACCACACACCAACCATCATCATCACCACCACCACATCATCAATCACCACCCCAAGAAGGAATCATCACCACCACCACCATCAATCACATCCACCTCACCACCCTCATCATCCCAACACCACCCATCATCAACCAACCACCATCACATCATCACCAACCCAACCCCATCATCCTCCGACCCCCCAACATCACACTCCACCCCACCACCCACATCCACCCCAGACCCCCAGATCCTCACCCACCCCCACCATCATCATCAACCACCACCCCCCATCATCATCCCAACCCCAACCAGCATCATCACCCCACCACCATCATCAAACCACCGCACACAGCCAAGCCCACCATCAACCCCACTCCCTCATCACCTCACCAACCAGCCTCAACATAGCATCCTATCATCCATCACCACCACCACCACATCATCAATCAACACCCACCACCCCATCATCACCACCGAACCACCAATACATCACATCACCACCAACCACATAGCCCTCAAATCACCGACCAAAAAAATCCATCACACACCAACCACCACCATCAATCATAATACCTACCACCACCATCATCATCATCACTCATCATCACCACCACCACCATATCATGCACCACACCACATCACCCATCATCAGTCCACCACCACCACTCATATCAACCAAACCATCATCACTCACATCAATAACCATCACCAAACCAACCATCATAAACCACCATCATAATCATCAACACACCACCACCACACCATCATCATCACACCACCACACCATCATCATCACACACCAAAACACCATAAAACCATCATCATCACAACCACCACCACCATCATCATCACCACCACCACCATCATCATCATCATCCTAATCCCAATCCTAGTCATAGCCGGAAGCCCGCCTGCATGCAATTGCCACTCCGGCATCGTTCTGGACCATGGCGTGGCTCCCAACGAAGCGTCCCCACGCGCCAACGGTCGTCAATTGAATGGTCCGCACTGGGGAATTTACCGGTCTTAACAGCATCATAGTGCACCTGGCTTACCGGCAGTTCATGAACCTAAGAAATGGTTCCCCATCAAGCTTATCTACATGCGGGGTTTACCTTGTGCCCCTCAATGTCGTGCATCCAGCCTTTCAATTTTGTAGACTTTGTGGCGGCTCGGGCAGTGGCAAACGTTAAACAATCCACACGGATCGCACGCCTTGGATACCCAGTTGACCAGTCAACACACTCACAATGAAACAGCAAACCTGTGAAATGATGTCCAGGTCAAATGTCAATGGTTGTAAATCATTATAGTTATATACATACATTACGTATATATAAATGGCTGTTGTTGAGCCATGTGTCTATGCTGAAGATATATCTCCTCTTGGGCTTGTCTAAAACTTGGGTAGCCCATTCTATCCCCATCTCAATCCCGAGTACATCCCCAATGGTGAAGGTCCTCACATCTTCCTTGACGTGGCCATGCATTGAACTACAAAACGATCTCCTGGTGTCACAACAGTTTCTGTCAGATATTTATATATATAGAGATATATTAAAATCTCACCCACTGAACAATGGATCCCCAACAATTTAATAAAAAAAACTAACTAATCACTCCATCCCCCCTTTGGCCCATGTGTTTCCGGACCCTCGAGCAGCTGCTTGGATCAGAATCACGCGCTGTACGCGAATCTGTGGATAGAATGGGGATGGGGATAGGATTCTTGGGGATATAGGATACTTAATATTCAGATATATGGCAATATGGGGATAGTTTTGGGCATATTTTTGGGTATCTTTTCAGGATTTAACCATTAAAATATGATTGAATAGGAATTTAATGGTGATGCAGTGGGATATGTGGACCAACAATACATGATTCGATATGATTTGGGTTTGTCTGAAAACATCTGAAAACGTGATACCCTATTAAGTGGCCTTTTCAAAGGAAAAAATGGTGATTCACGCCACAAGATATGGAGGTACCCGGAACATGGAGCGATGCTCCCAAGATCTCCGAACGAATTACCTGTGAAGCTCCCAACGTTGCTGGTGGGAAATGATGATCAAACATAGATACCAACCGAATTCGTGCAGAACCGGTACACTGCTTGGTGAAGGTTCTGAAACTCTGCTTGGTGGCCATCGTGATTTTCCGAGCCTTCCAAATGGCGATGGATTACCCTTCTCACACCATTTATAGCTTGTGCTCATGGATTTTCATCACAGTCATACTGTAGAATTTATTGTTGAAAATGGGTTATCCCCAAAATGTCACCGGCTGAATCATCAACGGATGCATTTTCCAGCGTCCTGCCTGAGCCCACATGCGCGTCCGAACCACTCCACCTCTATGTACGCTTTGGATACGCCTCGCCACGACACCAAACTTCGCCCCAGTGAGTGGAAAATCCGAAATGGGACGCCAATGGCACCTGAATGCTTGACATTTTGGAGATGGAAAGTATCCATCATGGCCAGCAACCACTGCTGTTTCTGTTCAATTTCGAGGTCCCAAAAACGATGCTACGACTCTTGCGGAGAATGATGCAGAATGCAAAAACACGCTCCATACTTTGCAGGAAAGTCATTGAAGACTTCATCGTGACTCTAAGTCACAGACTTTGCTGCGTGGGTGGCAAGTGCCAGCCGTGCATGCACGGCCTATCGTCAGGGGTCAAGTTTGTTCTGGATGAACCCTCATTGGGCCCAAACCATTTTCACACCCCTGAAATATATTTAAATATGATAAGATCTTTGAAGCCCACAAAAAGGGATGTGGAGGGCCTCTTGATCCAGGGTGTCTCCACAAAAAGTGAGGTGAAACTGGCCCCTGGGCAGCAAACTTCAAGGAATGCAACAATTCGCAAATCATGGGTAGATATGTAAAACGTCTTGCAAGACTTTGCAAGTATACATGTCTTTGCAATTTACGATAAATTGCGTGCCTGTCACACTGTTACATATTATATATATATATGCATATGAACACCTGTGCGTGTATGTATTATATGTACAGTTTCCTTAGATACATTTACATTTATACATGGGTATAAATGGTGACAAATAGTTTCATACATAGTTTAGTATTATACTGTACACTATCTTATACATTGTTTCTTAACATATATATATTATACATAGTTCTATACCTAGTTTTAGACATAGCTATATATAGTTATACACAGGTGTACTTAGAAATAAATAGTTGCACATAATTATGCATATGTATATATGTATATATATTTATGTATGTGTGTGTGTGTGTTTACGTGCATACATATGTTCAGAAAAAAACGAAAGAAAACTATTTACAACAATAAAATCAAACATGTATAAATGTATATATAGATTGATATATTATATGTATATATACATCCATTCACAGAAATATCTACATATAATGATATAATGACTATACACGTGGTATCTATACATTACACACATGTACCAGCGCCTTACGCGCCAGGATTCCTCGTACACGGGCCTGGCCAACTGGGGCCGTCGTTCTGAATGACCCACCGGGATCTAAAAATGACGAGAAAAAATGCTTGGAATTCATGAGGGCCCATGAAAAAACTGCCATTTACAAGCATCACCTCAATTTTTCATGAAAAAAGTTTCAAAGGCTTCAAAAAAACATTTGAAATATCTTGAAATCTGGAGGTTTCCACATCAGCCAGGCTCCTGAATACGTTGGGCTCCCAGAAATCGTCTCTGGGCCGCTTCGAAGCTGGCACGCGCCAGCTGCCGCCTGCCAGCTTGGCGGATTGATGAAAAATGACTTGATTTATATATATATATATACATATACATATATATATATATATACACATATATATATATATGTTCATGATTGTATATGTTCATGATTGTATATCTATAAGATTATAATTGTATTTTTTCTCAAAAATTGACAAGGAACAAAACATCGTATTTGGTGTCACCAGTCACCAGAAACCGTATATTTATGTATATATACATGTATATATACATGTATATATATATACATATACATATATACATATAATATATATATGGATGCTTTTGTCCAACAAGTTTTTGAGGTGTTTCCTACGAGTTAATGTTGAACATTTAAGCCTAGGGCAATTCTTAGATCGCAAGAAAGTGTTTTTGGTGTTTTGGGTGGTATACACCCCTGAAAGCTAACACAGAACCCCCCCCAAAAAAAAAGGCATTGAACGACATTTTTCCGATCCCAACATGCTGCATGTAAACAAATTGATTTGGAGTGTGATTTTCCTAGCACGTTCCTTTTTGTTCGGATATGATGATATGCTATCATATCCCACTTATATACGTATATTTAGTCGGACATGAAAGGATGCATTGCATTCAATGTCTTCCATTTCTCTATGAATGGATTATATTAAGATTCGTGTTTTGCCAATTAGATGGGGATGTTGGACACCAAGAGTCCCCCACAAAACGACGGAGAGGTCATGATGGATGTATACCCTCTGGTAAACTAACATAACTATGGGAAATCACCATTTTCAATGGGTAAATCAACTACAAATGGCCATGTTCAAGAGCTATGTTAGTTTACTAGATGGTAATATACAATATACATTGACAGATATTGACATGCATTGACTATATTGACATACGAGTATCAAGAATTCCTGGCAAATCTAGGCCATGCTCCAAAATCGGGATCCCAAACAAACCTTTTCTAACTGAGGAAAGTAGAACTTTTCAGCTTTTGGATGGTTTAGCTGGTCTGCAAAGCTTCGACATCGGTTTCTTGGGTTGTGAGACCGCAAGAAAGTTACCTTCAGAAGTTGCACAGAAAAATGACGTTCATGGATTGGGGTCTTCCTCTTGGCGGGATTTTCGGGGTTGATTTTTGCACAACGATGCCCTTTTGTGAAAAAAGAGTGACGTGTTGGCCATCCATCTGCCATAATTTACTCAGCATGGATGTTCCTGGAACCCCATCTCCAACTAGACTGACATGGAAACTTGTTCCCTATTTCCGATCATTTGTTATGGTGGGAATCTTGCCTTGAATAGATACCAAAAAAAGTCAGAATGAATTCCCAGTCGATTTCCCAAATGGCTCGTTGAACATGAACACTCTGCATCACTCCGCATCACGTGAAACGACATTAAAAACAGCAAGTGGTTTGCAGAAATGTCAGTTACCCTCTGGTAAACTAACATAACTATGGGAAATCACCATTTTTAATGGGAAAACTCACTATAAATGGCCATGTTCAATAGCTATGTTAGTTTACCAGAGGGTATTTCATGTTATTTCCGATCAAAAAAATCGGTTTCCAGGCGATTTGTTACCTGCAGTTCTTCCCCGTTTAACGGGGACCCGCCTCTGTCGAGCGATTTTCGCTCGCACCACCCAGCCTGGTCCAGGTCAAATCACCAGGAATGGGGATGGATGATAAATATGATAAATATGTAGCTGTGTCTAAATAAAAAATCTAAAAATGGATGTATACCATATTATACCCCCAGACAACTTTCATAGGGACTTTGATATCTTTGATTTCTCTTTTGTCAGACACACCGCCGTGGTAAAGTCGAAATTCAGGTGTTTCCGAAACCTTTATGTGGAATGCTTCTGATTCTACCGCTGAGAAAGATTCCCATCATAGTGGCGACCACAATATCTGATCCTCAAAGTTTGTGTATGCCAAGTTGATAACTCCTATGGCCAGGCATGAGTTACTAGTAGTTACATATAGTTACTAATATAGTTACTAAGATTGATAACTCCTATACTAATAGTTACATATATAGTTACTACCCGATTAATTACTCAGTATCAATGTTGACATCATCCATTCGGCTGATAAAATCCGCGGCGCCTCTAAGATTTCTTTGTAGAAGAGCTGCTGCCATTTCTCGTCGCCAAACCTCACGGCTCTGAAAAGTTCGGCTGTTCGTTCACTGTGGAAGTTGGGAAACTTGGCTTAGTTAAACACCCCTTAAAGTGGCTTAGTGAGGCTTAGTGGAATTTATGTGGCTTGGGACTGGGACCATAATTTATACCATAAGTCTCCCATACAACTCCCGTATGGGAAGCGACTATGGGAATGGTTCCATCATTGGGGATCTACTACTTGATGCCAGCTCTCCACTGGCTCTCCACCAAACAAGTTGGTACAACCCTGCATGACCATCAACAGGGGGTTGGGCATCAATGGCATTGCTCATGTGTCCAAAATCGATCGAAATCGTGGATCAAACAAGTGTTCTTATATGTTCTTATGTTTTTTTGATGGATCTATACCTGGTACTATACCTTTTATGAGTTGCATGAAAAAAAAAGGATTTCGCTAAAAAGATCCTCGCCTGCTGGTGGCTGTGAAATCAGGTCTGGAACAGGTCACCAGATCTTTTCAGCGCTTCCGGTTCGGAAACATACACGGCACCCAAAAAAAAACCGCTGGCACATGGCTATGGGTCAAAACCCTGGTACCTAGTGAACCCCAAAATAGCTGGTAAATGGATGTTCATCCCACTAAAAATGTGTCTATAGGTATTGACCCAAACCCAAATGGTTTGGTTCTTGTCAGGTAGTTCCAAGCCAACCGGCAATTTGATTTGCATAGGGAGAAAATTAAGACTTCGAGCAACGTCACATGAAGGACCAAGACATGAAATACGGTGGATTCTCTTCGTTCCGCTGCTCGGCGAGGTTGCAATTGTCATGAAATCATGATATCCCCTGCTACCATTTCTGGTGAGGTCAGAAAGGATCATCCCAAATCAGTTTATCGTGAAATTTTGACAACACCATCTCATGGGATAGTCACTTGCCATAGCCCACCCAGAAATCTCATGATACTTTGGCAAATGAAGTACTAAACTGACAAGTTTCGCAATGGGATAACGCTAAATTCCGTAAATCCGTTGGCTAATCACCTTTCCCCTCCCCCCAAGAAAAGCGACCACAACTTGCAAGGTAAATCTCCATTTTCATTCATTGTTATATCACACTGTATACTCCCATGACATCCAGTACCCATGGATGGTTGGTTTTTAGCCAACAACCACCCATTTTTGAGATGCGTCCCCCAATCCCAACGCGCTGGGCACCTGCTCCCAGGCGTTTTCTGCGTGCACCCGGCCCTTGTAGCCGCGCCAGTGGCGTTGAATTTCAATGGCAGCCCACACCTCCTGTTCATTGGCCACTGCCTTGCCGCGGGATTCAGTGGGCACCAAAGCTAATTAAAGAACCCACATATACAACTCTACATGTGGAATAGATACATATTATATGTGTATATATATATATATCAATACGTATATATATATATATATCAATACGTATATATATATATATATCAATACGTATATATATATGTATATATATATATATTCATTCATTCATTCATTCATTCATTCATTTGTTTACTTTTGTATACACAAAGACTTTATATTGATAGAGAGTCAGTGTGTGGGTATGTACGTGTGTATGTATATATATATATGTATATATATGAGTGTGCGTGCTCACCACCCCAGAACCCACCAAAACAGCATTTTCACAGGTATTTACAAGGAAAAAAACAAGTTTTCTTCCAACTATCTACTCCATGTTTTACTTTCTCGAACACAAGAACAGAACATATATATCTATCTATCTTTCAATCGATCTATCTATCTATCTATCTAAATATTGATAAGTTTAATATATATATATATATTCATATGTATGTTCACCCCCCCAGAATCCACCAAAACAGCATTTTCACTTGTATTTGCGAAGAAAAAAGTGTTCTTCCAACTATCTACTCCACTACGACTGTCTCAACAGGAATCTTTATATTATACATGAGAAAGATGCTTTTGCAATGACCAAGCCAATTTTTCCAATTCAAACAGACACCCGCAGCGTGTTCATCGCGGCAACAGACGCAGGCAAACTGGGACCAGCAGGTGGTGTCCTAAATGTTATGTATAGTTTCATATGTTTGACTTCGGGGTTTGGAAGGCATATGCTTGGATTAAATCATTTGGGCAACTGCAATATCAGAAAGGAGGCCTTCAAGAAGTCATGTCTACAACGTGCGCACAGCCACGGGGCGCATTCTCAGCGATGGCAGGACGAATCATTCGGGCTCAGCACAAGCTTATCCCCTTCATCTGCCCTGGCTTCATAAGCATCGGCTAGCTGCGCCCCAACGTGCTGCATCTCGGGGCCATCGAGGAAATCACCCATGACAACCTCACCGTGCAGAAAGTCCACCTCGCTGGTGCGAGACAAGGTTTGTCCTCAAGTTGGAAGCGATCACAACTGAAGCCACATTGAAGTTCCAAACTTTCTCCAAGATTTGCAGAACCTGTTTATGGTAGAATCTCTCAGTCAATGGCAGTGGCCAATCAAACTCTTTGCGGGCAAGGTCCGACGACAGAGCCAGCAAGGCCTTTTCAACAAGTCCCTGCAGCCACCCATAGATAGGAGACGTTTTCTTGCGCGGCTGCTTTGTTTGCCAGCAAAGCAAGATCACTGCTGGCATGTGTATAATTATGTATTTATTTATCTATTTTTTTATGTTTTTATGTATTTATTTTTATGTATTTATTTACATGCATGTGTATATATACAAATATATGATACAAATATATATATATATACATACATATAAGTATACATATATATATATATACATAGAGACATAAGTATATACATAGACACATAAGTATATACACATAAGTATTTGTGCACGTTCTGATGTCATATATAATACATAGCTACGGCCCCCCCATTCCTTTTAATGCTTGATCAACCCTTGCTTCCAATATCATCCAAACAACCCCGGCTACAGGCTGATGGGTCAGTTGGATACCCCTTGGGCTTTGTCAGATCCAATGAGGAGACTCCGGGTAGACCCACATGCTTGCAACATGCTGCACAGATATTGGATGTCAAGATGACACTGATGACACCAAGAAATATCAACAGTATATGCAGTACTTAAATCAGGGGATGAGCTAACTTGGTAGTTGATAGCATCTAAATGGTTTGAAACCCGTTGCATAACCAGTTCCAAGAGGATATGACCCAGGTACCCATTTCTGACCTCCATCCACCCCGGCATCCGGCAACTGGCTTGGTAATCATGGTCTTCTCACACATTTTGGGTTCTTCTGCAAAACATCTACAGAACACCATGATACCATGGGTGTTTGATGATGCCAGTACATTTGTTGGATGTTTCATGGCTTCCCTAAGTTTGTTTCCTCCAATGCTGAGAATCACACGGTTTCTTCAGGGGATTGTCCGGGGGTTGTGAAAACGGAATGGCAGACCTAGTCCAGCTGATGTTATCATTTTTATCTAGATATCATTGTAAGTCCGCATATTGTTTTGACCCCAGATGTCGCCTCCCTCCAGAGCCAGAGTCTACAAAGACAGCCTGGCGTTGAGCAGCGAAGAGGGCGAATGTCGAACATCCACAAGCTCCAAAAGTGGGGTACTGCAGGTACCCAAAAATACCATGGTGATCCATGGTGTGTGATCCCCATTGAAAATCGTTGAAATATGTCTGCATGAACTCGTCGATTGTTAGGGTCGGATGTAAGAAAGAAACTGGATTCATCATAATAACAATGCACAGTACTAACCTATGATTGCCCAGAAAAGAAGGGGTAGTTAAATACCTGTCCTAAGCATCATTTATGGGAGCTGAGCTGGTTGTTCGGGATTCGGATGTCAAGGCAGGGGCAGACCAGCCCCAAAACTCTGTGCAGATGAATGTCCTCCCAACCAGTTGATAGGTGGTTTATCCCATTATCTATAGGGGTTCAACCATCCAAGGTGGTGCAGGATTTCTTCCATCCACACTAGGTCTAAGGTCTACATAATTTATGATACGTATAGTTGAGTATTGCTTATTATAGTCAATGATAGGCTAAGTTTCTTGCTTCTTCACCCACTATCTTTTAGCATCTCTGAATACACTTCAGCCACTCACCTATCCAGGTAGAGCGATGGGCCTCTGATGTATCTCTGCATGGTGATGATACTACCTCACTGGTGATGGAACTTGGGTGAGTTCACCCTGGACCACTGGACCCTGGTAGAAATTTCGTCCCGATGTTCATCCCGAAACAGCATAAAATCGCTGGGATAAATCATGATAAATCTGGATGTTCATTCCAAAATATGGCATATCGAGGCTTTGACCCATTCTCAGATCACAAAAGACTAAAAGCTCTAGGGACATCCATGGATATCCGAATATGCTTGAAATCTGGTGAAGAATACATGAAAATTCTTGGTTTTGTAGGGATTTTGTAGGGATTGTGTAGGGATCTTGGAAGCACAAACGGGTGATTCTTCCAGAAGTATCATGACAATCTGCAGCAAAACCACAATAAGAGCCCACTCCGAAGCCGAAATTTGCGGTGGTGTGGGTTCTGACCTGATCTTTTTTGTGTGGCTGAAAAAAGGGGCACCAAGAGACCCATCAAATAGGTTTTGTATGGTTTTGTATAGTAATGGTGTAGTGAACAACCATCATCTCCGAGATCTTTTTGAGCAATTATCCACCCTGTGTTTTTTTTGCCATCCTGGCCATCCTCGCCATCCTGGCCATCCTGGCCATCCTCAATATTCAGCTGCTGAGCATCTGAGCATCCCACCCTCTGCTTTTCGAAAGTCTTCCTGCAGTCTCAGATATTGCTTTCGCGTCTGGATGCCCAACCACATCTGCAGGCAGGCTGAAAATGAGGAGGATCGATGAGGATCGATGAGGATTGGGAGGATTGGGAGGATTGGGAGCATGGAGAGCAAGATGTCCACAACATGCCTACCTCACCTGGTTTCACTGGAGCTTACACAAGGAGCAACGGATTCTTTCAGACGCTCATGGCCTTGGCATGTCAACACCCAACGTTTTTGGGACGCAAGTTAAATCCTCATGCATTTCACGCTCTGTCCCGGCTCAACTGCATGTGGCTATGCACTATTTCCGCCAATACATATACCGGATCTATACCCAATGTCTATTGGTAAGAGTATCACAACTCCAGCGGCGATCCCCCAGTCAAGGCTCAGTTGTGTCTCATTATCTCAACACTTTGAACCAGTTTATTGTGTTCCTATTTACCCAGGCAACAAGCATCCTGTAGCGTTCAAGCAGAGTATCTTTATCACTGCACCTCAATTCAACAAATGCTGCGGGGAAGGGTTGATACATACTTGTATAAACATATATATATATACATATACATAGCTTGGTGTTGCTGGAAAAGTTGCATCAACCACATCTTTACCCTTTATTTATACTATGCATGTTACTGCATGTTTACCATATCTACCAGTCGCAACTCTTGGGCGTCCATGGAACCACTCTCCGCTTCCCACGCCTTTCGCAGGTACGTGGCGGCGGCTTCCATCTCCTGCCGAGAAGCCGATCCCAATGCGATGACTCTAGGGCTATGCCTGGATATAGAGATGCAGAGAATGAATAATGGCAATGCATCTATCTATTATGCATCTATCTATCTTTTGTGCCCGTGTACTCCGGAAATCTGGTACAAACTTCACAGCCGCCTTATATAACAGCCTTTGAGCTTCACAGCGACAAATTTCAACCCTTGGGCTTTCCACTCCAAAATGGACCACGGAAGATTTGGATTCCCAGCCTTGATAGGTCCAGATGAGCCACTAATGAACAGTGGCTATATAATGATGGAAATGAAACGATTGACCTCTTGGGATTCTCTGAAACAATGCCCATAGCAATGGCGCAAATCATCCATGTGTAGATTATTTTCCTGCGGAATCCCATTAAAATTCGAAGGTATTCCCTATTCCTGCAGGCTTGCTATTGTGGCTGACGTGATCATCTTGTCAACCCGAAAGCGCCGTTTCGAATCATCACTGGAAACCCTCTGGTGTCATCAAACCTGGCTGGTAAATCCCACTTGTAGATCGGATGTTCCACTAGAAATTGCGATTTTCCCAGCAAGGTTCAATTATAAGAGTCTATTTAAGGGTGCAGTTCAGGTTCATTGGTGGCTATGACCATGGAATTCAAACACCCGCAAGTTGGGATACAATCTCAATATATCCCAATAATAGCCAATGTTGAAATATACATATATCATCATATATCTATATAATTATACAGTATATGTGTATATTTAAGTTGGGATATGATCCCAATAAGTATGGTCATTCATCATGGTCCGAGCTCTGGAATTGCCCCCACCTTCATTCGCTCATCGCGCATCAGGTCCACTTGTCTGGACGGGATGGGAAGCAGGGAATTTTCAAAAAAGGATAGTTACTGCAAAACCTTTTGGTTTATCCTCACCAGAAGAAAGGATATATCTAGATCTATCTAAATTTTTGTTTATCATATATCCCAATATATTATGGTGAAATAATGTAAAATATACTTTCGGATCAATTCTGGGACAAGGCAAATGTTCCTCACATCTAGGGTCCGGGGTGATCTGTCCCAAAGTTCGGGCTCCCGTGGACCCATCATATCCATCATGTGGTATTGAGGTCAAATCCTCAGCAGTGTTGAATGTAACCATACTTTGCAAATAGAAAATGCCGCATCTTCGAGAAATGTGGAAAACGTGACAACAAAACGATTTTTTGACTTCCACAACGGTGCATGTTTGCGAGACACCTCTTGCAAAATATGAAATAAAGCAAAATCCAAAAACATGGACGTCTAGAAGAAAAACATACGGAAAAATTGAGAAGTAAATTCGTAAGGAAGACATCGTCACATCTTTGGGCAAAATTCGCTCACGTGTGCTCACGTGTTTTGCTGATGTAGAAGAAAAAAGAACAACGAAATTCGCACACAAAATGATAGGGAGGAATGAGGAGCATGAGAAACACTTGCAAAAAACTGAGAGAAAGGTTCTTAAACACGGAGATTGGAAGACACCGTCACGTTGTTCTGGGAATGTCAGCCACGTTTATTTTACTTTGCAGGTTTTTCCCAATTTTCTGAGGATATTTTGGATATGGATATATATATATATGGTGGGTTTCCTAAAATGGGGGTACCCAAAATTCATGCTTTATAATGGACAATCCCAATCTAAAATGGATGATCTGGTGGATATTCCCAAGATTTGCCCACCGGGGTACCTTCGAGCCAGCCGTGCTCGGACGAACGACCTTGAGCATTTCAGAAAGGTGCTTGGGAAAATCATGTTTAATCGGCTTAACCCCCAACATCCCTGTTGGGATTCTAACAAAAAGATGAACTTGAGCGAATTTCAGTAACAAAGAAAGATCTAGCCAACAATAAAGCAAGAAATGGATATAAAATGGAATATCAATGGAATATCCGCCGACCCCGGCTGACGCAAGGGGGAGCGCGCCAGGGAATAAGACAAGAGTTTGCCACCGCCAGCTACTACTACTACTACTACTACTACTACTACTCCTACTCCTACTCCTACTCCTACTCCTACTCCTACTCCTACTCCTACTACTACTACTGCTACTACTACTACTACTACCACTACTACTACTACTCCTACCAGTACTAGTACTAGTACTAGTACTAGTACTAGCACTAGTACTAGTACTAGTACTAGTACTAGTACTACTACTACTACTGCTGCTACTACTACTACTACTCCTCCTACTGCTACTGCTACTGCTACTGCTACTGCTACTGCTACTGCTGCTGCTGCTGCTTCTACTACTACTACTACTACTGCTACTACTGCTACTACTACTAATACTACTACTACTACTACTACTATTACTACTACTACTACTACTACTACTCTGTCAGCAGCAGCAACAGCAGCAGCAGCAGGTGAGCTGATGGGAGATTGAAAGAGCGGAAAAGGTTGGGAAAAAGACATTTTTTCTAGGAATTCAAAGGTACGTTAGGCACTTTTTCGGTGCGATTCTAGGGCCTGTTCGTCCTTCCGTGCCTTGCTGTTTTGGTGCCGGGAGGTGCTCTTGCTACTCTTCTGTTAGCAGCAGCAGCAGCAGGTGAGCTGATGGGAGATTGAAAAAGCGGAAAAGGTTGGGAAAAAGACATTTTTTCTAGGAATTCAGAAGGGACGTTAGGCAGTTTTTCGGTGCGATTCTAGGGCCTGTTCGTCCTTCCGTGCCTTGCTGTTTTGGTGCCGGGAGGTGCTCTTGCTACTCTTCTGTTCTGCAACTTTTTTCTAGGAATTCAGAAGGGACGTTAGGCACTTTTTCGGTGCGATTCTAGGGCCTGTTCGTCCTTCCGTGCCTTGCTGTTTTGGTGCCGGGAGGTGCTCTTGCTACTCTTCTGTTAGCAGCAGCAGCAGCAGGTGAGCTGATGGGAGATTGAAAAAGCGGAAAAGGTTGGGAAAAAGACATTTTTTCTAGGAATTCAGAAGGGACGTTAGGCAGTTTTTCGGTGCGATTCTGTGGCCTGTTCGTCCTTCCGTGCCTTGCTGTTTTGGTGCCGGGAGGTGCTCTTGCTACTCTTCTGTTAGCAGCAGCAGCAGCAGCAGCAGCAGGTGAGCTGATGGGAGATTGAAAAAGCGGAAAAGGTTGGGAAAAAGACATTTTTTCTAGGAATTCAGAAGGGACGTTAGGCAGTTTTTCGGTGCGATTCTAGGGGTTCGCCTTGTGCCTGTGTTTTGGTGCTGGGAGGTGCTTTTGCTAGCGGCAACAGCAGCAGCAGCAGCAGCAGCAGGTGGAGATTGAAAAAGCGGAAAAGGTTGGGAAAAAGACATTTTTTCTAGGAATCAGAAGGGACGTTAGGCACTTTTTCGGTGCGATTCTGTGGCCTGTTCGTCCTTCCGTGCCTTGCTGTTTTGGTGCCGGGAGGTGCTCTTGCTACTCTTCTGTTAGCAGCAGCAGCAGCACAGCAGCAGCAGCAGCAGGTGAGCTGATGGGAGATTGAAAAAGCGGAAAAGGTTGGGAAAAAGACATTTTTTCTAGGAATTCAGAAGGGACGTTAGGCACTTTTTCGGTGCGATTCTTGGCCTGTTCGTCCTTCCGTGCCTTGCTGTTTTGGTGCCGGGAGGTGCTCTTGCTACTCTTCTGTTAGCACAGCAGCAGCAGCAGCAGGTGAGCTGATGGGAGATTGAAAAAGCGGAAAAAGGTTGGGAAAAAGACATTTTTTCTAGGAATTCAGAAGGGACGTTAGGCAGTTTTTCGGTGCGATTCTAGGGCCTGTTCGTCCTTCCGTGCCTTGCTGTTTTGGTGCCGGGAGGTGCTCTTGCTACTCTTCTGTTAGCAGCAGCAGCAGCAGCAGCAGCAGCAGGAGCAGCAGCAGGTGGGCTGATGGAAGATTGAAAGAGCGGAAAAGGTTGGGAAAAAGACATTTTTTCTAGGAATTCAGAAGCGACGTTAGGCACTTTTTCGGTGCGATTCTATGGCCTGTTTGTCCTTCCGTGCCTTGCTGTTTTGGTGTGCTCTTGCTAGCAGCAGCAGCAGCAGCAGCCGCCAGCAGCAGCAGGTGAGCTGATGGAAGATTGAAAAAGCGGAAATTGAAAAAGCGGAAAAGGTTGGGAAAAAGACATTTTTTCTAGGAATTCAGAAGGGACGTTAGGCAGTTTTTCGGTGCGATTCTAAGCCCTGTTTGTCCTTCCGTGCCTTGCTGTTTTGGTTCCGGGAGGTGCTCTTGCTACTCTTCTGTTAGCAGCAGCAGCAGCAGGAGCAGCAGCAGGTGGGCTGATGGGATTGAAAAAGCGGAAAAGGTTGGGAAAAAGACATTTTTTCTAGGAATTCAGAAGGGACGTTAGGCACTTTTTCGGTGCGATTCTAGGGCCTGTTCGTCCTTCCGTGCCTTGCTGTTTTGGTGCCGGGAGGTGCTCTTGCTACTCTTCTGTTAACAGCAGCAACAGCAGCAGCAGCAGCAGCTGAGCTGATGGGAGATTGAAAAAGCGGAAAAGGTTGGGAAAAAGACATTTTTTCTAGGAATTCAGAAGGGACGTTAGGCACTTTTTCGGTGCGATTCTGTGGCCTGTTCGTCCTTCCGTGCCTTGCTGTTTTGGTGCCGGGAGGTGCTCTTGCTACTCTTCTGTTAGCAGCAGCAGCAGCAACGGCTGTTTTGGGCGGCAGTTTTCTAAATAAGAAATGACACTAGGTAAGCAGGTGAGGTTGTTTGAAAGACGAAATATGGCCCATTCGAAATGGTGGGACACGCCCAAAAGATCAGCCAACCTCGGTTGCTTGTTCCGGGGTCGGCGGCAGGGGCGGCAGCCCTTATATCCGGCCCGGGGCCCCCTGGCCGTGGCATAGCCGAAGGCGGTTCTCTCCTCTCCGTAGGAGAGAGGGGCCGCCGCCCCTGCCGCAGGCGACTCCCCCCCGCCAAAAACTGTCGCGTTTTACGGTGTTTTGTGCTCTTCCAATTTTTTCCCATTTTTCGGATCTTGTGGCTCAAGATGGGTCAACATGGGCCAACATAGGCCGCAAGCTGGGCCAACATAGGCCTCAAGATGGGCCAACATAGCCTCAAGATGGGCCAACATAGCCCCAAGATGGGCCAACATAGCTCCAAGATGGGCCAACATCGCCCCAAGATGGGCCAACATAGCCCGCAGATGGGCCAACATTGCCCTCAAGATAGGCCAACATAGCCCCAAGATGGGCCCACATAGCCCCAAGATAGGCCGCCGACCATCAAAATATCATGCGTTTTACAGTGTTTTTTTTGCTGTTCCCATTTTTCGGATCTTTTGGCTCAACATGAATCAACATGAGGCCAACATAGGCCAACATGGCCACAAGATGGGCCCACATTGCCCGCAAGATAGGCCAACATACGCCAACATAGGCCAACATAGCCACACAATGGGCCTACATAGTTGGGCCCCTGGCCGGCTGTCGCGCGTAAGCGCTTAAATAAATATCATGGAATAGCCAACAGCAGTATGGGCCTTCAGCATCAAAAAATCGAGAAATTGAGCAATAAATGAAGGTCTCACCACCAAACTTGACATTGACTGGTTGAATTGGTGGGGCAAATCTTGCCATCAACCATTGGAGTGTCCTGCAAACTGTCCCTTCATTGCGATTGCTTCGAAGAAATCTGCTGGCTTCAATGTAAGGGACCTCAGGATTTGACCAAATGTAGCTGACAACCATATGAGTTTATATCAAACCATCAAAAACATTCGAAAGCTGAGAAGTGGAATTGGAACCACGAGCTGGTGATATCTAATCTGGTAAGCATCGGATTTCAATCACGGCACACCTGATGGCCGATAGTTGTTGATACTTGTAGTTCCACACGGCACAAGGAAAAGCCTTACCCAAAATGTTGGTTTTGACACATCGGGAAATGGATAAAAAATGGGAGTTCTGCGCATCAAAAACTCAGAAAATGACCGGCATCTCAGTTTGGGATTCCTGCTGAATGGACGTGGCAGAGTCATATTCGAGTTTCACCTAGCGCAAAGGTGTGAGATAAACCAATCACTGGTTGGTGCAATAAAAATCTTGAAAAATATGAGTTCGTCAATGAGAAGGATTATGGAAAATAAAAAATGTTTGAAACCACCAACCAGAATCATTTTGGTACAGCGACCCATCAACTGGGACATGGGCCCACAAAATGTGTCGTACTCAGATCTGTTCAGTTCGTTTGAGTTTCAGTTGATCAGTCAACATACCCCTTTCTTGATACGTAGTGTTGGTGGTTCCCAATTCTATTTTGTTTTTTTTGTGTCTACCCTTCAAAAATATCAGTCCATTGGAAATCATGATCAAGTTGAAAAAAAATGAAACCACCAACATCGACCAACCAGCTCTGCTGTCGAAACATTCCAGTTTCATCCAGTTTCTAGGGTGCTCCATCCAGCTCACAAATGTTCACACCTAATGTCATACCCAATTTCATCTGTTCTCGCGCTGTTTGTAGCTTAAAACTTATAACTGATAATGGTTGGATGTTATAGCCATCGGCTGCTTTTCAGGGTGACCATTTTTTGTTATATTTCATTGATCCAAGTTTGACATGAGTCTGCAATTATCTGCAATTAGGCTATCCCCAATTTTGGAGATGTTTCATCATTTCTCCACTCAAACAGCTATCAATCCTCCAACCCCAGCCTTGATCAGGGGGACGGGTACAAAAACCATGACGACAACAACAACAGCAGCAACAGCAGCAACAACAACAACAGCAGCAACAACAACAACAACAACAGCGACAACCGACGGCGGCGGCGGCCACCACCACCACCACCACCACCCCCCCAACCACAACCACAACCACAGAAACAACAACCAGAAGAAAAGAAAAATAAAAAGAGAATCGAGAAGAACAAGAAGAACAAGAAGAAAAAAATTGATATTTGGGGTAGCGAGGCAGTCCAAGCCTGCAGCACGGACATGGCATTCGTCCTTCATTGGCATTCCATTTTTGCGCTGCACAGGCTGCTTTTTGACATATTTTCTGTCGCGGTGCTCGATCCTACTTGTTGCTCTAGTGTTTCACGCGTGCATAGGATTGTTTCATTCTTTCTTACGCTTTGTGGCTGGTCCACCTGCCTCCACTCGATTCTGAGATTCTGAGGCCTGTCTTGGCACATGCACAGCACGGCCGTTCAGAAAGCGATGTCAAGCACTCGGACTGTGGCTGTTCCGCGCCTCGGCTTGAGCTGCTTTTGCGTTTCTTGTGTGTGCAAGATGATTGTTTTTTGTCTTTTTTGTCATGCGGCATCTTGAATTGTTTTCAAAGAAGTTTTCTCTAACGTCATGTCGAAGAAACTGTCCACAACATTTATTTGGAATTATGTGGCAAAATTGCCGCATCTTCTTGTTTGTCACATCTTTTTTGTCTCCGATGGCAGGGAATGGCACCCCTTGAATCGAGTTGCCATGTCATCCTTGGTCTGTAGGTTGGAGATTGGCCGTGAAATTGATTGAATCCAAATTTGTTTGTGGAACACCTTTGCAGGACCTATTTCATAAATATTCTCTCCATTTCTTTCAGCACAAATCCCTATGGAACCAGTTTTGAAGCTTGTCCCTTCCATTTTTGGGGGAAGGAAATGCCCGGATAAAGAAACAATCAGGCCAGCGTGCTCCTGCAAAAACAGGTCGGGCAAAAGAAAGGACTGAAGACCAACAAAAGGAATGGGTAACTTTTCAGCCTGCTTGGTTCCGGTCTGCAATTTCAGCCTCCTGATTTCCTAGGTATTGTTACTTGCGTTCTATACGCGCGTCGACAACAGGGACAAACAGTGCGTGCACACAGGCATATCATCCAAAGTAATAACAGGAACAACTCAAACGGCTTCACTCTAGACCCCAGGCTTTACAGCATCGCCAGTGAGCAAAGATCTGCAGTTCAAGGCAAACCCATGCACACTCCTCCATGGGAAAATCATCCATTCACATCATCTCCAGTCCCGCGCCTGTAAGGCGGCGGCATAACGCTGTGAGGCCACACCCCGGCCCTTCCAGCCACGGTACAACCTGGTGGCAGGTCCGAGCGAAAGGGGTGATGAAATGCAGAAAATGGTTGAAGAAAATGTGTGAAAATCTGGTAGGGTCTATCATATTCCATATATCACCACTCCAAAATTATCTTTCGGGGTATGGCTTTAAATTGTAAAGAATAGCGAAGGGCTTTCTTTGTTCGTTTACCACATTGAGAACCTATGGGATGTCTGTCAACGACAATTTCCAGGAATACCTACCCCAGAGATGCCTTTACAGTACAGTACTTCGATTTACAAACAGGACTTTGTTTTCATTGTAAAATATGGAACGATGAAAATGAGACCCCCATTCCGAATTATTTTATGATTCTGATTGACTTCACACAGTTCATTGCCAACAATGCCCACGCTCTTACACTTCTGGAAGACCATGGATGGTTATATACTGAAAATCCACTACAGTACTGTAGGTTGACAAATCTTCAGCGCTCAAAAGGCCCTCTGGGAAACCACCATCGACCCCACCTCTGCAAGTCGATGGATGCCTGGCTGTCTCTGGGGAACTGGTCCAGAGTTCACCAGTGAGATATACCAAGTGCATACTCTACAAATCTCTACCAAATCATGGGGATATAATGGGATATATTATATATATAGGATACACGTAAAAAAAACATGAACATGGAACATCTTGGAGGATTCTGAAAGCAGAGAATTGCAAGGCCGCTAATGGATTCGGACTTGGTCGTAATCAGGCCATTCTCTGCGATCGGGGGATCGGGGATCCTTGTACCGCAAAACCATCGAAAGGCAACTTTGCAAGCCACCTTGGCAGTCTGAAAAGTTTATGAAAACCTTCGGAATGGATCAAAATCCGATTAGCACCCTGGGTCCCATCAAAATCGTGGGATATCTGCAGTAATTATCTGGTAACTGGTAACCATGGATGTCCCCATATTGTGCCAGAAAAATCATCAAGAGACGGCAGCAAACTCTCTTTCCGGGTCGAATCAAAGAGTCTTTGGCCATGTCTTTAACATGGCCATGGCGCGTCGGCAAATGGCATGAAGTGCAAGCGCAACGTCCCTTTGGGAGGTGCAGAAGCACGTTTCTCCAAACCGCGGCAGGTCCAGCTGTATCTAAGCACAGCTCACCAATCTGCGGTTGCAGACGAGAAAATGAAATGGTTTCAGTATGTTTCAGTAATCAACTCGGTAGCATCTGTGACCAACGCGAGATCAAGTATTTGGTGGTTCATATCCTTTGAACCAATACCGAAACTGGGGTATAGTATCCCCAGTTTAATGCCTATTTGGATAGGGATCATGATTCACCAATGGATGGTTTATGGGTTTTTCTTTGTGGGTTTTCCCAACATTTCCAGACAAAACCCATCTGCTGATGACTCGTTACGACTGACCTCTCCTGACGCTCAGAAGGAGACAAAGGACAGCGTATTGACCTGGCGCAGCGGTCCGGGGGGCGACTGGTGACGTTGGGGCCCCTGGTCATCGTCCTTGGGATTCATACATATACATATACACATACTTATATATATATATATGATTAAATGTCTAAATATCGAGGATAAAACAAAAGCCTTACAAAAAAGGCGCATGACCATTCTTCACTTTAATGCTTTAATTTGATCATATGTGGTTTTTCCAAAATTTATCACCATGGATTTGTTATTGTTTGTCCTGCAGTTAAGGACCAAGACCTACCCAACAGCAGGGTTCCAAGGTCTCAGTTCATTGCAAACTCACACCGAAGACTTCTGCGGAAGCGACATGAAAACATTACTTAACAATGGTAAATATATGATATATGGTTGTATCTGAAAATGAGGCATACCGTCCTGCAAATGGCACCAATTTTGATAGAGAAAATCAAGCTTAAGCTTTGGATTTCCAGGCACCATATTTTCAGACAAGCCCACACCGTGCCAGCAATGGCACCTACTGTTTGTATCAGACAAGTGTGCAGCTGTATTTGTATCCCGTGCAATCCTTGACCTCAAGAACCACATGTTTCTTTTGTTCCAAAGACATGGCTGCGCAGGCAAAAGCCGATCAGCGGTGGATACCCAAGCAGTTCCTAGTCTTTCCAGCTCTGAAGGCACATTCTCTTTAACAATAGACTTGGCAAAGCCTAGAGAATGCGGAACCCAATTCCCAAGAACAAACCTATCTAATTATCTGATCAGAAACCCCAATGGCAACAATATCTTAGAAGCGTATTCCCCATTGAAAGTATGATCAAATACAAGTTCCGAAAGCTGTTGCACATAAAAATTAAACTTGTTCCAGGCGTACGGCCCCAAAACAATGAAATCGTTCAATGACTAAAAGTTGTGGTGAAGCCAAACTTGAACTTTTTCCAGGCGCACGGCGTCCCAATACGACTTTTACGAGCTGATACGACTTAACGCTAGCTAGCATTAGTAAACCTAGTCCAACTGCAAGTCAGCTGCGTAAAATATCCTTCGATATACAACATTTATTTCACATTGATGGGGTAGCATTCACCCAATGACTGACCATGAATCCTATCCATCCCATCGAATTCAGAGGTGGCACTTGAACAAAACTCAATTGCACAATTGAACCTTGTAACAGCACATCCATTTCATCTCGTCCTTTTTCTACATCGTTTTGACCATGAATCCCATGAATCATTGTTCCTTGGTGGTAAAATGAGGCTGTTCCCAACTCATTGGCGTCATAAAAAAGTGTTGATGGTTGTACCCCATTGTTGCCATATGTATCTATATGTCACTAGATAAGCACACTTGTGGCTGTTATATCCTATAAGTTATACCCATTGATCATCCCAACTCGACCCCCGAAACTTACTCCAGCCTTCGCATGATGTCCTTCCAACAGCCGTTGCAAGCGCCCGGTCTTGCTGTCGTAGGTTCGCACGCAGCCGTCCCTGTAGGGTGCACACCATGATTTTGGGATGCGGTTATTACTACCAAGTAGATGGATGGGTTTTTAAGCATCCCATGACTAATGTCATATCTATGTATATAATTGTATGTATATATATATATATATATGTCTACATGTATATAGTATATATATATATATGTGTGTGTGTGTCTATATGTATATAGTATATGTATATATATATATATGTGATTGATTTTTTATTTTATATGTAGTGAGAGAGACAGCTTGAGAGACAGACTGACAGAGAGAGAGAGAGAGCGAGAGAGAGAGAGAGAGAGCCAGCCAGCCAGCCAGCCAGCCAGCCAGCCAGGCAGACAAACAGAGAGAGAGAGAGAGACAGATAGACAAATAAAATATATGGATAAGAAAGCTGGATAAAGTAAATGGACAAGGTATATAAATGGATGAGAAAGATTGAGAGGTGGATGAATGGACTGATATGGATTGATAAATGGATTGATGAGTGGATGGACGTTTGGATATATAATATAGATGGATAGGTAGGGTACACTAGCTACGCCTTTTAGGGGGATTGTCGATGGGGGTTGAGGGTCGTTCCGCCATTTCAGATTGGTCAGCTACAAGAGAATTCTCATCTATTGCATGAATCATCCCAAGAATTAGAGATACACCAGAAGGCGCGTTGTGATGTAAAGGAACCAGCAAGAGTTACAAGCTTAGGTACTCAGCTGCAGGCAACCTTACTAATGAGCCTTAGCTGGCCTTCTTTTTCGATGTTCGACCCGAAACGGCCTGTTTTTATCTTTCTGTGGTGGAGAAAAGCGCTCGAGTGCACCCCTAGGGGATGCCGGAAACATTACGAGTAACAGTTTGTTCTTGAAGTTCCTTCAAAACATTGCAAATTACACAGCATGTTCTTCTTTCCTGAAGCACAAATTTCACTGGTGTTTGCAGGTGCGCTGTTCTATACACATTCACTTTGATGACCATAACTGCGCGAACTTAAAATGCTACAGAGAGTCATCTGTTCCATGTTTCGGCTATCATTCATAGAATTGGATGATGGGAAAACTTACAGGAAAGCCCTATATTTGATGGTAAAAACCATGGTTTCCTGTAGATTTTCCCTTAAACCAATCCAGTGAATCATATGACAGCAAACAGTATCATATAGTCATACAATCTCTTTGATGTGCTTTACTTCTGCTCACCTCCGCACTTCAATCACACGATTGGTGTAGTGAATCTGTAGTGAATCTGCTTGGTGATTGAGCCACACCTCTCAAAACACCAGTCAATTGCTGAGGAATGTTTTAGGATGTGTTAGGATTCCAATAGAAATAGTACGAGAAATGGCTTGGTTTCACCCTATTCAGTGGTTCAACCTCCATTTTTCAGGGAGTGCGAATCCCGTTTTGGATGCTTCAACCCCCATTGTTCATTGAGAACTGTGGGTTCGTCTGAGAACTTCATGTCAGAACCGCTGAGATGCCAGGGATCTTCAGCGATTGGTTTCTGGCTTTTGGCCATGGCTTGCACAGTGTTTCTGGTTGGTGGTTGACCTACCCCTCCGAAAAATATGAAAGTCAGTTGGGATGATTATTATGATTATTCCCTATATATGGAAAAGTACAAAATGTTCCAAACCACCAATCAGGTTTTGTTGCGTTTGGCTGTTTCACGGGCATCCAACAGGAACCAGGAAATGCGACTGTGATATTGCAAGCATACAATGAGTGCAGATAATGATGACCTCGCATTGTGCATTCCCATGTTTTCCCCATCATATCCCTGTTGATGGTTGGTAATATGCCCTTCAACCATGCATTTTGCATAGATATACAGAATATAGTCATCCTGGAGTATATGGAATATTAAAGATAAAGAAAAAAAACAATAAAATGGGAATATCATTGAAAATACCATATTCTATCCACCATTTATAGATTAATGATTAATTTCCCATTAAAGCCTCCATTTATATAGGATGTTCAATTGCCATGTTTGGTTTCGGAAGGGTAGATACAGTAGAGATATAGTACTGGTATGGTCCCATCCCGCCTTGCAGCTGTGGCCACAAAACCCGCATCCGCTGAAAAGAGCGCGAAGAGCACGGAGCCCGCATGCCCCTAGGGGCTGAAACCATTGGTTGAAATTCGGAAATGAAAGGATATCCCCAGCTATATTGGAATTAGTGAATTTGTTACCAAGAGAAACAGTACTCAGTCTTGAAATTGCTGAGTTAACTCAGTTAACTGTTGGTCTAAAGAACGAGTATATGTACTCTACATGGATTTTATTATATTTTATGTTACACTATATAAATGACGGCATGGGTCAAGTATGGTCAAGTCATTACCTCCAGAACTGGAGGGTTTACTAAAGACGAGCAGTCTGCAGTTCGCTGGGTCTAAATATTTGATCGTATTTGACCCATAGCCATGTCGAAATGCCTAGAATGATGCCTAGAATGGTCTGTGTGCTGAAATTCTTGGAAGTGACCCTCAGCATTGCCAAGCAATGGATACTGGATCGACACCGGCTGAAGGCTCACTCACCTCACCCCATTTTCGACCGGAGAATTCCATGATCGTTTCGCAGTTTCAACCATCAATGGTGGCTCTACACTAAGCTTTATTCTCTGGTTGAAATTGAGATTCCAAATCCCCCTATAGCCGCTAGATGCTGCTAGATACACTACAATGCGCAGATCTTCGGGATTTCATCAGGATGCAGGAGGATGCCGTAGGATGCAGAAAATGGGGGAACCAACCAATTTTGGGGCCTTGAAAGTCGAGTCGTTTTTTCCCTGAGTTTGGGCAAAAAAAATCCTCGGTTGGTTGATGAAGGACTCCATTTTTGGCATCTAGTTCTTGTTACTTTGAAGGTGAAGATAATTGACCAGGGTGCAATACTCCAGGCTTGAGATTCTGAGATTAGTAAACATCAATACATGTCTCATGTTTGTTGGCAGAGTCATCTGTGACGTGTATCTGGAATCATCCCTGAACTACTGGGGTATGGTGATGTCCCAGCAGTACCATGAAACACCCAAAATGTGCCATTCCCCTGGTGGCTGAGGTTGATTTGGGGTGGCAAAAACGGAAATAAAAATGTTGGTAAAGCTGGTCAAAAAGCATGGCAATAGACAAATTCACCAGTAGCTTCAGTAGTTAGGTGCCGAATTCTTTCCCTTAAGGCCTTTGATGATGAATTTCCCATGGATTTTCCAGGGGAAGACCCACCAATTCGGGGATCCATCACCATGGCTTTTTCGCCGGTTGCCCATCCCGTTGGTCCCAGTGGCTTGCGGGGCTGTTGCTATCCCAGCCATTCATAGAAGATTCGAATTATCCCAACCAGGTACAACCAACATCAACCAACTATAACAACCTATAAGTCTATAGCAGTTTAGAATGTTTAATAAGTTTAATAGCTCGTGTGTCTCCAGTCATCAAGCATGGTTCCTCTCCAGCTTTGCTCCATGTGATGCTTATCCAAGGACCGTTTCAAACTGGCTTTTTGTTTTGGATTGGTACTGAAGATGACTGGTGGCACCTGATTACACACCAGCTCTGATAGTCCTCAATCTTTTGGAAGAAATCACATGGAGTCAGCAGCTTGCCCCGACACAACATGATTGGTGCCAACGCATCCGGAGAGTATTGGTTAGAGTTCATCAATGAGGTAGGGCTTAAGAAATACATCGTATAGATTTAAAACATGTGAAAAAATAAAACTACAAACCAAATGAAGGTACTCACTTCGTCAACAATCAGAAGACTCCATGATGATCAGAGATGATAAATCATGATGTCGTCTTTTTCATGAAAATAGAGGGGCGGTGTTGTTTGCCCTTTGTGAAAAGCTACGCATTATGGTTCATGGAGCTGGCCTCCCCTCACAACCAACACATCTCCGGCGCGCACCGAGAGGGTCCGTAAGCAGTCCCCGGTCTTGGTCTCCCAAATTCGCGCAGTACCTTGATGGGGATGGGTCAAAACCCTCCTGGTGAAAACCAAAATAGCTAGTAAATGGATTGCAGGCATTGATCCATAGCCATATATGGGCAAGGAGCAGCTCAACTGAATCGCATGTTTCTGTATGTCTTAGCTCCAGTGATAATCTCCACCCCCCAGCAGCATGATGACAGAATACCAAGGTCTGAAATAGGGCCATTAAATAGGGTACCATCAGATTTTCTCAGATATTCCTCCAAAAGCTCAACCCAGTGAAGAGTGGCCATAAATCGGGGTGTAATTGGGGTACAGCCCACGTGATTGCCATCAAATCACTGGGAGAATGATAGAGAATGAGGTCATCAAGGTGAGCTGACCAAGGGCTTGGCAAATGATCCAAGGTTGCAGGTGGCTGCGTTAAACAAAAAAACAACAATGTATAGTCTTCAACAAGCATGTGTAGAGTAGAAATATTGTTACATATTACATAACTATACATGTCCATACCCCAACAGTATTCATTCCATCAATTTTGCGGCCAAAGAATCTCTCAGGTCACTTTTTTTGTGGAGCATGATGGAAAATCCCCATGGAACTCCATCGCATGTTTCTCCAGGTGGCGATCCATGGAGCCAGTGACGCAGAGACGGCCATCGCCCGAAAAGAAGGCGGACTGCACCGATGGGATGGTTTGGAGAAGGTAAAGTTGGGAGATGTGGGGAGATGTTGTTGCTTTCTTAGATTGTTGTTGGGAAATGCTTAGGGAATTTCGGTGGAATTTTGGGAAAATTCGTTGAAGCTCATTGGTTCGTCAATTTTTGGGAGAGGACTGAGAGGACGAAAAAAAAAACGCCCGGCCATTTTTGGGTGGATTTAAATGAGAATTAATCATCATGTGGGGGGTGGCACTCATAATCGTGGCACGACTATGATTAACAAGACACTCATACAAGAATGACAACAATATGAGTAGAAGTAACTTGAAAATATGATAATAGCGAGAGTCATGATCATCACGACCACCTATCATGTTTTAAAAACAATTTAGATAGGGATTCGGATGGATTCGGTTTGGTCGCAGCATTTTGTGCGCTCCAGACATTCGCGTTATTTCAAATATTTCACACACTTTCTCACTGTCCCTGTGAACCAATGAAGAAATGAGCTGTTGCTGTAAGTAGTGACTTTCTCAGAGGTTTATTTTGTTTATTTCTCCGTAGGTTTCTATCTTCCTGTGATTCGGCTAGCGGATACCAACCTGCACGGTGTCAGTATGCCCACGAAATTCTCGAAGACACATCCCAGACAGCGCCTGTGGCATCGGGGTCCAAGCTTCAAAACGGCCCTTGAAGCATTTCAAATATGGGTCATTTGATGTCATTTGGGTTTGAAAATACTTCCAAACATGGTTCTCTCAACCCTCTGTGGTTTGTCGCTATTTTCCCCCTGTAGTTTTTCCTGAGACCTAAAAAGGGTACAGTGCCAGGGTCTGCTGACAGGTGAGCCTCCCACATTCTGGCAGTGCGGTCCTGTGCGCGCAGAAAAACTCCACTGGGAATGTGAACTACACAGCATTCATCATTTTTTTTGAACGGCTATGACCCAAGATTTGCCATATCCAACCAGAAAATCTTGGAATGAAATCTTGGAACATCTTGGCAAGGCGCAGAGCTGGGCAGCCGATCTCTCGAGATGATTCCTCTGGTCATACCGAATTTTGATAAATTGACCATGCAGAGAAATTCTGAAGGAAGCCAATCGAAACCTTCAGAATGTGAGACTGCACCAGCTTCTGAACTTCGAAATGATGTCTACCTACCCTAAATTACCCAAGCAAAACAAACAACAAGGGATCGCAAATATCTTTTGAAACCTGGAAAGCGAGGAAAACCCGTCCTGGGAGGCCGTCAGAAGGCGTTTGCTGTTGGCAGAATAGGTTACCTAGGGGAAGAAGGGCGAGCAAAAAGGCCCTTTTGGCAATGCCCAAAAGATAGAAAGTAAAATCCAATCCTAACAGAGTTGCAAAATAGTGGCAAATTACGTGTCCATCTTCTCGGTTCTTTTTGGGGGTTTCTGTTAAGATAACTGATCCAGCAAAGACCAAAACTCATGGGATGTAACAGCTGTAATTCAGGAAGCGAATATGATGGCTTTGCAACCCAATAACAACTGTCCCACCTAAAGGTGTCTTGATGGTTTTCCCCTTCAGTTTCAGGAAGACTGCAAAAAGAATCAAATTAAAAAGCTTGAAAACGGTTTGAGGAAGGAAAAAGGCGAAACCACTGAACTATTAACTGTCACATTGACACCAATTGTTGGGACACGTTTCTCGTCTTTTCTCCTGTACACATGGTCTTGTAGAATCTACGTGCATCTTCCCAAAACCTAAGGACCTAAGGACCCGTCATAACAGACCAGATTTGTGGTGGACAATGATTTAGGGACACCAAGAGCTTGGGACACCAAGACTGTATCTAGTTCCAGGATTCCAGGACGTTCCAGGTATTTATTGTTTCTTCAACAAGATGGCTGAACACAATGCCTACGGATTTTTTCTCAGGGAAAACTTGTAACATCTAGTGGACTTCCAAACACGTTCCAACCGGTTCCAAGTTGTTCCAGGATTAGAAACGGCCCCATGGTTGATCTCCAACAGGCCGCCAAGGGGCCATCAGCACGTTGTCTTCATGTCCTTGCAGGACCTGCTGAACCTCGCCACTGTGCTTCCAAATGGTGGCAGTGCCATCAGCGCCTGGCGCCGAAGCACGAGGGCCGAGACGTAGAGGATGGGGAACCCATAAATGGGGCTACCCCAAAATGAATGCTTCACAATGGAAAAACCTATTAAAATGGATGATTTGGGGGTACCCCATTTTAGGAACCCCTCATATGACTGAAAACGACCAAAACCATCTTGACTCTGTGGTTCTCGGAATCTTCATCGGTCTTCAACGTTGACAAAAGCACACATAGATGATTTTCTTGCAGCTTGTCGTGCTCCGGGCATTTTCTTCAAAGTTACATCGCGTCATCTCATGATCCCCAGCCACATGAAAGAGAAACTTGGGAAATTCCAGGCAAGAATGTAATTTCAGTTTGAGAAAAACTGGGGAAGATTTGGGCACTAGTTACCTAGAAGATGAAAAAAATGATGATATATCAATTAAATATGTTTACGTATGTGTGTACATATATATATATATACATACATCCCCCCAGGACGGACGGTTGCCCGAAGTTTCATTCACTTTGGGGTTAGTGCAATTTTTTGAGGGTTGTTTTGGGGGTTATTTAGGGTTTCTCTAGAGTTTCTTGAGGGGTAGTTTAGAGTTTATTTTTGGTTCGTTCAGGGTTGTTTTAGGGGCTTATTTTGGGTTGGATTAATGTTGTATTGTTTTTGGACTTGTCTGTTGAGGATTTTACTCTAAGAGTTGAAACCCTGCAAATTACGGAGAACGTGTTTGAGTCAGGGTTCAAAAGATGATTTTGGCACTGCCTTAGACAAGCGCAAATATGCAACAAGACACAGGCAATGGCAATATTTTGCATGATCGCAGTTTGCAAAAAATAGGCGCTAAAGCAACACAGCAGATTGCAGTCCTGAAAGAAATTCCGTCGATTTTGAGCAAAAGTCAGCCAAAGCGATGTATAGATATTATAAATAGTATTACATTTATGTATATATATATACATTCATATGTATATTGGTATATTGTAACCCAAAAAAATGAAACTAAATTATCAATCATTATCACTATTTTAGTGGGGTCGTACTTTTCTATATGTGATTTATTATTATATTATATTACAGTATATTATAGTATATTATATTATATTTCATTACATTACATTGTATCATATCATATCATGTTATATTATATTATAATATGATATCGTATCATGTCATATCATATAATATCATACTCTATATATTATTATTATTATTAATATTATTATTATTACTATTATTCTTATTATTATTATTTTTATTATTTTTATTATTATTATTATCATCATTATTATTATTATTATTAAATATTATTATTACTAGTATTATTATTATTACTAGTATTATTATTTTTAATTATTATTATTGTATATATACACACCTCCCAAGGCATAATCACCCTGCGGTCCTCTTGCAACTGGGAACCCGGCTGGCCGTGGCCACTTCCATTTGGTCACCGTCGGGATCAAAGGAAGCCCAAAATATTGGACCTCGGTCGCCACGTGGATCCGGTTGCGGGGAAAAATACCGTGGGGCTTGGGGGCAATAGTTTACCAGGATGTAATGGAAACATGGGAATATCATGAACAATATGACCTGGCAGACTTGTTCGGGGCAGAAAATTGTTGGGAATATCATATTTTCACACAGCTGCGTTTTCAACTTGGGACTGGTATCCGCTTTTTTCAAGAACAACTGGGATCGCAGGGATTTTGGCCCCCAGGCAGGTCAAATAATTGATAGCTGCGCTTACCAGCTTAAAGGAAATCCCCCTATCTCCTCTTCAAAAAATCAAATCATCAAATCTATCATCAAATCTATCGTCATTCATCATCATTCATCATCATTCATCATCATTCATCATCATTCATCATCATTCATCATCATTCATCATCATATCTGTCTGATTCCATTGATTATCTCAGCGCCAGACTGACTCCACCAGGAAAGACTTGCACACACCTGGCATTTCTTGGGCCCGGACTCGGCAATCAGTCGGACGCTGTGTGTCGCTCACAGTGCTCAACAGCAAAACTTCATCAACAACTGGGTAGCTATGGATGTTGGTAGTGTTTATCACTCAAAATATGATACACAAGATTATGTACTATACATATTAATGTTGTTATAGGTTTCGAATGGCTTCAACCCACCATCTGGATGTTTCGTACATCCCAGGAATTGTAAGTGGCTGTAGGTGGTTCCAAAGTGTATTGGTCGGGCACTGCAATGGAGTATCCCAACGAGAACCTGGAAAAAAATGGTCGTGACTGGTGGGTTTCTGATCGGGATAGTCAACCAAGTTTGTTTATGTTTGGCACTCTCTTTTGCAACTGTAACATGTGTCTTTCTATTCGTACCAACACAAAAAGAAAGCTGATGTATGTTGTACATAGATTAGATTGAGATTACATAACTAAATGCAAGCAAGCCCTTCATAAGTCGTTTCTGAGCAGTTCAGGGCGGCTGAAGAGCTCTTTCATTGCTCAATTTCGAGACAAAATATCTGTCAGTTTCTTGACTTCAATGAATTTCGGCGGCCTGCCCGCCGGAAAAGACCCAGAGAGACTGAGTTATATCATGTTATATCCACGTCAAAAAGCATCTGTGCGATTCCGGGCCTAAATTCCCAAGGGATTTCAGCAACTGTTAGGTGTATCAGCCACATTCAGCCACTGCGAAAAACCCTGTCTATCCCTGTTCTCCGCCTCGCAGAGACCAGGTCCCAAAGCCTGGCAGGGAATCACCTGTGGAAAAATCATGGAACTTGATGAAGATCAACATCGATCAACTATATACTTATACGAAACGGGTCGTTTCCATTGCCAGTTTAGATTCACAAGTGGCTTTTTTGTGGGTGTCACCCATGAAAATGGGCGACTCAACTCAAGCCGGATTGGCTCGAAAGAGAATTCAGGCGCAGCTTCACTATTCAAGAAGTCAAACTATGAATAAAAGAAGAGTTGTGAGAGATTATTGGCCTGAAATTCTATTCTACACCTCAGGTATAGCAACCCCCAAATAGAAGCCGACTTGGAAACCTCGAAGTTCTGACAAAAACAATCGAAGAAACATCTTGGGAACACTCTTCGCCATCTTATTGGGGACCCCTAGGTCCTGAGTGCATGCACAAGTTGCCCCGATCCGTCCTTGCCTTGCACTACAGTCCAGGCTAGCCGTGATCGCAAGGTTCTCCCCTGCATCAAAACCAATACTCACCACCTGAGCCATCCACATTCAGTTGAGTAGTGTGCAGTGTTCAGGCTGCTAGATCCCAAATGTCATGGTTGGTTCAATTTCTGCCTGGTCAACGGGATTTCAAGCTCATGGATGAGAATCACAAATGATGACATTCATCTGACAGAGCGGTGAGAGTCGCCCTTCAAAATAGAATGAATAGAATTGATGTGCGAAAGGTTTGGGACAGCGTAAATCAAGGGAAAAAAAAAAACAGACCCATGGATTACTAAATGTAACACAATGTAACAATGTTGCTGATAAACTCGCCAAAACAGCAGCGCAGGGGCTGTTCCAAGGAAGACTCCAAGTCTTGATTCCTGTTCTTGCGCCAGCTGTTGAACTACAGGTCTTCCTGGTAACATGTCCTTTGCACCCGCAACTCCCAAAATTTTACTGGAGAACCTGTTAAAATGTTGACCACCAAACCTTGCAGCTGCGCCCCTAGCCGGAGAATGGTTGGGAAACAGGCTTGTGCACTGGGCAATGTGACTAGGCTAGCTAGCTGGGGATGAACACAGGGCCATTGAATGTGTACAACTTGTTCAGCCAATTCCACCTGATGTGTTGGGTCGACTGAGAAGTCACTATTTCAAGTATCTGCGCATCGCCGAGCAATGGGCCGTTTGGGCGCCGCTGGCCGCTGGGGACTAACATCCGTGCCATTCGAGTTAAAGGGGGTTCCCATGAGGCTATCTAGAAGCCATTTGTCGCTACAGTGTACCTAAGTTTGCCGGTTTCCTAATGGTGACATCTTTTGCTGCTCATTGCGATTTCGCAACTAGGTTCGGGTGCATCCCTACGGTCATCTCTCCCTGCAAATCTGCTGGGCGGCGCGCACAAAGGTTGGTAAAATGTGTTCCTTCTATTCTCAGTAAAAACGGTTGCGACTTGCACCGTGTCAACTCATATTAATATTGTATGTATCATATATATATATAGTATAGAGAGAGAGAGAGAGAGACAAATCACTTATTTTGATTTGGTTTTGGTACAATCAATTTAAATTGAATTCACTGTGCGCTTAGGTTTGCCAATCCCAATGCGGTGCTTGCCATCCTGCTCTCAGCGTGCTTGCATTTTGAAGGGGAAGCATTTGGTGTCCGGAAGGCTGCTGCCAAGTGGTTTCCTGACACTAACCTTCTGCTGCAGATTGAGTGCATGTCTTTCACATAACATAGTCCAAACAACCCAAAGTGAGGCGCATGGATGTTGAAGGCAAAAAAAAAAGACACTCCCCTATATATAGGGTACTGTAGTATAACCACCGAACCAATCATCAACCAACAGGGGTGTTGAACACTGTTCAGCTGCTCTGGGTCACCCTCAAACATTTCAAGTACGAAGCTACAGTCCGCTGTTTCTGGTTGTTGGAAGAGCAAACTAAGTCACAAAGGGCAAGTTTGAATATTGGCAAATTTGAAAGTCAAAACTTTACGCATCAAGTTTAACCGGTCAAAACTCGAGACTTCGATGCCAAAGCAAGGACATGTTTGTCTTCGAATGTACCCCTCCGTTCGCTGTCTGAGTGCAATGCCCAGTCTTTATGTCCTTCCAGGGTGCAATGACCTCCAGGATAGCTGTCCAAATACTGGTGCAACTACACAGCACAACAAAATGTCCATTGTGCAAAACGTAGTTCGTCTCACGTCGAGGTTCATTTAGGTTACGCCAGGAAAAGAACACCAGGGAATTGCACCTCAACGAGTTGGTGAGGCTGGGAAAATCCGGCTCCACTGACCAACGGTGAGCGGAACCAGAGGGTCAGTGGCCTTACCCTAATCATCCCTCCATCGATTTGTTCAGCGATACCAAAATGATCTAAAATGACCAGGAACATAACAAACCCTCACATGGGAATGTGCCAAAACACACACGGGAAAGCCCATGTCTTTTTGGTCATCTCTACTCACTGAAACCTGGCAGTCTGTCAGTTGAGAAATCCCGACACACCCAAAAGGCCCAGTTCTACCACATTTCACCAGGGTTTTCTGGTGTGTCATCTTCTACTCTTACGTACACAATCCATCAAAATCCCATATTTTCCATCGCAGAATCCGATGCAGGGATCCCAAGAATGGCATCACCCAGCTGGGGATGTAATCTCCAACAGATACCCGACGGGAAACCAACGTGCTCCAGCTTTCCCTGAGGTTTCCTGCATTGCCCCGTGGACGTCTCCCACACCTTTGCACAGTCAACACCTCAGCATATCCAATGGGTTTTGCAGTCTCAAACTGGGGGAATAGACCAAAAATGCCGTGTCACTTGGGAAAATGATGATACATACATAGTGGGCTTTCGGGATGTTATACATATTTTCAGACAACCCAAAATGTGGAATAGTTATCTGGAATCAGAAAAAAAGATTACACGATTACACGAAATGATCTAAGCCGATCTAAATTTAAGCTGTGAAACACTACAAACGCTGGCACTACCACGACACTAACCATGGAATTTACACCTGTGACTCTTGTACAGGCTGAAGAATCCGGCCGTGCTAAGGCTCCCAGCTGGTGGTGCCCAAGAGCCGTCCAGTGGTCGAAAAAGAGCAACAGTGTACTGCTGAGGAGTTGTGTCCCCTGGGCCGGCAGCAGCATCATCGACTTTTTCGACAAAACCCAGCTGCCCAAGCACCCGGAAGATGGCGCCTTAGGGTTTCCAAGCATTTTCCGCCAATGGCATCCCAAATAAAGACCTGAAAAAAGGCGAAAAAACAGGTGGGAAAGTGGGGATGGGGGTCCTGGCAGGGTCCCATATGGGTAGGTCAAGTCAGCTATTGGAACACCAAAAAACATGGGATGGTTGGGGCCCTGGGTTTTACTAAATAGGATGGTTTACTATGATTTGCTCTTCAAAATTGACCAGTCCATCTGTCCTTTTTGGGTCGTTCTAACCTTTACCATCCATTACCCATGTCCAAATTGTCGACGTTTGCTGGTTGTCATCCCCATTGATGGTCTAATCCCACATTCATTGTAGGTCTAATTTCCCATTGCTTGATAGTCAGATTCCCATTTGCGTCAATCTGTTGCTAGTCATTCACGGTCAGTTGATCCCTTCGCCATCCTTCTCCAAAACATCAAATTACATCAAATACCTTCCAAAGCTCCGGTGGGATGTATTGGATCCATGAATTGGAGCCTGGTTTGCGTATATACATATAATATATATACAATCTATATATATATATATATACATATATATATATACATATATGGCTTTGTGCGGAAGTAAGCTGCCATAAGCTACCCCCAAATCCGGTGATCAAATCATCCCTATCCCCATTGAGCTTCCAGGCCATTCCATCTGCTGAGGCAGACGCCAACGCCACCTCGCCGCGAAAGGACCATGACTTAGGATTCAAACCCATGGTGACTTGGGGATCCAAATTTTAAAGGAAACCCCCTAGATATGTATATATATAATTATATATACATATGTGTAATTATATCTGTATACCAATAAGTGAAAGTCACTCAACTCACCATACTCCACGAACTGAGTCACATCAGCGGTTTATTTACACCACTTTCGTGGTACGGCTGATCAATTCAGCCTGCAGGACCCACATCCATCATGATGACGGTATTTCACAAGACCAATATGATTCATATGCAATTTTGGAAGAATGATGTTTCACTTACTGGTGCTTAGTAGGGAATTGATGGGAATGGGGGAATGGGATGGTTGTTGATAGTTATTGTGGATCAGTCCCTCATTCCCTACTAAGAACAAGTAAGTTCATGATTTCCCATGATTTCCCTGCCACCTATGGTGATCCGTTCTGAAGATGGCGAATCCTTTGATCACCAATGGTGAAATCCCCATCCGCCTCGCTCACAGGCACCACTTGAACCTCCGAGTGGTTCTCGAGTCCAGCTTCCTCCACACAGAAATCCAAAAAGAAATCACCAAAAGGGATACCCTCTGGTAATTTAACATAGCTACTGAAAATTGCCATTTATAGCTGATTTACCCATTAAAAATGTTGGTTTTCCATAGCTATGTTAGTTTACCAGAGGGTACTCTAAATACATTGCCAATCTTGGACCCAACATTTTTTCGGTGCAGTAGTGCAAAAATCCAAGGTTGACCAAAAACACCGTCTGCGTCAATAGCACCAATAGTTTTGGATGATTTGGGGGTACCCCTATGGGAAACACCCATGATCTACATGAGATTTCGATGACCATAAATCGGCAACCGAGCAATGGGATGTTTTCACCGACCCAGTGATCGGTAGCTAACCCCATGTTTGTCTGTTCTTCGGGCAACGTCCAGCCTGTAAGGTCTGATGCATCTGCGTCTCGTAGCCCTTGAACCTTTGGGTTTAGGGACACCAATCCAGCACTTCGGGATTGAGTAATAGATGGATTTCGATGAAATGATGTTGGAAAGCTGCAACCTGGGTTCTTGGACTTTTAGGGGTTCCAACGTGTTCCAACCATTGATTTTCGCCTGGGCATTGAAAAACTCTTCCAGGTTTCCAGGTTTCCAGCACCAGAGGACGAGCTCATGGTGAACGTCCACCATGTTGGTTGCTTGAGATCCCCGATGTTGCTGGATCCGAGGCTGCTGCATACCATAGTGGCCAGTGAAAATCATAGTGAAAATTTGAAAAATACGATGTCTTTTTGTCAAAGTCACTGAAATCCCAATGTGTGTTGTTTCAAGCCTCATCTTTACCAGTTTCACTCCTATTTCGGTGGTTTTCAACTCCCCTCTTAGTTTTCCAAATTGTCCCCAAGTCAAAAGGAGTCAACATTGGGGTACCAAAGCAACCGCATGCAATAATCACATCAGTATTTCTACGAGATCATCCTTTTTGGGGGATAGTCAAGTGGCAAAAGCATTTCTTCATGCATGAATTTCATGTTTTGGTCTGGCTACAATAAATCATCAGTTTTATGGGGGGTCATAGTTTTTTTTATCAAAAAATCCATGGTTCTCTCGGCCTTTTTGTAGCCAAGCAGCATCAGGCTACAGTGAGGCACCTTCAAAGCCTTGCAAATAGCACGGCGAAGCGACAGCATGGAGTCATAGGAGTACACAAAGACCTGACGGAGGGCCCCTTTTTTTCACCTGGTGGACGGGGGAAAGACCTCCAGTTGTGGGCGCGTACTTATTCGTAGGAGTATTATATAGTATGTATGGTATGGTAGGGTATGGTATGGTATGTTATGGTATGGCATGGCATGGCATGGCATGGTATGTATGTATACATACATATATATTTATATTATGATTGTATGTATGTACGTAGGCATGTACGCATGTATTATATAGTTTTTATACTATATATTGTGTAACATGTACAAAATTATACATATATTATTACATATTTCAAATTATATATGTTATGTTATATGTTAGATGTTACAATTTGTAGTTCTGTACATATTATAATTGTATCCATAGTAGATATTATACATATATATATATGGCCATCAGATATCAAATAATTAATGTGTATATATATATGATATTATATTTTTTATATTATATTATATTATCGTATATCTCATATATTATATCCATCCATTCTGGAGTACCTCGGCAGAGATCTCCGGGTCGGTCAGCTTGCCCACAATGTGCAAGAGCTCCCGATCTGGGGCGTCCTGGCATTGCGGTTTGTTTTGGGGCCCACATTGCCTTGAGAGATCAGTAGAGTTTTGCCCCAAAAAGGGTGTTAACCAAAAAAATGCTCATTATATAGACCCCCTGCTAATGTAGAAAAGATTTTGATGGGGTACTACCCCGAATTGGGGTTTTGCACCCTGTACCTCCATTGCAATTTCCATTGGGATCAGTACATAGTAAGAATCTATCTAGTGTCCCCACGGGTTAGAAGGCAGCTCTGGTCTTGTCAATAGCCATCAAGTTCAAGGCTAGAATCGCAGAATGATCTGCATGAAAAGCTGACGAATCTGGGTAAATGACCATCATTCACAAACCTGACATAAAAAAAATCAGGGGAACAATTCCCCTAACCCAGCCATGAAGAAATCAGCGCGAGCCGGGACAAGTCGCTTGGTGTTTTTTTTTCCATGAAACCTTCCTCAGTTGCCAAACGAACATCACCCACTGTCACCAAAATACACTACCAATCAGCTTACCAACTGCCATTGAATCCCTGGCTCCTCCATGGCTGAACTTTAGCCAAGGCATTCAGGCGTGCAGGTGGGGCTAAGCTTCAGATGTTGATGTCTTTGATTGGCTTTTTAGATACAAAAAATCGTAGGCGGCCTTGAGATGTTCAGCAAAATTGCTGACATTGACCCATGAAGATACCATTCACCAAGCTTGAAGTTATCCTTTTCCAGTTGAAATTATCCAAAGAGCTTGAAGGATTCCACATGGAGCACTGGCTTTGCTGCGGCAACTTGGAAAGAAATTCAATGCATAGGGCATAGGGATGATATTTCTATAGAGAAGAAATAGGCATAGATTCTACATATATGTGTGCTGAAAACAATCTGATATACAAGCTTTCCAACACACATCTTTCAGTATCTACTGACGTAATCCCCCGCGCTTTGCACTGGAAAAACGGCTGCAGCGCCAGCGATGAAACACTCCTAAGTTCGCATCAGGTTCCAGCACGGCGTTGGTGAAAATTAGGTGCTCCTAAATCTATATACCTTGACCGTTTGAAGGATTTTGCGTGTGCACTGCTAGTGACCAATGAGTGCAATGAAAGCAATCCAACACTAGGAACACTCAGAAAGTACCATGGAAGGAAAATCTAGACCCTTGGAACAACTTCTTCAATTGGAATACGTCCCCAAATTTTGATCAGGAACCCAAACTATCCATGCAACCAATAACATCCTCTCACTATCCTATCCAACTATGTAACTCATTCATCAGTGTTTCAAAGTTCTCCATTGTGGAAACTAGCTAATGTAGTAATAATGCACCAGTCCTCCAGAATCCGGTTGGAGTGTACAGAAATGCCTGAAAAGGTCAAAAAGTTTCCCAGGGCCATCCAAGTAATGCTTACCCAATATTCCCTAGGTGTCCAACGTTCTGGAAAAAAAAAACATACCATCAACTGATTGGTCAACTGAAAACTCATGAATTCTGAATTGGTGTATTTATCATAACTTATTCATATCCCATAAAATCGATTAAAATGGTGCATTTACCATGGAATCTCCATATTTATCCCATGAATTGCTGGATTTATCCATCCAGTTTTTCCAGTTCTGTCAGCTTGCGCCTGGTCCAAACACCTCTGCTTCTCCAATTCCTGGCGGCGCCGCTCCACCGCCACCTTTGCCAGCCAACTACGCATGAACCTGGCACCAAAGGCGGGGACTGCGGGGACTTGGACCCGAAGATCGAAAAAAACAACAAAAAAACAGATCAAAAAGGCAGCTTTTCTCTCATATCTGTTCGGGAAACAGTCCGAATTCTGTGAAAAAAATGGTGAAATTTGAAATTGAACAATTAGATGCTGGGACCAGTGGCACTCATCGTTTAGCCAAGTTGTAGCCGGTGCTTGAGGCTCCAGGTTGAACTGTGAAACAGCATTGGGCAACCCCAAGATTCTTATCAATTTCGAACACCGGAGCAGAGCTTCTTTCTGGTAACCATTGCTTATGGCCATGTAGTGATTGTAGTGAGCCTGATGAAATTGGCCCGCGCCTCTCGATGCAGATGATCTTGCCCACTTTCCACGTGAAGTAGCGTTTGTAGGCCCTGACGCAGAGAAAATGACCAGCAACTAGCAGGTTTGCTTTAAAAAAAATGTTCAAGCCAACAAAAGCAGAGGCAGATGCAGCAGTTTCAGGCGATTTCAGGTGCTCAAGATTCTAAAAAGTGACATTGAAGAATCCCATCGCAAGATACAGTAGGTATGGGTCACAAAACTCGGTACCAAAAGTTGGATGCTTGGATTGGATGCTTCAGCGTACTTCTTGGCGACCAGTTTTCTCAGTCAGATCTTGTCGGCCAAAGCCCCTTTGCTCGGCCAAAATGTTTGGATCCAACACATTCCCCCAGGGTTTTGACTTCGCCTGCGAGCGATGAAGCCTCTGATGAGACGTTGACAATTCGTAGCCGCCTGGCGCTGCAACTGCCGACAGGTCTAGGGTTGGAACCATACCATGGATGGATCGACCATAGGGGGTATCTCGAAACCATTGTTTGTTGAATCATTGAAGTTCACACTCAAATGCGGGTCCGGGAAATAGATTTTTGTAATACACTGCAAGCTGTCCCTGAAAATCAATTCTGGAAAGTCTGGCCACCGTTCTTTGATGTTATCATCCCACACCGAAGTGTGTGATCAGCCTTCAAAAAAGGGCTTGCGGCGAATCACTGCTTGAAAATCGGGGGTCAACCGTGTGAGGGTAGCAGGGACCCCGATGAAATAAGATGGCAACAATGCTGGGTTACGTATTCATCCTACGTCACAACCCATGCTGGCCATTTTGCGGATGATGTCTCCAATGCCATGTAAAAAAAAAAAAAAACATAACAACATGAACTAATGTAGCAAAGCGAATGTATCAACGGGATAGTATCGCGAGATTATAGCCTATCTCAGGCAATGGGATACATACACTATCTTGAAATATCTTAAAGTATTTAGAATCTAAGGATACGATATATCATGATATATCAAAATATCTCACAAAACATCACAAAATACATAGCTTACAATCTCAAAAGTCCATGGAAAGCGGAATTTTGCTCTTGTCATTCTGAGAAGTACTTTGCGCGTCTCATCTTGGGGTCCAGGTCTCCAAGTTTGACCCATATCGTGGAATTCATGCTTCGTGTACCCCACGATATCCAGTGGTCAATCATCATTTTCCCTATTAAAGCAGCCACAAATTGACAAAACAGGCATCCCCCTATTTTCAGACACAGCCATTTGAGAGCCTGCCACACAAGACATGTACTGTTTTTTTTTTTGGGCAGCAGCGACTCCAAGAGATGTTCTCTCAATCGCCGGAGTTTGGGTCAAATTTGGCTACTCCAAACACTTGAATCAGAGAAAAGAAACAGTCATCTGTAGCCATCCGTGGGTCTCAAACAGTCTCAAACAGGTCCGAAAAAGATGTACATCCCCAAAAATGGCAGTTTTCGTCGAACAAAGCTGGGAAAACTATGGTAAAGCCCATAAAGCCATACAAACCACTGAATTTGGCGATTCCTTTTTTTGGTCCATCCCGGTCGATCTGAAGGAAATGGGAAAGCAAGAGACATCAAGATCCCCCTTGAGAGGGTAAGTTCATCACCATTCAAAACCCAAAAGCGATATCGAGCCTTGAAGAAATGCGGAAATCGAAGGAGCCCTACTCGAGTTGATGTTTATTGAAAAAATATTGAATGGTTCTCTCAATTTTTCGGGCCCAGTTGGCAGGGATTGTGCACAAGTGCTCAGAACTTCAGCAGGTAGATTGAGTTATTCCCTGACAATCAAAATCTTCCAGACTCCAAGCGTTTGGAAACGCACCAAGCTTTTGCGTCACCATTGAAATCGCTTCAGAGATCCTTCGGGGACTCAACCATGGCCTCAACCGATGACATCATCAGTGATGGAAAGAATAGCAGTTCCGAATGGTCTGAGTTTTATAGTCCAGTTATGACCATGAGTTATATAATACAGAATACGTCTGGCCCATAGAATCATTTCATCCGTCAATGAACAACAATTTCAAGCCGAGTTGCAGAGCGAGTCTGCAGCCACCTAGCACAAGATGATTGCATGATTGAAGATATCTTGCGAGCAAAAAATCAGTTTGAAGTGGAAAGTCCACTCCGAACGGCTGATTTCCAGACTTAGAAAAGAAGAGAGGAAAGCACCACTTCAATGTGACCTTTCTGCAACGTACCGGAAAATTTGAGCCAAGCTTGGGAAGGAACTGGTTCGACAAGATATGGTCACGTTTCGAGTAAGTGTCTTCCTGACTGTAAACTTTCAGCAAGAACCAGCCATTGATGCTATCACTGGGAATTGTTTAATTCAATTTTACTTGTTTTAAAACAACAACAACAACAACAACAACAACACCAACCGCAACCGCAACGGCAACAACAACAGCAACAGCAACAGCAGCAGCAACAGCAGCAGCAGCAACAGCAGCAACAGCAGCAACAACAACAACAACAGCAGCAACAGCAGCAACAACAACAACAGCAACAACAACAACAACAGCAACAACAACAACAACAAGAACGACAACAAGAACGACAACAAGAACGACAACAAGAACGACGACAACAACAACAACAAGAAGAACAAGAAGAAGAACAAGAAGAAGAAGAAGAAGAACAAGAACAAGAACAAGAACAAGAAGAAGAAGAACAAGAACAAGAACAATAAGAAGAAGAAGAAGAAGGACAACCAGGACAATGACATCGAAGGTCATCTGGTCTGCAGGGTTGCTGCAACACCCAAGATACAGGGGTGGAAACTCTCCAAATAAAAGCTGATAAAGAATGACAAAAATCAAATTGCCGAGTTTCGGACAAAACTGGCTATCATTTGCCTATGGTTTGGAACCGCAGCACTGCACCTGCGGCCCAAGAAGGTTCCGAGCACAGCACCCGCACCGCTGCCCAAGGCCTCAAGGTTTTTTTCAGGTCACATGGGGAAACATGTTTAAGTGATTCGTTTATAAATGGTGTGCGTATATATACACAGTAAATGGGATATATAACACATACTCTGAGTCTTGAAATCCTATTCAAAACCAGAGTTACGAACAAACTTTGGGGATTCCCTGGCTTCTGAGCTCTTAGAAGGGCTTCCGTGGCTGAGTGAGGGGCGATCCTGATTAGGCTCCCATTACCCAGCCACTGACTTAGCAAAGTGAAATGATCTGCCGTCATGTTTTAACAACTGGTGAAATTTTGGTGAAATCTCCATTTTCCCCTGAAATCGCTAAATGTTCCGGTAAACAAACAAAAAGCTATT